AATATTACGCCACATCTCTACCTCTTTCTCATTTTTACCATAGATTTTCCCTCATCCAGTTAAGTTAAACTATTCCCACTCTCTCCCAAATCTCACATTCTTATGTCAATTAAGCAGGCATTAGAATAAAAAGAAAGAAAACAAAACAAGAGGTGAAAAATCCAGCTTGTATCTCTGCAGCCCCAAGGAGTCCATCACTCCTCCATATCATTTGCTGAGGCTTGACTTCAGAGATGTAGATCAGCATGTCACTTACCAGTGGCTCAATTACATGTTGCCATTGGATGGGGCGGGGGGGGGGGATAAATTGGCACTTGTCTGCAGGACAAATGCTTCAAGTCTAAGACAAATGCTTCGTAGTGTAAGATTAAACCGATGTCATCTTACAACTCTCTTCCTGTATCCAAGATAGAACTAGATCTGCCAAGGAACATTAAGCTTCTGCTAAAAAGGGCAAGTCCCCCTTCTTTCTCATTCACAACATAGTCATGGAGCTTAGAGCACAGCTCTGCTTGCTGTTCCATCACGCTCCATGTATGATACAAAGGTCGGAAGTGGGGAGTCTGCTCTCCACACCTCTGCCCACCGCGTGATTTAGATAGCTCCAGGGTCCCTGGAGGGAGGTCCCACTCTTCCCTCATGACATGATTCTGATCACCTGAGAGATTCAGCTCTGTTATAATGCTCTGCTATAACGCATTTTCCTTCTCCCGTTCCAAATCACTGGCATTGTCTGTATGGGATGGAATGTGCAATGTGATCACAGTGTGATATGTTTCATTACTAAACTGTTCCACTTGAGTTCTATGATGGAAGTAAGGGGATATAAATGTAAGAAAATAAATAAAGAGATGTTGCTGGGGCAGAAGGGAGAACTTAGTTTTACTGGGTTGGGCAGAAAGTTCCATGTTCTTCATTCTAGCTACCGTAATTCTGTCTTCATGTGCTTTAAGTTCGTCTGCATTTATCCCCTAATACGGCGTTCATACTCGTGAGTTTGTGAATACCTTTCTCTAGAATGTTAGAGGAATTAATTAACACAAGTGTTATCCTTGAACCAGCTGTTGCTACCTCACAGAAAAGCAAGCAGCAATATGAATTGGAAATCCTTTCAAAGTTGCACAGTGGTATCTGTTGAATGTTAATCTCTGGTGATTTTTTTTTCCAGGGTTTCCATTTAAAAAAAGATAAAATTGTTAACTATAAGGCAGAAAAAGCCTAATTCACTGATAACCAACAGCAGCTCCACATGTTGTGCATTGGTAGACTTAGGTTTCTTCCAGCAAATATGTAAACGTGTTAACAACAGATATCTATACTTAAACACCTGTCTCTGTATATCTGAATTGTGAAGCACCTCTATACCCTGTTCCTAATGGATAATCAGATTATCTGATTGCAATCCCTGGATTATGTCTTGGTCTCTGACGGTGCACTAGGACACCCTGCTAATTTTCATTGAGGTGGCTAAAGCTGTATCAAAGCTGTTCCATTTCAGGCAGTATATGGCTCACACAGTCCCACCATATATAGAAATTAGGTGCCAGGGAAAAGGATTCTAGACTATCCTTCTCCCTGACATGCTAATGTTTTCCATGTAGGAAGAAACCATGAATGCATAGTGGTAGAGCCCAGATACTACTTTACCTCCTCACTAACAACAAGGCCTAGGATCAGGTAGCTGGCCATTTTGCCTTCTTTTAAACCTTACATTTTGTAGAGTGCTCACTTACATTTTATGAATGCATAGCACATAGATATTTCCTGTAGTCTTTTAAGCATTATCCAGACCATGCAGCCGAGAATGAAACAAACCATGGATAGCCATGGAAAGCTGGTGTTGGGCACTCTGGAGCCTTGGGCTCACCGGAGTCCCCTGTGCTCATGCCCTGGGGGAGGAAAAAGATGACTCAATTGGCATGTGGGAGGTGTATGTGAGTCCCCCATTGCAGGTAGTGATGCCAATGGGGGGCCAGAACAAAAGGAAAACAGCTCCACTTTGCATGGGAGTGGGTGGAATTGTACCCCACATATGACAGGGCAGATTGCTGCATAGACAACACAAAAGCAATACTGTTCTTAAGTTAAGAAAACCAGATATTTCAAGGGAAATCATTGGATTATACTCTTAATGAATACTAATTGTCCTGTAACTGTTGGGCAAAAGGGATGCTGACTGACTTTATTTTAAAACTACGTTTTTGGTGGGTGGGTATGCATCTGGGGGGTGGGTATGCCTTTCCTCAAAAAGAAAACAAATGTTGCTTTGATTATTTAACTACACACTTTTAGCATGTTTTTAAATAAAATTTCATATTGAGCAAAAACATTTTAAGCATATACAACTGTTGATTTGCATTTATATTAAAGGTTGAAGCAAAGCTTCTTGTTTTGTTCATTTTTAATAACCATGTACAGAGTTTTATATGTGTTTTTCTTTGCCTTTTATACATCTATAAATTTGTGACACTCCTCAGCTACTGCAAAAAGTTTGTGGTTCTGGCTGTGGCCTATGTGTGGCTAACAGGAAGCAGTTATGTATCTGGCATAAGGACTTGACCTATGGTTGGTCTAACTTGGGCCACACATACCCAAAAGGGCTGGGCATCACTATTTGTGCATTTTTGCCTTTCTGATACATGTATCATATTCTTATGGTGAAGGAACAGAGCTACTAAAAGCTACTGCTTTTAGAGGTCTATGCATATAAATGTGTCTAATTCTACTGCGAATTCTTTTGAGTACACTTGAACACAATGACAACTATGGACAGGCTGGGTGGTTGGCATTTATTGATCTATTTCATAAAATGTATCTGCCACTTGACTGCAGGGGGGGGGGACCAAAAGAGTTTACAAAAAGATTTTTTAAATTTTTTATAAAGAAAGTTACAGCCATAGTTTAAACCATACAGAAAGTTCAGGCAATAGAATAGACTAAAACAAATCATAACTCATACAAACTTCCTAAACACCTGAATAGGCTTGTCTAAATAGCAGTGTGTTTAGCAGGCACTGAAAAGAATACAGGGAAGGTGCCTGCCTGACCTCAATAGACAGGGAGTTCCAAAGTGTTGGTGCTGCCACATAAAAAGATCTAGTCATTACAGATAGTGTGGGTATTATGTGGCACCTGTAAAAATGCCAGTTCTGATGATTGAAGCAGTCGAATGGGCATCGGGAAACCTATGAGAAGGTGGGACTTTGGAGAGCCTCAAAAAGCTATTGGAATCCCAGTATTCCAGCAGGGGCCCACATGAGAAGCAAACAAAGACAATTTTCAAAATAGATTGTTTGAAAAACAAATGTTTTCAAACTTTTAAATGCAAGACCATAAGGGCCCTTGCAACCTTTCAGAATATCTAAGTATTCAGTGTAAGCAGAAAGAAAGAAAGAAAGAGAAAAAATTATTATTTATACCCTTTCTAGCAAGTATAAAAACATAATAAAACATCAAACATTAAAAAAACTTCCTGATACAAGGCTGCCTTCAGATGTCTTCTAAAAGTTGTGCTGTTCTTTATCTCCTTGACATCTGATTGGTGGGAGTTCCACAGGAAGGGCGCCACTACCTAGAAGGCCCTCTGCCTGGTTCATAATTCAATTAAAAACTGAATATGAAATGATGGGAAATTTGGCTCTTTCTGTGTGTCCTTGTGCTTTTTTGAAGTTGATATGTTACTCTTTCAGCTACAGCAATGGTCCAAAGCCTACCATACCATGAGTCCAAGGAAAGTATCTTCTAATGCGAGCCTTTAGTGCACTGTTTCTAGGTGTTCTGTTACTAAAACAAACACACACTGAGTCTTTGAATGTGACATCTTCGTTAGCACCTTCAAATAAGTTCAATATGGTTAAGACTGGCAACATAAAAGGCTGGTCTGTGATATGAAGCCAATGCTATTCTAGGCTGCATCAACAGAAGTCTAGTGTCCAGGTCAAGGGAAGTAATAGTTCCACTCTATTCTGCCCTGGTCAGACCCCACCTGGAATACTGCGTCCAGTTTTGGGTGCCACAATTTAAAAAGGATGTTGACAAGCTGGAAGGTGTGCAGAGGAGAGTCTAGAAGCAAAGCCTGATGAGGAATGGTTGAAGGAGTTGGGTATGTATGAAGATTTCATGGTATTGAAGTGCTGCACATTGTTGTTAATGAATTTTTGTAAAGTACATCGAGTTGTTTAGTTTGTGATTTATCTCTCTGCATTCCCAGGGTGTGGTAATGAACTTGGCTGAGATTCCTTCATTGCAAAGGGTTGGACTATATGCCCCTCAGCAATTACTAGTTGCCACCCTTTTGATTTGAGAGACAATGGAAAAGTGTGCCATTGGGAGTAGAGTAAAACTGTTGGAGTTACAGTGATTTGCTATGGGAATACCACTAAAAGTGTGTGTGGGGGGGTGGTCCTCAGTATGCTTTCATAGGAGGTGACATGGAGGTGCATGGAAGCCCCTGTGCAATCTTGCCTTGCAGGGAGGCCCAACTCCCCAGTTCTGACTGCGCAGAGGCTGCAGTTGCCCAGTGAAAACGGAAAGATACTCTGCACGTGCTTAGATGTATTGCTAAATGGGTATAGTTGGAGGAGGTGGGGTAATGTACCTTCAGTACTCTTCCCTTTTCTGCTTACAGTCCTGGAGAGCTGAGGCTTGAGGCAGAAAAGCCAAACCGATCTAAGCCATATAGATAAGCTGAACAGTGATCGATCGGTTGCCCTTTCAATTATACCCTCAAATCTGTTTGCGCTGCCTAATGGTCGACTCTGCCCGGGGATGGAGGAAGGGAGCTTTTGACACTGCTCCCTAAGCTGCCCTTCCTTCAATGGAGCTGGCGGTCTCCTCGCCCAACGCCAGCCTGCGCTTCTGCTGCACTGCCTGCCAAAGAGGTCTTTTGAGGACAGAGCAGAACTGGAGTGTCAGGTGCTTTCACTTCCAGCTGGAGGGGGGGGGGCACCTCTATTGTTTTCTATTTTTATCTTCCCCAGATGCTGCAACAAGTGCAGCGCAAGGTAATGCAGCCCCGGCGGCAGCCCCGCACCATTTCCAAGGCAGGAAGGCGCGCTTGCTTCTATGGGGCTCCGGACCCGTCCTTGGGAAGCTGGGGCTCTTCAGGAAGGAAGGCTGCCGGCGGGCCCGGCCTGCTGCTCGGCCCGGAGCGGGGACTCTGCGGCGCAGCCCCGGCACAAGAGCCCAGCGGGGAAGCCCGGGAGTTGCCATAGAGACTCGCGGCGCAAGCAAGACGTGAGCTCCCTTCTGCCGAGCCGGAGCGAGAGGAGTTAATGGGCTGACCCACAAAATCTTCTCCGGAGAGGCGAGCGGACCCAGAGCGAGTTCCGAGCGGAGCCGCACCGAGGGCGCCTTCGAGCGGGCCATGCCGCCCGCCGGCCCCCCTGGCGCTCCGCGTCGCCTCCGGATCCCCCGACGGGGCAGCTGATCCATGTCCGCCCAAGTTCCGCGGCGTCGGGTCTTCGCTCTTCCGCGGCCGAGGGGCCTCCGGAGACGCCTGAAGCGCCTGTTGCTCGGCAGTTGGAGGCAGGCAAAGTCGGCCGGGCTGGAGAGGGAGCCCGGGGAGCCTGGATGCGGAGCCGACGGGCGCCGGAGCCTTGGCGGGGCAGCCGAAAGGCACGCGCGGACGCACCGCCGGAGCGCGCCAGCCGGGCCGAGGGCTGAGGAAGCCAGCCAGCTGCCACCCCCGGACCCCTCGGCCGGCTCCTATGGGCACCAAACACTCTTCGCGCTGCCTGCTCCTCAGGAGGAAAATGGCGGAAAGCGCGGCGGCGGAGAACACCGAGGTGAGAAAGCGGGCGACGCGCACCCCCCCCCCCGGCCCCTTGGCAGGCGCCCACCTGAGCGCGCCCCGGAGCCCGGCGTCGCCGGCGCCCAGCCTCGGCTCCCCGGCCGGCGAAGGAAGGGCAGCGCCGCGGAGACGGGCACCTCTCGTCTTCCCTCCGGCCCCTCGCCGAGGGGTCCGCCGGGGCTTTTCCCTGCCCGGGGGCGCGCGGGGCTGACTCCTTCTTGCGCGGAGCGGTAGCGGAGGGTCTCCCGGCCGGCCGGCAGGACCACCTTCTCCCAGCCCGGCCGGGGCTCCCTCCTCTCCGGCTCCTTCCCGGGCCGGACACCTCGGGCTGCTCTCCAGCGCCTCCGGCCGCGCGGCTGCCTGGAGCGGAGCGGCGAGGGCAGGATGCAGCCCGCAGTGCCCGGCGGAGCTGGCCCGGGCGCCGCAGAGGGAGCGAGCGGCGGGGCGCGCGATCGGGTCGGGTCGGTCGGCTCCACGTGGCGAAGCAGCCTCGCCGCGGAGTCGGAAACTCTTTGGGGCGGGAAGGGCCTTCCCGGGAGTCGGGGCTGCGCGCAGGCGGGCGCCCGAGGAGCCCACGTCCCTTTCCGTCCGCAGCTTGTACGCCGGCCGGGCTCCCCTCCCCGAAGACTTTCGACCGGCCGCGCGTTTGGCCAGGCTCGCGCAGGGCGCTGACCTACTTTGCCTGGGTCTCGGCTCTTGCGGGGGGAGGAGGGTGTCCTGGAAATGTTTAATTCCCCCGCATCGCAATCTGCCTCCAATCTGAGCTCCACAACTCTTCGCCTACGTGCAAGAAAGATTTCTAAATGCGCCTGAACGCAAGGCGGCTGGAATGATCTCAAAGGAGAATGATTAAAGCAAAAAAAAAAAAAATCGAGGCGGGAGCCACATGGCAGGTGCTGCATGGAAGCTCCTGCAAACACTTTGTGAGGGAGACGATGCTAAAAACAGCACCCGGCGGGCGGAGCATCTGCAAAGTGCCGGAGGAGCAGCGCGCCGCGCCGCCTGCAACTGGGGTTCGAATGAAGGTCACAGCCTCGCTGGTTGTTTTACCTAAGATGAGATCCTTGAAGGTGGGGGAGCGTATTAGCTGAGACCTTAAACTTTAATTATTTGAACCACGTTATGTTCTCCCATCCTCCTCCTCCTCACCCTGTGAAGGCAGGTAGAAAATTTTCAGCTTGGAAACGGAAAGCAATGAGTTTGCCCTCCGTAGGCTGCATCCAGATGACCTGTGGTAGCCAGGTAGAACCTCCATGTTCAAAACAACATGCCCCAGAATACCAGGTGATGGTTGTGATCTGTTTGGCTGCAAAGATTTCTGCTTAGATTCCGCAGGCTCTTCTCATATTGAAATTAAATGTTTGCTAAAGGGAGAGTAACATTATAAACTAATTAAAAATGGGTAGCTATTCTCTACTGAAGATAGAGTTAACAAGTTTATCTCTTACAACATATCCGTAGTTCTTACCTTACTAACTCTATGTTATAACCCACCCTCTTCTGTTGTGAAGTTAAGGCGTTCAAGGGTGCTTCTGCAAGTATCAAATCTCACCTTAACCATAAACTCACTGATGACTGATCGCTTTTGTTACTTCAGTCCAGTGCCGTGCGGTCATTGGACTAAGGGACTAGGCTAGTCTCCTAAATGTTCCCCTGGTCCCTCCTTCCCTGTCCCGGGAAGCCTCTGCCCTGCTTAGGGAGGGAGGTGCGATGCTCATTAGGACGTCACAACGTCACACGCATGACACCGACTCCCCATGCCTCTCACAAGCTAGCACCTCTGGTCCTAACTGTTCCCTATGAAAAATTTCACCACACACCACTGCTTCAGTCATTGTTTGAAGAAACTTCAAACATCTCTGTTTGAATAAATATTGTTTAAGAATGAGTAAGAAATTATGGTGGGTCTGTCAAGCCTATATTTGTTAACTTGGACCTAACACCTACATTTAATGTTATCTTCAAATAATTATCTACTAATGTAGTCTACTATTGACCTCTGTCAGATGATGTATCAGATGCTTTATGATACTGCTTCTTTCAAATTAAGACTACAGAATCTGTTTTCTCACTGGTTAAACTTTAACTGCATGCTGAGTCAACTTATTGTCTTTTATAACTGATATTTTCAGTGACCAACAATGTACCTGCCATTAATTAGTCATAAAGATAAAAGAGGCATATTGTACCAAGGAATTCCATTAATTAACAAACTTGATAATACTCTGGTTCAGCTTCATAGATTTGATTTCTTCTGGTGACTAGCAAGTTGACAACTGGCGCTGTGGGTTTGCCGATCAGAAGGTCGGCGGTTCAAATCCCTGTGACTGGGTGAGCTCCTGTCATTCGGTCCCAGCTCCTGCCAACCTAGCAGTTCGAAAGCACACAGTCCAAGTAGATGAATAGGTACCGCTCCGGCGGGAAGGTAAACAGTGTTTCCGTGCACTGCTCTGGTTCGCCAGAAGCTGCTTAGTCATGCTGGCCACATGACCCAGAAAAACTGTCTGCGGAAGCAGACAAACGCTGGCTCCCTCAGCCTTTAAAGCGAGATGAGCACCTCAACCCCAGAGTCGTTCATGACTGAACTTAACGGTCAGGGGTCCTTTACCTTTTTACCTTTACTGTCTATTATCTAAAAACTACCCTGTAAACAAGAACTAATGAACTGATGACTTATTGAACTGATAAGCATTAGCAATTGATTTCCTGAATAACTGATAACCAATGACTGATGACTATTTTGATAGTGATTACTAACTATTAACAAGCGCAGATGGGTATCATTGATGTTTGATCTTGTTAGACTGACCTGCTTCTTCAAGGGGAGTGCAGCCTTAATCCAGGGAAGGTGTCCTTTGCAACTCATGGACCCCCCATGAAGCCACCCTCCTGCTTGGATTCACATCCAGGCAGTGGTCTTCTTTTCCTGATTCTGATGGTGTGGAGGGGTAAAGCTGGTGTCATCAGCATTGGGGGGCACCTCAGTCCAAATTCCCTGATTTGGCATCATCTCAAAATGGCTTCATATAAGTAGCATGGGGAACAGTAACACTGCTCTGCTGGCCATATGACAGAAAGCCATTGACTACATGAAATAATTGCTAGAGGATGCAGGTGGTGGAGAAATAAGTTTCCCTTATCATTTCTTCCACAATAATACACTGTTAACCCATATTCAGTCAGACTCAGCTTTGTACCACTGCGTTCCCGTAGTCACCCTTCCTCCTTCATCACATACACGTCTCCGAGTACTTCATGGTGTTGGCAAGGATACCCAGGAACAATTGCATTGAAGGCCTACACATCTCACGATTCCCACAGTAAGAGAACGGCCTCAACAGGAGTGCCAGCTGTATCGGCTAGAAAATTCTTCAGAGCATTCAGGAAACAACCTGATTCTACAATTCTCCAGGGCAGACTATCTCAATGGGTCTCCTCCTCTGCACAGGCAGAGAGGTGCATCCAGCCCAGACCTCACCAGGGAATCATTTGTCCATGACCGTGTGCTCAAATCAGCTTTGTTGCAAAAATCAGGTCATGTTCTGCCATATTGGGACAGCCCTGTGGTTCTCATGGAGGCCATTAAGTCCTAAGCCAGAGCACTGAGGCCGCCTGGAGATGAATGTAGAATTCTCCCAACAGATTAAAAATGGTCTATACAGGCCATGGCTCTCATCCACTGAAATTCTAAGGAATATATTAAATCTAAATTAGATCTATTCTAGATATGAGTTTTCTCTTCTGATGTGTGTGCAGAAGAGTGGCTAGGACTTATGAGTGTTTTACAGCCTATATTTCCATACTTTGCTGCGTATTTTGTGATTTTAAATCTCTGCTGTTCTCTCACGACAGAGTGAGAATTTCCATAATTCTTCTTCTTTTCTAGGTTGGCAGTGGTCCTTCCCCACCCATTCAGCCTCCAGCTGTTCCAAAGCCTGTCCAATCCACCATTCCTGTTCCAGGCAGAGGAAAAATAGCAAAATTCCTCAATCCAGAAGAGATGACATCAAGGGATTATTACTTTGATTCATATGCCCACTTTGGAATTCATGAGGTAATCCCTTAAAAAAACACTACCGTATTGGCTCGAATATAAGCCGCACCCGCAAATAAGCCGCACCTTTAAAATTCAAGGTTTATTTGTAGGTGCGACCCATCTCCTGGCACTACCGCCTCCCAGCACTACTCCCCCCACAGCCGGCAGCGGGGTAGGCTTGGGAGCAGCGGGCTGGCTGTGCACTGCTGTCCCGCACTCCCAGGCTGCTCTGGGGGGGGGGGGAACCATGCCACTTTTATGTAGTTATATGTAATAAATATTACAGTGATCAAAATCAAGAAGGGTCAAGGACTTATATTTAAAAAAATGGAATTCCCAAGGTCTAGTTGTACCTCAGTCCCTCATACATGAATTTGTATGTGTGTATAACGCGGGTGGCGCTGTGGGTAAAACCTCAGCGCCTAGGACTTGCCGATCGCATGGTCGGCGGTTCGAATCCCCGCGGCGGGGTGCGCTCCCATCGTTCGGTCCCAGCGCCTGCCAACCTAGCAGTTTGAAAGCACCCCCAGGTGCAAGTAGATAAATAGGGACCGCTTACCAGCGGGAAGGTAAATGGCGTTCCGTGTGCTGCGCTGGCTCGCCAGATGCAGCTTGTCACACTGGCCACGTGACCTGGAAGTGTCTGCGGACAGCGCTGGCTCCCGGCCTATAGAGTGAGATGAGCGCACAACCCTAGAGTCTGGCAAGACTGGCCCGTACAGGCAGGGGTACCTTTACCTTTATAATGCTTTGATTAATAATAATAATAATAATAATAATTATAATTATAATTATACCCCGCCCATCTGGGCGGCTTCCAACAAAGTATTAAAATACAGTAATCCATCAAACATTAAAAGCTTCCCTAAACAGGGCTGCCTTCAGATGTCTTCTAAAAGTCTGGTAGTTGTTGTTCTCTTTGACATCTGGTGGGAGGGTGTTACACAGGGCAGGTGCCACTACCAAGAAGGCCCTCTGCCTGGTTCTCTGTGACATGTAAAATTTGGTGGAGATTTCAGGCAGCATCACCTTTGATGTAGTGGCTGAGAGATGTAGCCTGCAGGCCACCAGCTCACCATCACCAATAGCCAGTTTAAAATGTGACACACATTTGAAGCAGGTCCTCAGGCGCAGGGAAGTAGTTGAGCAGGTGGAACTCACCCTGCCTTATCTTGAAAATGTATTAGCCATCAGCTCCACCCTCTAACCAACTGAACTATCTACAGCGGCACTGTTAGCTGCTTTAACTATATAGCTAAAATGGCTGCAAAACTTTGCTCAGAAACTTCCACTTGCCTAATTCCATGTTAGATCAAACAATAGATAGTACGGATAATTGAACAGTGATTTATCTGATGTTGTTCATGTTACTGTGGAACGTGAGCAAGGGATGGACTAAACGACCTCCAAGATATAGCTGCAAAATCCACGAATCTGTGCAAAGTTCCAAGTGTTTTCTCCCCAAAGTTGAGAACATTTTTGCTAGCTAAAACATATGATGATTTTTAAAAATGGAACACAAGTAAATCATGTATTTTCAAGTAAACATATGGTGCCTTTTTCTAACACAGGAAATGTTGAAGGATGAGGTGCGCACATTAACGTACAGGAACTCCATGTATCATAATAAACATGTTTTTAAGGATAAGATTGTATTGGATGTTGGAAGTGGCACAGGAATCCTTTCAATGTTTGCAGCAAAGGCAGGAGCCAAGAAAGTTTATGGGGTAAGAAGAGCATTTTCTGAAAAATCCCGTCACATTTGCATGTATATTTTTGCAGCTTTGTAGCAGCGTTGCCAACTTTTGATTTTAAAAATTTAGATGCCCACAGTGAAGTTCAATGGACTCTGACTAGTCAGGATATGGAGCCAGGCAAAATGTTCTGGCAATCAATCAAAATGTCTGGCTTTTATATTACAAATTCTAGCAATTGGCCCAAAAATCAGCCAGGTCAGTTCCCCTCCCCCAACCAAGTTGGCAACCCTACTTAGAAAGGATCTGCACTAGATATTCTTTCCATCTTGGTGTCATTCTCATCCATTTCTTTTCTTGCTACATGTCACTTCTTTTGTGTGTTTTCTTTTGTGTGTTTTTTCCAAAGTCCCACAATTTGCAACAGGGCCTACCGACAAGGAAATGTGCATAGGATTGTACCTACAGATAATTCCTTTGGCTCTTTTCAGCCACATGGTGTGTCCTAATATCTGTGAGGTTGGAGTCAGACATTTGTTTAGTGGTAAACAAGGTGACTCAAGTTGAATAAGTTCCCCTCACAATTTCTAACATGGCAGCTGCATATTGAGATTGTGACTCTGCACTTCCTGGTTCAGATTCCTTTGAAATATTTTCTGGAAATTGATGAGAATTAGATCTGCCAGTGTTAAGTTGTGGGTGAACATATCAGACGACACAGCGATTCTTCAAACAGCTCTTCTTTATTCAGAGGCCAGAACTGAACTGAACTGAAGGGCTCAGTCAGCCTGCTTATATAGAGCTCCAGTACCACGTTACTGTAACTATTTCCTAAAACTATCCAATCATTGAACGTCACTTTCGATCCTTCATTTGCATAACTATCTACAGTATCCCCCTGCTGGCCCAGGGTGAGAACTTCAGTACATAACAGCCAGTCAGGCTGGAAGGGGGTGGGTTAGAAAAATATTTCACTGTGGAAAAGGGTGTCAGTAACTCTAGAGTGATTTCTTGGGGAAGGTTCTAACCCCTCATCAGAACTTTCTGACAGCCAGTCACTCTTCCCCCACACTTGGCGCTTTATTTATTTGGCTCTCTTCCAGACTAAGCTGAGCCAGAAGCAGCTTACGACAACATCCAGGTAATATCAAAATACAAAGCATTTTGTATTTCCTCCTGTCACTAACATACACTGCCAAAGCACTAATTTAAAAGAAGTTCACATAATAAAAAACAAACAAAAAGGGATAAATATACAATTATCTACATTATGAAAATACAGTAATAGTATATAAGTGTGTTGTAAGCTGCCCAGAGTGGTGGCGCAACCCAGCCAGATGGGTGAGGTATACATAATAAAATTATTAATGATAGAATAGTGATATATAGTAATAGTATCAATAATAGTAATAATCAATCAATAATATGACAGTAAGTAAGTAAGTAGTAAGTAAATTTTTATTTATACCCCTCCCTCCCCGGCCAAGACCGGGCTCAGGGCGGCTAACATCAAATGTTAAATACATTAAAACACAATCAAACAATTGATTAAAATAGTTTAAAAATTAGAATCAGGGTAAAATTAAATGACTGCCCACGAATTACAACCATAGGGGTCGGGAACCTCAAGTATTCATCAGGGCCAGCTATCCATGTTGGTCCCACATGACCCGATAAAAGAGGTAACTTACAGGGTTCCATAGAGGGGGGTCAAACTGCGCCCGAACCAACGGCCAGGCGGAACAGCTCCGTCTGCGGAAGGATGTAAAGTCCTGCAGGGCCCTGGTCTCCTATGATAAAGCATTCCACCAGGCTGGGGCCAAAGCCGAAAAGGCCTTGGTCCTGGTCGAGTTTAACCTCCTTGAGGCCCGGGACCTCCAAGATATTATTATTTGCGGACTGTAAGGTCCTCCATGGGGAATACCAGGAGAGGCAGTCCCGTATTATGAGGGTCGTAGGCCGTATAGGGCTTTAAAGGTTAAAACCAGCACCTTAAACCTGACCCTGTACTCCACTGGGAGCCAGTGCAGCTGGTATAGCACCGGGTGAATGTGATCTTGCAGCGAGGACCCCATAAGGAGCCTTGCCGCGGCTTTCTGCACCAGCTGGAATTTCTGGGTCAGTCTCAAGGGCAGCCCCACATAGAGTGAGTTACAATAATCAAGGTGACCGTCACATGGATCACTGTGGCTAGATCAGGGCGAGAAAGGTAAGAGACCAGCTGCTTAATACAGCGGAGATGGAAAATGCCACCTTTGCTGTGGCTGCAACCTGCGCCTCCATAGGGAGGGAGGCGTCAAGGTTATACCCAAACTCCTAACAGAAGTGTTATCAAACTAAATACCTGTCACACATTACTCAAATACAGTGTCACACTTGGGTTTTCCATTAAAAATCCACTTGGTACAGAGACAGTGAGCATGCTAACTCCCTCAGACTGATCTAGAAACAATGCTACAGTGTTGTCCAGAGGTATTAGAAAGTGGGCCAGGTTCCAGGAAAAATGGCCTTGGCAAGCCCCCCCGCCACTGAGCTCAATGAGTTTTGACTATATACGAGTTTGGCCTTGGACACGATCCCCGGAACGTAACCCCCACGCAAGTTGCAGGCTTACTGTAAGGATATTTTAGCTAGTCACCCACTTCCTGCAATGTGGAAACAAGGAGCCCACCTATGTTGAGTCAGACTGACCTATTTCTTTGTTAAATCCAGGCTATAAAATATTTAAAATATTTATGGCTAATAGATTTAAAACATTTATTGGTAGCTATATAAAGGGACGCGGGTGGCGCTGTGGGTTAAACCACAGAGCCTAGGGCTTGCCGATTGGAAGGTCGGTGGTTTGAATCCCCGCAACGGGGTGAGCTCCCGTTGTTCGGTCCCAGCTCCTGCCAACCTAGCAGTTCGAAAGCACATCAAAGTGCAAGTAGATAAATAGGTACCGCTCCGGCTGGAAGGTAAACGGCGTTTCCTTGCGCTGCTCTGGTTCTCCAGAAGCTGCTTAGTCATGCTGGCCACATGACCCGGAAGGTGTCTGCAGACAAACGCCGGCTCCCTCGGCCAGTAAAGCGAGATGAGCGCCACAACCCCAGAGTCGTCCACAACTGGACCTAACGGTCAGGGGTCCCTTTACCGTTATATAAAGGCAGCAACTGATTTGTGAGGGGTTGTGTTCCAGACTCCCATACTCGTTGGCAGGGCCTGTGTAAGCTGGCCCCGTTCTGCCCCCTTTTTGACTTTTTGGGTCACTTCCAGGGTTGGTATGATGCATGCTTGCGGGGTTGCACACATATTGGACAAACCTAAAATGATCACTGGCTGTACGCTTCGACCAATCTGGTTTTGTTCCAGGTCCAATAATTACTGATCCAACAAGAAAATGATTAAACATTCTTCATTTTAGTAGAGAAAGGGAATATCATCACCTTTAGCAAGTGTCTCACTTGATATATTTTTAAGCATTTGAATGTGTAGATCCAAATTACCTAATGGAAGTAGTTTAAAAAATTGGATTTGTAAAAAAAAAACTTGTAAAAACTTCTGGAAGGCATATATGATAGAAGACAGGCTGCAATTAGAATAAATAATTCAGATTCTCCAAAATGTGTTCTTAGTTGTGGAACGAAACAGACTGCTCTCTGTTGCCTCTGTTATTTGTCTTAATTTTAGAACCATTAGCAATTAAATTACACAATGGCCTCTCTGGTACGGGAGTGGTTATAAATGGAAGTGGTTATAAATGGAAAAGAACAAAATTTAGGCCTCTATGCACATAATATAATTTTATGCACCTCTGACCCTATTACAGCAGGCAACATATTATGTACGGAATTGGAGCAGTTCTCCAGGGTCTCCGGATTGCAAGTTAATTTTCAGAAATCAGAGGTAATGTCTTTTCATACACCACTCCATATACACTTAAAACAATGTTGAAGAGTCCAATAGCTAGGAAAAGTTTTGGATCGCTGGGGGTACAAATGACCTATAATTTGAATGTTAGTATAATTATAGCACTGTTTGAAAAAACATATGTACAGATACATTGGAATAAAATGAGACTCTCCATTACAGACAGACTGGCCACATCCAAAATTATGATTGCACCTTAATTGCTCTTTTTCTTTCAAACGCTGCAAGGTTGAATACCAATAGCTCATCTGAACAATCAGCAGAATTGGACCAACCACATTTTTAAAAATCTTTATTGCCCAGTTGGGGCATTCCAAACTTAAGTAACTAAGTAGCTATTATGAAGCAATCCAACTTAATCATATGGAATTGAGGTCATCCAGTAAGAGAACCCAGTTGTCAACACTGAAGGATATAGAAATTGGATGGTGTTCAAACAGGGGTATTAGCATTAATGAAAAATACGTTTTGATAGTTGAGTTGGCTTGCTAAGCCTTATACTCTTATGTCATTTAGAATATGGGGAAAATGGGCAAAAGTTTTAGCCCCAGTACTGTCACTGTCACTTTAAGTTCAGTACAGCATCTTCCTTTATCTCAAAATAAAAATAGATAATAAAATGTGATTGTATGGAAAGAAGACCAGTTATATTATTTGAAAGGTTTTTATAGCAAGGGACAACCTCTTACAGCAGCAGAGATTACGTTTAGAAAATAATCAGATTTTATGGTTGTTAGGATATCAGTTTCCTACACATATACAAATTTAAAAGGATTAATTAAAAAGGAAGCTATGAGGAAACTAACAGAATTTGAAAAGATAAGAGGAAGCATAATGACTAAGGGATTAATTTCCCTTCTATACAAAACCTTGATTGAGAACCAGTTTTGAGAACAAAATCTAAAAAACTGGTGAGAACTAAATTGGGATATAAATATTGATAAGGATAAATGCAACTATCTGTGAACAAAAGCACCATATACATCTCTGTCAGCAACTACTAGTAAATGTTCACTAAAAATTGTGCATGGATGGTGTTTCTTATGTAAAGTCCAATAGCTTCTTATGTAAAGTCCAATGGAGAGGATACGAAATTATAGTACATATGAACACATGTGATGGGAATGTCCACAAATAGGGGAAAAAATGGAATTGTCTTTTAAGAGCTATCTCAGATTACAGCGCAGACAATCCCAATAACCCCAGCATTAGCCTTGCTTAATTTATATACTTCAGATATGCACCAATTAAGAAGTAAGCAATTAATTACCGTATTTTTCACCCTATAGGATGCACTTTTTCCCCTCCAAAAAATGAAGGGGAAATGTGTGTGCGTCCTATGGGGCGAATGCAGGCTTTCGCTGAAGCCTGGAGAGCGAGAGGCGTAGGTGCGCACCGACCCCTCTCGCTCTCCAGGCTTCAGGAAGCTCTCCGCAAGCCTTGGGAGCCCGCGGGAGTTCCCGCCGGGCTCCCTAGGCTTGCGGATAGCAGCCTGTTCTGGGGGCTGGGGTCAGGGGAAGCTCGAGCTTCCCCCGCCCCAGCCCCGCGCCTGGGGGGGGAAATATTTTTTTTCCTCTCCCCCCCCCAAAAAAACTAGGTGCGCCCTATGGGCCGGTGCTCCCTATAGGGCGAAAAATACGGTACACATTTATTAACAGCAACCAGAATGGTAATAGCCAGAACTTGGAAAACATTGCCATTACTGAATATAGATCATTGGTATAATATATTCTGGCAACAGACATAATGGAAAAGTTGTCACAAGAACTGAACATGGCAAGGGCACAGAAAAATAAAATAATGTTTACACTCTATGGTATGATTGTATTAACTATACAAATGAAATATTACATGGATGAGAAATACCTAAAACATATACTGTATTATGGCATGGATAAGCAGGCAATATTCTTTAGTTCCAATTTGATTTATTGAATAATCCATTGATTTTTTTTGTAATCACCTCATTATTATGTTTTGTATTCTCCCTCCTAGTGATTCATTTTTTTTGTTAGTTTTGTCATGGTTTATTATTTATGTTTGTACAAAGAAATTACAATACAGTGGTACCTTGGTTTAAGAACAGTCCTGTTTACGAACAATTCGGTTTACGAACTCCGCAGAACCGGAAGTAGTGTCCCGGTTTGCGAACTTTACCTTGGTCTAAGAACGGAATCTGAGCGGTGGAAGGGCACCAGCAGTGGGAGGCCTCATTAGGGAAAGTGCGCCTCGATTTAAGAATGGTTTTGGTTTAAGAACAGACTTCCGGAACAGATTATGTTTGTAAACTGAGGTACCACTGTAATTGTTTCGTGAATGCTTTGTTACTGATTTACGGTAATTAAAATATTAAAATGAGAAAAAATGAAAGAAGCATATCACATTATTTACTAAAGCACAGTTGGTCTATGTTTGCACTACAGACTAAAAGAAGGTCCTCTAACAGATTCCTCACTTCGCTAGCCAGTCAGCAATTGCCGGAAGTCATGAAGGAAGTCATGATACGAAACCAAGCTATCATTTTGGGGGTCTCAAAGGGTTGAACTGGGGTTCTTAAAGGGATGGAATGGGAAATCATGACTTCCGTGGCCCCAGATCTGGAAAGAAGGTGGTTCAGTATTGTGATGGGATGATGAGCTGCTTGTGCGTAAAATCGTATCCCCTCAGAGTTTGTTCAAGTCCACAAACCTCTGTCTGTGACGGAGCCCCTCAGACATGGCTCCTCTAGTCACTAGCAGATTCCGACAGTGGTTGCTTTGGAATCGCTTCCAACATAAAAGCTCCTTAACGGAAACACGTCTTCTGGACTCTCTGCGTGTCAGTTTCCGGCGAGGAGTGGGTGTCCCTACAGGAGGTCCTGAAACCTCCCCACTGTTTTCGCTGGAAGTGTCTCTGAGCCATCCCTCCAGCTCACTTTCCCTCAGCTCAGCTCCTCTCCCCTACTGGTTCCCTCTTCAGCTGCTGAGTCTCTCCCAACCTGTGTGAGCCCTTTCACCTCCCTTCCTTCCGATGGCAGTTCCCTGACATCCACCTCCCCTCCAGGGCCCCCTTCACCCCCTCTCGCACCCTCCTCTACGGGCGGTGAGGAGGCAAAACCCGGAATGAACTTCCTTCATCTTCCGATGTCTCGAACACTTCTCTCCACCTGTTGCGGTTCCTGGTCTCGAAGTACTCCTCCTCCTCAGAGTCCATCTCCCCTTCCCCTTCCGAGTCCGGGAAGCCTTCCAACTCCTCCTCCTCATCAGTGGTCCCAAAGTATTCCCTCCGGAACCTCTCCACAGGCTGAGGTTTCCTTGGGAACCTTTGATGGAACGTTTCTATCAATACCTCGTCATTGATATCTTCGGCCATTACCCAAGTGTTTTCTGACTCCGGTTCTCCTTCCCACGCTACCAAATACTCCACCTGATTCCCCTTCCACCTGGCGTCGAGGATTTCTGCCACATGGCTGCTGCATTCTCTTTCTTCTATGACCGGTCCCCGAGTGGCCATCCCTTCTCGTCCCCCTTCGTACGATGACAGTAACGACCTGTGAAATACTGGGTGCAGTTTCATGTGGTTGGGTAACCGGAGCCTGAAAGCCACTGGGTTGACCTGTTGAATGACCTCAAAGGGACCCAACCTCCTGGGTCTTAATTTCTTACAACCTCCTTTGAACGGCAACCCTTGGGTTGACAGCCACACCCTATCTCCCACCCTTATGGTTTCACCTTCCCTTCGGTTCTTGTCTGCTTGCCTCTTGTATTCTTCCTTCGCCCTTTCTAAGTTGAGTTGGAGCTGACAATGGATTGCTTCCATTTCTTCTACAAAATGCTCGGCTGCCGGGACGCTCCATCTCTCCCCATCTCCACCTGGGAAAGCCCTGGGATGACACCCATAATTAGCCAAGAAGGGGCTCATCCCTGTGGACACATTCTCGGCATTGTTGTAGGCAAATTCCGCCAGCGCCAACTTTTCTACCCAGTCATTCTCTCTGTCATTGACATAACACCTCAGGTATTGCTGGAGGACACCGTTTGCTCTTTCCGCCTGCCCGTTGGTTTCAGGGTGCCGGGCAGTCGAAAAATTGACCTCCACCTGCAGTAAGCTCATGAGCTTCCTCCAGAACCTGGAAGTAAATTGTTTTCCTCGGTCTGAGACCACCCTCAATGGCACCCCGTGCAACCTAAAAATGTGTTCTACAAATAACTTCGCTGTCTCTTCCGCTGTGACTGCATGCGAGCAAGCTACAAAATGGCACATCTTTGTTAGTAGGTCCACCACCACCATGATGGCTGTTTTCCCTTTGGACTTCGGCAGATCAGTCATAAAATCTATCGACACTGCCTCCCAAGGTCGTTCTGGGGTTGGTAAGGGTTCTAATAGCCCCGCCGGCGCCCGCCTTTCCCCTTTGGCTCGCTGGCATTGCTCGCACCCTCTTACATACTCACGTACATCTTCCCTCACCTTGGGCCACCAAAATTCCCTGGTGACCAACCACATGGTTTTGTGTTGTCCAAAATGCCCCGCCGTAGGGCTGTCGTGCAACTGCTTGAGTACCCTCCCCTTAAGTCTCCTTCAGGGATATACAGTGCCCCTTTGTAATACAAAGCTCCATTTCTTTCCTCGAAACCCCTGGTTCCTCTCCCTCACCCCTAAGACCTCTGAGCTTATTCTGGGCGTATTCATCATTCTCTGTTTCCTCTACCAGTTCTCTTTGTCCCACCAATGCCGCCCCACACACCCAGCGGTCCTCTGGAATGACATGTCTCTCTTCGGTGCTCCCTCCCCTCCAAATATTCAGGTTTGCGTGAGAGAGCGTCCGCCCTAATGTTCTCTGGGCCTGGCACGTAACAAATCTCAAAGTTAAATTTGGAGAACTCCTGGGCCCATCTCACTTGCCGTTGGTTGAGCACTCGTGCCGTCCTCCAATACTCTAGGTTCTTGTGGTCAGTGCACACTTGCACCTTATGTTGTGCGCCAATTAGCAGGTGCCTCCATCTCCGGAACGCCTCATGAATGGCTAGTAGTTCTCGGTCATACACCGTGTAGTTCCTCTCGGATTTGTTCAGCTTTCGCGAAAAAAGGCACACGGTCTCCACTCTGACTCCTCCTTCCCTGGCTGCAGAAGCACCGCCCCAATCGCTCTGTCTGATGCGTCAGTTTCCACTCTCATCGGTTTTTGTAAATCCACATGCAGGAGTTGTTGTTCCGAGGCGAAGGCCCCTTTAGTTCCTCAAATGCTCGCTCCGCCTCCTCAGTCCAAACGAACTTCTTCTTACTGCTGAGACAGTCCGTAATGGGCGCCGTCAGGTGGGCAAAGTTTCGGATGAACTTACGATAGAAGTTCCCAAATCCTAGGAACCTCTGCACATCCTTCCTTGTTTTGGGTGTTTTCCATTCCAGCACCGCCTGGACCTTGCCGGGATCCATGGCCAATCCCTTGTCTGACAGGCGATACCCCAGGAATTCCACCTCCTTGGTATGAAACTGACACTTCTCCAGTTTCACCCACAGCTGGTTGGCTTGCAGCCTGCTCAACACTTCTCTGACGTCTCTCACATGCTGCTCCTCATTCTCAGAATACACCAACACGTCGTCTAAGAAGGCCACACAATTCTTGTAAAGCAAAGGCCCCAGGACGTGGTTCATAAACGATTGAAAGCATGCGGAGCCCGCTTGGAGGCCGAAGGGCATAACCAAATATTCAAATGCCCCTAAAGGGGTGAACATGGTGGTTTTCCATTCATCACCCTTCCTTATTCGTATCAGGTTGTACGCCCCCCTTAGGTCCAGCTTTGTGAAAATCTTTCCCTTCCGCACCCTTGTCAAAATGTCGTCAATCCTGGGCATAGGGAAGGCCACTGGTTCTGACACTGCATTTAAGGCCCTGAAGTCACACACCAGCCTCGGCTTGTTCGTGTTTTTATCCACAAAAACACTGGGCTGCCCCCACCGCCCTGGACTCTCTGATGAACCCTCTCTTCAGGTTCTTGTCAATGAACTCTCTTAGCTCCTGCATCTCTCTGTCTGACATGGCGTACAGCTTGCCTACAGGGAGCTGTGCCCCAGGGAGTAAATTGATTTGACAGTCAAAGGGTCGCTGCGGGGGTAGTTGGTCAGCTTCCCTTTCGCTGAAGACGTCACGGAGATCTGCATATTGTCGTGGTACCTTCCCGTTCTCCGTTACTTCAGTCCCTGCTAGGGTGGCTTGGGCCCCTGCCAAACCCTTTCCCTCTTTGCAGTGTTCTAAGCAATGTGCTGAACCAAAAGAAACCACTCTCTGATGCCAGCCCACCAGCGGATCATGTAACGCTAGCCAGCTCATCCCCAATATAATGGGAGCTCCTCCCAAGGTGGCCACATTAAACGCTATCAGTTCGGTGTGCCTGGCTACCTTCATTATCATTGGGACGGTCTGCAAGCTGACTTCTCCTCCCAACAGCTCCCTGCCATCGATCGTGGTCACCTGCAGGGGGTTGCTTAAAGGGATCGTCTGTATCTGGTGTTCAGCTGCAAACTCTTTGCTCATGAAATTGCAGGAGCTGCCTGAGTCCAACAGCGCCTTTATCTTTAGAGGGTGTCCGTTTGGCAGCTCTAGCGTCACTTCTATCACTAGGGCGGGTTTAGGAGGTTCTGGCGTGGGCACTCTCACTGCTCTTTGGCCTGGCTGCTGTGCCCCGACAGTGGCAGCCAGGCGTTGGCTTTACTTGCTCCGGTATTTCTTCCTCTCTTCCCTCCACAGCTCCTACCATCCCTTGCCATTCCTTCCTCTGGGGGCAGACTCTGGCAAAGTGACCTGGCTGTTGGCAGAGATAGCATTTCCGGGCGCCTTTTCCCTCCTTCTTTCCCCCTCACTGGGCTTTGAAACTGCGCGCGCGCGCTGTTCCGATTTCCATCGGCTCTGCCGGCGGGAAAGTTGGCTCTGGAATGTCTGGAATGCGGAACTCCTTCCAACGTTCCCCTTTCCCTTCCCGCCTCTCCAATGCTCTCGCCTCCTGGCGCGCTCCTATGGTCAGCGCTGATTTGGTCAGCTGGTCCATAGACTCCGCCCTGGGCGCCCGGGAAAGTTCGTCTTTCACAGCCGAAGAAAGCCCTTCTTCAAAGAGCATTTGAATGGGTTCCGCCGATAAGTCCCACCCCAATCTGTGAACCAGCATGGTGAACTCAGTCCAGTACTCACGGACAGATCGGCTCCCCTGTTTGCAAGCCATTAACTGTCTGCGCACCACTCCCTGTTCAATATCGCTGGAAAACATCAGATCCATGGCGCGAAAGAACTTCATCGTGTCCTTTAGGACGTCACTATTCGCTGCCATCAGGGGTCTAACCCAGTCTCTCGCCCCCTTTTCAAGATGCTCAATCACGAAAGCCACTCGTGATTCCTCGTCAGGGAATTCATCAAACTGCAGATTGAGGGCATATTGCATCTCTGTCCGAAAGCCATGATAGTCTTTGGGCTCCCCCCCAAACTTCTGCACCAATCCTGGTACCTTTCTGGCGAGCTGGGTGGCTTTCCCTTTTGTCTGCATCCTGAGCCCTCCTCTCCTCAAGCCTCGCCGTCTGCATCGCTAGCTGGACCTCCAACACCCGGTACCTTTCTTCCAGGCTTGGACCCGCTCCAGCTCCTGCTTCTCCGGTTCCGGCTGGGTTGCTCATGATGCCTTCTTCTGCACAAGCTGCTTTCAATGACTGTCGGAATGCTGTGATGGGATGATGAGCTGCTTGTGCGTAAAATCGTATCCCCTCAGAGTTTGTTCAAGTCCACAAACCTCTGTCTGTGACGGAGCCCCTCAGACATGGCTCCTCTAGTCACTAGCAGATTCCGACAGTGGTTGCTTTCGGAATCGCTTCCAACATAAAAGCTCCTTAACGGAAACACGTCTTCTGGACTCTCTGCGTGTCAGTTTCCGGCGAGGAGTGGGTGTCCCTACAGGAGGTCCTGAAACCTCCCCACTGTTTTCGCTGGAAGTGTCTCTGAGCCATCCCTCCAGCTCACTTTCCCTCAGCTCAGCTCCTCTCCCCCTACTGGTTCCCTCTTCAGCTGCTGAGTCTCTCCCAACCTGTGTGAGCCCTTTCACCTCCCTTCCTTCCGATGGCAGTTCCCTGACAAGTATTTTGTCCTAACTGGGAGAAAATAAAATGGAGACTATGCCTCAATGAGCATATATACACTAAAAACCTAAATTTGTATTTCCCGCTTCTTCTAGATACATATTTTCATATTCTGTTTTTTCTCTCTCCATACAGTTTCTGGCATGATTCAAATAAAATGCCTCTCATTGGTTCTGCAATACTTAATGCAAAACACTTTCTCTTTATCTCCTGCATCCTTTAGATTGAATGCTCCAGTATATCTGACTACTCGGAAAAAATTGTCAAGGCAAATCACTTGGACCACAGTAAGACATATTTAAGGAAATTAGTTGTGCCTAGTGTTTCTGATGTATTTACATACCCATGTTTGCATTTTGGTTTATGGATTTATTGTGATTAATTTTTTTAACACACACACATACCTTTCTAAGGTAAAGGTAAAGGGACCCCTGACCATTAGGTCCAGTCGTGGCCGACTCTGGGGTTGTGGCGCTCATCTCGCTCTATAGGCCGAGGAAGCGCCGCAGCGTACAGCTTCCGGGTCATGTGGCCAGCATGACTAAGCCGCTTCTGGCAAACCAGAGCAGCGCACGGAAATGCCGTTTACCTTCCCGCCGGAGCGGTACCTATTTATTTACTTACACTTTGATGTGCTTTGAACTGCTAGGTGGGCAGGAGCAGGGACTGAGCAACGGGAGCTCACCCCGTCGCGGGGATTCGAACCGCCAACCTTCTGATCGGCAAGGCTCTGTGGTTTAACCCACAGCACCACCCGCGTCCCTTTTTTTCTAGATTACAGTCCTTCTATAAATATTCACTAAAAAGAACCAGAGTATTCACATACATGAAAACATCTAAGAAAAAGGTAGAGTCCTGTTGGATCAGACCAGTAATTCATCTAGTCCCATGGTTGGGAATCTCTGGCTTATTAGGCCCAGCAGACTCCAAACCATGCCCACCTGTCATCAGGTGTGAGCATCATGCACAGGAGGACAAGTAAAAACATACCACTAAATTCAAAAGGAAGAATTGGGAATGTGCCCTAAGTGTGTGCCTAGTTCTTCCTTTGCAGCCGTGGGCTTACAGTCATCCTCTAACAGCACCAGGTGTTTCATAGGTGGGTGATGTTGGTGAAATTTGGAAACATGGGTGAAATTGCACTAACAGCTTGGTCTAAGTCTGGAACTTACCATTGCTCTCCCAGGCCTTTGGCTAATTTAACAATATATAGCCTTTTTTAATAGGGGAGGGGCATTGTTTCTGTTTGCTACTATGTTAGGGTTTTTTGTTTGTTTTTTTGTAAATCATTTCTTATGTATTTTATTACATTTTATATATTTATATGTTGTTCTAAGATCTGGGTATGATTTTCATGAATACCAGATCATAAATTACCAAAATAAACTGATAAAACTTTGTTCGATAAGAAGTAAACCTCAGGCACTTTCCAGATCTTAAGGGTATTTGTTGGCCACAAGACTCAGCTCATATCTGTATCTGTCACTTTGGAAAGCAGCACAAGCTGCTCTGAGTTCCTCTCCTGAGTTCACGTTGTGTTTTGTGTCTAAAGCTGTTTTGCTGGAAAGTAAGTTGCACCATTCACCATTATGGAGAAGGAAAAAATTGCTCCGATGTTTTCTGTCCTGACAGAATTTGCAGTTGCAGAAGGCCCTGTAGAGTAGCTGCGAGGTTACAGGCAGAGTTTGGGGGCTGGATGCCTGGATTTGTTTAGAAAAAGGAAACCTTTTTTCATTTTATATGAAATCTGTTCTTTTTTGCTCCTTACAGTAATCACAATATTTAAGGGTAAAGTAGAAGAAGTTGAATTGCCTGTGGACAAAGTAGACATCATCGTCAGTGAATGGATGGGTTACTCACTTTTCTATGAGTCCATGCTTAACACTGTCATCTTCGCTCGAGACAAGTGGCTGGTAGGTGCTTTGTATATCACACCTGTTGCTGGAATGAATGGCCATTAGTTTGCCAGTCATTGTCCTCCCCCCATCAATACCCCATTAGCTTGTTGGAATGGGAGTCATTCTGAGACTCTCTAAAAGATCTGCAAAGAGGGTGAAATAAACAGAGAAATAGATCTGTTTGATTTTTAGAATCAAAGCTTCATTTTGGAGTGACATCCTGCAGTTCTCTAGCAGTGATTCATATAACAACCTTGAGACTTAGTAACATGAAGGATTTCAAAGAAAGCAAAGGTGGGTGTTTTGGTAGGAGCAGTTCAAAAATATGATGTCTTTATCAAGTGACTAGATTATAAGATCTATTTCCCCATAATTAATCAACAGAAACCTGGGGGGCTTATGTTTCCAGACCGGGCTGCATTGTATGTGGTAGCAATTGAAGACAGGCAGTACAAAGACTTCAAAATCCACTGTAAGTATGTAGATATTACAATTCTTCTATGCATTTCATACAAGCTGTTTGTTAGCTGATATTGCTGTGTAGAGGATTATTGTATTCCTCCATCAAGTTCAGCCTGTATGCAAGTCCAAGGAGGTCAAGGCCTAACACGCACAACTGGACAAGGGCCACGCATCCCTATGGTAGGCCAAACAACTTCAAGAGACTTGCATCACGCTCTGTCTGAATGTGAGCAACTTTGCCCTCAAAGTGCCTTGTAACCTTGCCACAGCAGGTTCCTGAGGTCTCCAGACTCAAAACTCTGCTTTTGACTTCCATTTTCAAAAAGCTTTGCTATTACATTTCTCCTCATGTTTAACCAAAATCTGCTTCTTAGAAACTTCCAACCTTTAGTCCTGCTGTCTGGAGCAAAAGAACATCTGCTTCATCTACTGTGTGACAGCCCTTTAGATATTTGAAAACAGCAGTTATCCCTTAATCTTCTCTTCCCTAGGCTAAACTTGCACGAATTTCAAATGTTTCCCTTTTATTTGTACTGACCTTTGACCCTCTCCATTTGTTTTGACAGGGTGGGAGAATGTATATGGCTTTGATATGACCTGTATCAGGGATGTTGCCATGAAGGAACCCTTAGTGGACATTGTAGACCCAAAGCAGGTGGTGACCAATGCCTGTTTAATAAAGGTTTGGCGTTTCTAAAAGTATAAATTTAAAACAGTGTTACTTTAAAAAGATTTCTGTGATACTCTTCAGGGATCCAGCACTTTGGTCTTTGTCCTTTCGCTCTGACTTTTCATGCTGCTAATCAGCTTCAAATGTTGATCCTTCTATATAAAAGCCACACGACGGTGTTCCATTGTACTATGGCACAGGCCATAAAGCTGGTGGCTCTGCTTCAGTCCCCTCTGGTCAAAAGTTGCAGCTGGTAAATGCCACTAACTCATGGAAAGGATAATTACTATGCATGGTCTAGTCCAGGAAAAATGGGTTAAGGGGAAGTTGTAAATGTGCATCCTGGATGCCAGGTCCACCGCCCTTGGTGGTGGAGAGGGGCAGTGGCTGCCTCACGACAGCTTGCCATTTCTGAATGTCTATAGCCAGCTTCCCCTTCATTCTGGTGAGCCTTTGGCTTACTGGGGAGCTTAATATTAATGTATATAAAGTCTTAAGAGATGTTGCTATATTAGAGATGCTCATAATTGAATCCTTTGTACGTGTGAAGAATTTTTATGTATTCGAATTACTGTAGCTGTATGTTAATTGAAAACCAGTTTGTAGTGATGATATATTTTAGTCTGTTACCAACAGTAATTTATTTTAGCATGTTTTTTCTTTTCTTTTGTAGAGATTTGTAATTAATAGCATTGCAAAAGCACCAGTGAGAAATTTGTGGGTTTTACAGTTATGGCGAAACATCCACGTGCTGTTTCTGTCATCCCACCCACTTGGGAACGGCAGGGGTCAGGATGTGGTGTAGCTCAACACCCAAAAACACCACACTGTGATGTACACACAGATGTTGTCCATGTACCTAGCTCCCAAGAGGGAACTCTGGTGTTGGAGAACTGTGGAGAAAGAGCAGTTTATTACACAAGGGCACAAAAGGGGGACTTTGCAAGCAATTTGCCTCTTGATCACTCCTAAGAACTTGCTCACATTGCTAAAACTCAAAAGTCTTTTTATTTAACATGCACTCTGCCTCAATACTCAGGCACAAAGAGCCAATAGCAACTTTCACTTCACTACACCAAGTCTTGAAGGAGCATCTCCACCCCCATCGTTCTACCACTGAGGTCCAGCTCTGAGGGCCTTCTGGCTGTCCCCTCACTGTGAGAATCCAAGTTACAGGGAACCAGGCAGAGGGCCTTCTCGGCAGTGGCACCGCCCTGTGGAACGCCCTCCCACCAGATGTCAAAGAGAACAACAACTACCAGACTTTTAGAAGACATCTGAAGGCAGCCCTGTTTAGGGAAGCTTTTAATGTTTGATGCATTACTGTATTTTAATATTGTGTTTAATATTGGAAGCCGCCCAGAGTGGCTAGGGAAACCCAGCCAGATGGGTGGGGTATAAATTATTATTATTATTATTATTATTATTATTATTATTATTATTGAATGCCAGGGCGCAGCAACCTACACTAGTAAGCATGGGAAGAGAGGAACACTTGCTGTAATGGATCATTGCTACAACTGTCCTCCCACCCGAATGCCATATGGGAATACTGTGTCTTTGCTCAATATTCTTCCTCCACAACAGTGGGATGAAACTCATCCCATTAGCTGCAACAAAGAACCTACCCCACTCTGTTTCTTGACTTGCCATTTGTGTGGTTTCTGTGACAAAATTGTCACACTCGCTTTCTGTAATTTTTTTGGGATTCTTCTCAGAAGTGTGTGTGAATACACACGAGTGCTGGACACACACACCTGTGGGGGGTTCAGACACATGCTTTGCAACAGTCCTGGTGGAGGAATATAGGCAGCAAAGGTGGCTTGAGGCATGTGTTGTTAACCTGGAATGTGTTGTTTGTAACATGTGGACAGCCTTGCCACTTGAAGAGTGCGTAATGAGTTTTGTGTGTGTTCCCCTCCTCCTTTCTTTACCTCAGTATGATTAGATAAGTATGCAATATTAATAGGCTAGCCCAAAATTTCTTTTGAAAATTAGAAGGTGTTCATTGTGGGTGTTACTTTCCTCTGTCTGCTCTGCTTCTTTGCAGCGAGTTCAAAGGGGTTTTGCAAACCATTGCCTGTTGTACCACTCCCTGCTGGAGGATTCCCAGGAAGGGGAAGTTATAGACCAGGCTCCTCCAACCTCGGCCCTCCAGATGTTTTGAGACTATAATTCCTATCGTCCCTGGTCCTGCTAGCTAGGGATCATGGGAGTTGTAGGCCAAAAACATCTGGAGGGCCGAGGTTGAGGAAGCCTGTTATAGACCTTTTGTAAGCAGTGGACCTAATCGAGGGACCGTTGCAGCAACCCAGGGTGGCAGAGGAAGTTTTGGCAACATTAGTTTGGACAGAGAAGGTGCCACTTCCCAGGCAGGTTCCAGTCGAGGACTCACATCAGGGCAGATGCAAGAGGTTGTGTTTGCATGAGGGGTTTGGGCAAGGAATGCAAGGGCAACTTCACCAGAGATATAACAGGCCGGATACAGGTGATCATTCTAGTTAGACAAGCAGACTTGCTTACCTAGGTAATATAAACTGCCTAGCCCTGGTATTTTATATTGATGTTTTCTATGGCTTCTCTCTTCTCCTTCTGCAACCCCCAACAATACAGGAAGTGGATATTTATACAGTGAAGACTGAGGACCTGGTGTTTACCTCTGCCTTTTGCCTCCAAATTCAGCGCAATGACTACATTCACGCCTTGGTTACTTACTTTAATATAGAATTTACAAAGTGCCACAAGAAAATAGGGTTTTCTACAGGTAAGTTCTTTCTTTGGCTTCATGTGGGTTCTGTCTCCAATTACAGACATCAGGGTCAGAAACGTGATAACACTGAGTGGGGTTTTAAGGGATAAATTCTTGAGTTTAGAAAATGATCACATTAGTAACATATTTTAAAACACAATAAAAGGAAAGGATTATTGTGGTGTGCTTCTTAATTATTTTTGTAGGGAAGATCAGGGCAATTAACAAATATTTTAATAACATTAAGTGACATTAATGGCATAGGAGTTAAATAACATTAGCTAAAAGACAAACTATTATGTAAAGAAATTTACAAATGTTACATTGTTCACCATGGAATCACCCGACAATAATGCCAGTGTGAAGATACTTTGTTAAATCATCTCCATTTCATTGGTGTAAATATAAACAATATTAGATTGGTGGGGAATTTCTTGCATATAATCTGTCTCCTTTTCTAGCACCAGATGCCCCTTACACCCACTGGAAGCAAACTGTCTTCTACCTGGAGGACTACCTAACTGTAAGAAGGGGTGAAGAACTCTACGGAAGTATATCCATAAAGCCAAATGAAAAAAATGTGGTAAGTTGGGTTCACGTAACTGAATTTAGATGATCAGCTTAGGAACCTATGGGTGTCTGGGACAGGTATTTCTGAAACATTTGTTCATGGACATTTGTTGAAAAGTACCTGAAACTGCCTCAGGACGCAATCATTTTTGATTGTCTGATTTGACTTTTGACACTTTAGTAGATCATATTTTAAAAATGGATCTGATTTTTTTCAACATCCAATCAGGTTTCAAGATTTGTCAGTTGTTCTGGTTAACCAAAAACCACCATGTTACAAAGCTATTATTTCACAGTGCAATCCTTCTCCAAAAGCAGGCCCCATTAAGTTCAGTGGAGAACGTAGAAGTATTGGAATAATTGCTCTACCTCAACTCTGATCACATGGCCACCTCTTCCTCCTGCAATGGCTGCCGGCAGCTGCAACCTCTCCCTTCAGATCCATTCCAACAGAAAAAGAGGGGGGAAGAAAAGAATTGGCAGATGTAAACACAGATACATGCGAGGTCAGAATGGCAGAATGCAGAATTATGGAGCTGCCTTTCCCTGCCTTGCCACTCCTGCCACCACCATACTTGTTGCTGCTTCTCTGCCCGCCCTGCCGCTTCCGCACTTTTGGGGGGTGAGATCTTGCACACAATCTTGCGTGGCTTCAGCCCAAATCATCACTGCTACCAGTGGTGCATCTGTGCCTGCAGAGCTCTTGCCTTGGGGCTTCTGCTGCCTAAGGCAGCTGCCTCAGTATGCCTAATGGCCGAGCTGGCCCTAATTATGTAGAAATGCTCTTTGTGCTCCTTACTTCCAGAAGCAAAATACCTTCTGAGTTACCAGGGTAGAGGCTTCTCCATGATGCCCCCCACCCCAATCTGCCACATGCTCTCCCGTAAAAGACACAACACCAACATCCTTAACATTTTGGCACCAGCTTAAGACTTATTTATTTGCCCATACATTTTATGTTTTTTAATTAAACATTTTATTGTTCAAACCCATAGGCCACCACGATTCAAGATAAAATACATGTGAAAATACAGTTCAGTTTAGCATATTCCATCAATCAAGACACGAAGTAAAGGGACACTGACCATATAAATTTGTGCCTAGATCAGGCATGTCCAAAGTCCATTTCAGGGGCCTAATCCAGCCCACCAGTCAACAACTTTGGGGTAAAATCATAGAAAAGCTCAACAACTATCAAATCTGGCCCTCTTTGAAAAAAGTTTGGACACCACTGGCCTAGATACTACAAGCATCCCATTCACTCCACTAAGTTTTTTTTATGTCTGGCTCTTAATTTTCTAGCAGACAGAACACATTTTGCAATCTGGATGGTAATAGAAATGTCACTCTTTTCTAGCAATGTACTTATATGTTCCAGCGGCGTATCTGTTTGACAGGAGGCAGAGGACATGGGTGCAAAATTTATACCTTGGGGACTCAAACAAGGAGCAGTGAGATATCCTCAACTTCACTGGACTCACAAATACAACTTCCTACAGAGTACATACACCAAAGCCATAAAACTGATTTTCTCAAAGGAGCTGTAGTAAAGTATTGCTCCAAACCAAATGCCATTTTATATAAAGGGCAGCAAATAGGATAACGATTATTACATTTATCTGATTGAATAAATGTCTTATCATTTAGAATAAACATTTATTCCTTCTTTGAAAAACTGTTTAACTTTGGTAGAAGAGAAAGTGGATTAACTTCCATATTAATCCCATAAGCATACAGGGTGGTTCAAACAGAGTTTACCCAAGAGTTTGGGGCTGAAGTCTGGAGTTGTTCTTGAAAGTGTTGGGGGGCAGGGGGAGCAGGCGAGAACCATTCACACATACCAACTTCAGCCAGTGCAAAGCAAGTATAACACGAGCAAAAGTTTCTATAGAAAGCAATCCTGTTTCTGCCTTTAAAAGAGGTGCAGAGGTGCCTTGAGGAACAGCTAATTTCATAATTCCATGAAAGAATTCTGCACCACCTCCAAAACAGAAACATTCGTCTACCCCAATACTTCTGTACCTTACATTAGTTGTGAGATAATATTTGTTTGATGGTGTATCTTAGTATGTACTGTTCATTGTGTGATTTGGTCAGCTGCTTTTATATTAAGTTACGTTCCCACGCTATGTTATTTATAGATCATGGGGGCGTAAATATTTTCATAACTCTGCATAAATTGTTCCTGCTAAGTACTTGAAGGATGGAAGTGGGGGAGCACAAGCTGAGTCACATGCTGAAGACCCCCAGATATGTTTCCCTGTATTCAGAAAAGGGCTAGGATTTTGTTTTTTGTCTTTGTTTTTTGGCTAAGTCACCTACTGAATTTAAGAAAGGAGGAAGCTTTGAAGCAGAACCTTCCAAATGCTAAGATATAGTCCTATGCCACACAAAAATTATTCTTAATCTGCATTACAGCGTGACTTGGATTTCACAGTAGATTTGGATTTCAAAGGGCAGCTCTGTGAAATTTCTGTATCTAATTCCTATAAAATGCGCTAATAAGCAACTGTCTTCACAAGAGAAGAAGAGAGCAGCAATTCCTGGTCTGGTCTGCACATCTCAAGCTGGGAACAATCGCTTCCAGATTTTCAAACTACCTGAACTGAATAGCTGAAAAGTCCTTACAGCACAAAGCACCGGCTGTGGATCGCTAACATGAATGTATGAATATAGTTTCTGTCTAGACTACAGTAAACAACCCTCTTTGTCAAAACAAACAGAACCCACAGCCCACTAGTCGTATAACTTACTATGAGTAAGATTCTTCCAAGCTTTGCATGCTATATGTATTTTTTCTTACTGAAAAGATATTTTATGACATTGTTGTGCATAGATGACAGAGTTATATTAATAAAGTATAGAACATTAGTCTCTGAATTGGATTTGTTTCCGTTCCAGCTAGCTGAGAAAACTTTGAAATTGCAATCCTGAACACACATTCTGCTGGAACCAGCAGGATAGACATGGGCAAAATCTTTTAATGAAGCGAGCAATCTTTCTTACCTGTTTACTGTACTTTCTGAAAAATGCTTGAACTTGTTAGTACAAGCTAGGAGTTGATTTAAAACAAATAAGCACCATTATTTTATGAATACAGTGTTTGTTCTATTTCTCTGTCTGTAAAAGTGGGTTTTGGTTCCTGGTTCAACTGCAGCAGTGGCAACGCGGGACGTTGGAAATGTCGTTTCCATTGTGATGAGTTGTATGGAACCGTCCCAAAACATGCAGACTGAAGCTTTATGAAATGGTGTGTTCCTTTCTTGCTGTAAACAAGAAAAAACAAAACATAAGAATAAACAAAAATAAATAAACAAAAGCTTTTTATTTATTCATCAACTCCTTCTTTATTTTTCCCTTGCCTGATTGATATAGAATGCAGAATTCTGCATTCCTTGGTGCAGGTTGGAAAATCTTCCTTTAACCACAAATAGCAGTCTGCTTACCCACAAGCAGATCCACTGCTGAAACGCCCCATGCTTTCAATTTAGATAGCTTTCTGTGGTTGGCAAAAGCTTTCAGCAGTGTAGTGCAGGGGCGGGGGGAGAGAGACGTATTGTAACTCACCTTTTAGCTGCCTCGTGCCGGAGGTGGGCAGTGCCAGTGCAAAAGAGAGCCAGTCTTCTTCAGTCTTCATGCACACACCCACACTTGCATTCATACACAACCACACAAGCGCATAGGAAGCTACCAGTTGCATATTGTCAGACCCTTGCTTTATCAGCGTTGCCTTCATGGAGTCTTTCCTAGCCCTACCTGGATCTTTGGGTTTCAACCTGGGACATTTGCAAATGTGTGTTGTACCACTGAGCTCTGGCCAGCCATAAAACATTCAGTTCCAAGACATAAAATATACTTGTGCACAGATGCACACACAGTTTGCAAGGAAGGGCGATGCTTCTGGAGTCTGGCTTTTTTCATGACGTGTGCAGGAGGCAAGGCTGTGGTGCAGAGTAAAGGGAGTGTGAGGATGGTTGCGGGGGCTGATGTTCATGACCTGCCTTGTAATTTAGAAGTGGGAATACTTCAGCCACACAGGTTCTCTGTGATGACGGTGATGGTTCTAGGCCCATTTCCTCTCCCTCAACCCTCATCTCCTCCAACTTGGCATCTCTCATGGTTGCTGTTGTAAAGGAAACTTGGAGTGTAGAGGTGGAGGAACACCGCTCTGTTCATGGAGACCAGAGCTGGCCTGAGGAGTTAGGACCTTTCTAGTCTCGTCCTGGCTCCTGTTATGCCATGTCCTTTCTGGGTGCCCCCCTTAGTTGAAATTTAGAGGGTCAGTCCTCGGGGGCAGAGGCCCTTGGGGGCAGAGGCCCTGTTACAATGATGGTGGTAATAACGGGGTCTAGATGGACCCAGCGGTCCAACAATGCAAGGCGAGTGCTTCCCCCCACCCCATAGGGTGTGTTGGGGGGCATAGAAGCCTCTGTGGCTCAGGCTGGGGGCAAAGAAGGTTGAGCCTCAGCCTCCTCTGATGCCTGACTGCCTTCCAGGCTGAAAGGGATGAGGTGGAGGCCCGTGACCCAGCTTTTGTGGACCAGAGCCCTGGCAATGATGAGGCCTCCACCACTGAGGGAGCAGCTTCATAGCACGGTAAGGCCGTGGGGAATATGCCTGCTAGTAGATGTAGAATGTAGAAGGGCGCGGGTGGCGCTGTGGGTTAAACCACAGAGCCTAGGACTTGCCGATCAGAAGGTCAGCGGTTCAAACCCCCGGCAACAGGGTGAGCTCCCGTTGCTCGGTCCCTGCTCCTGCCAACCTAGCAGTTCGAAAGCACGTCAAAGTGCAAGTAGATAAATAGGTACCGCTCCGGCGGGAAGGTAAACAGCGTTTCCGTGCGCTGCTCTGGTTCACCAGAAGCGGCTTAGTCATGCTAGCCACATGACCCGGAAGCTGTATGCCGGCTCCCTCAGCCAATAAAGCGACCCCAGAGTCGGCCATGACTGGACCTAATGGTCAGGGGGTCACTTTACCTTTACCTTTAGATGTAGAATGTACGTCTGAAGTAGGGCTGGGTGCACCAGTCCACACCAGCCCCTTGTGGTGCTGGCGGATGTTTGGCCCCCTGGGAGAACAGGACCTGGGCCCCTTTCCCTCATCAGTCTCCCCTCCATGCATGTTGGGCTGGCAACACTTCAAAGTGAGCTTGCAAGGTGGAAGAATCGGGCCTCTTTACCTGCCCCCCCCTTACCATTCTGGGTGCTGTGTCCACCTCAGGAGCACCCAGTGCCTGTGACCATCCTCTGCCACTTCCCGTTTTCCTCAGTACTGCAGTGAATGAGTGTTTTGGTGAATACATAGGGCAGGGGGTCTTCACAGATGTATATTAAGGGGTCTCTGAAGATGGTGGCTAGCCTCCGCAATGAGGAACCAGGTCAATCTTAAGTGTCCTTTAACCTTTTGGTATTGACTAAAGTGGTTCTTCCTTCCCACCCATCTCCCCACACTGTGGCTCCCAACCTGCTCTCTGCTTACCCCCTGAATGAGAAGTTTGTTTATGAACTAGAAGCAAAAAGAGGCAAAGCGTTTCATTTCATCTTCTTTTATTTCACAAGCCTTCAATTCAAAAAAAATGAACCACAACTAGTAGATCTGATACATTATAATAAGTAAAAATGAACGTGATTTATAAAGGAGAAAAAACTTTGTACAAAAACATTAAAAATCCAACAGCAAATTGAATTCTTTAGAAGTACCAAATATTTCATGCAAAAGGTGAGCGCTACTGGCCAGTTGTAGAAATCCCCTGAACAAAATGGCAACAGCGTCACAATGTGGAAATTATGGCTCTTTCTAAAAGCAAAGACACAGACTTGGAATGTACTAAGTGGGTCAGAGCCACTAGGCCCTCCTCTACTGAGGTTTCTTGGGATTTAATAAATTAAAAAATAACATTAAAAGAAAGACTCCTGTCCTATTCTGCATATTTTAAAAATGACCAGTCTTTCTTCTTACCTTGGCATCGTGGTAATTATTGGCAAAGTGTTCTTTCTAAAGTGGACTCACTCACAAACTGCAGCTTGCATCAATAACTTAGTAACATGCATCAACTACTCTAGCACGGCTAACGGGTGGGGGGTGCAAACGAACTATCAGGTCATTACGAGACAAAGCTAAAAGCATCCATCACTAATGGAGAAATGGAAGCACCATGCTTTAAAAGGTGGCAAAGGTATGAAAGCACAATTGTGAGGCAATTTATTCCAAGCAAACACGCTACACAATGATGACTTCTTTCTATTCACTTTTCTTGGGGAGGAGGAGAGATTCCCTGTCACACACACACACACACGCACACACAAGTACCGAATAAAAGTGTGGGATCAACAACACAGACATAGAAAGGAAATAATAATTGTTCCTATGAGCCTTTATTCTTGGTTTCTGTTTCCATCTGAGTTCATCCAAGACTAGTAATATTGGAGCGACCACCAGGAGGCGCAACAATGCGATGCCCAGTGCGACGTGGGTTGTTATCATCTACCTGAGCACCTGTGCAACAGCAATCCAGAAACAAGGTGAGAGTTAATAGCTTCTCCAGCCTTTCATTTACTCAGAAATCAATGGCACAAGTAATTGCAAATGCTTAATATGAGCTAAACTTCTTGCCCTTTTATACTGAAAATGAGGCCTGACCCACACAAATACTGATTTTACAAAGTACACCCATGCAACATAATGTTTAGGATATGGCACTCTGAAGCGACAGTGCTCAAACTTTCATTGGACACTGAATCCTAAGTCTCTGCTGTAACTTTTCATCAAGCTTAATGGGTATTTGCCGACTGCGCTAGTAGAAACACAGGTCCATCTACAGAAAACCAATGTGGATTCCTCTGTGCAGTTGTCTTTGAGCTACACCTGCACACAAGACTTCTGGGAGTGGGCATCCTTTATCCAGACCTGAGAATGCAGGTGTAGCACTGAAAATGCAGAGAGACATGTACCGCACATCACAAGGCTGCAGTTCCCTCTGGGCTTCCCCTTACACTGAAAAACTCCTTCTGCCAGTAAGTCATCAATGCTGGTCCTTACTAAATTACTGATGGATGGACTAAGCAATTGTACTAAGCAATTCTCTGCAGTGGACCCTGTTTTCCAAAAAAAGGTTGCTGATACTGATAGTTTGTCACACCTGATAAGCTAAAGTTAGATTGATGGAGGTTCCTGATTGGTGGAGGCTGGTTTTTGGCAGGAGACGATTTAGTGGAAGGTGCAGGAGTTGCATATTTTGGTGTTGCTGGAACTTCATAGACTGGCCCATCGTACATTCCTCGGGAGACACCTTGCAATTCTGTTACCTGCATATCACAAACAGAAATGCAATTACATTTCAGTGGCCTGGCATTTGACCCACCCGTCTCACACATAAGATCAGTGCAAAAATGTATACAACAGAGCAAGGTTGATGAGTCCTGCTTCCTCCATCATCACTTCCATCTTCTGTTCCCAAAGTGGGGAGATTTGCACATCGTAAGATTTAGTATTTTCTAAGCACCTAAAAGTGAAGTGCCATGCAATCTAAGAAAGGGTTGCCAGCCTGATTGGGCCAGAAGGCCCCTTTGGCATTTTGAAAAGGTGCAGTGGGCACTAGTCACAAAATGGCTGACACATCTCAAAAAGCCACATCTCAAAAAGGACCACAAAGTGGTGAAAGCCTGCCCCTCTCCCCTACTGGCACTGTGACTGGTCACAGAGAGAAGCTCCTTCCATCTTCTGCTAAGAAGGGAAGACAAAGTGGGCACTGACAATAATGCCAGTCAGAATTGTCACTGCTCCCTCATTGGAGGCTGGTTACTGTGGAGGAAGTCCATACATTAATTGGGAATATGAAGAGTGGAAAGGCTCCGGGGAAAGACTTTATCCCAGTGGAATTGATTACATCAAACCAGCACTGGTGGGCTCCGCTTCTGGCAGAACTTTTTACGGTAGTAAATAACTCGGGCAAAGTACCATATAACTGGAAACATGCTATAGTAGTTCCAATCTTTAAGAGAGGCCACCCAAACGTACCCTCCAATTATAGGCCAATTAGCCTCCTTTCAATAATTGGGAAGCTGTATGCCCGATTCCTCAGTAGCAAACTGACAATTTTTCTAAATGAACATAATATACTATCTGAAGCCCAGGCAGCCTTTCGTGAGAACCATTCAACATCAGACCACTGTCTAATGCTGTCCTTCCTAGCCAAGAAGTACACCAGGCCTCTACAGGGTAAACTCTTCGTGGCCTTCATGGATCTGAAATCAGTGTTCGATTCCATCCCCAGATCCCAGCTATGGTCCAAATTAAATCTGATTTTGCAGGACAAACGACTCCTCTTTCTTATAAAAGCCCTGTACAATGGAACCAAACTGCAGGTCCGATGCGGTCGGCAGGGACTGTTATCGAACAGTATCGGGATGACTAGGGGGGTGAGACAGGGATGCATTTTGGCCCCCACACTGTTTTGCCTATTCTTAAATGACCTAGAAGAGAGCTTAATGGACCCAGATGGGCACTTTCCCAAAAATAGGAATGAGAAGGACCCCCTTGTTGTTATATGTGGATGACGCGGCCATCATCTCACATTCCAGCCCGGGTTTTAAATATCTGCTGAGGAAGTTTTCTGATTACTGTTCTGGAAATGGTTTATCCATTAATTATGAAAAATCTAAAATTTTAGTATTCGAAAGAAGCTTCTCCCGGTCTAAATGGGTGCTGGATGGCCATAACCTTGAACAGATTAAATACTTCAGTTATCTAAGGCTCACATTCCATCATACAACATCTTGGAAGCACCACTGGCAAACCTCCCTTCAAAAGGCGGAGATCACAAAGCTAGCCATACTCAGATTCTTTTTCACAAAGGGCGGCAAATATGTTCCAGCAGCCGTAAGGGTTTTCAACGCAAAACCCGTTTACCAACTCCTGTATGCTACAAATGTCTGGCATAATGGGGCCTGCCAAAGCTAGATGGCTTTCAGGCAAAATTTCTACGATCTCTGCTGCAGGTACCCAACTGCGTCCCCAACTCCGTACTTCTGTTAGAAGCTGGTGAATGCCCAATTTCAACTAAAGCGTGGTGGGCTGCCCTAAAACATTGGCTCAGGATTTCAGTGTTTAATCTAGGGAAGGGTTTGTACCAACACCTGACCAATGAGGAATTTGTCAGCAAATGGCAGAAAATCATGGCTAAAAAAAGCCACCTCTATTGGTCTGTCTCCCCCCCCAACTGTATTACCTGGGTTATGAAGGCGCCCAAAAGATGTTAAAGCAAAGATTATGGGATAATACACACAGTGACTTGCGATCTCGATCACACGCAGTCTGTAGTCCGCTGGCAGTAGGAGTACAATATGGGCATGTCTTTAAGTTAACACCTTACATTAAATACCTGACAGTACCAAATTATCAAAGGTTATTCACCAAAGCCAGACTAAACGTCTTTCCGTCTGCAGTGTTGGATGGCAAGTTGAGAGGAGTTCCCTACCAGGACAGACTTTGCTCGTGTGCTCAAGACATCAATTCTATAAAACATAATTTGCTGCATTGTGTGAAATATGAGCAAGCCAGGACTGAACTGATATTACCCTTGCTGGTACCTTCCCCAGGAAAATCAGAGGCTCACTATGTCAGGTTCCTATTGGAAGACTGGACAAACGCTAGAACATTAGCAGTGGCAAAGTTTTTATCGGTGTTTGCAAGAAACAATGATCCCTATCTTTAAGTCTGAACAAAATGCTTGTTTAACCTGGAGGTAGGCTGTCTGAATTGTGCATTGCTTTGTAACGATTTGTTGGGTCTCTGGACCGTAATAAAGATTGATTGATAATGCCAGGCACTGGGTATGCCAACCTGAAATTCCCTGAGGGCCCACAAATGATCAATGGATCATTTTCAATATTTCCCCCATCCCTGTAAAATGACAAAGTTTCAGCCAGCATTCTCATTTTTTTATTTAACTTTTATTCACATGTATAATGGGACGCGGGTAGCTCTGTGGGTTAAACCACAGAGCCTAGGGCTTGCCGATCAGAAGGTTGGCAGTTCGAATCCCCGTGACGGGGTGAGCTCCTGTTGCTCGGTCCCTGCTCCTGCCAACCTAGCAGTTCGAAAGCACGTCAAAGTGCAAGTAGATAAATAGGTACCGCTTCGGCGGGAAGGTAAACAGCGTTTCTGTGTGCTGCTCTGGTTCGTCAGAAGCGGCTTAGTCATGCTGGCCACGTGACCCGGAAGCTCGGCCAATAAAGCGAGATGAGCGCCGCAACCCCAGAGTCGGCCATGACTGGACCTAATGGTCAGGGGTCCCTTTACCTCTAAGGAAAAGCAGGACATTTCAGGATCAAATCAGAAAGCGGGGCGGCTTCTGTAAATCCAGGACTGTCCCTGGAAAATAAGGGCACTTGGAGGGTCCCTAACGGTCAGGGGTCCCTTTACCTTTACAATGGCAAAACTCGTGTCTCAAAATGGATTGGAACTGGGCAGTGGATCTCTGGAATGATACAGCCACTGCGTATTTCCTCAGGCATATTGCTCTCTCTGAATTACAGAACTGAAGAGATGGAAGAGACTCCAAGGGTCATCTAGTCCAGTTCCCTGTAATGCAAGAATCCTGCCCACAGCCATCCCTGGGCGGGCTGAAACAGCCAGATGAAATGACCCATTGTTCTACAAAAATATATACATTCAAGCATCTGTACATTATAACATGTTATAGAAATGATTAGCAACAAGAAGTTTGGATATCTATACAAACCTACCTTATTCCTAATTTTGATGCGTTGATAAAGGTATTCAGGGAAGGGCTTCCGGGGAATGAAACGGCCCATTCCTTTACTTACATGGAGATTTCCATCTTCAAACACAATCTTCCCTTGGCTAATGACTATGAGGGGAGCACCGTGACATTCCATGCCTTCAAATATATTATATTCAACAGCCTGCAAGGGGGAGACCAGAACATGCAGTTAATTCTCATTTACTGATAGGCATGAATGATTTATACTACATTAAATTGTAGAAGGTGTTAAACATGATAGTTAATTTTCTTTAATAGTCAGGGAGTCAAAACCATTAAAACGTCACGGTGTGGTGGCACAAAGTGGCAGCAATGATGGCAGGTTTCGGCAAAGTCTCACCGGAAATTGGCACAGAAGCTGGTGGCGCTTTTCTGCCAGTGGGGTGCTGCCTTGGGGGCTTCTGTCATCCAAGGTGGGTGCTTCACCCCACCTCACAGGTGGGCCGGCCCTGCTGCCTGTGTATCTTTGATGGTGGCAGCACTGGCATCCATTCTCTAGACACAACTGGGTGACGCACACATGCAGTAAGGAGCAATTGGGCACATATTGTGCTGCCGTGGTTGAGGGTATTTTTTGACAGCCTGCAGCAATAGTGCCTTAAGTAGTTCTCAAAAAAATTGAAGAGCTTTTCCTCTTACCGACTTATGGCTTTTGGCTGTGATGGTCTTCGCCTTCTCTGGGTCCCAGATCACAATGTCAGCATCCGAACCCACAGCGATTCTACCCTTTCGCGGATAGAGGTTAAAGATTTTGGCTGCATTGGTACTAGTAATGGCAACAAACTGGTTTTCATCCATTTTACCTGAAGACTAAGATAAATTTTCCATGAGTAACATATCTTAAGAATAGTGGTATATATGTACATACAACAGAGATTAAAGGTGGTGGTCAACAAAATTTTACTCAGAGAACATCTAAGTCACAAATGTACAAGATCTGACATGAAATCACCAGTATTCTTTCCTACAGCAGATTAAGAGCCACCAGGAATATGTATGCGGATGTAGACAGGTATTAGATTTAGTGGCTCTTCCTGGAATTAGTTATGGATTTATTTATTTTTTTTAAAAAGGTAACTGAGTTAAAAAAAATAATTCTTAACATACCAGCAGATGGCAAATGAAGCTAGCAGTTGAGACTTGGAATTCAGAGGGGCAAAATGCCAGACAAATTGCATGGCAGGTGGAAGAAGCCTGTTGATTTCCTTAGTTATAGTGGCTGTTGTGGGTAAAATGACTTTTTGGCCCTGTTAGAATAAAGGATGATGAACCTGGTGGGTTGACTGGGCTATTTGTCCTTCCCCAACCTGGTGCCTGCTACTAAATCTGGAGCACAACTGCCATAAGCTCCAGCTAGCCTAGCCAGTGGCCTAGATTGATGTGAGTTGTAGCTCAATACAACCGGACCACACCAGGTTAGTGAAGGCTGACCGAAGATGTTAAGCTCTGAAGGAGGCTGCCACCAGAACAAGGAGTGGAGCAAGTAGAGATTGTAAGGGAAGATAAAGGCAAAGGACCCCTGGATGGTTAAGTCCAGTCAAAGGCGACTATGGGGTGCGGTGCTCATCTCACTTCAGGCCAAGGGAGCTGGTGTTTGTCCACAGACAGCTTTTCAGGTCATGTGGCCAGCAGGACAAAACAACTTCTGGCACAACGGGACACCGTGACAGAAGACAGAGCACACAGAAATGCCGTTTACCTTCCTGCTGCAGCAGTACCTATTTATCTACTTGCACTGGTGTGCTTTCAAACTGCTAGGTTAGCAGGAGCTGGGAGGGAGCAGCAGGAGTTCACCCCGTCGCAGGGATTTGAACCGCCAACCTTCTGATCGGCAAGTCCAAGAGACTCAGTGGTTTAGACCACAGTGCCACCCGCATCCCTTTTAAGCAGAGATGAAGCGTGGGGGAGGGGCGAGATGTTGGTGCTGATGGATACAAGAGAGATTGCTGGGAGGAGACGGAGGAAGCATCACTTAAGATCTCGGGACTATGTGAGTATTCAGCTTCCATAAGCTGCCACAATATTCATGGGGCATACAAGTAGTACTTGGGAATAGGGGCAATGAGATAGGCTTGGTTTCAAAGGGAAAAAAAGAACAATGTGCCTCAGTGATCAAGAGAATAGGCTAACCAAGCTGCAGAGGCAAGGGGAGAAAACCACTGAGAACTTGACACTGTCCCCAGCACCTCGTTTCGGGCAGGTCTCACCACATGCATGAACTTGGTGCAAAGGACCCACAGATGACTTCAACAACTGGGGTCTAAGTACCTTTGGGATTGCCTGAGTCCCTATGCTCCACCACAATCGCTCAGATCAGGGTGGTCCAATATGTGGCCCACAAGGCCTTTTGTGGTGGCTCCAGGCAGGGCCTAGCAAGTGCTTTCCCAGCTTTGGAAAGGAGGTGGGATGGCTTTAGGACCCTGCCAGAGCCCTTATGCCCCATTCCCAAAGCCAGCCAAATGTTTACTGGGCTTTGGGAAGGCGTCCCCTTGGCTCGGTGCCCAGTGTGGGGGAACTGGTTACGCTGCCCTAAATCCAGTGCTGCCGCCCCCTTATACTTCTGCAAACCTTGGGTTTATCCCAAGCCTGCTGATTCTGTGTGTGTGTGTGTGTGTGTGTGTGTGTCGTTGTTTTGGCAATGCAAGTGACAGCACCGACAGAATTGAATTGGGAGTAGAAGAAATAATGATAATATCAGCATTTTAACTGAGTCCAGAAGCAGACTGGTAACTAGCAGTGCCGTCTTACCCATAGGCGCTAGGGGTACGGGGCACCCAGGTGCCAGGCTCTCAGGGGCGCCAGGCCAAGAGTCCGGGGCCCGAGAGTTGAGTCCGGAAAAGGGTCTGGAGTGCCGCGGCAGGCTCTTCTGCTGTGGGCAGCTCTAAGCCGCGAGTTTAGGGGTGACTGAGCCAGCAAGATGCTGAGGCGGCCGGCTGGCTGGATCCACCCTCCTGCATGCCTGGGACTGGGCAACCTGGGGGGGGGGGCGCCGGGTGGATCTTTGTACCCCGGCACCGCATATGCTTAAGACAGCCCTGGTAACTAGTGCCACTGATGTGTGGTGGCGCAAAGCTTCTGTCTCCCATAAACATTTTGGCAGCCACACTTTGTACAAAAACAAAGTTTCCTGGTTGCCTTTAAATGCAGTTCCAGCATCATAGTAGAGCATTACAGCAGCCCAGGCTGGCGGAGTTGTGTGCCCTGAGGCCCCTCAGGGTGTGTGAGTGCAAATAAAAGGCCCTGGGTGTTGGCCCGCTGACCCCAGCCCCATCTAGCTAAGAGTTAGATTTGGAAATCTCTGAGCAGTACAAGGCAGGACCTGGTGTGAAGCAGCGGTTGCCTTTGCTTACCACACACTTATCCCAGACCACGGTCATTCTTTCTTCAATTCCATTTACTCCTTCTGGAATCAGAGTGAAGTTGTCCTTTCCAACCGCTTTCTGGGCTGTGCTATAGGTACAGTGGGCACTTCCAGTCACTTGCAGGTCACCACTGAAGGAACATAGAGGGGAGACAGAAATATTTTTAAAGCCTGGAGGCAAGGATGTGGATTGCTTACCATTTGTGTTTTTAGCTATTGGTGCCACACATTCATTCAGGAATGTATATTCTATGGTTAACTACTGCTTTTCAATTCTGTTAACCTCTCATGTCTCTGCTTCCACATTCACATCAATACTATTTTCCAAAGTATTGTTCTTTGAGTATCTTTCCTAGTGTTTTTCAGGTCTCTGTAACAGCAGCAGTAAGGCAAACCAAAGTGAAACTGAACAGCAATTTTGTTTACAGATTATTTTTTTAAAAGCTCACTCTATAAAATCATCCCACTAAGGACCTAGTTAGATGTTCCATGGGAGGCCTGTGAACCATCTGATGACGGACTGATTGATTGATTTGTACTGAAAAGCAGTCACAGAAGACTGCCAGTTTGAGTGGATGGGGATGAGGCTATTTCATCCTTTTCCTTCCTGTCACTTAAAACCATCCTTTCCGAGCCGATTTTCTTGTCAAAGGGGAAGAGGGTAAGCTGCCTGGGGTAATTCTCAACAGGGAAAGGTCAGGAAGGGAAAGGGCTAAGCAGACTCCTCCCCCTGTGGTGGGGATGTCACATGTCTCCTGCATAATGTCTAATTTCACTCTGAGCTAAATACAGTATTTGCTATTCCCTTACAAAGAAGAACAAATCTGACAATAATCAAACCACATCAAAATGCTTGTCTGTTATTACATATTACTTCTGTACTTTAGCTCACATCCAAGAGGCTCAAGGACTCCCTTGGCTGAATTGGTGGTTTACAAGCAGTTGCAGTTTAATACCATGCTAAAAGTGAGGTCAAATGATCAGGTGTTGTAGGATCCAGACTCAGAGGCGGTGAGGTCACAAATGCTGCAGCCTTGGCCCAATTTTTGCTCCAATAATGTGTCCCGTCTGTCCCCAGGCTGGCAGTGATTGGTTCCCCGAAAACAAGAGCACCTTGGGGAATGGAAACACACAACTGATTATACCATCCTTTTAATTTATTTTTTAAATTTATATACCACCCTTCATCCGAAGATCACAGGGTGGTTCAAAACATAAAAATACAAAATGAGAAAGCAAACTAATCACCCCACCTCCCACAAACACATTTAAAAGGACATAGTATGTTAATCAACCAAAGGCCTGATTAAAGAGAAAAGTTTTTGCCCGGTACCTAAAGATATGGAAGGAGGGCACCAGGCAAGGCTCCCTGGGGATAGCATTCCCCAAACGGGGAGCCACCACAGAGAAGGCATGTTCTCATGTTGCCACCCTCCAGATCTCTCTTAGAGGAGGCACACGAAGGAAGGCCTTAGATGATGATCACAGGGTCTGAACTGGTTCACATGGGAAGAGACAGTCCTTGAGGTATTGCAGTTGTGAGCCATTTAAGATTTTATGGGTCAAAACCAGCACTTTGAATTGAGCCCAGAAACTAATCGGCAGTCAGTGCAGCCAGGCCAGGATCGGTGTAATATGCTTAACCTTTCATGCTCTGGTGAGCAACCTGGACACCAAATTCTGAACCAGCTGAAGCTTCCAAACCATCCTCAGGTAGCCCTATGTATAACGTGTTGCAGCAATCTTACCTAGAGATCACCAGAGCATAGATGACAGAAGTTAGGTTTTCCGGTCTAAGGAAACCAGGTCGGGGAACCAGGTTGGGGAACAGCGGTATGGCAGCGCTCCGCCTCCCCGCTGTCCCCCGAGCTTATGGGGCCGGCCGATGTCTGTCCGGCGCGAGGTGCGTGAGGGGCGCTCTGCTTCAGGGCGCCCCTCGCGCCGGGCGGCAGGCTGCTATCCGCAGCGTGGGGAGCCCTGTGGGACCTCCCGCGGGCTCCCCAAGCTTGCTGATAGCTTCCTGAAGCCTGGAGAGCAAGAGGAGTCGGTGCACACTCCAAGCTTCAGCGAAAGCCTGTATTCGCCCCATAGAGTAGTCTCTAAGGTGCTACTGGAAATATTTTTTTTATTTTGTTTCGACTATGGCAGACCAACACAGCTACCTACCTGTAACTAGAACTTTGTGTTTTCTGAGACATGGACTCTAGTCTGTAAAAGCTTCTGCTACAATAAATCGGTTAGCATTTAAGGTGCCACAAGTCTCTTGGTTATTTTTGCTTCTAAGTAAGTGGCAGGAACAAACAAAGAGCTCCAGAGAGAATTTGTTTCTCTACACAGCCATGGCAGCCCGAATGATATATGCTCAGAAATGGAAGAAGAGAAAACCACCAACAAAGGAGGAATAGCAGATGAAACTGATGGAGTATGCAGAATTAGCAAAATTAACTAACAGAATAAGAGAACAGGAAGAAGGAGCCTTTAAGGAAGATTGGAAAATGTTTGTAGAAGATTTGAATAATTATTGTAAACAAGTTAAAATGTTAGCAGGGTTAGAGTAAATTCAGCAGTTTAATTAAGTGAAGATTTAATGAGAAAGGAGATAAAATAAAATATATGGAGTAATTAGAATATGCACTAGTAATGGATAACTAAAACAAACCATGGAGGAGGGGAAGGAAAGTAAATGATTATGGTTATATTGATTTGAATTTGAAAATCTGTAATAGAAAATTATAGATATATACAATTATATACAATTATAGATATATAAAGAGCTCCAGAGAGACCTGTTTAAACAGAATAAAATATTTCCTCACCAGAAGAGGGGTGGTCCAAAAGAACCAAAAAGAAAGGAGCACTGGGAAAGGGGATGTGAAGCTGCACAGAACCAGCTCAGAGCATTCAACATCCCTTTAGCTTCTCTGTCATTACCATTTTACTTTCTTAGTGATTTCTGCTGGTTCCCACATAGGTACAGTGGTACCTCGCAAGACGAATGCCTCGCAAGACGAAAAACACGCAAGACGAAAGAGTTTTCCGTTTTTTGAGTCGTTCCGCAAGACGAATTTCCCTATGGGCTTGCTTGGCAAGACGAAATGTCTTGCGAGTTCTTGCGAGTTTGTTTCCTTTTTCTTAAAGCCGCTAAGCCGTTAATAGCCGCTAAGCCGCTAAGCCATTAATAGCCGCTAAGCCGCTAATAGCCGTGCTTCGCAAGACGAAAAAACCGCAAGACGAAGAGACTCGCGGAACGGATTAATTTCGTCTTGCGAGGCACCACTGTATTCATCACTTGATGACTCACTGCAGTATCAAGTAGCAATTTGCAAGGATAAATGAGGCAGCGCTCAACCAACACCACAGACAGCAATGGGAGCTCACCCCGTCGCGGGGATTTGAACCGCTGACCTTCTGATCAGCAAGCCTTAGGCTCTGTGGTTTAGACCACAGCGGGGATTTGAACCGCCGACCTTCTGATCAGCAAGCCTTAGGCTCTGTGGTTTAGACCACAGCGCCACCCGCGTTCATAAATATACATAAATAGATGTTCATAAATGTACCAAGCAAACACATACAAATACGTAAACCACATGTGTGAAACCCACAGAAAAGTCCTGAAACCATTTTCTCTCTCCCAAAATGACCTCAAATATTACTCTGCAAGGTCGAAAGAAATGGGAAATCTCCCCATTGTCTCTTTCACAAATCCTGTCTTAAGGGCACATCTGGGTCAAACCACAGAGCCCAGGACGTGCCGATCAGAAGGTCGCAGTTCGAATCCCTGTGATGGGGTGAGCTCCCGTTGCTCGGTCCCTACTCCTGCCAACCTAGCAGTTCAAAAGCACCCCGAAAATTGCAAGTAGATAAATAGGTGCTGTTCCGGCGGGAAGGTAAATGGCGTTTCCGTGCACTGCTCTGGTTCGCCAGAAGCAGCTTAGTCATGCTGGCCACATGACCCAGAAGCTGTACGCCGGCTCCCTCGGCCAATAAAGCAAGATGAGCGCCGCAACCCCAGAGTCGGTCACAACTGGACCTAATGGTCAGGGGTCCCTTTACCTTTTTAAAAATACGAATAGGGTGTAAACCTGTGACCTGGATTCAGGAATTGAGTAGTTATCATAACAAAAGAGTGGCCAGGATGCCCAGGTAATCCAATCAGGTAACCTGGCAGACAGGAAGAAACAACACCCCCCCTCCTGTGTGGGGGGAGGAGCACCCTGTTGCAACAGCTTTAATAATGATCAGGCTTACTACCTGCTTTGCTTCTCAATATTCTCTGGTTGGTCTCTGTGTTTTTTCTCCTACCGGTAGAGAACCTACAAAAAGATTCTCTATGGGCTGAGGATACCCCATAAGGGAAAAGGAGCAGTTTTTTTCTCATAACAGTATGAAAGGCTGCATTCTGTACCTTTCTTTCTAGCCAGTGAAATGATGTCAGCTGCACTCTTGCTCATGACCTTGGTGATATACAACGGACAGTTGATGCGACTAGCTATGGTGATGGCTCGGAAAACAGCTTCTGCTTCAAGCTTAAATAAGGAAAGAAATTCAGTCAAAGTAACTTCATCATTACCTTGCAAATTTTTCACACAGGTATTTCCCAGATTCCAGCCACTTTCCTCTTCTGCTTTATGAACAGTTCCTCATCCCTCAACCCCCTTCCTCTTTTAACTGACTTACAAAAATATAACCTTTCCTGCTACTTCACGCTTTGCTTTTTCTCCAAGCAGAATTAATTTGAAGCTATACACAAATTTCAGAATACTGCTTACAGAAAAAAAGATTTCTCACCCCTGATCTAAATGGCATGAATGGCTCAAGGTGGTACCTGAAAAAACTCCTACGACTTCAAAAACATTAAAAACTGAATGTAATCAGCTTGCCACCTTGCAAGAAACTGCTATACTGAAGTGTTCATCAGCAGAGCGACCCCTTTAATATTCTCATAGAAGTCAATGGAACATTTGCAGGTGATCAGCTTCAAGGCCACAGCTTAAAATTTTGTTATTAAGGTGTTCTGTACAGTGGTACCTCGCAAGACGAATGCCTTGGAAGACGAAAAACTCGCAAGACGAAAGAGTTTTTCGTTTTTTGAGTTGCTTCGCAAGACGATTTTCCCTATGGGCTTGCTTCGCAAGACGAAAACGTCTTGCAAGTTTGTTTCCTTTTTCTTAAAACCGCTTGAAGAGGTGCAGTTGCGACTTGACCGTGCTTTGCAAGACGAAAAAACTCGCAGAACGAATTAATTTCGTCTTGCGAGGCACCACTGTATTGAGGTATTATTATCACAGAATCACAAAGTGATGTGAAGTGCTTATGGATTTCTCTTGGTTTGGTTAGTTCTGCTAGAAAAAAATTGTAGAAACTTTAACGCATGGCTCCTGCAGCCCTTAGACTGAACTTGAACACAGCTCTCACCTCCTCTGGCCTGCTCAAGGCGTGGCCCTCTGGTCCAGTGATGCCCATCTCCAGCATACGCTTTTGTTCCTGAGGAGGTAATAGACAAAAGTTGATGGCCAACAGGTTACAAATACCGGTATATCAATTGATATGTATCAAAAGTCTCTCGTATACACTGTATTCAGTCATGTCTGTTGGTTAAGGAACGATATTTATTGTTAGCATTTAAATACCATCCAATCAACTATGTATTCTGCGTAGTTTACAGATTTCGGATATTCCAATCTGCTTTTACTGTATAATGTTCCTGATTTATAATTTTAACTGCTACTGTTTTAACTATGTATAATGCCAGGTGCCTGTTTTATTTTTAAATTGTTTTAAACTACAGGCATATCTGGAGGATGTGGACCATTTGGATCCCTTCCAATCAGGATTCAGGCTCCACCACGGGACAGAAACCACCCTGGTTGACTGGTCAATGATCTCTGGCAGGTTAGGGACAGAGGTGAAAGCTGTTTCCTGGTTCTGCTGGATCTCTCAGCTGCTTTTGATACCATCAACCATGGTATCCTTCCGGACCATCTAGGAAGGTTGGGAGTGTGGGGCACTGTTACGCAATGGTTCCACTCCTTCCTGCGTCATGTCCAGGAAGTCGCGTGGGGAGATGAGTGCTCAGACCCTTCAACACTCACTTGTGGGGTACCTCATGACTCCACCCTCTCTCATGCTTTTTAACATCCATATGAAACTGCTGGGAAAGGTCATCAGGTGGTTTGGGCTGGGTGTTCACCAATAGGCAGATGACACCAGCTCTATCTCTCATTTAAATCAGAAACAGTGAATGTGATGAACCTGGTCCTATGTGTCTGGAGGTGGCTGGAGGATGGACAGCAATCAATGGATTCAGGTTGAATCCTGACAAGACCGAGGTACTGCTACTGGGGGACGGGAGGGCAGTCAGGTGTGAAGGACCTCCTGGTCTTGAATGAGGTAACTCTGCCCCTAAAGGACCAGGTGTGCAGCCTTGGGGTTATTTTGGACTCACAGCTGTCCATGGAAGCACAGCTTAATTCTGTGTCCAGGGTGGCTGTCTACCAGCTCCATCTGGTATGAAGGCTGAGACCCTTCCTGCCTGCACACTGTCTCACAGAGTGGGACATGCAACAGTTATTTCCTGCTTGCAACTACTGCAATGTGTGCTATGTGGGGCTACCTTTGAAGGTGACTCAGAAACTACAGCTAATCCAGAATGCGGCAGCTAGACTGGTGACTTGGAGGGCCACTGGGACCATATAACACCTGTCCTAAAGGATCTATGTTGGCTCCCAGAACATTTCTGAGCACAACTCAAAGTGTTGGTACTGACCTTTCAAGCCCTAAATGGCCTCAGCCCTGTATATATGAAGGAGCATCACCACCTGCATCGTTCAGCCCAGAAACTGAGGTCCAGCTCTGAGGGCCTTCTAGTGGTTCCCTCACTGTGAGAAGCAAAGTTACAAGGAACCAGGCAGAAGGCCTTCTCAGTAGTTGTCCCTGCCCTGTGGGATAGCCTCCCATCACATGTCAAAAGGCAGCCCTGTACAGGGAAGTTTTTAATGTTTAATATTTTATTGTGTTTTTTATATTTTGTTGGAAGCTGCCCATAGTGGATGGCAACCCAGTCATTTGGGCAGCATGTTGTTGTTGTTGTTGTTGTTGTTGTTGTTTGCTTTTAGCTGGAACTGTTTCTGGCCATGAATAGCACCACAAAAACTCAAAAATTAAATGAAATAAATTAAATTTATGGCAAACTCAGAGGCCCATTCGCTTATTCCACCACAACTAAAATGCACTGATAATTATTACAGATTCTATATGCTAACTGCCTGACAGAATTTTGAAAATGTCCACCTATTCCAAGCCCTCCCTTCTTGACTGTTTCATCACTTAAGAACTACCTGGTTCTAAGCATGGACATCTAAGGCCAGGTGGCACTTGAATTGGTACCAATATGTCACATAGGTCTTTCTGGGACAGTTATGCAATGAAGAACCTCTTTTTGATACTAGCATCATCATCATCGGCATCCAGTACTGAACCTTGGGCCAAATAATAATGTCTACATGTTTTGGGTACCTTTCTGCAATCACAGCATGGCTTAAACACAGCCCAGTGTAAGCAGTCCAATCCAGAGAAAGGCTAGCATCCATTAAGTCCTGGTGAAGCACACAATTAAGCACATCTGTCCAATTGATATCAGTAGATTTTTCTATGTTCAGGATTACATCTTATTTTAATTTTTCATGGCGCCAAGTAGGGCTCATTTTCAATCACTCCCTGTCACAACCATGACATTCAGCACTCATTACATTTTGCGAGGGCTTGATGACCATTGCTACTGCCACACTGCAGTACTAATCTACAACCAAATGGGTGGATAAGATGGCAAACATCTGTGCCCAACGAATCTACCTATCAAGGGTATCAGACAGTTCAAAGAATAAATGTAGAAGAAAAGTTTTTCTCACCTGAGCTATCAAATCTCCATTTTCAGCATGGACCATGATTACAGCTCCAAGACTTTTCAGAAAAGTAAAGGCTTCATAGAGCTATATACAGTACCAAGGGAAGGGGGAACAGTCAGCAATGACAGATTATTGTATATCCCAATTCTTTTATCCCCTTCTTTAAAACACACATGCATACAGACATTTCCTTTCATTTTAGGGTAGCACAACAGCCAAAAAAGGGTAAAACTTTATTTCACTCTGTTTCTTCATCTCGTCCCTTCTCATCAGCAAAGGAAAACACAGTGCTTGACACCAATGGGGAATTGGTTCCCTCTCCCTGTCTGCTGAAATCCTAAGAATTAACCCCACCCAGATATGCTTTGGAGTAACACATTTAGCATCACATTTACTTTGCCTCTAATTCCACCACCTTCCAGATACCGTATTTTTCGCTCTATAAGACGTACCAGACCATAAGACGCACCTAGTTTTTGGAGGAGGAAAACAAGAAAAAAAATATTCTGAATCTCAAAAGCCAGAACAACAAGAGGGATTGCTGCACAGCAATCCCTCTTGCTGTTCTGGCTTCTGGGATAGTTGCACAGCCTGCATTCGCTCCATAAGACGCACACACATTTCCCCTTACTTTTTAGGAGGGAAAAAGTGAGTCTTATAAAGCAAAAAATACGGTAAGTTTGACAGGAACCTGAACATTAAAAAAAATAAAAATCTGTAGATGCTTTCTTGTTTATGATTTCATGAAGAGCTCACAGTTTAACTCAGATTCCCACAATTAGAAGGCAATAACTTCCACAAAGTTTTTTGCGGCAAATTATAAAAGCGATAAAGTCCCATCAAGATTAGAATGGATTAAAAAAATGGTTGAATACGTGGAATTAGATAGCATGTCAGAAGAGATAAGTTTTTAAAATATACTTGAAAAATAATAATAGTAGTTTAAGGTCATACGCAGCGTTCGAATAATTTCAGTAGCAGTGTTAAAAATGTGGTAAAACCAATGAATGGATTAAGGGATATTGAAATTGAACAAAACTCATTATGCAATGGCAGCGAACAATTAATACAGAATCTGTAATAAGGAATAGACGGGAAGTCTGGCGCATAGAAAAAGACCACTTATTTTATGTTTTGAAGGTTATTAGTTGATGTATTAATTCTCTTTTTTTCTTTGGTGGTGATGGAATTTATTTTCTTTTTCTGTATGGTGTGTCAATGTGAACGGTAACAATAAAATTTAAAAAGAAGAAGAAGAAGGCAAGAACTTCTAAAACGATTCCAAAGCATTTTTTCTTGGAGAAAAAGTAGGAACAAAAACCAAGCCAACTCTTGATTAGATGCTAAATGCATGTATTAAATGTGCATAGTTCTTGTTCTCTAAAGAGCAGTAGAACTGGGAGCACAGCACACAGGGAGGCGGGCAGGCTACTGTCCTGCTAAGCCTCCCCCCCCCCAGCCCTTTCCAGAAGCTGCTATAAGTCTTGGGAGGATAATCCCCTCACAAGACTAGCAGCCGCTTCCAGGAAGGGGTAAATTGTGGGTGTGTGGAAAGGATTAATCCCACTTCCCCAAATTCTGTAGTCCCAGTCCTGCCCAGAGGCCTCACAGCTACACGTTAAATAACAAAAATAGTGCACATTAAACATTTACAAGCATTTGTAAATGTTTAATATTCTAAAGCAAGTTCTGGATATGCATGTGAAGATACTCCTTGAAAATGTGAGGCCATACCAGTCATGGTGCTGGAAATGACATGTTTCCAGACTCCAAATTTGTGTTTGCAATAGATTCTGCCACAATGTTATGTTTTAACTGTAATATGCACAATATATTCATCACAATTTCAATTAAAAACTGTGTTAGCCCACCTGAAACTCATGACTCCAAAGATATAACAACAGAGAGGGTGTTCAGTAACTTTCATTTCAGAGGAAGAAGAGGGACATGACTGCTCACATTTCAACACACACCCATCCCAAACTTAAGCTTAATTCAAAAGCATGGATCTCAATTAGAAGAGTTCCTGGGAATCAGAGATCTCATTTGAAAATGCACAGATTACCTGGCTGTCAGTCATTTGGTAGAGATCTTTGTAGACCATGTAGACTTGAAAAGAATTAACACCTATTTACAGGGGAAAAAGTATTCAGAATAAAGTGAATGTGCATTTTTTTAGCATTCTGAAACAGTTACCTTCATAAATATTCATATTAGTACTGTTTATGTTAAAACAGTTTTAATTTATTTTTTATTACTTGTTTAAAATCTTTCTCTGTTACCTCCCATATCATCTCAAAGTTGTATACAATATTTAAAAATATATCAAACATTAAAATACAGAAAGATAATGCAAATGAAAATATAAGGCAGTGTTAAAAATATGATATATTCAGGTCAAGCACCAGTGAATGCTGGGAGCACAGCTTTTTTTTGGGTTTTTTAAAGGCAGGGAAGGTGGATGCATTGTGCAGATGCCGCCAAAGAAAATACGATGACAGATGCACAAATGGCTACTTCTATTTTAAGCTTAATAGTCCAACTAGTTCACTTTCTGCTTGCAAAGTCAAGTTAATGATCAGATCCTGTTAAGAGTGCAAGCTCCTGGCAGAAAATAAAAATGCTAGTTACGTGCAGCTGTCTTTTAAGAAAGTGCTTTTATTTCACAGTTCTTTTTCCTGATTCACAAAGTGTTCAGTGGCTTAGCCCAGGCATAGACCACCACTAGACCACAAGCCACATTTTTTATTATTATTATTATTATTATTATTATTATTATTAACCCAGCTACTCTGGGCAACTTCCAACAAAGATTAAAAATACATTAAAATGTCACACATTAAAAACTTCCCTAAACAAGACTGCCTTCAGATGTCTTCTAAATGTCAGGTAGTTGTTTATCTCTTTGACATCTGATGGGAGGGCGTTCCACAGGGCGGGCACCCACCACCAAGAAGGCCCTCTGCCTGGTTCCCTGCAACCTCACTTCTTGCAGAGAGGGAACCACCAGAAGGCCCTCGGCGCTGGACCTCAGTGTCCAGGCAGAACGATGGGGGTGAAGACGCTCCTTCAGGAAGAGCTGTCAGACACCAGACTTAAGAGGATGGTATACTGAGTTACGGAGAGAAGCAGTGTTAAGTGAATGAACTTGGGCTTTATGAGTGCAACAAGCTATTTGTAAAAATACCACGTTTGAGAATGAATGGAATTTTAAAATAAGTTTTTGGAACGCAAAAACAGGATAGACGGTGATACAAGAGACAGGGAGCACAGAGATGTGTATCCAAGGGTACTAAAGGAGCTTGCAGATGTGATCTTCAAGAATTCTTGGAGCAGGTGAGGTCCCTGAGGACTGGAAGAGGACAAATATTGTCCTCATCTCCAAAAAGGGGGTGGGGAGAAGATACAGGTAACTACTGACCGATCAACTTGACATCGATACCAGGAATGTCCTAGAACAGATTATTAAACAGTCTGCAATAACTTATAAAAGGATGATGTGATTAGTAAGACCCAGCATGGGTTTCTCAAAAACAAATCATGCCAGAAAAAAAATCGAATTTATTTATTTCTTTTATAGAATTGCAAGCTTGGTAGATCAGGGGAATGCTGTGGACGTTGTGTATCATGATTTCAGTAAGGTTTTTGACAATGTCCCCCATATTTTTATCTTTATCTCTTCATCTGACTATTCTGCTAGACTGTTACTAACCTTTATCTTGTACCAGGATATCCAGCTCTTCCCTGATTCCATCATACCAGTTGGTGATATCCACATGGAGAGAGTAATCGCAACAGGATTTGGTGTCTGCTGCCTCGTGCCACTTTTCAAAGGAGGTTAATAGACTGGAGCTGGGTTCAGGAAGTACATGGTCAACTGAAATGAGGATGAAGTGTTTGTTAATAGGCAAATAAAGTTCAGTCCACATTTTACCTACAGATGGAATAGTACATGAAACAAAACAGGTCCTGAAACCTCTTGTTTCATTGCCACGCTGTTTTTGAAGGGCTTAAATAATAATAATAATAATAATAATAATAATAATAATAATTTATTTATACCCCGCCCATCTGGCTGAGTCTCCCCAGCCACTCTGGGCGGCTCCCAATCAAATGTTAAAAACAATACAGCATTAGATATTAAAAACTTCCCTAAACAGGGCTGCCTTCAGATGGCTTTTAAAGATAGGATAACTGCTTATTTCCTTCACATCTGAAGGGAGGGTGTTCCACAGGGTGGGCGCCACTACCGAGAAGGCCCTCTGTCTGATTCCCTGTAACCTCACTTCTCGCAATGAGGGAACCGCCAGAAGGCCCTCGGCGCTGGACCTCGGTGTCCGGGCTGAACGATGGGGGTGGAGAAGCTCCTTCAGGTATACAGGACCGAGGCCGTTTAGGGCTTTAAAGGTCAGCACCAACACTTTGAATTGTGCTCGGAAACGTACTGGGAACCAATGCAGATCTCTCAGGACTGGTGTTATGTGGTCCCAGCGGCCACTCCCAGTCACCAGTCTAGCTGCCGCATTCTGGATTAATTGCAGTTTCCGGGTCACCTTCAAAGGTAGCCCCATGTAGAGTGTATTGCAGTAGTCCAAGTGGGAGATAACTAGAGCATGCACCACTCTGGCAAGACAGTCGGCGGGCAGGTAGGGTCTTAGTCAGCGCACCAGGTGGAGCTGGTAGACAGCTGCCTTGGACACAGAATTAACCTGCACCTCCATGGACAGCTGTGAGTCCAGAATGACTCCCAGGCTGCGCACCTGGTCCTTCAGGGGCACAGTTACCCCATTCAGGACCAGGGAATCCCCCACACCAGCCCGCCCCCTGTCCCCCAAAAACAGTACTTCTGTTTTGTCAGGATTCAACCTCAATCTGTTAGCTGCCATCCATCCTCCAACCGCCTCTAGTTGTTTCTCTGTGCAAGGAAGAACTATTTCAATTAACTTAAGTTTGATCTTGCCTATTTCTTCCGAAAAGCAGGACACTGAGCTGACTAAGCCAGTAAGAATAGGTCATCGCCTAAGAAATATGTGCAGCCTTGGCCAATGCACACTTAGGAGTAAGCACCAAAGTGGCCCACGTTGGAAGCAACACCAAGCCATAGGGTTGTTGTTGTTTTTAGCATAACCCCAGCCTGTCTGCATGCCTGAACCCCAGCAGGCACACTAGCCATACTATGCTTGAGACAGCAAACTAGGATCATAAATCACAGTTTGTTGTTATGCCCGTTCTGACATCCTGGCTTCATCATAGCTTGTTGTCTTGCTTTGCCCCTGCTGCCCACCCAACTGCTGAGAATAAAATAGCCTGAAAATGAAGCCACTCTCAATGGCACTTTCACACACTGCTCTCTTCTCTCTTCCTAGAAATAGGCTCCTTTTCCCACCTAGCTCCTCACTGACAAATTCTCTCGCCCAGCTTCACTGTTTAGCTCCACTGCAGTCTTTCAGTTTTTTATATAAATAGACTACATTCATCTAACAAGGGGCATATGCTGAAATAACACCTTTTGCCAATCATTCTCAACAGTTTTGTTTATTTTATTTATTACCTGATTTGTATGTTACTTTTTAGGGTGCAACAGCCACTTCAAGACAATGTCCAAAATTTATGACTTAATAATAACAATAACAATAATAATAACAATAGCAACAACAACAACAACAATAAGGCATTATACCTGCTTAAAACTGAACAATATCCACTAAAACATTAAAAAAAAATTTTAAAGCAACAGCAGATAATAAAAAGACAGAAAATGTTTTAGTAGTTTCTTAGACATTTCCAAAGATGGGGTCACTCATACTTTCCAAGGGAGAGCGTTCATAACTATAGGGCCACCACCTGAAAGGTCCTGTATCTGGTACCCATCAGACTAATGCAGGGCCTCAGAAGCGGATCTGAAAGCCCAGGAAAGCTCATATAGATGCAAGTGGCCCTTCAGATAAGTTGGTACCAGCATTCTTGTTGCTATGTTCTGTACCAACTGGTTTCCTAACAGTCTTTAAAAACAGTCCCATAAGGAGCATATTACAGTGATACAGAGGATGTATCACTGAGCTAAGCTCAAATTTTCTGCACATGGCCACAAGTAAACCAGCCAAAGCCGGTGTGATCACACACTAAGATGAAATGTAAAGTGTTTTACTGACGTTATGACACTAAAACTGCTAAGTGGGGTCATACTCAGTTTTGGAGCGCATTGTTATCAGTATCCTGAGGACAGCCAGCTCTGTTTCTCATTTTCATCTTCTGCAGGTGAGGCAGTGGATGTGCTGAACTGTTGCCTGGTCACAAAGGACCAATGGACTGAAGTTTAACCTAGACAAGACTGAGATGCTGCTAGAGGATGGCTCTCCTGTCCAATTGAGTGGCATGCACTCCAGCGTCCCTCTGGATTACTGCAATGTAATTGCACAGGGGTGTCTCTGAAGATGATTCGGAAACTAGGCAGCATCGAACGCACCCACCTGATTGCTAAGAGTTTTAGGGCAAATGGATCACGTGGCACCGGCCCTTGACTCAGCTGCAGTGGCTGCCTGTTCATTTCCAAGTCCCATTCAAAGTGGTGATGTAACCTTAAATCTCTATATGGCTCAGAGCCCCACTCATGATTTGAACCTACCCAGACCCTCTGGTTTTCATCCAGGGCCCTTCTCTGGGTGCTCCTCTCATGGAAGTTTCGAAAGCTCTCCCCAGTGAGATTCACCCTGCTCCATCACTTAACACCGTCCCTATGCTAAGTAAAAACTTACCTATTCTCCCAGGCATTTGATGGATAATGATTATTATTATTATTATTATTATTACTACTACTACCGGTGGCGACCATTTTCGGCGCTTCCAATTGACGTATGATCACCGATGCACGGGTCCTTTCAGAGACCCAGAAGGTGGCAAAATGAGGGCAGAACGGGGAGAAAGGGGGTGGGGCATAATGGGGGCAGGGCACTCTTATACGCTGTCTGCCAACGCATGTGGGGGCTAAGAATGGAACCCCCATGTGAAATGGTCACTGCCTGTTTTATTTTGCTGTCTATTGATAGAGTGCTTTTGCTGCTGGAGTTCTTGCTGCTGTTTCAATAGATTTCTTTTCTAGATTATTTCCTTCCTTCCTTCCTTCCTTCCCCTTCACCCTTATGGTCCCAGGGCAGGTATTGTTACCATTGTATTACATTGTCCTTTTTCAGGGTTTTTTGCCATTCTTTCAGCTTTCAATTTTTTGAAGTCATTTGGAGACTTATGTGGTAAGGAACTAATAAACTGAAATAATAACAACAATAGTAACAATAACAACAACAACAATATATCCAATTAAAAATTTAATGTTTTCATTCACCAGCAGTTTGTTTTCCTTCAGTCTCGATAACCCATTTGCACATATCATTACAGCCACTGAAGCTTCAGCTATTACTATCTTTAATGGGGAGAAGGGTCTGGACTTGCTGGTTTGCTCTCCTGTGCCATATGAAATTAAACCTTTCTCTAATGCTTCTATGAATGGGACACACCCTCAGCTTTTCCATTATGAAGCGCTGAGCATTTCCAGTACTTACTGATCATGGTAGTGCCTCCTCCTAGAGCTGCCTTTGTGCCATGATAGAAATCATCAATAGCCATCATGCCTTGAGAGGGCTTCTGCAGGTAAGTATTGACATCGATGCCTCCAGGAATAACCATAAGCCCATTCGTCTCAATGGTCTTCACTCCACCAGGAACAATCAAATTCTCTCCTATTTGTCTGACGAAAAGGAAGAAGGGCTATTTTGGTTCTTTTGTCTAGAAACATTAACAACAATCTTGAAGGCTTCAAATATAAAACTCAACTTCAGTTGAATCTAATATTAGGGTCTAAGATGTGATTATACAGCATCCTGCATCCCAATAGATCTCACTGCATTTTTGCATGCATTTTGCAACCATAGATCCTGCAAATGAAAATTTAGCTACAGTATCTCATGGGCTGGTCTTTACACTGCTTAGAATTCCTACAAACTGCTTGTGTCATATACTGTAGCTTTCCTTACAGCACAGTGAAGCTATTACTATGTCCACTACCAGAAAGAATATCACAGCCAGCCCAAACCTGAGATGCAGTTCCAAAACATGCAAATCATAACACAAATGTTGGCAATGGAAGAATGGTGCAAATCGCCCATGCCTTTGTGAAGTTCGATTAACTATTTGGGTTGTATAGTTCTTCTGATAATATAATTGATTAAAGTTGTCAGTTGCTTCTTGCAAACCTCTCTTGCACTGTCCCTCTCATACATCTCCCAAATGGGCTCATAGAAGAATCACAGAATCACAGGATTATAGAGTTAGAAGGGATCTCAAGGGTCATGTAGTCCAACCCTCTGCAATGCAGGAATCATGAACATTCTTAAGATGTATCAGAACTTAGAAGCTAGAGCTAAAGGTAGACCCTGGAACCCCATGGACACAGTTGCCCGTAGGCAGTGCTACAGGGAAACAACAGCTACGCAGCTGTGGGGTGGCTGATCAGGCTTCAGTCATGCCAACTAAACATTTAGAGATGTGGTTCCCGATTGGCGGCCTGTGAACCTCAGGGATTCCGTGTAACCCACCCAGGGAGTCTGTGACACCATCCACATAACAAAAACTGCCACAGAGATATCAAAAATTTCAAAAGGAGGGAGTCTGTGGCTTGGCTTTTGAAAAACAGTGAGTGCACAGTACTTAGCTAATTGTGAACCACTGATTTAGAGAACGAATAAATTAAATTTCATTTATCTTATTTAACAGAATTTATATACTGCTTGATTTTAAGAAAACATCTAAGAGGTTTACAAAAATCCAGCCCAGTCATTCCAGGCACATGAAACACTTTCCACATTCTTTGGAGCATCACTGCATCAATGCGGTTTACATATAAATTGGGTCAATACCAAATACTGCAAATTTTGCTAAGTGGAAGGCTAGTTTGGCTGGAGATCTCACACTAAAGCACTAAAGGGTTTTCTCTGGAAAAATTCATACTGAAAAGATTTATGGAAAATTACACTAATCTGCAAAAACAAAACAGTTTTGCATCAGAAAAGTTACTGGTGCCTTAGAAGGTGATTTAGTTTAGTATGTTTATTTACCTGTATTTGTTTCTGTTCACTAACAACCTTGAAGCTTCCAAGCTTGCCTAAGATTGTATCTGCAATGGGCATTGTGACTAATGAACATATGAAATGGAAAACTTTCCACAGAATCCAGGACTGTGGCTTGTATCACTCCAGGCACCCCATGAGCTGCAACCAAAACTAATTTTTGGGTTTACAGCTCATCCTTTACCTGGAGCAAGACAAACCATGAGCCTCAATTCAGACAGCAACCTAAACAAACTATGGCTTAGCTCCCAGTGGTGCAACAGCAGGAGCAGCAAAGGCCTTACATATGAACCTGCTCATGGTATACTTCCTAAGGGGAAGAGCTATAGCCAACCATGAATACTAGAATTGATTTGCCCGCCTGCAGTTAACTTATGTTTAGAAAATGCAATAGCTTCCTCAGTTTAAGATAAAGTGAATGAGAAATTCTAATATCAAAGCATATGAATGCCATGTCCCTCACATTCTATATTAGTCTGTTGCAGAAAAAACACAAGTCAGGACTAACAAATTTATGTGGCATAAGCTTTCATGGGTTTAAGCTCACTTCAGCAGAGCTACATAAAGTGTTAATCCTCAAGAGGCATATATACAAACACCCAATTATACATAAAGCACACACATGTGCAGATAGAAGAAATATGAAGGGAATGGGCCTGAGGGTGGCAGACGTTGTTGTTACAAAACCACTCCAAGAGGCCCAGCAATGTGTGTGTCACAATACTATGCGGAGCACAAATGAAACAAGATCCATTCAGAAGATTGCAGGAGAACTTCATCTGCGAATTTACAAATTACTATTATGTGTTAATGCGAATTGAAGTTAATCATTGTAGCTGCGGTATAAGGGATTTTATCAAGAATGGATTGTCTTTGGTTTAAGCAATAGTTTGGAGGCAAAATTAAAGGGAATCAGACCCTGAAGTACAGCATGTGGGAAGCCATACAAAATTGGTCAGTGATGGCCATACTCGGCCCTTCAGCTGTTTTGGGACTACAACTCCCATCATTCCTAGCTAACAGGACCAGTGGTCAAGGATGATGGGAACTGTAGTCCCAAAACAGCTGGAGGGCCAAGTCTGGCCATCACTGGGCTATGTAATTGATTTGTAACTGAATTGGTATTGTTATTTGGTATTAATATATTTTGGTGTATACTGGATTTCTGTAATTTAAAATAAATAAAATTTATTTAACAAAAAAGAAGATTGAGACCCACTCCGAACCAGTAATAAACTGGACCACAGCAAAGAAGTTTTTTTTTGGGGGGGGGGGAGAATTCTATACCTCTTGCAATTTCTTACTTTATTTTCTGCTATTTCTCTGATGAGCAACCCCTCCCCCAACACACACCAAGGTATATCTAGTTTGGCCATCATAGTGTCAAATCTATATCCAAATCAGTAGTTTCACATGAGGACATCCTTTTAAAACAGCTAAGCCCCTTCTATGTTTGATGGAAATTCTTTGACTGGAAGTATATGCTTGCCTAACAGCTTTTATGCGGTGATTTCTACACTATACTAAGGGCATGTGTCCCCCACCAGAGGTTGTGCTACTTCTGGGTAGTTTGTCCACCTTTGGTCCTCACCCTGCACCCTTTCACGTGCGCCTCCTGTAAGCTGTTAGCATGTGACAGTGGCCACACCCCGGGAAACGGCTTTGACTACCCAGCTAAACCAGGGCAGCCAGTTGGTCTCAAACCCATTGAGTTAGAGACTTCCCCTTGCATGCAAAGACAGGCTCCAGTGGATGGGGTGGACAAGACCAATGGTGGGTTTCAATGGTCAAGAAAGTGGGTTTTGCGTGCACTGTAGGGGGAAATGGGGGGAGGAGCAGATGAGGCTCATCAACCTGGGAAGGTAGACCACTTAGGAGAAGGAATACTCTGACCCTAAACCTCTGATGCCTTGTGGGAAATCTTCAGGAGAAGAAAAGCCTAAGAAGTTGTTTAGTCATTTAGTCGTGTCTGACTCTTTGTGACCCCATCGACCAGAGCATGCCAGGCACTCCTGCCTTCCACTGGCTCCCGCAGTTTGGTCAAACTCATGCTGGTAGCTTCGAGAACACTGTCCAACCATCTCGTCCTTTGTCATCCCCTTCTGCTTGTGCCCTCCATCTTTCCCAACATCAGGGTCTTTTCCAGGGAGTCTTCTCTTCTCATGAGGTGGCCAAAGTATTGGAGCCTCAGCTTCACGATCTGTCCTTCCAGTGAACACTCAGGGCTGATTTCCTTCAGAATGGATAGGTTTGATCTTCTTGCAGTCCATGGGACTCTCAAGAGTCTCCTCCAGCACCATAATTCAAAAGCATCAATTCTCCCGCGATCAGCCTTCTTTATGGTCCAGCTCTCGTTTCCATACATCACTACTGGGAAAACCATAGCTTTAACTATACGGACCTTTGTTGGCAAGGAGATGTCTCTGCTTTTTAAGATGCTGGCTAGGTTTGTCAGGTTTTTTCCATACACAAATCCAGAAAGGAGTCCCTAAGATGGTTGGTGGCGCCTTGAACTCCTCCTTCCAGCAACTCCTGCAGCCCAGCTGGAGCCAAACATACTGTTCTGCTTTCCTTAGGACCACATTAGCGAGGATGAAAAGGAGATCTTGTCCTCTGGGCAGCCCAGGACTTCGATACACACTGCCCAGGCTTGCGTCCCAGGGAGGTCACTTTGGTGCTCCTAACACAGCGGTTTACACACTCCAATGTCTCTCAAGACAGATGGATGCCTATAACTAAGGGCATGTTCACTTACCACTTACCACTGTGCTCCCACTGAAAGTTTTTTAAGTCACATTCACATGGCACCTTGCTCAAGCCAGCTTCAATCTAACTAAAAAACTGGATGCAGAAGAAGTGGTTAATGTGGACAAATCCTAACACCCATCATACATGCACAGATGAGCAACCTGCGCAGATGACAAAATAGGAGTTAGGGAGGGCAGGTGTTGCAGGGGCAGAGAAACCAAAAAGTTCATGTCTGTTGGGTGAAGACATTCCCTCCCCCCCTAATGTTAACAACGCTGTGAAATGCAGTTTGAAACACAGAAGGGGTGTATGTTTGACCTTGCTAATGTGAACATACCCCAAATAGAAACTTTGGGCTGGAATCAATCCAGTCTACTGATATCAGAAAATACTGGATGGGGGAGCCTGTAGCTTTGACTATAGATAAGATGTGTTAAATAGGCAAGTACACCATAATGTTGCTAGCAACTCTTGCATCACCAAACATACACAGAAAGTTCAAAGTTTTAAAACTAACTTTATCAGCCCATCTTCCAGGTAAACATCTGCATAGAAGGAGTGGTCATCATTAATAATCCGTCCACCTTTAATGAGCAGGCGTTCACTCTGAAGGGGGGAAAGGAGAAAAAGAATTAGGTCTAATAGCTTACTTAAAAACATGTAGTTAACCATCAACAGCACAAGGTCTTAAGAGAACTGCAGTACGATCTTCATGTACAATATCACTACTGTAATTCTAGATTAGGATATCTGTTCTCAGGTCATATTTCCTGCTACTTAAAGTCAACTTCTTTACATCTAAAAACTCCAAAGTTTTTAGCCACCTAATGTGTCTCTGGTAACTTGTGAGAAATAAGTTCTGAAATGTTCAACATTATCTCCAACCAAGCAGATACCAACACAATTAGCACCCCTTTCTCAACATCGAAATGGACTGCGGCTGCTCTTCTTAGCAGTGTGCCAGGAACCTTCACAGACTGGCTTTTTTTTAGCAGGACCAGCACCAGTTCATTACCAAAGGAGATATCAGTGGAGAGCAGGGCTGTGGGGCTTGTGTGGTGGTGGGTGGCCCTGACTAAATCCTCTTCTTTGCCCAGTTCCACCTGCGAGCTAACACTTACTTTCTATTCCAGAAAACATTCTCCCAGTAGAGATCTTTTAGAACCCATTACCAAACCCAAAAGTGGCCAGTGTATTTGCTGAATGTATTCATTTTTCTTATTCTGTATCCAAGAGGTATGCTCCCCTAGCCTCTGTAATGGATGCTTCTGAAAATTAGGTGATTATAAGACACCATGTTTTCCTTTAATAGTGAAAAACTCCTGGTCAGTTAAAACCATTTCTTTGATATCCTTTTTATTTTCCAAAAGTTAGTTTGGTCAGAGGGGCTATTTATAGGGTCTACTACATTTTTCTGACTGACTGTCCAACCAGAAACACTTTCAATATTTGATTATTAAGAGTTTATGTGTGAGCATCTCTACAACAGACAATCCTGTCCTGCAAATACTTTTTTTTTGCTTCCTAAATTTTGTTTCTGGGAGTTCAAATAGGCAAGATAAGCTTTGCAGCCACTGAGTTGCTAAATCAAAGTACAACTCTCTGCAAGAATTTGGCTCCAATTTGTAACTGAGCAACAACAAAAAAATCCAGCAGACCTTTAATCTTAAAATAAGTCTTGATCATTTTGCTTATAATGTGTGCTAGAAATATGGTATGTTAACAGGTTTCGTGCATTTACATTTAGCATTGGACAGGATAAAGAGCCTCTGTTTGAATTTTCAGATACTGATGAAGCTAACCATTATAAGAAAGCTATATGAATTTGTTAATTATATTCTAAAATGGGTAACAGAAACAGTTCATCTAATTGCCCTGTATGAGCTAGCCTTTTCCCTGAAGAACTCCAACCACCCTGTGGCTCAAATTAAACCTCATCCTTAAAAAACGAGCATATACCCACAGAGGTGTGTTGTAATGTAGCTTTTGAAGGCGCAGGGAACCTGGCAGGAAAAATAGGGCAACTCTGTTTCCCTGACTCCTAGACTGCAGCAGCAGAGAAACAGTAGTTAAGGATGAGGAGCAGTTAAACTCAGAGATTCCCAAGCTTTAAGTCAGGGTGGAGACCCAGGGACCCTCCAGATGATCTTGGACTTTTGCACTGGCGTAACACCTTGGTTCCTGGACCTGCTCCTTCATCTTGACTAGCTGTCTAGTGTGCAGACTTTCAGCTGGTGAAGGCTTTCTTGACACAGAAACAAACAGAAGAGGAAAGTTTGCCGACTAAAAGTTTATGCATTAAAGAGACATGAGCAGGTGCATTAAAATAAACCAAGCTGCTCCAGCGACCCTGCCTTTCCCCCTGTGCTTCAAATTCACATGTTTTATCAAGAGGGTGTGATTAGAACCTCTTCATTTGTCTCACCTCCCTTTCCACCTAATTGGTTTGTTCAAAATAATTTTTCAAATGCTGTTTTTCTGTCAGTGAAAAGTAACTGTCATATAAACAGTTGGTGTTCTTTTGAGTGGCTGCTAGGAATTAGCACTCACCTGGTCCCTGGCTCTAAACTGTATTCACTCCTTCTGGTGCCTAAGGGGGAGTTCATCTCCAAAAGCCCCACAAGGAACGAGTCTGTTCAACAGCACAAAATGCCAAATGTCTGTTGGGGGCAAGAGGAGGGGGGTTGACATATTGCCCAGTTTGGTGCTGGTGGGGTTGAATGTCCTCCACATACTGAAAATTGTTGCCTTAATATCGCTGGACAGTTCTAAGATTCTTGCATCTTCCTTATGCAGTTAAGTTCCCGGCAACTTGTGGGACTAACGCCTAATCAAATTTGTCCCTGGACCCAACTATCCCTTACTTAATGTTGTGATCAGGATTGCAATCAAGAATTTCATCTAACATGCAATTTGAAACAGGTTTGGAGGTTCGTCAGATTTCAGAGGGGGAACTAATCAATGTTTTGGGGAAACAGACAATCCACACATCTGCACATTACAACCAGTTGCTGCCACAAGGAAAGTTAAAGCAAACGTTAAGGTTTTTTCTTAAGCTATAAATCTGAGAGGTTTTCATGAAACCTTGAGAAGTCTAGCAAGATTCTTAACAAAATAGATTTGCACAACCCTGGGTGTCTGGATAAACGGGTGGAGTCTCAAAGAGAAACAAGTACATTCTTTATTGCTTAAAATAAATCCTGTGAACCGCCCTGAGACCTATGGGTATGGGTGGTATATAAATTTTATAATAATAATATCCAGATAGATTCCTGGTTGCTCCCAGCAATACCTGGATTTTCAGAGGGAAACTTGTGGGCAGCACAGCTTCTCCTTTTCCATGTGGTGCTAGAGCGACATCGCACTGTATCACATCCCTATGTTTCTATCTGCGAATAGCACACAATGCGCCACCTGCCACCCTAGAGCAGGCAGCCTTTTGTGCACTTCACAATTTCCTGTGCGGCAGCATTTCTTCCTTCTCTGTGTTGCCCTTTAAAGGAAATCCAAACATGCGACCCTAATCACACTTACAGGGAGTGAGCCCCGTTGAACACAATGGGACTGGCTTCCAAGGAAGCATGTGGCAGGAATATGCCGCGCACCTCTTGACAGCCTCGTGGCAATTGGCGGAGGCCGGCGCCGGCGCTGCGCGAGGAAAGAAGCACATAGCTCCCGTTTCCCTCTATCGCGGCTGGGCGCCGAGGGAAGCGCCCCCAATGCCTTTTGCATGGGGAGATGTGGGGCTGGCTGCTCCGCTTCGGAAAACCAAGGGCGCCTCCACGATGGACATCAAAGCTCCCACAGAGCTCTTAGCAGCGCTGCTTCTGTCCTTAAGCCCCCTTGGGAAACCCCGCCGTGGGATCCTCTTCTGGAGACACCCGCCCCGATCCACACCCCCCCTCCCCCGGTAGGTGCTCAGCCTGGCGGGGGCGGCTGCCCCCTTGCCCGGGCGCCCTGCAGGCGCGCGCCCGGCTCCCCGCGCTCTTTTGTTCTGCCTGGCCCGCCTGGCTCCGCGCCTCTGCAGCCGGGAAGCGGCGCTGCTGCCCCGTCGCGGCCCCAGGGGAAGCCGCCCTCCCCGCGCCCAGCCCTCAGGGCGGCACACGCGGCGTTGGCCCCCTGGGCGACCCCCCCCCCCAGCGGACAAAGGGAGTCTTCCGCGCGCGGAGGCGCCGCGCCTGCTGCTCACCGTGATGCGCGGGATGCTCTTTTTGCCTTGGTGGCCCGACATGCCTCCGGCTGCGGAGAGGGGCGCGCCCGGCGGCGGCGGCACAACAAAGCGCGGCGGCGCCGGCCGAGGAGTCGCCAGGCAGGCAGGCGGGCAGGCAGGAGGGGCGCGGCGGCGGATCGAGGGAGAGGCTCTCCCCCCCCCCCCCGGGACTGGGGGAGGACGAGCTCCGTCTAGAGGCGGCTGTGGGGGCTGCAGCTGCCAAGGCCGCTTCCCCACCCAGGAAGCGCCTCCTCGGAGCCGGCCGGCCTGCCTCTCGCGCCGGAAAACGCCGCCTCCCGCTCGGCCCCCGGCCGGAGAAAAGGGCCCCGGGAGGGCCTGGCCCAGAGCGGGCGCCGCCACTGTGTCCCAGCCCCCCAAGAGTCCTGTCAGGTGCAGGACGGAGCCCGCCCAGAATCCTTCCGCTGCTCGCTCTGGCCGCAGAGGAAGGAAGCGCCCTTTGCCCGAGAGGGGGACATGGTCAGGGCACGGGGGCCCCGGAGGCGAACCCCAAAATGGCGCCTCCCCGTCGGGGAAGAACAGGGGCGCGAAGAGCTTCCTCGGGAACAAGCGGGGGAGGGGAAAAAGAAAGACCAGCTTCAGGATCTGCTAGATCTGACTTGGAGTGGCCGGCCCTGAAAGGTGGGGAAGAGGCTGGTGCTATTCTCAGCTTCTGTCATCATCACCCCATATTGTTCTGGGGTGCTTCACATCCCTGCGAAACCAGTTTGACCAGACATTGGACTGGAGGGGAAATCAGAGGCAGATATGCCCCCTTCAACCTCCTCAACGGTCTCTGGGCATCCGAAGGAACAGGACAGCCACCCGCCTTTTCAGCTGGTTCCACCAAAGGAGAGCTAAACAGGCCATCCTCTGTCTGCAAGAGCTTTTAAGCTGCCCTTTTGAGCACACAGAACCAAGTTACTGGAAGGCGTATACACACAAATAAAATTGATATAACTATGAGAACCAAGTAAACTGGCACATGTTTTCTTCAAAACCACATTTCAAATGATGGGCAACAACAATGGGGCTGAGGAGACACATGCGGAGCATACATGTAACTAGCGTGTATGTGTCATGATGGTTGCAGCTAAACATCAGTTGAAGACTGCTTCTCTGTGACTTTCCTAGCAATATGATGCTCACTGATGACAATTTCATATAGGAGGGAGACAAACTCTCTCCCATGCCATTCACTTCTTAAAACACAGTTCTGTGCAGTTTCTAATAGCCAGCTTCAAGACATCTCTGAAAATTAGTACTTTGGCCTCAGTATTAACTCAGTTCAGTTTTTCTTCCTCCCATATTTTCATAGCATCAGGTTGGTTATCTTAAATCTAGAACCCTGATTTTTCTAGGGTTCTAAATCAGGAAAGGGAAAGCATATATGGATAGAGTAGGGTCCTGCTCCTGAAATTATTGCTCCAACTTGTGGAAGGCAACAAGGGCCCAGAGCTAACATGCCCATCCCTGCTTTCCCTTACTGCCTGAGGGATGTGGAATGCCCAAACAGAATTACGTTCTTCATTATCCTACGCAAAGGATTGTATCCAGTGCTAGTCCTACTCAGACTAGACCCATTCAAGTTGGTGGACATGATTAATTTAGGTCCATTAATTTCAGTGGGTCTGTAATATTGTGAAGAAACAGATCCTGGATATTTAGAGGGTGGATCATGGTGCATGGCAATGGCAGGCAAGTCCAACCAGCCCTGTTTGGTGAGCATGTTATGGGATGTTTGGACTGTTATAAGCTTGGCTAACTGCAGTCACAATGGGTTTCAGTAGGGATAGTGGCAAACATCTTTCCCTTTAATTTCCCGCATGCCAAGAACAAATTATGGCCTTGAAAAAGTGATACATTTCTGAAGGCTTCAATATCTGGAAGAATTCCAATAATGACCTTGCTCAAAAGGTTTTGCTACAATTTTACAGTCTTCCCTTTCTCCAGTGTTCATTGCAATGCACAGCTGAAGACATACAGATGTCGGCAGGTCACAAATCACTAGCAAGTTTTCTTGTACAATAATAAAACAATGCCATTCTTTCAACAGCTTCCATTTCTGATCAAATCCTTGAAAGACGCTTGATTTTTCATTTGGGGGAGGAGATAACTGTAAATATCTGGATGCATACGAATGATATTAGGGTATGTGAACTAACCTTCCCAAGTCTTGCATGCCATGACAGCTAAACGCTAGATGTTCTTCCTTAACAAAAGGTTACTAGGCAGCCAATCCAGACGGGTTTCTTGATCAGCTCATTAGTCATTGTCCCCCCCACCCACTCGCAACCCCCATAACCAAACTTGACTGAGTGTTGTGATGCTCCAGTGACTCCAAATAGAAATTAGCTAACTGCTCAGCTTTTCTGAAAGAAAGGTCAAGCAAAGCACAGAGAAGCCATTGCCCATTGATGAGCTCAGAAAAGCTGGAACTGCACAACCAGAACTCCAGATGAAGACTGTCTGACTTTATAGAATTCAAAAATTCTTGAATTTGCAGGGCCTGCAACTGCTTGAGCTACTACCTAAAGTGTTAGCCACAGAGGTAAGATACAGTGTGTTAAAAGAGACAGTTCCCCAACACACATGTATGGCAGGGATAAGTTGATGTAAGTAATCATGAAAAGAGAAACTGATACTGACACACTTCAACCATAGGGCATTCATATTCAGAGAATTTGCACACAAGTTCTTAGCACCTGCATGCACATCTGACTGCCCTAGCTGAGCAGCCTCCGCTGAATAGCTTTCTTCCAGACTTGCAAAGGAAGGGGATTGTTGGCTGTCCTTGGCTGTTGACATCCTATCTTGAGAGAGAATGGACTGCAGCTCCAAGGGTGAAGTCAAAACCATGCATTAGCAGCACGGAAGCGACCTCCCCTTGATGCAAGCCTGGGCAGTGTGTATATGGAGGTCCTGGCTGTCCAGATGGCAAGACCCCCCTCTAGACCTCTCTGATGTGGTCCATCATTAAGATAGGGCTGTTTTGTATTAGTGGGCACTATGGGTTTTATTGAATTTGCATGCTGAATTGCTTTGACTGTCACTCAGAGACCTTTGGTTATGAGACGACAGCTAGAGAGAGAAGCAATTAAAATCAGATTTCAGCGGGGAAACACTTTTTGCCGTATATTCATGACATGCTAGCCAAGGGCCAAGTTACGTTTGATGAGCGGGAGAGAGCGCGATGCCCGCATTTCCCCCCGCATTCCTCCTCGAGAGACACCCCCGAGAACTCAACTGCAGCCCCGGAGAACCCAGCCCGCCGCTCCCCGCTCTCCTCCTCGGGCGCTGGCTTGGCCTGGCTGCCGGGCCTGGTGCGGGTCTCCTCCCCGCTTCCGCAGCGAGCCCTGCAGGGGGAGCCGCGACTGGGGCGGGCGGCGCCTGCTGGGCCTGGGGAGCCCCGCGCTTACCTTGCCATTGTGGGCGCCGCGCAGCGGCTCCTTGCCGGCCGGGTAGCGGATCTCGACGCCGGGCGCGCGGGCCTCCCTGTCGCCGCTGGGCGAGCTGACCACCGAGCCCGAGATCTCGCTGACGTCGCTGGCCGTCTCGCTGTAGCTGTCTCCGCCGGCGCCGTCCAGCAGGTCGTGGCGGCTGCCGCTGCGCGGGGTGCGCGAGCCCTTGCGGCCCACGCTGTAGGCGTCGAAGTCGATGGTCTTGTTCTCGTAGGCGCCCTCCACCGAGGCGAACATGCCGCCGTACTTCTGGCGGGGCGTCTGCGCCGTGGTGCCCGGCCGCGCCAGGTAGACCGGCAGGTCGTCCTCCGTGTTCCAGATCCTCTTCCTCTCGGCCATCCTCGCGCCACGGGGCGGGGGCCGCACGCACGGCCCGCGGGGCCCTTCGCGCCTTGCCGGGAGAAGCCGCCCGCCCGCTCCTCTTCCCCTGCCCGGACCGACCCTCGCCCGCCCGCCCGGAACACGTGAAAGAAAGTACAAAGGACGAGGCGGCGGGGAGGGGGCTGGAGAAGCGGCGCGGACGAATGGGAAGCGGCGAGCCGAGGCGGCGGCGGCGTCAGCAGGGATTGCAGCGCCGCAGCCCGGCCCGGCTCGGAGGCGGAAGGTCGCGCGCAGAAGCAGCGCACGCCGAGGGCCGCGCAGCCGGACGCCGGGGGCCCCGAGCCTCGCCTCTCTCCAGGGGAGGGGCTTCCCGGACGCCGAGCGCAAGGCCAGGCCGGCGCACCTCCAGCCTCCAGGGAGCGGCAGAGGCGGCGGGGCAGTGGCTGCCCGGGGCGGGCGGGCGGGCGGGAGGAAGGACGGAGGAAGCGGCGGGTCGCCGGCAGCCTCGTGGGGAAGGGGCGGTCTCGGCCCCGCCCCGCCCGCCCCTGCGCGCCGAGGGAGCTGTCCGTTCAGCACCACGGAGCCGCCGCCGCCGGGGAGCGAAGGGCCGGCCGAGAAAGAGCTCGGGGTTGCCCAAAGGCAAGGGCGCGCTTCGGGGCGGGGGGCGCAAAAGTCACGCCTCTGCAGGGGCTGGGAGCCCGCGGTCTCTCGGCCTTCCCCAGGCCGCTCCCTCGGTCGCTATTAGAAGGGTTAGCGGAGCGCCCAGTAGGGCCTGGAGGGGAGAAAGACGGAGAGAGCCTGCGAGAGCTGCAGGAGGAAAAAGGGGGAAAAGGAAGGAGGGAGGGAGGAGGAGGCAGAAGGGGAAGCAACCAGCGCAGCAAGGAAGGCAGACGGACTGATCGAGGAGAAAGCGGGCAGGCCAGGCCGAGTAGACCCGACGCTGATGGTACCAGGGGCATGGGTGCCATGCAGCGTGCACGGCCTTGGTACCGAAATTTGTGGGTGCCTAGCCCCTTTATGGGGAATTTTGTGGGTGCTCGGGCATCCAGGGCCCCAGGGCGCTGGCACCCATGCTGCAGAGGAAGTCACTAGCGGAGAACAAGAAGCAAACTGTTCGAGTTTCTGGTCCATGCTCTCCCGGCCTGGGAGGCACGGATACAGATTCTTGCCATTCTGCTTTCTAAACGTGACTATTGACAGTTCTGCAGACTGTATTCCGCAGTCAGATCTAGCTTCGGGTAGGTGGGAATAGCCAATTTTCTTCTTTTCTTCTTTTCTTTTTTTTTAAATAATATTTATTGAATTTTAAAGGGTTACAAAAAGAAAAGGTTAAAAAACCGCATATTAAAGAAATACAAAACATCACATCACAATAATAAAAAGGAAAGAAAAAAGAAAAAAAAGAAAAAAAGAAAAGAAAAACAAAATACAATGAATCTTCCCATAACTTATCTTTCATTTGCTTATTTCCTTGACCTCCTCACACCTCCCTTTTTTGTATTCTAGTTCAATTAGCTATTTCAGCAAGTCCTTTCCATCTTTTCCAGTTTTTGTCCTCTATTTTATCTTAATATAATGTAACTTTACTTTCCCTCTTTCACCATTTAGCAATCTATTTTTTCTTAATCCTTTATAGCATTTCTGCTAAAACCACATTATTTCATTCCAACATCCTTCTAACATTCCTTAATTTTACAATGTTTCTGTAAATAAACTTTAAATTTCTTCCAATCTTCTTCCACCAATTCTTCTCCCTGGTCTCGGATTCTGCCAGTCATTTCCGGCAGTTCCATGTAGTCCATACCTTCATCTGCCATTCTTCCCGGGTGGGTAAATCTTGTGTCTTCCAATACTTCGCGATGAGTATTCTTGCTGCTGTTGTGGCATACATAAAAAAAGTTCTATCCTTTTTTGACACCAATTGGCCGACCATGCCCAGGAGAAAGGCCTCTGGTTTCTTCAGAAAGGTATATTTAAATACCTTTTTCATTTCATTATAAACCACCTCCCAGAATGTCTTAATTCTTGGGCACGCCCACCAAAGGTGAAAAAATGTACCTTGTCTCTTTACATTTCCAACATTTATTATCGGGCAAGTGGTATATTTTTGCAAGCTTGACTGGTGTCATGTACCACCTGTAGATCATTTTCATTATATTCTCTCTTAGGGCATTACATGCCGTAAACTTCATACCTGTGGTCCATAACTGTTCCCAGTCAGCCATCATAATACTATTGTGCCCATTTAATCATAGTTGATTTCACCGTTTCATCCTGAGTATTCCATTTCAACAGCAAGTTATACATTCTTAACAAGTTCTTAGTTCTGTTTCCAATTTTGATTTTTTGGTGGGAATAGCCAATTTTCTTTCAGTTTTTGATAATCATGCAAAAAATGCAGGCATGTGGATGGAACAAATGAGGGGCAAAACGGTGTCTTCTTCAAATATTAAATTATTAGTTTCCTTTGAAAAATTACTTCATGTCAGCCAGTCTTTTGTATTCACAGCAGAAACCAATGCATGCTTACTCAGAAGTCAATCTCATTATGTTCAGTTGGGCTTAGCTGCCTTCCCAGGGTCTCTATAAAATTAATCTAAAGATTGAATATTGGAGGCAACTTATCTTACGTATGTGTGGACATTGCAAGGCAGCACACAATGAATACTAGGGCAGGATGGCTTGCTTTGAACTATTTCCAACTATATATATTTTACATTTTATTTCTTTCCATTAATCTGTTGGAGATAAATGTGTTGTACACGATCCTTTCCCCCAAGCATTTTTTCCTCACAACAATCCTGCGAGGTAGGCTAGACTGTGACACTCTGGTTACAGAACTCTCTCACCAGGAAGGCTTACCTACAGCCATTTTATTATCTTTCACCTTGCCCCCAAATTCTTGCCCTCTAGTACAACCACACCATAGGCGGACATACGATCCAATTTCTGAACATCTCCACCAACACCTTGGGGAAGCATATATTATATTATCTTTTAGGTATTGAATTCGGAAGTGTGCCGATGTTTGAGGAGTCCCTGAACCAGGTGCCTTCAGGGGGCTTCTCTGCCCCTGCCATCCCACTGCTCTCCCTCCCTGCTAGCTGGATGGATGGGAGGCAGGCAGGTGATGGCACAGAGGTTGGCTGGCAGATGCTACACTGGGCATAGTCGGCCAATCGGTGTTAAAAAAGGACAGAACTTTCTTTATGTATGCTACAACAGCAGCAAGAATACTCATTGTAAAGCATTGGAAGACACAAGATTTACCCACACTGGAGGAATGGCAGATGAAATTAATGGACTATATGGAATTGGCAGAAATGACTGGCAGAATCCGTGACCAGGGAGAAGAGTCGGTGGAAGAAGATTGGAAGAAATTTAAAGACTATTTACAGAAATATTGCAAAATTAATGAATGCTAGAATGATGTTGGATTGAAGTTAAGTGGTTTCTAGCTGTATAGGTACAAAAGAATATGGAAAAATTGGTTTTTAATATGTAAAAATCTAATGTTACAATATATCAAGATTAAGGATTAGGATTAAAAAGGAGGGAAAGGAATTGTTGGATTAACAAATTGAATTGGAATACAAAAGAGGGAGGTATGAGGAGGTCCGGGAAACAAGTAAATGTAAAAGAAGTGAGGAAAAGAGGGAATTGTTTTTAACTGTTTTTTTTCCTTTACTTTGTATTTTTCCTTTTTATTGTTAATTTTTTTTTATTCATGTGATTTTTTTTCCCTTTGAAACGTTAATAAATATTATTAAAAAAAAAAATCTGTGTTTCTTAATAGTTGAATATCATTACTGTTCCTTGTTTTAATTTGCATTGTAAACTGTTCTGGAATAAATACTTTATTTATTGATGTCTCATATTTATCGTATATCCTGCCTCTCCTCCATCATGGAACCCAAGTGCCATACATATGCTTTCCAGCCATAAGATGAAGAGCTGCACATACTTACCTTTAAAAATAATATAAAAAATTGCCTACCTGGTATGAAAGTTGTAGACATTGTGCAACAGGGGGATAGCCAGGTACTATTAAGGAAGGACTAGAAGAACCACTGTGCAAACTTGCATTAGGAATTCTGCCAGGGTGTTATGTATAACTTTGTAAAGAAAGTTAACATCATCTGCATGGAGCCTGAATTCAGCAGTCAAGATGCAACAGATAAAACAATAAGGGTCCCCCCTCTCCAAGGTTCATGGCTCAGCAGAGATCTGATTCCAAGTTGAAGTCCAGCCTGCATTCACCACGACTCAGTTTTGCCAATTCAGGAAGCAACCAATTGTTGCAAGAAGAAGAAGAGGAGTTTGGACTTGATATCCCACCTTTCAATCCCCTTAAGGAGTCTCAAAGCGGCTAAGAATCTCCTTTCCCTTTCTCCCCCACAATAAACACTCTGTGAGGTCAGTGAGGCTGAGACGTCAGAGAAGTGTGACTATCCCAAGGTCACCCAGCAGCTGCATGTGGAGGAGCGGAGACGCGAACCCGGTTCACCAGATTACGAGTCCACCACCACTACACCATATAACTACAATACGGTGGTTCAATCATATTGAAGGGTTGGTTTAAAAAATAATAATTCTAGAATAATGCTCCAAATCAGCTAAACATTTTTCTTCAACCTTTAGTCTAAGGTTCTTTACTCTCATATACAGGGGTACCTCGGGTTACATATGCTTCAGGTTACAGACTCTGCTAACCCAGAAATAGTACCTCGGGTTAAGAACTTTGCTCCAGGATGACAACAGAAATTGTGCTCCGGCGGCGCAGTGGCAGCGGGAGGCCCCATTAGCTAAAGTGGTGCTTCAGGTTAAGAACAGTTTCAGGTTAAGAACGGACCTCTGGAACGAATTAAGTACTTAACCCGAGGTTTTGTAACATACCTGCTTCCCAAGTTGCCCAATAACATTTTTTGCAGAGTATAGACTTCTAGATTTTTAAGCAAAACCACACATTTTACTTGTGCTTGTAAGCTGATTCCCAAAGCTGCAATTAAAACTTTTGAGGCTGATCTAATAAGCTTTATTCAAGGCTAATTTTTTTTTTCTTGTGAACAACACTGCCAATGAGTTACTATTTCAGATTACTTCTCACAGCCCTTTTTGTGACAAGAATATGTTTCTTGGCAGATTTGTTATTGTACTATATCCACCACTGCATAGATAATTCCATTTTCCATCTTTAATATCAAGTTGGCCAATCCTACTTTTCCCATGCAGGTCATGCTCAATTCAAAGTTTGCAGGTTGTTGGTTTAATAAGTTCATATTAATGACTTCCGTCTTTGGTGGTGGGGGATGGATATTTCAACAAGTTTTTTAAATAAAAAAAAATCACTCCCCTCTCCCAACATCACATGAATTTAACCACTTTGAGATCATTTCTGACTTAGCATGATTGTTGCATGTTTTCTATATTTCTGGACTGGTATTATGAAAATATTTTTGCATTTGATTCTTTACTCTTTTTTTAGGTTATTGCTTTCCCTTTAGCTAGCTTTGTACTTTTTAATGGCTAAGAAGATTTAGCCTGTTCTTTGCAGTTCATCTTTAATTAGAGTTAAATCTATGTGTAACTAATTAAACCAGATACAAAAAGTTATTTGAATTCATCCAATAAATACTCCTAATATCCCATACGGCTATCTTTGCACAATCTTTTGTCAAGAAACATTCCCAATAAGAGATTGTTTTATTTTTTTGCTATTGTAACTTTTCTTAAAGGTGAAGAAAGTGTATCTCTATTACCAATGCTGTAAAAATACATACATCACATTTTCTTCTGTGCCAAACATTGTGTGTCTTCATATTCTAACCCATTCTAATTTTTTTGTTTGGTTAGAACTTCTAAATATACTGTAAATGGTCAATATTGTAAATCCATATAAATGGGGTTATGGCCAGGTTTTTCCCTACCCTGGCAGCATTAAGGTGCTCTATTTAACAGGTTGTGTTTCTCTGAATGTTTCTTTCAGTAATCATTCTTTCATCCTCAGTTTTTCTAGCTCCAAACTACACAACAGCTTAAATTTCAACTGAGTGGTTTTTCCCTCTCATTTCATCATAGTAGGCTTGTCCAGAATTTTAGTTGTTAATACTCAACTTCCCCAGTCAAACACTTTCCAGAAACTAAATTTTGTTTCTGAGATCACGATAATCTCTTTGCAAGCATTTCAGTTTTCACAGAATTTCTAAGTTCTTCTTATTCTAACACAGGACTTGCCTCGATCCGCCTGGCCATTCTCTCCTCCTGGAGTCGTTTCTCCCTTTCTTGGTAACGTCCAGTCTTTGTAAGTTGGAGTTAGCTTTATCAAAGGGAAATCTGAGTCCTTTAATTCGTTCCGTTCTTGTAGTAGCTCTCAGTCTAGATTGAACCAGCACTGCTTCTTTGCACTGAAAGCTCCAGTGCAAATGTCTTTATGTGAAACGAAGACTGTGCTTTTGAGATCATGCAACTGGGTACAAAAAAGTAGGTGACTAACAATAACACTCACAGAGGTAGACATAGTTCAGACTGCTGTCAATAATGGCCCCTGCATTTTTATTCATTGTTTTGTATATAAATATAATAAATAATAATAAATAATTTACTTGTCTCAAAAGTGCACTAAGTTTCTTAGTGTGTGCTGGCTTATATCAACTTATCAAATAATTCCAGTTTATAGCTATAATTTTATAAAATACCTAGAGGAACCCAAATAGCCCACAGCTTAACATATAAATACAAACAGTTGCAAACTGCATCAAGGAAAAATAAAGAGACTTTGACTTCGAACTGCTTGTACAGTTTTGAAATTTGCACACAAATTCATTGGTTCAATCCAAAGGCCCTTTTCATACCCTAAGGAAGAGAGAGAATATAACAGATAGCAAGTAAGTTCATTGTTAGGCACAATTTGAAAAATCTTTTAGGCTTCTTTCTTCTAATATATGTCCAAAGTTGACAGTGCAAAAAAAAATCTTAGATTTTTAAAAATAATTAATTGGTAAGATAATCTAATTCAAGAACAAAAAGATACAGGAATTCATCCTGCACCTTTTTTTTTGCAGTACTCCTGAGACAAGCAAGTTGGATTAGACTAGATGAACCTTTGGGGTTCCTTCCAACTTTACAATTCTATGATGTTTGAAAGCCAGCTATACAACCAAGAGTGCCACATATTACTGTTCAAAAGCAATTCCTCCTAATGTGCTACTGATCTTTATAAAGGGGGACAGGCTGGGGACTGATATGTGTCAAAATCCCCAGCAAACTACTTTCCAGTGTGTTGCTAATTAACAGCTACTAGCTATCAAACACCGGACGCGGGTGGCACTGTGGGTTAAACCACAGAGCCTAGGACTTGCCGATCAGAAGGTCGGCGGTTCGAATCCCCATGACAGGGTGAGCTCCCGTTGCTCAGTCGCTGCTCCTGCCAACCTAGCAGTTCAAAAGCACGTCAAAGTGCAAGTAGATAAATAGGTACCACTCCGGTGGGAAGGTAAACGGCGTTTCCGTGCGCTGCTCTGGTTCGCCAGAAGCAGCTTAGTCATGCTGGCCACATGACTTGGAAGCTGTACGCCAGCTCCCTCGGCCAATAAAGAGAGATGAGCGCCGCGACCCCAGAGTCGGTCACGACTGGATCTAATGGCCAGGGGTCCCTTTACCTTAGCTATCAAACACATACTATATAGTACTAATTGTGAGAATTACCTTGTGCAAGCTAAGCCACGACAAACACAGCACTGATTTCTTATCAATGTGGCAGCACACACATTACTTAAGAGGCAAATGCAGATCGGCATGGAGCCGTTAAAAAAATCTGGCACCATGTAGAAAGCTTTTTTGTGTTTGTGTGTTTGTATTTTTAAGAGCTGTCTCACTCTTGAGCAGGCTAGACTCTTATTATCCAAAATCAACCGGCTCCCCAGGGTTCCTTCACTTGACTCCTGCATCAGACTTTTGCCCCAGCAGAGATTCTTAGCTCACCTGCATGCTGAAGTAAAAGTGACCAGAGCTTGAACAAAGCTAAGCAAGACCCATAGGGGTTAAAAATACGAATCTCCTCTGAAAAGTAATTTTCTCCTATAAAAGGGTTCTCTCTTAAAGGAGTTACAAAGGGATACATGTTATGAACCAATTCAGTTGCGTTCTCAAACTTTTAGTACAGAATTTATGGATAGCATTGAAGATCTAGAGTTTGGTCATTTTTATTTCATATTTCAGCCTTTTATGGACATTCCCAAAAGGAGATTTTCAAAAATTAACGAAATCTAACAACGAATTAGCTTTGTAAAAGAAAATAAGAATACCAACCATATATCCTTTCGCTGTAGATTCATCAAGACCACAGGATGAATGCTAATGAGAAAAACAGAAAAAGAAACAAAAACTATAAAGTAAGGTCAAAAAGAAAAGAAGAAAAAGAAGAAAAAAGATGTAAGATATGCAATATTGATTCAGCGGTATCAAACCTCAGATTGCTAGGACACTATTTTTAAAAATGCAGTGGGCCATACTATACTGACTATACTGCTTTTCATAATTTCATGAATCAGGAGAAATAAATCCATTGATGACAATGTTAGCAATTTCCGAGCAACATTCACATTCCTAAATATTCAATGCTGGCAAATCCCACAGAATGGAACTAGACAAATCTGTCCATTCTAACACTGCAGTCTCTTGGGTGTGCCTTATGTGTGTGGGGTCTAAGACCTGTGTGTTGTTGCACCATCTTGCCCCATACAGAACGGCTTCTTTGTCCCATACAGAAGAGCTGCTTTGCAAAAAGCGTGCAATGCAAGTTCTAGTTCTCCCTGATCCACCTGTTTTACCTATGACAGGATTGTTGATGTCCTACTTCTACCACATTACAGGTAACTCGCATCTTATGCTCATTATATTTGCACAATTGCAGCTTTACATGGACCACCAAAAATAATTAAATGAATGTCACACATGTGGGGAAAGGAGGCGGGAGAGCGGGGGGAGGGAAATGGCCAGCAATCCCATCAGCTATTGAGAGAGTGGTTGGGTGTAGTTGGAGAGTCGGTGGAGTGTGGGGAGAGAGTGGAGGAGGTAGCAGGGAGTTTTGGAAGTGGCTGGAGAAAGATTGGAGGAGGCAGGAGAAAGTTGTGGAGGAGTTGGTTGGAGAGACTGCAGAATGGCCCCAAAATGCAGGGCCTCAGCATCAGCTACTGAAAAACCAAAGAAGCAGAGGGTGGTTCCCACGCTGGAAGAGAAGGAGGCTGTGCTGGACTGCTTGAGGGCTGGCGTGGGCCTCGTGGCATGCAAATATGGCCAGAATGAATCCAGCATCTATGCCATCAAGGTGGCTGAGAAGGAGATCTGTGGTGCTGTGGCAGCAAGCAAAGGTGATCACCCACATGCCCGAAAAGGGAAGGACAATTATCTCCCTCCTGACCTGTGTACAGTATTGGCACTCCAGCAAAGAGGCCAAGGTGACTAGAGTAACAATTCTGGGCTGGTTCCACAAGTTATTCATTCCAGAGGTGAGATGTTCTCTCAACGAGAAACACCTGGAGTTTAGACCATGGGTAGGCAAACTAAGGCCTGGGGGCTGGATCTGGCCCAATCGCCTTCTAAATCCGGCCCGCGGACAGTCCAGGAATCAGTGTTTTTACATGAGTAGAATGTGTACTTTTATTTAAAATGCATCTCTGGGTTATTTGTGGGGCACAGGAATTTGTTCACCCCCCCCAAATATAGTCTGGCCCCCCACAAGGTCTGAGGGACAGTGCACCGGCCCCCTGCTGAAAAAGTTGGCCGACCCCTGGTTTAGAGTGTTGCTGCTTAGGGACAATGTTCCTGGACACCCCAAGGCACTCCCCTTTGCACACAGCAAAGAAGAGGCTGTCCCTCTCTCCCCTTCTCTCTCATCCAGCCTCTGGAACAAGGTATGATTTGCTGCTTCACCCGCTGCTTACACAAAGCTCACCTTCTTCTGAATGATTGGGGAAAACCCAGCCAGATGGGCAGGGTATAAATAATAAAATTATGATTGTTGTTATTAACATGATGGATACTGTTCCGGAACTTAACCTCCTCAACTCCCTCTTGTCCTCATATTATCCACTGAAAGTGCAGCATTTTTAAACAGTTTTTTTTTAGTTGTTCTGGCTTTATGTGATTTTGTGTATACGTGTGATAGCCAGGAACATAACCCTCACGTAAGATGCGAGTTACCTGAACTTAGAAGAATTCTAATGACAATGTGCATTTTTCCAAAACAGATTAAAATCTGAAGCTAAAAAGAAATACTGAGAAGACCAGAATTTACAGTATTATTGGTTTGAGAATAAACTACCTTTTCCTCAATTTCTTTGAGCTGCCGCTTCTGAAGTTCAATTTTCTCTTCTAGCTCTCGAATTCTCTGGAATAAACAGGAACATTTTTTTTCAAGGTAAAAAGGCATATCCTATAGGTTGTCAAACAATATCCATCTTTTACACACTCGAGAGCAGGGGCTGCCAACATGGTGCCCCAGATGTGCCTGGGCTCCAGTTCCCATCTGCCCCAGCCAGCAGGGCCAATGGATAATGGGAGTTGGGAGCCCTGCAACATTTGGAGGGGGCACCAGGTTGGCTATCCCTAAAATAGAGCAACCAACCACCTGAAAAGATTTGAGATCTGCTTCAAAGCTCTGTACTAGAATTCAAAAGATGAACACAAGAACCTTCTAAACCTAACACACTGGACCAAAACATGACACCTTTTCCTTGTTACTCTTCCACTGAGGTTTGACCAAAGCATAGGCAAAATCACAGCAGAAGCTTTTGAGTTCTTAGGGAAAAACATTTCAAAAAAGAAGCCACTCTAGAAACTGTGTAGTCGGTTAGTTCCTGGGTCCCATGGAGGCGAGAGTGAGGAGGAAGCCAGTGCAGACCTGAAGGCTAAGCAGAGCTCCCTATCATTCCCAAATAAAGCTGTTCATGTTTGAGTTTGCCTGAAGTGACTGGAGTCTGTTTCTAAGGATGGCAGCTCAGTGGATTCCTGAAATCAACAGCTTTAGTAGAAGGAAAATTAAATAAAATAGCCAAATAATTTGGGATTATTCCAATCTGCCAAATTCAGAAGGTGATCTCTGCCACAGCTTCTTTCAATGTCCAGTCTCTTAAGCCATTTATATTTTCAACACTAGAGGAGTGGCCTAGATGGTAGTGCAGATTTTAGTGCCTCATAACAGTCTCAGGATGAAATAATAAACCTGAAGAGGCGTAAACACCCTGACGTACTTAATGTGAGACCAAGCAGATGAAATTCTGCTCTCACTCGAGCTGAGTCAAGATCATCTGAAGAAATATGACAAAGTGATTGGAAGATTGGAGAGGCATTCCAGCGGGCCACCAGGGAATCAGTTGAAAGGCCATCAACATGGGATAAATCATCCCCTGCCAGTCTCTGGAAACCATTTGGATCCATTAAGCGGCAGGGGCAGACCATCCAAATCTGTCCCACCTCCCTGCAGAGGGGAGAAGTCGCAGAGAAGTCCAGTGTAAAAAGTTGAGCTAGGGGTTCTGCCCACCAATCTATGAATGTCTGAAATAATTCTACTGATAGACCAGCTAGCCCTGGTGATTTGTCCGGTTTCAAACTATTAATTATCTCTTGAATTTCCTCCTCTTTCACCCTTGGTCACTCCTTTAGTTTATCTGGTTTGTTATCGTTGGTCTCCTTTCCATAAAATTTACTATGTTGATCGTTAAACATGGATATGAAGTACCAAGACCACTTAGATTTTGCAAAAATAAGTCAATGCAATGGGTCAATGGGAGAGGGTCAAGGGACAGCAACAGGGCACCCATGGGGGCAGCAGTGCCCATAAAGCAGATAGAAGCCAGAAGCAAAAGGAACAAAGAAGGTTGCAACAGAAACTGCCCATGGGAATAGTCTAAAAAGTTAACACTCTGAGTCAAGAGGACAGATGCCTTTAGCGCAAAGGGAAGAGAAAACAGAAAATAAAACAGCCCAGCTAAGGATTCTGTGTGCTATATTGCAATAAAAAGGGACAATTTGCAAAGGTATGTTTTACAGGTTCAGCAATCCCATTAACTCTATTTAAATTAAAGTTCAAGAACAGCCTCTTAAAATCTGACTAAAATCTGAGTAGCAACCGTGGAATGTTCAGAACTATTTTGCGGAGTAAAAGCAAGGAAATAAAAAAAAAATGTTTATGTGCTGGATGAACTTGTTGGGACTAAGAGCATGTGAAGACGTGAGGAAAGTTATATCAACCATAAAGTCAAGGGATCGACTGGAAGTGTGCTGGTCCAGGATCCCAGGGTTTAACAATTGATTGGCTATTCCCTGTCCCCCCCCCCCGTTTCTAGAGTTGAAGGTGATCAAAAAGGGGGGCAGTGGCAACAACTAACAGATTGTAAGACCCAAGTGGAAGCACTGCAAGGATGTTGTGCAGGTTTGGGTACCGAAGGGGGTGTGAGAGGCTCTCTTGAGTGTAGGACAGTAGCTGAAAGTCTGTTTAGAAGGACAGCTTCTATTTGACAAGGTCCTATAGAAATAATCCCCAAGAGTTCCATGAAATGGAGCTACAGCAAAGGCCAACAATGAGGAGATCCGATCATCACCACGGAGACTACCAAAGGAGGAAGAACCTGGTGAGCTGGAATCTCCACCATCATCCTAATGAACCAGGAGTGGTTGGGAAGTGAGGCCACCACAGCAGATGGACTTGTAAATCTGAAACAGATCCCAAAGGGGGAAGGGATAATACTGGAGCTAAAATGAAACAGGGCAATGTGTTAATTCCTGTGAAGATGAGTGGAAGGAGAAAGCCAGTGTGTACCTGGAGGCCACAGAGTAAGCAGGGCTCCCTTTCTATTATACTTAAATAAAGGTGTTCATGTTTGAGTTTACCTTCAGTGGTTGGAGTCTGCTTCTAAGCTTCTTGCCTTCATTTTGTTGCATACCATATCCAAATGTAAGTTCATTACTTTTGGAGCTACAACAGTTTCCCAAAAAGCAATCCAACCGATTCATATGTGCAGTGCACTGATATGTGACCTTGACAATGACCTTCAATTTCACTTTTGAGGGTGGCATCTACCCACAATTTATCCTATGTAAAACTGATCTGGCATGGACACCTGCTTTTAGCTCATTGGCACCATTAATTTATTTTGCTGAAGCACTTTCTGGATGTTGTCCGAACTACTATAATACAAAACTGGAGGTTTATCAAGCAGCTTAGTAGCTCTTGTGACTCATGTAATTCTTATTGGATTTACTTACATTAACAAATCCATGAAAACAATGTGGTAATTTTAGCACAAGGCAGGTTCAAAAGGACTCCCTAAGCTGCTTATAAACTCAGCTTGAAAACCTTTGAAAGGTTCAGTATGATTTACAAGATATGCCTAAGGAAGAGCTCTTTCAAACAACATCATCCTGCAACTAAACACATGGTCTAGAATACGAAAAATAAGAATCGCCAGAATGAGAAATATCTTGCAGCTCACAACGGTAAGGAATTTCGCTTTCAAAACAACTGAAGTGGTGCCACTGTTGATGAAAATGCTGAAAGGTGCATAGACAAAAAGGCACGTTTATTTGTTATATAAATGTTATATAATGAAACTGTGAATTAAGATTAAGGTTAGAAATCAAAGATGTTGAACTGCTAGGTTTTGCAAACTGGCTGTTCGTCACAGTCCAGAGAGTTGAAAGACTGGCTTCTTTCATACACAGCAAGTTTCTCTCTCTCTCTCTCTCTCTCTTTCGAGGTCACATTTAGCACAGTTATTGAAACTTTCCTAAGTTTTACCATGATGGAGGAAGTTGCAGATGTTATTTGCATGTCTGCCCCATCCAAAGAGGGGTGTGTGTGTCTAATTTTTAAAACAAAAGGGATTTATGGATTAGGGAAACCGAGCCCTTTCTCTTTCCTTCCATTACTACACTGTGCTCTATCTCTTGAAACACCTTTCTCCAGGCCCAGCTCTGATACCAGAAGTGACTCAGGGTAGGCAGAAAGATGCCTAAATGGAAACAACGGCCTAAGGGGATGTCAGGTGGGAAAGGTGGGGCTTTAGCTCCGCTCACCCTTTTGTGGTCACAATTATACTGTCTCTCCTTTGAGACATGAGTGGAGCAGATATGGGAACAAGAAATGTGTCCATTAGTAAGTTGCAGTAAAAACGTTCCAAGTTAGTTGTGCAATGTCTGTTGCCTATATTTAGAACGCTCTCTTACCTTGAAGCAAGCAGCCCTCAAGCTTCCTGTACTTCTTCCAGTTTTAGACACACCTCACAGAGGCTTTGGGATGCGGGTGGCACTGTGGGTTAAACCACAGAGCCTAGGACTTGCCGATCAGAAGGTCGGAGGTTCGAATCCCCGCGACGGGGTGAGCTCCCGTTGCTCAGTCCCTGCTCCTGCCAACCTAGCAGTTCGAAAGCACGTCAAGTAGATAAATAGGTACAGCTTTGGCGGGAAGGTAAACGGCGTTTCCGTGCGCTGCTCTGGTTCGGCAGAAGCGGCTTAGTCATGCTGGCCACATGACCCGGAAGCTGTATGCCGGCTCCCTCGGCCAATAAAGCGAGATGAGCGCTGCAACGCCAGAGTCGGTCACGACTGGACCTAATGGTCAGGGATCTCTTTACCATTACACAGAGGCTTGATTATGGAATATCATAGCCCTTTTGTATTCCAACTGCGTATAAGGGCAGGAAATAATTTGACCTTTGTAAGAATGCTGATATATGCAGAATTCATCATGCAAAAGGCTGGACTGGATGAATCCCAAGACGGAATTAAGATTGCCGGAAGAAATATCAACAACCTCAGATATGCAGATGACACAATTCTGATGGTAGAAAGTGAGGAGGAATTAAAGAACCTCTTAATGAGGGTGAAAGAGGAGAGTGCAAAATATGGTCTGAAGCTCAACATCAAAAAAACTAAGGTCATAGCCAATGGTCCCATCACCTCCTGGCAAATAGAAGGGGAAGAAATGGAAGCAGTGAGAGATTTTACTTTCTTGGGCTCCATGATCACTGCAGATGGTGACAGCAGTCACGAAATTAAAAGATGCCTGCTTCTTGGGAGAAAAGCGATGACAAGCCTAGAGAGCATCTTAAAAAGCAGAGAAATCACCTTGCCGACAAAGGTCCGTATAGTTAAAGGTATGGTTTTCCCAGTAGTGATGTATGGAAGTGAGAGCTGGACCATAAAGAAGCTGATCGCTGAAGAATTGATGCTTTTGAATTATGGTGCTGGAGGAGACTCTTGAGAGTCCCATGGACTGCAAGAAGATCAAACTTATCAATTCTGAAGGAAATCAGCCCTGAGTGGTCACTGGAAGGACAGATCCTGAAGCTGAGGCTCCAATACTTTGGCCACCTCATGACAAGAGAAGACTCCCTGGAAAAGACCCTGATGTTGGGAAAGATGGAGGGCACAAAGAGAAGGGGGCAACAGAGGACGAGATGGTTGGACAGTGTTCTCGAAGCTACCAGCATGAGTTTGACCAAACTGCGGGAGGCAGTGAAAGACAGGAGTGCCTGGCGTGCTCCGGTCCATGAAGAGTCGGACATGACCAAACGACTAAACAACAACAAGAAGAATGCTGCCTGTGGCCCCATGAGATTTTCATTGCATGGACTTGCAGTCTCCTCCCTTCCTTTTCACCATGCACTACCTTCCATCCTCCAATCAATTGTACCTGGTGAAATTTTTGCCATTTATAGCTGTCAGATCACGTGGTAATCACAGACAGATCTTAGCCAATCTCTTCCGCTGGGGAATGGTTAGGTATGTCATTTCACTAATCAGACAGGTACTAATGTGCAGAGCTTTTTCAGACATCGTTTTCAAACTATGGATTGGCTAAAAACACTGCAGAGCGAACACTTCTTGTGTCTTCTCCCTCTGGTTTATCAATACCGCACTACAGCCATTAAATCCAGGACAGATTTGGACTTTGCAGGTTCCGAGAATGGAGCTTTGTGCTTGCACACGGAGCACGTTTTAAACTGGGACATGAGAACCACTTTTCCAGCAATACAGCATGCATAACTTAAAGATCCCCAACTGAAACTGGACTTTTGAGGGAAATGTTAGAACATGGCAGGGTGAAATAAAAGTGGCAGCAGAGTCCCAAAGTGGTCAAAGGAGGGACATAGTGTTGGGCACGGAAAGTTCTAGGTTACCTGCTGGGCTTGCTGCAGCAATTCCATGCGCTCATGTAGAATCTGGCAGTCAAATTCACGGCTTTGCCTCAGTATCTGTCTCCGCACCTTTTCCACGGCAGCGCACAAGTCCTCCCTCTGGGCCTCATTCAGGGATTCACTCACCCTCTTCCCTGGCTCCTGCTGCAGAGCGTTGTAGAGGGTGGCTTCCAGCTCCTGGATTTTCTAATGCAATGCAAATGATATTCAAGAGAGACTCATGTTTGAACACAGGGAGCCACACAAGACGGTAACAACAGAAAGGCAAAGAAGCAAAGCTTGCAAGGCATAAGGGCACAATTCAGCAGCAGAGAAGCAGCTCCCACAAGAGGTAAACAAGCAGAGAATGTCTTGTGTGAAGGGCTCACATCATAATGCTATTATTCAAATTTATGATGTGTCTGCACTTTGCATCCTGTGTACAATTCTGGTTGCCTCACATCAAAAAGGAAATGGTAGAGCTTGAAAAGTTTTAGAAAAAGGCAACCAAAATTATTAATGGGCTGAAAGAACTCTAACAGGAGGAAAGGTTACAACATTTGGGGCTTTTAGCTTAGAAAAAAGGCAAACAGGATGATGGCAGCATGATACAGGCATACAAAATTACAGTGTGTGGAGACACTGGATAGAGAAAAGTGTTTCTTCCTCTCTCATAGTAAGAGAATCCAAGGCTGAAAGTTGGATGGTTCAGAGTCGACAAATACAGTAGTTCTTCAAATAGTACTTAGTTGAACTATGGCATTCCCTACCACCAGCTGTAGGAACGGCCACCAACCTAGGTAGCTTTAAAAAGGGGTGACACCGTTTTATGGAGGATGAGGCTATCAAGTCAGGGTGTCTGTGTAATACCTTCATACCTGGGAATCACAAGTGGTTGTGCTGCTGTGCTCAGGTCATGCTTTGAGAGCCTCCTATGGGCATCTGGTTGGCTACTGTAAGAACAAGATGTTGGACTACATGGACCTTTGGTCAGAACCCACAGGGATTTTCTTGTATTCTTATCATCACATTCCTTCATAAAGGATCACCAAGATCATGGACTAGAAGCCCAACTCATGTCCATGAGCAGTTGCGCCTTCCATACTGCATACCCAACTCTAGAGAACTTGCTCTCATTAGAGACAAGGTAGGTACCATCCCTGCAAAGGGTCAGCCCCAAAGGCAAATGATTTTATTTCAGAAGACCTCTGCACCACAAATGCTCTTCTGATGTTTTATTCTTCAGAGTTTTAATTTATATTTTAATTTCTGCACGTTTTTATTATCCAAGTCCCTTTGAGACCCAAGTGGGGTGAAAAGTAGAATATAATTTTAAATCAATCAACCAATCAATCTTTCTTATGATGATCACAGATCAGCCACTAAATTACAATCAAACAAATGCAATTCTACAGTTTTTGGCTAGGGAAAGACTGTTAGGAACTAACAGCATGGCAAAGAGCTAGGCTAAATCACCAGCCAAGCTTTGTAACCTTTCCTTATTGGTGGAATTGCTACACCCCTTTGGTCATTTTGGTTGCCTTTTTAAACAGCGGGAGCAAATGCTTTGAAAGAAAAACAAAATGCATACTCTGAGCCAGCAAGATAGCAAACCAAATGCTACTGCACGTGCTTCTCTATTTCATCCTGACTCTAACCAGTAAGCTTTGTGCTTCCACTATAGTGTAAAAAGGGACACCCACCACCTTTGTATTAATGCTGGGCCATTTCTTTAACTGGCTTTACACCCATCCCATTACAGGAGGAAGGACAAATAGAAATTCTAACAAACTTTGAGTTGGGCGACCAATTTACAAGAAATTTGCAAGGTAGGGTTGGTTCGCCCTGCTTTCCAAATACAGTGACCAAGGGTGGGTTTCTTACTCTTTTTTTAACCCTTCCAAAGAAGCTTTGTCAGCTACCATTAGTGACACCTCATGCTGCCCACAGCTGCCCGAATTCCTTGAGCCTGCTTTCCCACTCCTGTGACGGCCATGGAAGCAATACTGCCCTCAAAACACTTCATCCACAAGGGAGGTAAGTCAACCCACATCTCTCTCTCTCTCTCTCTCTCTCTCACACACACACACACACACACTCTCCTATACATTTTTCACAGAAAAGAAAGGAGAATTCACTGTCCATTTTCAAGGGGGAAGAATGGTCCTGAGAAAATGGAAACACAGTTTTGTCCAGCGCTAGGGTCCACCAGCTGGTTCAAGTGAAATTCTTCCTGTTGCAATTCCCTACCATAGGCTAGCCTTTTTTGTGATATCGTAAACACATATTGGTCAACACTGTATACGGAGAGGATTCTCTGAAACCAGGGTTCTTGTTGCACTCAGGATCTGAATTGTATGAGTGGAACCTGCCACCAGGCCCACGCAGAACTTGTCTGAGGCCGGAGTGGCGTCTTATTAGAATAAAGTTAAAGCTCAAACAAAAAAGCAGCCTGGTGCCCCCATTTTTAAGTGAAAATTGATCAGTCTCTGCCTCTTCTGTCTACCTGTTTGGCAGTTGAAACTGAGAGAGCAAAGTTGCCTGGCAGCTTGTAAGAGTTTCTAGAAAAGCATTGCCCTCATACTTGGAAAGCCTAGAAATAAACTTGATTTCTGTAGGACTAGAATCAATGTGACTAGCTTGAGCTGAACTCCAGCAATCGTAGTTTTAAAGAATGGAGGTAACAACTCCCAGAACTGCCATTGCAAGAACACAAGAACAAGAAATTTCAAACCTCTGCCACAAGCGGTGTAAGTATTGCAATCCGTTTAAACTTTGCATATGCTACTTAAAACACCTTAAAAAACAGTTCTGGCCCTTTTTATCTATCTCAACTAGGCAGTATCTAGGTCCTTCATTTAGCAGAACAGACAGCATACATGCACACATATGAATTTTACTTTCAGCAAACACACAGATTTCCTACCATATAAGCCTGGTCCAGAGCTTGTTTCCTGTAGTCAAGTTCTTCCTCTAAATAACCCTTCTGTTTACTGAACAGGTCCTGAGTAATAATAATAATAATAATCAGCTTGACTCAAAATGTCACAAGCCTTGGCAGATCAGGTACCCATAGCTAGCTAGTCCACAAAGGCCAAAAAGAAAGCGAGATAACATGCGCCAAGGAGCAGGTAGACAACAGTGCTGGGTATAGAACTTTCAGCTCAGCACTAAGAAAAGACAAAGATTTTCCTATTTGTTTCTAAACTTGGTGTCTGCTGTGCAGGAAGAAGGGGCCGCTTTACCATCTGCAGAGGCCACCCAACTCTGCAGAAAAATTGTGGAAGGGTTTCATACAACCCCCCACACCCCCAAAACTGCCCCACCTAAGGGTGGCACAGGTATGCTTCCTTAATGGTGGTCAGTTAGATCCTGGGCAGCAGAGGGCAGTATGGGTGCGAGCTCTGAGTGACTGAGTAGGTATTGGCCCTGCTTCATTCAGCTACAGCTTTCTTCTCCCAGGCCTTTTCCACACTTACCTTTTGCTCTGTGCTTTAATGATCTGTGTCCAAGCACTTTTTTTTTGCCCTGCTGCTTTCCCCAGGAAAACTTGCTCTTTAATGCTGAAGTGGAACAAATGGCAATTCAGATTTTCTGTGGACTGCTGTTTGCTTTGATTCAGCAGTAAAGAGCAGGTTTTCACTTGTACCTTGTACCAAGGAGTCTGCAAGCAGAATAGAACAGAGGCCTTAGCTTGTTTTCCATTCCATAGTGAAGCCGTTCCACGGCTCTAAAGGAGGTTTCCACAAAGGCACCTCAGAGAGCAAATGTGGGGCATTACTAAGGGTGGTCGTGTAGGAGCCTGCTCTGCTTTGGAATCTCAAGAGATATGATCAACTAATATCCATACTAAATTCAAGTGATTTGTACTTTGTAGGCTACTCACAGGCAGCTGTGGAAAGAGTAGCCAAGAGGTCTCGGAAGGAGAGAAGGGAAACTCTGATCCTAACCTCCGGTGCCTTGTGGGACATCTTCGGGAGAAGAAAAGATTAAGGAGTAAACCCTAGACAAATCCGGAGTGGAATCTCTAAGGTGCTTGGATGGCACCTTGTATATCTCTTTCCGGCAAGTCCTGCAGCCAAGCTGGTGCCAAACATATTGCTCTTGCTTTCCTTTGGACCACATCAAGGAGGCCAAGGTCTTGTCACCAGGGCATCCCAGAACCTCCATACACACTGTCCAGGCTTGCACCCCAGGGAGCTCACTTCAGTGCTGCTAACACACCAGCTAGACTTCTCCCTCAGAGGCATACTCCATCGTCTCTCAAGACAGAGATACAACAATAAACATTGGAGGGCAGGGGAGAGGAACTCTTCTGTATAGCAAGCAATGACATGATAAGGAACTATCCAACCTTGGAATCAGAAAGTAGAGAAAGCAATGAGAATGATCAGTACAGTGGTACCTCGGGTTACATATACTTCAGGTTACAGACTCCACTAACCCAGAAATAGTACCTCGGGTTAAGAACATGGCTTCAGGATGAGAACAGAAATCATGCTCCGGTGGCGCAGCAGCAGCGGGAGGCCCCATTAGCTAAAGTGGTGCTTCAGGTTAAGAACAATTTCAGGTTAAGAACGGACCTCCGAAACGAATTAAGTATTTAACCAGAGGTACCACTGTACTGCCAAAGCCACATGAGAGTGCTGAATTTAGGATATAGGGCCTGCTCCCGCACCTGTTAATAGCACTAATATTGTCAGCATTGAAATTGTCAGAGTCAACTTGCTGAAAAACAGTAAGAGTTGGCACAATGCAAATCCAGTTCTTTGGTTTGGACCAAAAAATGTTCAAGGAACCCAGGCGGGTGAGCGACCGGGGAGCGAAAGAACTGCAACCGGGCCCAAACGCCACTTAATATCCTCAGAAGTCAGTCTCTAAAAAACAAGCAAAACCTCCTTTCTTCACTTAGTTCTGAAACACAATGCTGAATGAAACAGAAGGTGTGTGCAGGTGCCTTTGTGGGGGAAAGACTTTATTCACTTACAGAGCCATGCCTTTAGTTTCTGGGCCAATTTAATGCATTTGCCAACTACAAAGCCATGCTCAAGGGAAAATAATGTTCATGCACAGTGCCAGTCATGCAGTCATTTATATCAAGCGGGGCGGGGGGACCCCAACGCAACATGCACCCGTGTTCCTGTTATTTGCCCAAGCTAAAAGGCTATGAAGTAATACTTCTCTTACCTTTTCATTTTCCAGGTCAATCATCTTCTGCGTGAGGGCAGCTTCAGTTTCCTCTATTTGCTTTAGCCACTATATAAAAATGACGGGGGCAAAATAAAACAGCAGTTTGAGACAGAGCTTATGCCAAACATTAGGTAAGTAAAGCGCTTTACCTTAAATTCCATTATTTTCTCAATTTTGTACAGAACTATTGATTTGGACACCTGGAAACGGTGACTAATTATAATGAGGGAGCACTGGCTACATTCAAATATTGCTCATGCTTCCCAAATTGGGAAAAACGTATGTTTCCCAACAAAGCTACCAGTGCAATGAGTTTGGGGGACATAACATTGTATGTACTTCATATCTGCTAAAAATCTAAAAGGTTACAAAGCCCTAGGATGAAATAGCAGCACAATGCCAACCCAGGAAAGACCCAGGAGAGGCCTAAGCCTTGGCAACAACCATCTGAAATCATGTTTTCGTAATAATATTTTCCCCAAACAGTTTTAGAAGGTGTCTCATGGGGGGAAAGGCAGTTTCCAAGAGCACTTGAATTTTCATTTGCATTGTAACTGCATTGGCCCTTATAGAGCTCCTTAGAGGCCTAATTGTGGTGTATGTAGGATCTGGACTAAATGGAAGTTAAAATGGCAAATTATGTATCTTTGTGTTCTGAGTTTTATGTAATGTACAGTTGGCAGTATACATCTGCTTACTCTTCTCATGATTATTGAATATTCCATGCGTCCCCAGAGTGGAAACATTAGTCGTGCAGTCTACCCCAACAAAGTTACAGTTTCCAGCACCCTTAACAAACTACAATTCCCAGGATTCCCGGGGGAAAGTCATGTGGTTTAAAAGTATGGTGGTGCTAGACCTGAACAGTGCCTATAAGACATTCGCTATTTTTGGAAACTCTTGCCCTATTTCAGTTAGCCATGGTGGTTGTAAAGGCAAAATCTTCTGCACATGGCCAGATGCCCTCACACTTTTTTTTAAAAAAACTACATAACAGTTCCAGGGCTGAAAACGAAAAACAAGTTCTTTTGCTAATTTTTGGTGCCCTCTGGTTGTGATGAAACCTTGTAATATGCAAATCCTCTTTTATTTAGGAAAGCTTCCAGCTGGTGGATCAGAGAAAAAGGTGCATATAGCAGGATTTCTCTGGACTGGGCTTGTCCAGTTGCCCTCATGCTAGCAAATGTAATAGCAAAACATAAGGAACTGTTTCAGAAAGTACAATAGACCTACAATGCCTTGACCTGTGGCCAGTAAAAGGGAATTGGTTCAACGACAAATTTAATAAGTGCCATGGGAACCATTTCCTTTCGCTGGCAGCAAATCTGTGCAGACTAGAGATTTTACACTTGTTGAATGTTACATGTGAAAACTGTGCAGGGGGTACAGCTCCGGACCCTCCAAGTAGCCCTATTTTCCAGGGAATCACAAAAGCCACCCCAGTGATGGGATGTGAGAGTGATAAATGTCCCTATTTTCACCTGAGGAATGTTGGACGGGATGCATTGCAACTGTTGTGTACCCAAGTACACAGACTGTACACTCATTAAGTGGTACACACCCCTACTGACAATCCTTAAAGTAGCTGTAAATTGGTTTTGTTCATCCCACTACTGTTAACGTTAACCTTTCTTCTGAGGTACAGTCCTCACTAAAATAAAATACCCCACTAGTCACATACCAATTATTGGGTCAGATGCACACGACACCCGTTGTGGTCTCACGGACAACTCAGTCAGTGAGGACATATTGCTTGCTAAATACTATTAAGTTCCACTAGGAATTTAGCTTGCTGTTCTTATGCAGGAAGTGTTTTTTAAAAAAGGCTTGTACATTCAATACTTTTATGAGCAGAGCTACAGATTTAAACAGAATTGTGCAGAGAGCACTGCTTTTGTGGGATGGATGAAATTCATGCCTAAGAGAAGCAATTCTTCACAGAACTCTACCTTTTCACAGAGAGAAAGTACAGTCCCCGCCTGAATTATCGCAACCTGTTCTTCATTCCTCAAATTCTAAAACACAAGAAGTTCAGTGTATTTTACATTGTAGCAGAAATCCATCAAATTAAAATAAGCAGAGTACATGCTGCAGCAAGCATTACTGAGCACACCACCTTCCCTTTCCTTTAAAAAGTTTGGCAAAGGCAAATTGCCAGAAACTGCCAGGAATTGCAACAACCTTAGGAGTATACTGTAAAGTTGCAAATCATTACTTTCCAGTAGGATCATGTAGGCTGCAATCCTATACGTACTTACCTGGGAGTAAATCCCATTTAACCCAATAGGGCTTACTTCTGAGTAGATATGCATAGGATTGTGCTGCATATGAGCAAAGTGAACTCAGGATTGGGTTGCTAGGCCCCTTGAGAGCTCAATTCTGAGAATCGGGCCTAAGGGAGATCAGGCAGTATCCTGCAGCTCAGAGTGGCAGATGTCAGCAGAGGACAGCATCTACTTATGCCCTAAAGGTAAAGGTAAAGAACCCCTGACAGTTAAGTCCAGTCACGAAAGACTCTGGGGTTGCGGTGCTCATCTCACTTTACTGGCCGAGGGAGCTGGCATTTGTCTGCAGTTTTTTTGAGTCATGTGGCCAGCATGACTAAGCTGCTTCTGGCGAAACCAGAGCAGCACATGGAAATGCTGTTTCCCTTCCCGCCGGAGCGGTACCTATTTATCAACTTGCACTTTGACGTGCTTTCGAACTGCTAGGTTGGCAGCAGCTGGGTCTGAACAACAGGAGCTAACCCTTTCGCGGGGATTCGAACTGCCAACCTTCTGATCAGCAAGCCCTAGGCTCAGTGGTTTAGACCACAGCGCCACCCGCGTCCCTACTTATGCCCTAATCCTCAATATTGAAGAGGTAACAAATGGCAAACCCGCTCAAGCCAAGCAGGACGTCTGCTCCCTTGATTCTGGCCCCTCACCCTGACAAAGAAAAAGAAGCTCCAAAATGGGTATATTTAAAGAACACACAAAAGTCCCCCAGGTTTTGTGAGTACTCGAAGGGAATGCTCACAAACAATCAAACTGAAAAGCTGCTCCTGGAAAAACTGTTATTGGGTTATTTGGGGCAATGCCCACCTCCTGATGGGGTATGAGGGGTCTCTGCAGTGGGCAGACTAGGGCTTCTGCCCTCCAGCAGCTGCTTTCTGAAGTTCTGCTTATCAAATAATCCCTTAATTTTCCATCAAAATTGTGGCACAGGATGTCCCAGGGCTGTGGCATGGAAGCAGCACTGAGGCTGGCAGGCTGTTCAAGATACGCTGTGCCAAACTTTAATTCTGCTTGCATAGTTGAACACCCAAGCCAGCTTTCAATTCTTGATCTACCCCTAGCAAAAATCCTGAAACTTTGCTTTCTGTCCTCAGTTTAATTAACATTCCAATCATTGTAAGGTTAGGCGTTACAGCACACTCTATAAGGTTAGTCTGTTGTATAACTTTTGGCTTCTGATGGTCATTAAAGTAATAATATTCTGATTTACATTGTCCACCCCCCAATCCTGCTCAATTACATGATAAAAGGTTACACTGCAGAAATCATGTTAACACTTCCATCTTCTCCAACTTTGGGGCCTCTTGTCTAAGCATGGTCTCCTGCACTACCTGAGCCAAGAGCGCCAACTTCAATAAAATATTAGGGGGAGCCCAGGTAAACCCTGCCCCACATAATTGATTACAAGGTTTGGCACCCACCCACCATTTGAATGGCAATGCCCATCAACTGGGGGTGTGTGTGGCCCCCTCAAATATTTTATTGGGTGGCCCGAAGGGACCTCGGCCCCTAGGAGTTGGCTCCTATGATCTGAGCTGTTATCTTGCAGGTATCTCACTCTTGCATTCTGGCAGATCAGCACAAGCCAGTGCCCTTCTGGTGATAGGAGCTGCACAATGATAAAGTAAATGCCTTTTCTTAATGGAAAGGGGATGAACTGCTTCAAATACTGAGCTATATGAGAGAGAATTGACTAGAGGGCTGCCACTTAATTTATTAGATAAGGCTTCCTCAACCTTGGCCCTCCAGATGTTTTTGGCCTACAACTCCCATGATCCCTAGCTAGCAGGACCAGTGGTCAGGGATGATGGGAATTGTAGTCTGAAAACATCTGGAGGGCCGAGGTTGAGGAAGACTGGGTTAGATGCATGCTATCGGTTCAATTTGCCCACGTTTTTCAAGAACACAACAGAGCTCAACCTATAGTTGGTGAGCCCTCTGCATCAATTCTACAGTACTCCTGTTCCAAAATTTTAGCTGTCTGACATTAAAACAACTTGAAGAAAATCCCAACAGATAAACTTAAAACCAAAATAACTGAAGCAAAACAAGAACAAAGAATGGGTGGGGTGTTTTATTTGTTTTCATGATCCCAATGGCTTAATATTAATAACTTCATCTTGAAATAGTATTTCCAGTTATATATCTGGAATGTATTTGAAACATACTCAAGCACTTTAAATTCGCATTTTAAAATTCAAGCTGTCATGACGGGAGACCCAGTGAGTCGGGGTGGGGGAATGCGTAAGACCACAGCGTAACACAGAGGCATGTGCTGCCCACCCTCCATCGCGACATCCCTGGTGGCATGCTATTACAGATAGTGTCCCTTTCACAAATATGCAATTGGAACTACTTAAATAAATACATTAGCTACCCCATTATCACCAAGGATATCTAGCTTCTTCATAAGTTCAGAAATATTCACATCCTGGAAAAGAAATTTCAACATTTATCTTTTAATCAAGAATTAAATCATGTATTTGTTTTAGTTTTCAACTGTTACAAATTCTTTCACATTAACTAGGCTGGAGAAACAACACCATGGAAGACATTCTGACTCCAGCAATTGCAAAACTGCCATCATCTTAAAAAAAGGGAGAACCCGATTTCCTCTCAGTCACAGGAAATTTAGGTAAGAACAGTTATCAAAGTTAATAATGAAACAGTACAATGCCAGAAATACTACTGATTATATCATATAGTCTGTTGCTATTTACTCATTTGATTAGACACTGAAAATAATATTGAACTGAAATAGCTCTTTTCACACCACATCATACTGCTACTAGTAACACTGAACAGCATTAAAGGTTTTTGCCTAAGAATACCAGGTTTAATGGACTAGGCAACATTACACCCATTTTCTATTCATAGTCAAAGAAAGAATGCTTCGTGTAAAACAAAATTAGGGGTAGTAAGATGAGATGAGAATAATAAGGTTGGGAATTCATACGAAGTGTGCAGGAAGATGTGGAAACCGTCTTGAGATCTTAGGTGGAATTTCCACAGGGTCGTGGAGACTGATCTTTCCGTATAATTACGCATAAGGGTAGGAACTGCATAGGTTTACAAGGTGAAACTAGATGTCATGGTGGCAGCTATGTTTGTTTAAATGGTGTGTCCCCCACCCACACCTAGAAAGCAGAGGGTATCTATCCGATTTTAATTTCAAAGGTGGAATGCAGATGAGGAAAGCTGAACCTGCTCCCCATCTTACCTCCTCCCTGGCTCATCACCAAAGCCACTTTCCCCTTAATACAGCTCTGATTCTAGAGGTAAGCAGAGCTCTGGCTGGAGAAGAGGTCCCTCCTCACATCTATGCATCCCCTTTGGTGTTTAGACCCCACTTTCTGCTTTGTGAGAACTAACAGGAAAGAGATTTGACCACACAAATGCCACTGCTGCCATCGCATCAAGTCTGGTGGCCCACAGACCACCTTGAAAGATGCTGCACAATAACCAACAAATTTCCATCTACCTTTATTCCCTCGTGATGACAAAACAGTTGAAGTGCACTTCCATTGTTTTCAGGGAATGCAGTTATATGGAGGTTAAAAGCTGGCGACCTTCGTTCTCTCTCCTAAGGGAAGATTTTGTTCAAAATAGAATAGGTGTTTATAAAAGATACCAAACTTCTATTCTACAAATCATTCAAGTCAAGTTAAATGAACAAATACTGGATTTTGCGTACGAAAAATATACCAAAATGCATCGCAAGGTCAGTCCTTCCCTGATATGCAATGTAAGATTCTTTACTGTTATAAGAACACAACCTCTTTCAATAAATAAAAAAATTGCCCAGTAGCACCTTAGAGACCAACTAAGTTTGTTCTGGGTATGAGCTTTCGTGTGCATGCACACTTCTTCAGATACACTGAAACAGAAGGTGACTTCAAACTCCGCAAGGAAGGGTGTTTGAAAAAGGGGTGAGGGGCTGCCAGCTCTGCAGGCAAGGGGTGACCTAACTGGGCTCCTGTGCCCCACAGGGGTGCCACAGAAAGAATGGAGTTGGTCAAGGGAGCCATGGACTCAAAAAGGTTGAAAACCTCTGTGTAGCGATCACACAGGGTCCCCGGACGTTTCACCGTCTATTGATCCCTGTGCCACCACTTTATTTCTTGCTGCCACCACCCAGGCCCTACCTAGTACAATATTGAGTCCAGTCAGGGTTAAATTGGAACATAAGCTTCTGTTTATTTATTGCAGTTTAACAAGTGTGTGGTTCCATAAACGGTATCGGTCAATTATAGTCATGGGGTGCCTATCCAGACCTATAACTTCTGCTACCTGCTCTCACTCACTAAACCACCTCTCAGATATTTACTTGTCTTCCTAGCTCCTAACTGTTCCTGACTCAGCTTATTTGCTACACTAACTCAACCTACCCACAGACTCTCTCCCAATTCACTCCCACTCCAACCAACCACCCAACTCCCAACGAACTCTTCCCTTCGCCCCTCCCAGAGCTGGTTTTATAGTCCCTCTGACTCCACCCCCTGGGTTCTGATTGGGTAACATGTTTAACTATTTCACCTCCAGCACTCTCATATGTTAACGTCACACTCTGCTTTACACTTTCCTTTGCCTGCAACTTTGTGATAAAGGAAATGCAAGTGTTGATTGAGGAGTAGGGGTGGGGGTGGAGGGGTAGAGGGTGAGACATGCAAACTTGGTTAACTGGTGCTGCTCACAAAGCAGCCAACAAGGCTGTAGGGTTGTTGTTTTTTTAACAGTCCAGCTTCTGAGTTGACACAGGACAGTAATGCTCAGATTGGATCCAATATCCACCCAGTTAAGAGAGACCGTGCATTTAACTGAAGCTCAGGCATTAGTCTCGGCTTGCAGTGAGTGATTCTTAGAGAAGCAGACTTGAGAGACTACCCCCAATCTCCCCATGCAGAAATGCAACCAGAAAATAATGGCCCAAACAGATTTTCCATATTGCTTAGTATGCAGCAGAAACAGCTTGAGCGGTGAGACTTCAAATTACAGCAGCAGCAGCCGTGCAAATTCACCACCATCCTTATCATCCCCATAGGAGTCCTGTTACATCTTCCTTATGTATGTGTTTGCATGCAATTAAAAAGATACGGCTGTCATTGCACTGTAGTGCTGCATCACAATCCTGAATTTGCATGAAGTTGGGGGAGGAAGGTTGCACCAGGGCTCTGATCATGGAATGGGAGCAAGAACATTGGAAAGAGGGGGGAAGTGGTGGTTTAAAGCAAGGTTTGAGCATAGCATGGATGTAGAAACCTGAGAGGGAAATGGCAGTTTTAAACAACTGCAGAGGTTTGAATAACATACTATGGAATATTTGAGAGCTTTGTGCCCTTTCTCTCTCTCTCTCTCATGAGGCAGTTGAGGAATGGAAGAGGGAGCGAAGTGGCTGCTTTAAACAATAGCAAAAGTTTGACTAGAGTGGGGGTGGAGGAACGGAGAAAATAATAGCAGTTTTAAACAACAGCAGAGGTTTGGCTGGAGAAAAAATGAGAGGAAAAGCAGCAATTTTAAACAATGGCACAGTAGGGCGACGCACAGATGCATTTGATGACACTTCAATTCATTCAAGTATCCCAAAGCATTGGGAATTTAGTTTTGCTTTAAAAATAAGAACTATCTTGTAGAGGCAAACACTGCTCATGTTGCAGCAAAGTGTTAAGTTAACTTGTGGAGCTTTCCAACAATTAGAGCACAAACTATCTTTCATAACTTTTTTTTTTTAATCAAGATCCCCAGTCCAAGCACTTCTGTGTGACACTCTGAGCCAGACAATGACACCACCAAAGTGTTGCGGAGGAATCAAGGGACCAGTATATACACAACTGTGATATATGGCTCTAGTAAATCACCTTTCAACTGACTGCATGGTAACAAAAAAGTACTCAAATGGCATTACGTTGTGACTGCTTAACCACAGGGGCCAGTTTGAATGAGGTTCGTATGAATCGCTCTTGTTAAAATATAAGCATCAACTTTTGGGTTTTGATTTGGTTTTTCAAAAGCATCTAGGTCTCATAGATGAAAACAAATGGTGTGATTGCAGCATATGCCCTAATTACACAGTAGTTTTGAAGGCTCCTCCAGACAACCTATTTACTGGACGTTCATCCTGATTTGCTTGCAGAAAACATGTGGTGGTTAGACTACGTCCGATTTTCATTCTGAATTGTTTATACATCCACCCAGTGATTATTTGCTCATCCCACACGTTTCAATGCTATCTATCACTTTCCTAAAATCTGCTTCTTTTTGAAGTGGATTTATTGCACTAGATGACAGAGCACTTTGAACAACTTTAGGTTCAATTTACATTATGCATTTGAATCCCTCCCACAAATATATCCAGTGCAGTCCACAGATGGGAAGGCCCAGGCCGTGTGAGGCTACCTTTAAGCTTTCAGAGGGTAGTTGCTGCTGCAAAGGACGGTTCCTTATACATGGAAATAGATGGTGTTCTTAGGTGGTTTCGGGATTTTTTAATACTCTGCTTTTCAACCAAAATTATTAAACGGGTAACGGTTGGAAGAGATAAGAGAGCACAAGCAGTTATGAGGCGAGAGGTGAAGAAAGTGGCATGGATACCAGCAAACACAAAATGGTGAGGGGAAGAGAGTAACAAGAACAGACCCAGAAAGAAACAGGGGTTTCTTTAATTGCATTTCCAACTAATAGACTAATTTGACATCCCACACTGGATCTGCCAACCATATAGTGCAGAATATGAACTCTGGATAGCACCACTCCTTTTACTAATTCTCATTTACTCCATTTATATACCCTCTTTTCCTGAGAGGGACTCAAGGCGGTGTACATGAGTCTCACCTCCCCATTTAATCTTCACAACAACCCTGTGAGGTGGGTTAGGCTGAGAGACTGTAACTGGCCCAAAATCGGCCAGTGATCTTCTAGGCTGAGTGGGGATTCAAACCTTGGTCTCCCAGCTCATAATCCAACAGTCTAACTATTAGATAGGTGAGCCCATAAAAAAAGGCAAGGATCGGGAACCTGTGGTCCTACATACTGACTGGACTTAAGAGTTCAACATCTGGAAGGCCACAGGTTTCACCACCCCTCCAGCACTGGGTGTGAGCAAAAGCAAAGAGGGAAGTAAAAAAATCAGTGTAAACATTGGTTTCATTTTCATGTCTATTCCATCCACAGCTGAATTGCCAAGATGTCAAGGAGGAGCTAATTTTCATAGCTTGCAAAATGAACCTGCGGTGCTTCTATATCCTCCTGCCAGGCACACTGGCCCATCTATCCCGCAGCTGTTTATTTTGGCTGAAGGTACTTCGTAGCCCTGCTATCAAATATCCTTTTAACTGGATGATAGGACCCTTATCCTGATGTCAAAAGCCCTCTGCAACACTAGAAGTGCTCAGTTCAGACCTCTGGCAAAAGCATATTACCCTTACTGCCAGTGGCTTGCCAGCTGAAGAGCAGAGGGCAAGAGAGATAGAAAGAGTTCTTCTACCCACTTTTGGCTCTTGTCCTTGAAGGAGCATGGCCCTCGACAGAAATGGAGATTTGCCCACCCCCTGCTTTAACAGGTCCAACAAGATTGATATCTAAGTAATATGCAGAACAAAAGCATTTCCAAAGTGAGGCTGAGGTGGAATGAGGCGGAATGAAGATTGTGCATGCCAGGAGTTCTGAGATATTCAGTAGATGAAATTACAAATAGCCTAATGAACATGATTTTTGTTAACGATCTTTTAGTTAGGTTTATGTACTGCACATGGGTATGAAAATGCAACAGTCTTACCCCTCCCGTTACAACGGAGCATATTTTTAAAACAAAAAAAATGTAGCAACAATTATCATCCACTCCTTTAACACAATGGAACCAGACTGAATGAATTAATGTGCTAAGAAAATGCATATTCTTCAGGTAACCATATTTTTTTCTATTTAAGATTCTTTCATTTTAAACTGCATCGTTACTTCATTAACAGATTTATGTAAATAATTTTTTCCCATAAAATAAGAGAAGTTCTGTAGAAATTTCCCTTTTAAAACTGACAAAGTAAACTTAAGAAAAAAAATATTAAGATGAGGGATGTGTCACAGCCTAAGGTTTGATTTCATGCAGAATGCACAGAGGTGTGTTAATTAAAATAATGCCAGCTGGGAGTTGGTAGTATGTGTATCAGATAATGTCACATGCAAGAAAGGAGCAGTCATGGAAATGAAACAAACAAAAAGACAGAAACACAGAAAAAAATTTATTGGCCAGAACAAACTATATGTAATATACATATTGTCTATGTTACAGTTTGCAAAATTAGTGAGCTCTCCAAAACTACATTAAGGCAGAGGCATTATATTCATTGCCCCAACATCGCGGCAGATTTCAGAAAATCCAGTTAGTTTTCCCTTACACATGCAATGGATGCTAATGGATGTCATACGTATTTCAGCTTGGGTTCAATGACATGTTCTGCTCCATTTGTGAGTTTACAACTCAGAGAATCTCTTACTTCCAGTTCAAGGATTCGGAACTCCAGCAGCTCATTCTGGTCTTTGGCATCCTGCATCTCATTCTTCAGCAGATCTTCTTCTTGTTCTATCTTGTAGATCTAAGAGAAAAGTATCATGCGGCTATGAGCCAAGGGAGAAGTAGAATACATTCATGCAAACATCTTTATAGCATGCAAAAGAAATGAAAGCCACTGGGGGGAAAGCCTCTTAATGAAATGCAAGAGTGAATTCTATCATAAAGGTAAAAGTAAAGGGACCCCGACCATTTGGTCCATTCGTGACTGACTCTGGGGTGGCGGCGCTCATCTTGCTTTACTGGCTGAAGGAGCTTGTGGCCAGCATGACTAAGCCGCTTCTGGCGAACCAGAGCAGCGCACGGAAACACCGTTTACCTTCCCGCCGGAGCGGTACCTATTTATCTACTTGCACTTTGACATGCTTTCGAACTGCTAGGTTGGCAGGAGCAGGGACCGAGCAACGGGAGCTCAACCCGTTGCAGGGATTCGAACCGCCGACCTTCTGATCGGCAAGTCCTAGGCTCTGTGGTTTAACCCACAGCGCCACCCGCGTCCCGAATTCTATCATATGCAGTTCTAAAAAGTCACTAGTGTGGGCTTGCAAATTTGGATCTTCCAGATGCCAGCCCCACTTAGGCTGAGTAAGACAATATCTCTTTAGAGAAATGAACACCTTGTGACAGGAGGATTCCATGCCAGTTCAGAAGCACTTGGCAAATAGATTCACAGAACGGTAAGAGTTCACCTAGTCCAACCTCATGCAATGCAGCAATCTCAACTAAAGCATCCATGACAGTTGGCCATCCAACCTCTGATCAAAAACCTCCAAGGAAGGAGAGGCCACCACCTTGCGAGGGAGTCTGTTCCCCTGCCAAACAGCTCTTACCCCCAGAAAGTTCTTCCTGACGTTTAGTTGGAAAACACTGGGCATTGTGGTCATGGATCTTGCAGAGTCTCTAAACATGTTGAAATAAAAACTACTGGAGGTAAGGCTCTCCACAAAGGTCAAATCTGGTGCAAAACACGTGCTGATTCTTTTCACCACAGAATGATATGTACTGTACCAACAATTGTCATTAGGGGCTTGTTTCGTCTCTAGGCACATTTAAACACCCCCCCCATGTGCAGATGGAGGCAGCCATCCCCCCCCAGCACAATTCCACAGGGAGGGGCTGCACAACAGCCACTTCCTGGAAGCCCCTTGAAAGGTATTTGTTTACCATGTTTAAAGCAGCTGAAAATGTTAAAAATGCTAAAAGGAATAAAGAGGCAGTCTTAGGACAACCTTGTAAGCCTTTCTGTAAAATGTGTGCATTTTAAAGGTTTTTGCTCTTTAAAAAAGTCAGCCCATGAGTACCCCTTGTAAGGAATGCAGGAAGATTTGTTTTAGAATGGGAATGGGATTCAGGAAACTTCAGGGTGGTTAGCTTAACATCAGTGCTGGGTAAATTGGTGGAAAGCATGCTTAAAAATAAAATTATAAAGACTATAGAAGAACAAGGCCAAAGTGGTATTTGCAAAGGTAAGTCCTGTCTCAGTAAAGTTTTAGAGTTCTTCAAGGGTGATCAAGTGGATATTCCGTTATTTGTACTTTCAAAAAGCTTTTGACAAAGTCCCTCACCAAAGATTCCCAAGTACCGTATTTTTCGCCCCATAGGACGCACCGGCCCATAGGACGCACCAAGTTTTTTGGGGGGGGAAATAAAGAAAAAAAATTTATTTCCCCCCAGGCGCTTGTGGGGCCGGCAGCGGGGAGAAGCGCTCTTCTTCCCGCCGCCCGCCTGCAGACCAGGTCCGGGGACAGCGGGAAGACACGCTGCGCCTCCCAGCTGTCCCCGGAGCTTGCGGGGCTGGCGGCAGGGAGAAGCATGCGTCTCCCCGCCGTCAGCCTCCAAACCACATCGGGAGACAGCGGGATGGCGGCGTTCCGCCTCCCCGCTGTCCCCTGACCTTGTGGGGCTGGCGCTGCGGCTCTCCTGAAGCCTGGAGAGCGAGAGGTGTCGGTGCGCACCGACCCCTTTCGCTTTCCTGGCTTCAGCGAAAGCCTACATTCGCCCCATAGGACGCACACACATTTTCCCTTCATTTTTGGAGGGGAAAAAGTGCGTCCTATAGGGCGAAAAATACGGTAAACTTAGCAGTTATGAGATAAGAGCAAAGGTCCTCTTGTGGATCAGGTATTGGGAAGCAGCTCTTGGGACTAATCGGACAGTTCTTGCAACGTTCTTACAATGGTAGGATGCAGGAAGTGAAGTTCCTGAGGATCTGTATTGGGACGGATGCTTTTAATTCACAAATAGTCTGCAGTTAGGAGTGAGCCATTAAAAAACAAGTGGTTGGAAGAGAGAAAACTAGTTAATGGTCAGGATGGGTATATGCAAACTCTATGGTGAGAAACAGTAAGTCACTGAATATGAGCTGCCAAGTGATCTACCAGAGAGGGTTATTCATATCTTGTTTGCCTACTTCCAACAAGAACTGAACCTGTTCAGGAGAGCTTTAAAACAAATCATGAGGGGGAAGGAGACAATACTACAGACCACAGGGGGACACCTGGTACTGGGGATAATTGCTTCATTGATGCACAGGAAGCAGCTGTAGAGAATGACTCATGGCTTCAGTTGTCTCTGTACTAATGCACAGAGTATGGGAAATGTGCAAGGCAAATTGAAATTCTTAATGCAGGATGGCAAAGATGACCTAATAGGCTTTACTGAAACCTGGTGGGATGAGATTCATGACTAGAATGTAGAAATTGAGGAGTATAACCTATTCAAATGGAACAGACCAAACAGGAAGAGAGGAGTAACACAGACCTCCAAGCCAGACTGAAGACTTGGGTGATGTCTTCCTGCATCAGATTACCAAACATTCAAAAAGGAATAATAGAATCTTAAGAGTTGGAAGGGACCCAAGGGTCATCTAGTCCAACTCCCTACAATATAGGAATCTCAGCTAAAACATCCATGACAGATGGTCATCCAACCTCTGCTTAAAAGCCTCAAGCAGGAGAGATCTAGCAGCCCAGGACCTCCATACATACTTCCCAGGCTTGCACCCCAAAGAAGCCAATTTGGTGCTGCTAACACTGCAAAAAGAACACAGAAGGCAGCTGTTACAAGTTACCAGTCTCTGCAGCCACAGCAAGCAGTGCGATTCTCCAGCAGTTTGACTTCACCCCCCGAGGTGCACTCCATTGTCTTGAGACAGACAGATGCCGCCGCCAACAACAGTAATCATGGGAGATTTCAACTACCCCTATCTGTTGGAACTCACTCTGCCAAGAAAGTAAGGTCCAACAAATTCCTCCATTGCTTTGCTGACACTTTCTTTTCCCAGGAGGTGGAAGAAGATTATGGACCTGGTCCTCACCAACAGGCAGGGACTGATTGACCAAGTGGAAGTACTGGGAATTTTGGGAGGAAGTGATCATGTCATCTTGGGTTTCATGATATAGAGGGGCAAGGGAAACCTGAGTGTAGTCGGGCATGCATTTGGACTTTAAGAAGGTTCATTTCAAAAAGCTTAAGGAACTACTGGGTGAGATTCCACAGTCAGAAATACTGAAAGAGAAGGGAGTCCAAAATGGATGGGAGTTTCTTAAAAATGAAATATTGAAGACACAAAGACAGGCAATTCCAACAAGATAGAAAAGTGGGAGGCATCTAAATAAACTGGTGTGGCTGCATAAGGAGCTTACAGATGAGATGAGATGAGATGAGGTGAGGTGAGGTGAGGTGAGATGTAAGAAGGGGATGTATAAGAAATGGAAGAAAGGGGAAATCACAAAGGAGGAGTATATATGAGTACCCAACAGTTACAGGGAGAAGATCAGGCGGGCCAAAGCTGAGAATGAACTCAGGATTGCAAGAGAGGTTAAAAATAATAAAGAAGGTTTCTTCAGTTAAGTCTGAAGCAAGAGGAAGAACAAGAAAGTGGTAGGTCCTCTGCATGGAGAAGAAAGAGAAAAGGCGGAACTATTCAACACCTACTTTGCCTAAAAGGAAAGCAATGCCCAACCTGGTGATAACAGAATAAATGATGCAAGGAGGGAGCTGCAGCCCAATATAGGAAAAGAGGTGGTAAGGGAACACCAGGCTACTTTAAACGAATTCAAATCTCCAGGGCCTGGTGAGCTGCATCAAAGGGTACTAAAGGAGCTTGCGAATGTAATCTCAGAGCCGCTGTCTATAATCTTTAAGAATTCTTGGAGAATAGGTGAGGTCCCTGCAGACTGGAGGTGGGCAAATGTTGTCCCCATCTTCAAAAGGTGGGGCGGGGGGAGAAGACCCAGGTAACCACTGACCTATGAACTTGACGTCAATACCTGGAAAGGTCCTAGAACAGATAATTCAAACAGTCGGTCTGTGAGCACTAAGAAAAAGATGCTGTGATAACCAAAACCCAACATGGGTTTCTCAAAAATGTCATGCCAGATTAATCTCATTTCTTGTTTGATGGAGTTACAAGGTTGGTGGATTAGGGGAATGCCGTGGTCATAGTGTATCTTGATTTCAGTAAGGATTTGGACAAAGTCCCCTATGATATTCTTGTGAGGAAGCTGGTAAAATGTTAGTGGAACAAGGTAACTGTTAGGTGGATTTGCAGCTGGTTGACTGACTGAACCCAAAGAGTTTTATCATTATAACAATCCAGTTATCCTCTCCCTTACTGCCTACTACATGCTATATATAATTTTTTCTGAAGGCTCTTAATAGTTTCATTTTGGCTAGTGAAACTCAGCTTCTTTGAGGAAAGAGAAGGACATGAATTTAATAAACAAAAACAGTGTTTGTATTAATCACACACTTTTAGAAAACAAAATTATCAATGTAAAAACTTGAGTTACTCAGCACAAAGGATGCAGTTGTAATCAGTACTGGAAGCATTGAAGGCACCATTTATTTCACCCACCTTTTCTAGCAGTTCTTGGTTTGTCCTGATAAGCCCCTGCTTTTCTTCTATCCATTTGGAGTCCTGTAAAGAATTTTTAGAATTATAATGTATTTTAATGTATTTATTTTAAAAATCATATACACTGCAACTTGTCAATGACCAAGACATTTACAAAATAATAAAAAAGCATGCAAAACAATGAACATATAAAAGTAGAATTCAAAATCAAGAGATTTGAATTTATCTGGGTGAATAGAAGTTATTGCACAGCATCGAAGCAGCAAAATTGGCTTCAAGTGTACCACTCTAGGGAAGCTTACTGCACTGCCCGGGTTGCCAGAAAAGCCCTGCCCTTCAGTTTGCCCACTGAAACAAACCTCTACTCTAATGGAGGTGGCGTTTGTAGAAAGGCTTTGGTCAATGACATTATAGTGTGGGCAAGCAGGTATGGGAGGAGATGCTCTTTTAAGTCCTTGGGTCCCAAGCCAATTAGGTATTTAAAGTTAAGTAGTAGCTACTAGCTTTGAACTGGGCCTAGAAATGAATATGCAATCAGTGAAGAGATTTAATACACAATGTGAGCAATGCCCATCAAAACTCTGACTGCTGCATTCTGCATTAACCTTTTTCAGAGGAAACCCTGTGTATTGTGCATTGGAGTAAACCAGATAGGATGTTGCCAGAGCATGGATAATCATGGCCAGACTATCTGCCTATGAAAGGTGGTCACTGACACTTCAGCCCAAACTGGCGAAAGGTACTACTGTGTGCTACAGAGGTCACCTGGGCTTAGATTGAGGGCCGTTACCAAGGTGTGAATCTCTTTCTTAAGCGATAGTGCAACTTCATCCAAAACTGACTATCATCTCCCTGAACTGGAGAACCATCTACTCACAGAACAGTTCACTGGCTCTCATCCAGGCCATTACTGTCATCAAACACTAGTTCAGCTCTTCCACAGCCTCATACGGTACTGCCTTTAAATGATAGTCATAAGTAACACCTTCACACAGAGGTACAGATTCTCAGCTAAATTGCAGCTGCAGTCGTTCAGAGCAGGGCAAGCAGGAACATGCTCACATACTTAAGAGTGCTACCAAATACTTGATATATGAGTCAATCACCCATCTCCTACTACCCTTCTGGGGAAAAAAACCCACCCCACCCTCCCACTATATATAAGGGTCTGGTGACTTCTGTTTCAGTGTATCTGAAGAAGTGTGAATGCACACGAAAGCTTATCCCCAGAACAAACTTAGTTGGTCTCTAAGGTGCTACTGGACAATTTTTTAATTTATTTCATAGATGTTAGACTACCTAGTAAAGTCTGAGCTTAGGCAAGCTGCCTAACAGTTTGTGTCGGCCATTGACAATATGAGGGTGACAAGGGTGACAATATGAGGGTGACAAGACCGGTCTATCTTATTTTGTAAAGCTAACAGAGATCATGTATGCAAGGTACTTAGGACTTTTCTAATCACTAAGTGATTTCATGATAGGGAAGAACATTCCTATTTTTAAAGAGATGGAGACAATCTGAAGTATTTTAAATCTCTTCGTGAATAAAGACAACTGCTTGCCAATTCAGGCGAAAAGCAGTCACTTCGTTGATGATAAAAAAATACTACTAGCTCTGCTGCAAAACAACCATTTTACTAAACATAAATAAATTACATCATGCACGAGAAAACTTCATGAGTTGCAAAACAAAATTTATTTTGAAGAACTGCTTATTAACAGTTTCACTTTAGTACTGAACTAAGTAGTAAACACACCATGCCCCAAGAAGAAAAAGTGTTTTGTGTTTTCCTAGAACTTCAAGAGACATTCACAATTGTGGAACATTCCACAGCTGAATACAGTAGTACATAAAGAAAAGGCTAGCAGTAAAATAGAGCTCAGAGTGGCCCCTAAGTCCCACAGTGAGAATGATTTGCTACCAATGGAAATGTGTAGCAGCAAACTGAATGCTGGTGCAGTCACTTCTCCCCATGTTTCAGGAGAGACACTCTCTTTTTATTTTTAAAAGTGGAGCTTGTGTACATTTGGTTTTTTTCCCCTTCTCTGTTGACAAAATAAAATGATATTTTTTATTTTATTTTTTAAAAAGCTGTACTGTTCTGGGAATTGTGGAGAGGTGCTTCTCAGTGACATTAGAGATATCCACCGAGTTATACACAGCTGACCCCTGCCGTAAATTAGCAAAACTGGGTCCCACCCACCGCCCAGACCGCAGCCCTGGAGAGGTACATTTGGACTGAATACCTTGAGGGTGTTTGCAAGGAAGCTCCTCCACTCAAAAATGTTAAACTGGCCTTCATGCAAAGGCAGCCATTTCCTATATGTTAACGGTTTGATTAAATATATATATATATATATATATATATATATATGGCATGTACCATTTGACCGCAAACATAGCATCCCTATGCTTATAAAGGTAAGAAGAGCAAGGAATCAGAACCAAAACCATCTTAGTTTCTGTTAGGAAATATGCAAGTTTGAGTCTTGCCTCCCCAAATGCAGCAGAGCTGAGCCAGGATCAGTAAGACTGCTTGGAGCCTGACATTGTCTCTTCTAACCCGCGTTCTACTGCTATAGCAGCAGGAGGACTCGTTCTGAATGTCAGCAGAAGAATGTAAGCCACCAGAATGTGTGAGAGGTGCATAGCAGTGGCCAAGGCCTCTCTAGGAACACTGCCCTTCCCCAAGAGTCAGGGCACTTGACCCCCACTTCTCAATTCTTTCCAGAGATAGAAGGCAGTGGAGAAGTCCTAATCCAAGCCAGGGAAGATGCTGGACTAGAGAGGACCAGGTGCTGCCATGATTGCAGGATATACTCTGGGTACTTCGGCATCAAAAATAATGACCCTTTCCATGACAGCAAACCAACCTGGAAGTGCTATACATCTGCAGTAGTGCCTAATACCTCCTTAGGCTCACTGGCCTTTTCAGCATAGGTCTGACCCACATGGCCCCCCTGTCTTTAGCAAAGGGTACAACATGAGGGGGCATGGGAGGGGTGCTGAGCACTAGTAGGCCTTTGTGGGACCACAAACTCCCAAATGGGGCTGAATAAAATGGACCCCACAAATCTAGTGTGCAGTCTTCGTAAAATTATGGATTTCCCCCATCACTAAATAAAAACTGTGCATGCTACAGTTTGAGGTTCCTTATGCAAAATGAAGAGCTACAGTTTTTACTTGAGTTCTAGAAAAACTAACTTCCTAAGGAATCTTCTATATCTGTGATCTGTTGTTACTAAGAAATTTTGAATTGTCTTAAGCTTGTATGTCATAACCTTTCTATATGATACAGAATCTTCCTGTGTTCTTTGATAAAGGAATACAGCATGCTGTTTGCAAACATGGGGTCATTTGCCTGCTTACAAAGACAACACAAAACAAACACAAATGTTTTGAGCAAGTGCCTAAACTACTACATCATGGAGATGGAAAATACATAGCTGACGTCATCAGTCGAAGTTCTCTTCTGTAAGGGTCTTGGTGGGAATCTTCAAGATGCTATTTGACTGTATTAGGAAGGATATCAACCTTAATGTGTTTTTATTATTTCACTACTTTTAAGGCCTCCTCCCCAGTACATATAATTCCATTTAATACAATTGTTTTTCCCCATTTCATCTATTGTACATCAAACACAGCAATGTACCAGGAAGCAATGAAGATGATAAGAGCAGCACTGCATGCAGAAGAGAGAATGAACTGACGGAAAGTATGAAGAGAGTCTTTTACCTGTCCTCTCTCAACCAGAGCTTTCTCCAGGTCTTCAATTTTTGCTTGGCACCTGAGAAGATCAGCTTGTAGTTGTTCCCGTGTCTGAATAGAGAGTTTGAAGAATACTTAACTGATGTCATGGTAACAACTGGGATATAGGAGGTTCTACTATATTCTGCCTTTGTGCACAATTAATCATTGCAAAACTCAGCATTTCCAGTAGGATTTATGTAACAAAATCAGTAACTGTTTTGAAAGCGGTAGTGGGGGCCAACTACGCTGACACTCCGTAAATACTATGTTGGGTTTGGCAGTAAACCCAAGTTAGTCAGGGTGTTTTAGATGAGATTCTTGCATTGCAGGGGGTTGAACTAGATGACCCTTGGGGTCCCTTCCAACTCTACAATTCTATGATGGAAAAAGAATTATGGAGAATAAAATTTGTCCAGTTTGATTTAAAGGGAACGTCAATAAACTGCATTATCAAGCTGATGGACACTCTGCCTTAAAACATGCTTCAAAGTAAAATGGGAAAGGGTTCAAATTACCAAGGAATAGTGTTGCTGCCCAAATCAGATTAACCTGATTTCTGGTGATGGGCTTTGTGCTCCACCTAAGAGGAATCCAGCATTTCAGCACCAGGACTTACTGGAACATTTCTAAGCTCCATTAGGTCAAGAAGTGCATCACCTTAAAATATTGATTCTTCTTATTATTAGATGATAGTATAAAGCAATTTTAGGAACATTGTGCCTTAAATTGACAACAAACAAACAATAAATTATTTATACCCCACCCATTTGGCTGGGTATCCCTAGCCACTCTGAGTGGCTTCCATCAGAATATTAAAAACAGATTAAAACTTCAAACATTACAAACTTCCTGGATAAAAATATTACAAACATACATATCAAGTTGCTCAGTGACTTTTCAGATCCACTTCACAGCTTGAAATTGTCAATTCCAGAATGCAACAAATTTGAGATCCAGTCTGTAATTTTATTGGATCCGACTCTGAAGTCAGGATCCACACAAAAAAGATGTTTCCAAAGCAAATGCAAATGCCCTTACCAACTAAGAGTGACTATATACCAAAGGTAAAACTTTAAAAGAAAGTAAAGAGTGCTTTTAAAAAAAATCAGGCAACATGCATTCAGACAGAGCAAAGGAGTTAAACAGGCAAAGCCCGGGCATTTCAAAACTGAACATATCTCAAATTAACTGAAAGAACCTGTATTTTATTTTTTGCAAAGCCACATTAAAAAAAGTTACCCTTGCTTCTCTTTCTGCATCCTGGGTTCCCCCGACCTGTTCCTGGAGCAATGCATATGCTCTTTGCAAAGCTTGATATTCTCTGGTTAGCTGACAGAACCGCAAATCAGCTTCTTCTTTAGGGGTGCTCTTTAAAGAAATGTAAAAAAAAAAGATTACCGTCATCATTTTAAAAAAGAAAGAACTCTGTAAATAAACAAATTATAGCAGACATGCCATTCTAGCTAAGTCTTTTTACACTTTTTTGCCATGTCCTGAAATTGCAAACATCAAGATACTTTTGGTGATGACTGAAACACAAACTTAGCTATAGTTTCAGTATGATACGATATGATACGATAATCTTTATTGTCATTGTCCCATACAGAACAACGAAATTGAAAAAATCTACACCAGACATTCAAAAACCAACAAGCCTGCTATCCCAGTTATCCCAGCCTGGTTAGCCCCCTAACCAGTACATTAAATATTGTAAAAGGTCAACATAATGGAGAAGTCCCAGCCTTTTTAAGGGTCAAGGCCTTGCTGTGAACATGAAAATGTTGTTTATGTGTTTGTTAGATTTATATCCCACTCTTGCTAAAATGATAGTGTCTCCGGCCCTCCCCTTTATCCTACAGGGCAGAATTGGCTGCAAAAGGGTGATGCCCAAAGTGAGTTTCATGGCTGGGTGGGGACTGGAACATGGTCTCCCCAATCCAACTTTGACACCAGCCATCACCACCACACCAGATCTCTCCCCCACACTTGTGCTTCCAATCTCTTTCATTATTACATTGGTAATAACCATCTTTATTTCCTATAATAGGGACGCAGGAACAGTGGTGCTGTGGTCTAAACCACTGAGCCTCTTGGGCTTGCCGATTGAAAGGTTGCCGGTTCGAATCCCCGCGACGGGGTGAGCTCCCATTACTCGGTCCCTGCTCCTGCCAGCCTAGCAGTTCTAAAGCACATCAAAGTGCAAGTAGATAAATAGGTACCGCTCCGGCAGGAAGGTAAACGGCGTTTCTGTGCGCTGCTCTGGTTCGCCAGAAGCAGCTTAGTCATGCTGGCTTCATGACCCAGAAGCTGTACGCCAGCTCCATCGGCCAGTAAAGCGAGATGAGCACCGAATACCAGCTCTTAAAATTGGATCCTGAAATTGACTGGAAGCACATGGCCCCCTAGTATGCACCAGCTAAAGTTTCCAGACCATTTTCAAAGGCAGCCCCACAAGCAACAGTAATCCAAATAAGAGTCTATCAGAGCAAAGCTATCCCAGTCCAGATAAGGCAACAGCTGGTATATCAGCCATAGAGGATAAAAGTGCTCTGAGCCTCTGGCCTAGCGACAAGTGCTGGATCCAAGAGCATCCCTAAAACATGGGCACAACCCTTTAGGGAAGGTGGGGAATCACTGGCCCTCAGCACTTCTAGACACCCCCTGAAGCATATTTCGAACTGGCCATCAGCCTCTCCTCCTCAGCCCTCTCGGCCTTACATCCCCCCATTCTGCCTGCAGAGAGAGGAGGAGGAGGGAGGACGAGAAGAGGGACTGATCGATCCCTGTGTTTCTTCTCCAGCAGCTTTCTGTACCGGTACTTCCAGTGAAGACTTTCCTGTGGACTCAGTTTATACGAAGTGTACTACCTTCAAGTACCATGGCAACACTGGGAACTGCCCTTGGGACCACATTCTTCCAATTGCTCTGAGTTTGGGAGAGACATAAGCATGTGACAGGAGTGAGCCAGCAGTTAACCCCACTGAGCAAGTTGGAGTTAACTCTTTACTAGCAAAAACACAATCTGCACATGAGCGTCAGGCCTCATGAGGACAGCAACTCGTCTCCAGCAGGTCTTGCCCCCATGAGGCAGCTGCTGAGACTGAAGGTCCTCATCTCCCCACAGCTTCCTAAGTCCTCTCCTCTTCAGGATTTTCCCCAAGCAATCTTGAGATTGCACCTATGTGAAGCTAACTTTCAGCTTCTGCCTCTGATTTGGGACTTCTTCTCACAGACTCCCCCCACGCACCCAGCCCTGTTATCTCTGCAGCTTCCGACGCCTCTTCTCCCCCTTGTCCCACCAGGCTCTGAGCCTTCTCCCCAGCTGGTGCCTCCCACCATTCCTCTACGTCCAACCAGTCCATGACAGTATGCCATATCAAAGTCACAGGCGCTTACATCTTCCAAGTCTTCTTCTGGTGTAGCTGGAGTCCTGTCCGTTTTATCTGTATTATAGGAAGTTACTGATGATGTTTCTGAATCCACGGATTCTTCGTCAAATCCAAAAAATGTCTCCACAACATGCCTCTGAAATAAGACCAATGCACTTTGTTATAGACAAGCAAGTTATTCAAAGAGCTGTATCAAAGGGCCTTTATTTCTGTCTCTAAGGAAGGTGACAACAATCGGAGGCCAAAGGAGTCCTACCTGGTCCTCAGCATAGCACCAAAATAACTATCCACAAACTATGCACCTCAGCCACAGTCTCTCAAGCAAAGGCATAGGGAAGTATTTTCCATGTCCTCTTCCACAATGTGATCAGCAACAATACAAACCCAAGATCCACCAGGATAAGAGAGTTTGAATTTGAGACATCTTGGGCTTTCCCTGCTGCTATGGGGTTCAACCAGGTCTACGCTTGTGCCAGTGTAAGTCCCAATAACTTACACCTATTCCAAGCCCTGCCCTTGTGACCTAGGGCCCAAGCCTCAAAACTCAGTCCATGCCAGAGGCTCCTGAACAGAGTTTGGAATAGAGATAACTTGCACCAGCCTAAGTTAGGTTGGCTTCCTATAGTTAGGACTACCCACAAGGCAAGGGTGAACAACCTGGCACAACTTCCATGAACCCTAACCACTGGTCTTGCTGGCTGATGCTACTGGGAGTTGCAGTCCAAGAATGTGTGACGGGCACCGTATTGGCTACCCCAACATTAAGGAGTCAAAAACTCTAAAACTCTCGATAAATATTACACACACAAAAAAAAAAAAAGATAAATAGCAACCAAATTAATTAATTAATTCTTTGCCTATAAAATACTAAAAATAAAAATCAGTACAATCCAGCAATCAACAGTTGTGGAATGCCCACACACAAAGATATGTTTTCAGTAAGCACTTGAAACGCACTACACGGTCTCCTAGGCTGGATCTAGACACATCTAAAAAGCGTTTCAGTTAAACACGTTGTAAACTTCGTAAAGGGAAATCATGTTTACAGAAGACAGGACTCCACAGCACCATCTGGTGTAACAGTGTTATAAAGCATATAAAATGGTTTTTCTTTACTAATGTAGCTGAGTCCCTAGAGTGCCGGGGGGGGGGGGGATATTCCAGAGAACGGGAACCATTACAGAGAAGGTCCACTTCAAAACTGCCACTAGATTGTAGTCTGCAGGCTGCGACACGGCCAGCAGAGTCTCCTTTGATGTTCTCAGTGAACGCATGGAAATCTACTTGATAACCTGATCCAAAGTGGTGCAAAGCCTTATATGTTAACAAGATCTTGATAGCTAATAGGCAGCCAGTGCAGTTCTTTTAGCATTGGTGTAGTATGTGTGCAGTTTGATATCCCAGTGAAGACATTAACAGCCATATTCTGCACAAGTAGCAGCTTCTGAACCACAAAAAGTGCATTGCAATAACCCAACTGCAACGCTTCCAATACACAGACCACAGTGGCCAAGCTATGCTAGTCCAGAAAAAAGAGTGCCTGTCATGTACTAACCAAAGCTCTTCATTTATGCCGCACAGCTGCTAACTAATGTGCACTAAGTTAAAATGAAAATAAATTTGAGTGTGCAGCTAAGAGAAAACTGAAACATTCAGAGGAGAAGGGGTTAAATCAATGGGTCTGCAGTTCTAATGAAAGGGGTCCTAATTTGAGCTGTGATACCACTTTCCGCAAGCCATGTCCACCTGCCACCACCTGATGCCACCTAGGGCAAAACAGCTGCAAAAGAACAGAAGCCTTAAGATGCGCTCCTGTAGATGGAGTCATTGCTGCTTAGTTGGCCAGTCTTTGTTATCAAGGCATTTTATTTTTATTCAAATGTTTAGACACCACACTTCCATAGGAATATAACATGGCAGGTCTACAATAGGCTAATAATTTACATCAGGTCAGGGATGTTCCTGGACTGCAGCTCCCCATCATCAGCGCTGACTGCTGGCCATGCTAGTTGGGCCTGGTGAAGTCCAGCACCATCTGGTGGGCCTCAGGCTCCCAACCCCCAGCTTAAATTCTCAAAAGAAGCATAGCTGGGGGCTTGGATTAGCCACAGCACTAGATACCCTTTGCACATCACGAAAACGAGAAACCAGTTATAATATGATTAAATGCCTGAAATGAAGGACAGAGTTCATGTAATTAGGAAAGAAGGGCACAATGCTAGGGCAAAACACAGATACAGTGGTGCCTCGCAAGACGAAATTAATCCGTTCCGCGAGAGTCTTCGTCTAGCGGTTTTTTCGTCTTGCGAAGCAAGCCCATTGACGGATTAGCGCTATTAGCGCTACTGGCGGTTTAGCGGCTATTAAAGGCTTAAAGGCTTAGGGGATTAGCTGCTAAAAGGCTATTAAAGGCTATTAAAGGCTTAGCAGATTAGATAAAGGGGGAAAGCGAAAAAAATCTCAAGCCTCTCAAGGTATTTTCGTCTTGCGAAGCAAGCCCATAGGGGAATTCGTCCTGCGAAGCAACTTCAAAACGGAAAACCCTTTCGTCTAGCGGTTTTTCCGTCTTGCGAGGCATTCGTCTTGCGGGGCACCACTGTAACCCTCTCCCCCCCGCCCTGGTTCTCATCCAGGGGCGACCCACCCAGGAGGCAAGGTAAGGCAGTCACCTCAGGTGGCAGATCTGGCCTACGACGAGTGCAGCAGTTGCTGCAGCCACCTCTTCTGCAGCCTCCCCCACTGCTAGGCCATCACTCAGCTTCATGGAGGGGGCAGGACAGGAAGTCATCAGGACTGCCTCCAAAGGTAAAAGGGACATGGTGCCTGTCTTCCCTCCAATGCCTCTCCCTGCAATCTGCACCCTTCTTGTCTTCCTCATCTGACAGCAATTGCCGCCCCAGCCCTGAGGCAGTCAGCATTATGGGGCTCATGACACCACTCTGCCACAATTCCAAGAAATGCAAAAATGAAGATTTCTTGCCCACAATTGCACATCAGCTTGAGCTCTGGCGTTCAAATACCAGGTAGTAAAAATCCTCACCTTAAGCCAGGGCCGTCTTAAGTATATCCGGTGCCGTGGTGCTGTAGCAGGAAAACCCCCCCCCCATCATTCAGTTTGTACAAACTGCACACACACTCACACTCACACACTACATATGCTACGCTTCTGTTATAAATTCATAGAAAATCAACCATACATCAGATTTGCACTGTTCCACTTTTATTTTACTCCATCAAGGAAGGACTACAAAATGGGAAAGGTTTGATACAGGCCAGCCATAATCCCTTGAACATCCCAGCACATCCACAGGAGCCCTGCCCAGTTGCTATGCCAACCCTGATGGTCCTAGACAAGATCCTAGATCAAGATCACAAAGAACTTCCATATGGGAGTGGATTCAGCATGGACTGGAACAAAGGACAATGATCAGATCTTCCCTCAGGGGGCAGGAAACTGCAACTACCTTTTGTCTTCTGAAAATGACTCATGGGGAGGGGGAGAAGGGAACCAGCCAGGTGACAGGACACTCAGGTTACCACCACAACTCCTCCCTCAACCCCTCCTTTCTGTAATGTATGAATGATGTTTCTGGTCTTGACCTACAGGGTGGCAATTTCAAAAGTCTTTATAAGACCTTGCACACCATTTTTCTGGGTCTTTCCTCTCTCTTGCAAGTGAGGGGAGCACCCTGTTGCAACAGTTCAATAAAGGCCAAGCCTACAGGCTGCTGATTTGCTCCAATTTACTCTGGTTGGTGTCTTTACTTTTTGTCCAAGGGAGCCCTCGGATTTTTCCGGTAACAGTGCAAAGCTCCCTCCGGCGCCCCCCATTTCCCAGAGTTTTTTAGGGAGGACAGCGCTGCCGGAGGGGCTGGAGGAGGCGGGCAGCGGCTGGAGGGTTGCTCCTCCGGCGGGGAAGAGGCGGAGGCTGGACGCGGCGCCTCCGGCTCAGCTGGCCGCTTCGTGCCATGGTGGCCACGATAGATGGAGGCTCCGGGCGCGGTGCTGCTTTGGCGCGGCATGGCGGAGGTGGGCGAGGGCGGCGAGCTGATGCCGGGAGGCACCCCATTCAGCCTCCGCCTCTTCCCTGGCGCCCTCCAGAACTTGGGCCCTGTGCCACTAGCTGCTATGGGTAAGACGCCCCTGCCTTAAGCAGAGTATGTGTTACGACCAAAAGAAAGAACAGAACTAGAGCTTCAAAATACTTCTAACAGCTTTGCTGTGTTTTGTTGCACATAACACCATATTTATAACTCAGAAGTAAAACTGTGCCTCCTACAAAGAGTTTTTACAATTGTGTCTTGTGGTTCTTTGGTTAAACAGCTCTTTAGTGTTGATAGCCCAACCAGAAACAGATAATTATAGGAATTCTTTTGTGGTGGGGATTAGCCCTTTAAATAGCACCATCTCCCATAGGCACCTAATCCCTAATCTAGACTGCTGTCTAGAAATGCCATGAGTGCTGTTGTGCCTGGAGGACACTGTATGTGTGAATGTGTAAGACCACCTCAAAAAGTGATTTGGAGGAGGAGATCACGCACACAAGAATAGAAATTGTAAATGGGAGTGTGAAGACTAGGAGTTAGAAATGTGTTAGAATGAAGAGGGTTTTTTATATTTACATAATTTATATTTCACACCTTCAACATAACTGTATGGGCAACTAACAAAGTAGTTATTATTTTTATTCGTGTGGAAGCAAAGACCTGGCAATGTAGAAAACAGTGGCAGCTGTGCAAAGAAGTGAAGAGGCAGAAGAAAGCACAAAAGGGCTTGAGACAAGAGGGGTAGGACCTCCAAGCCCCAAAACACACACAATGGTCCTCCTCCCTACATTATTAATCAATGGCCCATAACGTTTGAGTGCCAATTAATATGCTTTACAGTATATGAAAAATGCTTGGAAAGCATCACACACAGACTATTTCCGTGTAAGAGAAATGTATTCATTAAAATGAAAATTAACACACCACCATTATTATGAGGTTAAGTGCACCATGGGATTTATGCAACACCTGCAATGTAATTTACAACACAACTGCTCCGTATTCATCAGATAAGCACTTAAATAGGTGGACCAGTAGTGGTAACATTTAACAACTCTTCTTTAATGAATAACATTTTAAAACTACAGTAAAAAAAATAATAATGGAGGAAAAATAGAGTGAAATGGCATGGTTTACTTCAAAGGCCTTATCATTTATTTAAAGCATTTCTATATCATTATTTTGTTTTAAAATCTCTTCTGTCAAAATTCATCCACTGTACCCTTTGTGTTTATATTTTCCCAAAACAAAGCAGCAACATACATTTTATAAGTCACCCCAAAAGATCCACAGTAAATTTATGAGAGCCACCAAAAAGGTTTAGAACATGCTATCCATTTCACCACTGGGCGACACCACTTTGATTAAAGCATAAGAGCTCTTTATGAGCAAATGATGTCTTATTTCTGAAGACAAGGGGCAAAATCCACTGGGATTTTCTTGCACAAGAACTGGTCTGAACATCATTGAAAACTGAATGATTAGCTGTTTATTCTGTGAACTGCCCTGAAATCTTATGAAGAGCAATATATAAATTAACTAACTAACTAACAGGAGCTAAACTGTGTAAAAAACAAACAAACATCCTTTTCTCTTCTTTTCACTTCAGTAACTTCATATACTTCACTTTACATTTTTTACGTCATTAACGAAGTAACAGGGTAGAAACTCAAACTAAATTCAGCATCGCAAGAATATGAACAAATAGCTCAGAGTTTCTTACCGTCATGCTTGTAAGTCATTTCTTGACAGCCCGAAAAATACAGGCATACCAGAGCACAGAGACAGAGGAAAAAAGAAAAATACAAGACGAGAAATATGTATTCCATCTTAATGATGCAGACACCGGGCACTTTGCTTATAAAAAGGAGAGCATCGTAATTAAGTTTGCAGAGCAGCAAATAGTCCCACGAGCTGTCTAAATTCCGAACACTGTAGTTCCATTACTCCATCGTAAAGTCAGACATGTTGGACAGGTTTTCTACCCATTTCACTCACCTAAGTTCCATGGCTACCCAGTATACAAAGAGCTCCACCCTCACTGCTGCTCCTGGAGACGGAAGCTAGCTGCCAGCAGCCTGCTACTTTCAAACCTCCCTTGGCAATTAAGAGAGTGCCCAGTGAAAGCAAGCATAGCAACTGTTACCTCTTACACGTAAGCAAGGGAATGATTAGAAGGAACACTTGGGGGAAGTCACTTTGTAATGCTGGAATTTATGATCTTAATGCAAACATGTTGCTTGGATTTCAGAAAAAAAGCTGATTTTAATAAGCTCAGAGAAAGACTAGGTTCATTAATGAGGGAAGGAGGCCAAGATGAATGGGAGTTCCTGGAGAAAATGTTACTAAAGGCATAATCGGGGGACGGGGATGGGGACCAGTAAACAAAAAAAATAGGAAAAATATAAAAAAGGCCAATGTGGTTGCATAAAAAGTTTAGTGGGGAGATGAATAAAAAAAGCAAGGGAGCATGCCTAAGAGGTGAAAGTCACTAACGGTAAATACAGACAAGTAGCCCACACCTGTAGAGATGGTATCAGGTAAGCTAAAGATCAAAGCAAACTGAGGGAGAGGGATGCTGGGGGGGGGGGTTTGTTCATGTATACTCAGAACAAGAGAAAGTGGAAGTGGTAGTATCATTGCTTCCTAAGGATTGTGGAATGTTAAGGGCCAACTATTAGATGCCGGAACTGCTCAACTCCGTTTTTTGCTTTTCTATTCTCCCAGAGGGGGAATTACATGCAATCTTGCATCGGCAGCATGAAAAATAGAAGCAGCCAGTGGGGTGGGGGTGGGCAGCCACAATGCTAGTTTCCCAGCTGGTGTGACACCTCCTCTTGCTTGGAGGGGGAGGAGAGAGGTATTGGGAAGGTTAGTGCAGTTACTGCACTGGTGGAACCAATCTGATGCGCACAGAACCCCTCTAACCTTCCCAGTAAGCAGCCGTGACACACTTACTGGGAAGGTTGCTTTTCAGCTCTACCCACTTCTGTAGGATGTGTCAGTACCGCAGTTTCAAATTTGACAAGGAAAAAACACCTATTCACCTTAAACAAGTTCAAGTCCTCAGGGTCAGATCAATTTTAGGGTACCGAAGGGGCTTGTTCTCAGAAGTGCTGTCTATTATCATGGAGAATTAGTGATAGCTTGGTTGCCGAACTTAATCAGTCCCCCCAAATACTGCTTAATTAAGAGGGGACAGCACCTTGCCATCTAATATCTTGTTTCTCGCTCTGGTAGCCCCAAACTCCCAAAATGAGCAATCTGTTTAAGCGCTTGGCATGTCCATTTTGACTGCTGAAGTAAATACGAAGGTAGAGCAAATACAAAATATTCTAAAGTTGGTGGAAAAGTGCTTTACTGAAGGTGCCTAGTAACACTGACTGCAGCCTTAATGTTTATTTCCCTGCCCATCTCCCTTCATGGTTCCACAGGGAAGCACATGGCTAAGCATGCATGCAAATAAAGAGCTTTACTGACAGATTCACAGGCATCCAAATCCCTCCTCACTCTCTTCATAGGATGTCTGATGAGGCCAACTTTCTCTAACCATGGTCACAGGCTTCGGGATTCCCCATCTCCTTAGCTGCCACAGCAGAGCTCCTTCTACTGGCTGAGATGTAGATTTAGTTTATTAATGTTTGGGTCATAGGCCATCACATATTACCGGCTGTGGAGATGGCTGCCCTCCCATTGACTACTTTCCCCCCTTGATCAGCCACTTTCCTTGTCAAGTGGGGGACAAGCAGGCACCGCAGGGTTCCATCCTGGGCCCATTGTTGTTCAATGTTTTTATAAACGACTTGGACAAAGGAATTGAGGGGGTGCTCGTCAAGGAACCAGGCAGAGGGCCTTCTCAGTAGTGGCGCCCGCCCTGTGGAACGCCCTCCCATTAGATGTCAAAGAGAACAACAACTACCAGACTTTTAGAAGACATCTGAAGGCAGCCCTGTTTAGGGAAGTTTTTAATGTCTGATGTTTTATTGTACTTTCAATATTTTGTTGGAAGCCACCTGGAGTGGCTGGGAAAACGCAGCCAGATGGGCAGGATATAAAAATATTATTATTATTATTATTACTAGCAGCAGCAGCAGCAGCAACAGCAGATGACACCAAACTGGGAGAGCTAGCGAATGCCGAAGAAGGCAGAATCGGGATTCAAAATGACCTCAACAGATTGGAGAACTGGGCCCAAACTAACAAAATGGATTTCAATAGGGACAAATGTAAGATTATATACTTATGCAGGAAGAACAGGATGCATAAGATGGGGGACACCTGGCTTACTAGTAGAACATGTGAAAAGGACTTAGGGATCTTAAAGGTTAACATGAGTCAACTGTGTGATGCAGCAGCAAAAAAATTCTAATGCTATCAACAGAAGTACAATATCCAGATCAAGGAAAGCAATAGTACCACTCTCCTCTGCCTCGGTCAGACCACACCTGACATACTGTGTCCAGTTCTGGGCACCACAGTTTAAGAAGGATGTTGACAAGCTGGAACATGTGCAGAGGAGGGCGACCAAGAGGACCAAGGGTCTGGAAAGCAAGCCTGATGAGCAATAGTTGAAGGAGCTGGGCATGTTTAGCCTGGAAAAGAGGAGACTGGGAGATATGATAGCCATCTTCAAATATCTAAAGGGCTGTCACATGGAAGATGGAGCAAGCTTGTTTTCTCCTGCTCCAGAAGGGAAGATCCGAACCAATGGATTCAAATTACAAGAAAGGAGATTCCAACCAAACATGAGGAAGAACTTTCTGATTGTAATAGCTGTTTGACAGTGAAACAGTCTCCCTCAGGAGGTTGTGTACTCTCCTTTATTGAAGGTTTTTAAGTAGAGGTTGGATAGCCATCTGTCATGGATGCTTAGTTGAGGGGGTTGAGCTAGATGACCCTTGGGGTTCGTTCAAACTCTATGATTCTATGATTCCTTAGAAACCAAAGATTCTCCTCCTACCACGGGGGTCAGAGGCAAATGCTCTTTACTTTGGTACAGTAGCTAGTTTCTACACCAGGAATGGGGAAGCTCAGGGATAGGGGCCAAATATGGCCCTCTAGGCCTCCCTAGCTGGGCCTTGGGACTCTCTAGCCAGCCTTCTGCCCTTTCCCCAGGCCTTGGCCCTTGCACACCCTTCTTGAGTGTTCCTGGCTGTTTGGAGTGTGTCCCAGAACTCAGATAATGGCTTTTGCTTGCCTGGATAGAGATGAGAGAAGGGCTCCTGAGTGTGTGTAAAGCGTAAAGGGACCCCTGACCATTAGGTCCAGTCATGGACAACTCTGGGGTTGCAGATATCCAAACCTGTTGTATACAGGTTTGTATAGATATCCAAACTTGTTGTTGCTAATCATTTCTATAACATGTTATAATGTACAAATTCTTGAATGTATATATATTTGTAGAACAATGGGTCATTTCATCTGGCTGTTTGAGCCCGCCCAGGGATGACTGTGGGCAGGATTCCTGCATTACAGGGACCTGGACTAGATGACCCTTGGAGTCTCTTCCATCTCTCCAGTTCTGTAATTCAGAGAGAGCAATGTGCCTAAGGAAATACGCAGTGGCTGTTATCATTCCTGTGATACAGTGGCTGTATCATTCCTGAGATCCACTGTTGCAGCGTTCGTCTCGCTTTATTGGCCGAGGGAGCCGGCGTACAGCTTCTGGGTCATGTGGCCAGCATGACTAAGCCGCTTCTGGCGAACCAGAGCAGCGCACGGAAACGCCATTTACCTTCCCGCCGGGGCGGTACCTATTTATCTACTTGCACTTTGACGTGCTTTTAAACTGCTAGGCTGGCAAGAGCAGGGACCGAGCAACGGGAGCTCACCCCGTTGCGGGGATTCAAAACCACCCTGGCTGTTTGGAGTGTGTCCCAGAACTCAGATAATGGCTTTTGCTTGCCTGGATAGAGATTAGAGAATGGATCCTGAGTGTGCGTAGAAACTAGCTTATGGTATGACGTTTACATCCACTGCTCAGTGGCCTTTTGCCCTCCCTGCTACTGGCAGGGTTGTCATACGTCCAGATTCCCCTGAACACGCCTGGTATTCCAAAGGCAAAATCACCATCTTGGTGGATTTAAATTTTGAAAAATGTCCGGGGCGGTGGGTTGGGGCATGTGCTGCGGGAGTGGGTGAACAGTCTGCCTGTCAGTCTGGCGGGTGGCTGGCTGGCCAGCTGAGAGGACCCCGCTTCTTCCCCATGGTGAGTTAAGAGCCACATCAGGCCTCCCTCCTCCTCCCCTCAGCGGTCTCTGGGTCTAGGCCTGGCCACAGCCCCCACCCCACTACAGAGCCACACACACAAATGTTAAAATATGAGGACCCTTGCTTGCCACTTTGCTCCCTCGCCCAAAAATCAAACTAACTTCTCATTAATCCAAACATTTATTTCTCCAAATCAAACGTACTAAATATTCCAGCCAATGGAATAAAAAAATGATGGTTTCACTTGAGCCGGAGCACAGAAGAACATATTTGCAACCCATGATTCAATCCTGAAAATGTGAAGCCATAACCTCTGCTCATGTGCAGAGAACATCACACACGTGATTAAACATAACTGGCCTCTTTTGCCTAAGATAGGAAGAGAATCCTCCAAGTCTGGGAAGGTTAGTCAAATCCACGTGACAGCCATACAGGCTTAGATACAAAGCTTTCCATTTTAGAAATTGAGAAACAAACTCACCCCCCCCAAACCACAGTTGCATTTTACAACATTCAGAGCTGGCTGGCCCATGAGGCAAAGCAGTCAGATCCAGGCCCTAGGAGCGTGCCACTTGCCGCCTCCTCCTCCATGCCCTCCCCACCACCGTGGTCCCCCCCCACTTTGTGGCCCCCCCCACCTGCTCCTCTCCAGCCTCCTTTTCTCTTTTTCCTGGGCCACCTCCAGATGGCAGTAGGGGGGTCTGGCAGGGAGGGGCAGAGAAATATCCTGGCCTGACCCTGCTCACATTCAGTGCTGTAGAATTATGTTTCCGTTTCAAACAATACCTATTATTTATAAGATTTTATGAAGACTTTTCATAATACATTACAATAAAAAACAAACTAATCTAAACAAAAAGAAAAAAGAAAGAATATACAACAGTGTATGTGCTGTCACCTGTTTCCTTTTTTACTATTTCATTATGTAATGATTGATTACAAGACTTTATAGAGTTTTATCTGTACTGTAACCTGCTTTAGGATTGTTTAATACTGAAAGCGGGTAATAAATTTTATAACTAAATTAAACTGTTTCAGAAGAAGCCCGGTTGAGTTGTTTGGGACAGACTTACAGATAAGCGTGCACATGTTTGCAAACTTAGCTGTGCAAAACAGAACATTAAGAAAAAGTGCCACCACCAGGCCTTTAGCAGTACTTTCCAGGTTACACTGCAGTTAAATACTTGACATCTCCATATATTAAAGTAACAAGAAGCAGCTGTGAAAAAACCAGCATTTTGTAGTTTTTTTAATTAATTATTAATAATGATGGCAATTGTTGTTTTTCTTATTTTATTGCCATAATTTTAATATAGAAAAGAAGTCTGGAAAAACCATTATCCCTTAGTCTCAATAAAAATGTCACTCACCTTTGTGGGTTTCAAATTCTGCGTCTTCTGTTTCCTGGAGCGTAACCATCGATCCCGCTCCTAGAGCAAGGAATGTCTTTTAAATAATTTATTTAGTATATATTCAAAATACGTAACAGATAATCATGGGTGTGGAATCTAAAACTCTAACATGATGCACAGCAAAGCTAAAGATCCCTTTCTATTTCTTCTTCTGAAATACACACTTTTAGAACTAGTTGCCACAGAGGAAAATCTGGAGGAAACACGGCGAATCGACAATGTACACAGCTGACAAGCCATGAGAAATGGAAAGAGATTTTGGATAATTTCACTTATCCGCTCCTTCTTTTATGAGATAGATTCATGAGTTATGAGAAACAGAAATGAAAACATGAAAAAGAAGATGGGCTTAAAACTGGACAAATAGATTATTTCCTTCTAATTCAGAAGTAGGGAACATTTTCTGTTCACGTTCTTATTGCCCCACCCTTGGCACACCAATGTTAACAGCGAGGCAGGGCCACTCACCTGTTAATCAACTAACCTCACTGTGATGTCAGGTGATGCTTCCCTTTGAAGCCCTGATTGTTGGGACTTCAAAGTGAAGCACAGAATTTTCAAACGGCCCTTTGTAAACATCCACATGCAGGAATATAAATTAATATTGGGGATACTACATGCCCACTTCATTTTTTGGCTTGTAAATACAACTTTTTCTATTATTTGTGATCTTAACCCCCAAACACATAGCCTTCTGTTATACTTTGCCAAGAATACAATGCTTTGAAACCAGCAAACATGACTGTCTGTTGTCACAAGGCTGCTCCCCTCACTTTCCCCTGCTCCTCCTCCATGGCTGATGTGACAAGGAAGAACATGAATTTGGGTAGGGGAGGCTGTTCCAAAATACAATGCATGCTATATTTGGATCAAGTGACCATGTGCTCTTACAAATGTCTCTCCAAGGGAATAAGAAACGAATGCCAAAGCAGAGATTAATAGTAACTGCATATTACCATCGTCAGATCATCAATAAGATGCCGTTGTTCTATAATTTGCAATTTAAGAAATTCAACTTCTGGTTCTTCATGTGTGCTACTAAGGTCATTCAATGATGTGTGCCTCCTCATTGTTGGCTGAGCAGATAGCTTTTCTCTCTATAAAAAAATATAATTTCATTAACACAACCAAATCTCGCACTCTCACACCCTCTTTGGTTCCAGCCAAAACAATACTAGTACAAAAAGGTGGTTGGTAAACATCCTTGCCCTTTTCCAATCATGAATTTAAAAATTATCGTTCAAAGAGAAAACAGTAAAACACATCTGTGAAAGCATCAACATTAGCAGTGAGACCAAATGACTTGTAATCCTAAACAAAGCAACTGCCAATAACCGGTGCTATTATCCCTTTCACACGACAGAAGTGTGAGTCTTGGGTGAAAGTGACCACATCGACTTGGGATTCAAGATACTGGGAAAAGATAAAGTTGAACGTGGTCATATGTGTACCCTGGACTTTGAAAAATCTGATTTCAGCAATCTTAAGTAAATACTGGGTAGGTGATATGTCATTTGGGGCTGGGGTCCTAAGCATCACCAGTTTTCCTTTTGTTGAAGTGCCCATTAAAGTTTCTTAGATTTCCAAATGTGCCTCTAGGCCCAAGAAGATTCTGGAGCCTGAATGCAGAGGCCCCAAAAGCCTCTCAGAACCATGGGGTTCGCGGCTCAAACTCTAGAGATGCTGAGATCTTACCTGCAAGTTCTGTGGGGTTTGTTCCCATCTTTGCTGGCCTATTTCCATCTGGGCTGAGAGAGGGGAGGCCAAGACCATTTCCAGCTACAAAAGCTGCTGCAGGAGGTACCAGAGACCATTCTGACCATGAGTCTACACAGGATGTTTAGGGATGTGTGGGCCCAAATTTAATTACTTTTGCTGTTTTTGTTATTATGTTTTCGTGTTTTGTCATTAGATCTTATCATGAATTATAACGGATTTTTCAATTTTATTGACTATTTCTTAATGAGATGCTTTCATTAACATATTATTTAGATTCTGCTGTATTTTGTAACTAGTGAATGATGTGATTTTTTCATGTGAGCCCCCATAGGCAGCATACAAATAAATGGTGAGGACAATGGTGACGGCACCCTGAGTTGGGTAACATCCTGTGGGCTGGGGTTGAGCTGATGCCTTTCCTCTTTAAGCCCACAGCATGGTAAGCAGCTGGACACAGCAGCTGACCACTTGACCAGTTAAAAATGATCAGTCCAGAATGTGTTACATTTTGACTCTGCAGGCCATATGTCAGGGGTCAGCAAACTTTTTAAGCAGGGGGCCAGGCCACTGTCCCTCAGACCTTGTGGGGAGCCAGACTATATTTTTTGGGGGGAAATGAACAAATTCCTATGCCCCACAAATAACCCAGAGATGCATTTTAAATAAAAGCACACATTCTACTCATGTAAAAACACACTGATTCCTGGACTGTCCGCGGGCTGGATTTAGAAGGCGATTGGGCTGGATCTGGCCCCTGGACCTTAGTTTGCCTGCCCATGCCATATGTTATAAAGTACTACATACAGTATTTGGCTACACATTAGGTAATGACTCATTTTGTTAATTATCCTTCTTGGATTTGAAGATGCTCCCAAAGAAAAAGAACAACTGTAATTTCTGTTTTTGAGCTACCCAACACTCTTAGAAAATACCTTAAAAATAGGAATTATGTCAATGTGCCAATCAAGCAGATTGAATCAAAATCTGCAGTAGGACTTTCCACCTGTAAAAATGTACTAGATAGAGTGAAAACCACTTTATGGAAAAGATTTCTGAGAAAATGGGATATAAAATTTATTAAATAAGTAAATAATATTACTGGCTATAAAAGCAAAAAGGGAGCAGAGCACTTTCTGGTCATCCTTCTCACAACTGGCAAACGAATCATCAGAATCTGTGACCTGAAGACGACGACTGCTTACCATTTCGACATTTTCCCTAGAAAGACGCTTAAGTTTTTCTTCCATTCTTTGTATACTCTGCAGCAAGCTCTCGTTCTTTTTGTTCAGCCTTCTGTTTTTTTCTATAAGCGGCTTCACCTGCACTTCCATCTCCCGAGACCGCTTCAGCTGCAAAAAAAGTTGTACTTTTTTGTTTCTGTTTTTAAAGCAGATCTGTTCTGCACGGGGTTGCAAGTGGGTAGCTTGTCAACAGAGGCCCAGGTGTCCTCTGTGGCTAAGGCCTTTTACCAGTCTCATCCGGTTTGACAACTAGCGCCATTCCTGGATGAGGATAGCCTCTGTTGTCCATGCTTTGGCTGGACAGAAATGTGCTCTTCTGTGGGGCTGCCCTGAGGTCTGGTTTGGAAGTTCCCGCTGGTGTAGAGTGTGCTCACGTTAGAGTTTAAAGCCCTTAACAACTCAGGTCCCAAATACCTCAAAGACTGCCTGCTTCCCTATGGATCCTCTCAGGTGCCAAGATCTGCAGAGGTGGCCCTCCTGGTAGTTCCTCCACCTTCGGACGCTCAGTGGGTGGCAGTCTGGGAGAGGACATTCAAAGCTCCCACCCCACAGAGGTGCTCTTGGCACCGTCATTATACAGCTTCCGGCAAATGCCAAAGATGCACTTTCTTTGCCCTGCCCTTTGACGCTTGATGTGTATATTTTTAGGACCCAACTTAGTTCTGTAACTGTAAGTTGTTTGTTTTTAATATTGTGTTTTAATGTTGTAACCCAACCTGGGACCTTAACAACAACATCTCCCTCCCTTACTCTAAACAAAAAAAGTCCCAAATATAGTCTTTCTTCATAAGGGGGTTGCTCTGACCCCTTAATCATTTTGGCTGCCTTTTTCTGAACCTTCTCAAGCTCTATAATGTCTTTCTTGAGTTGAGGCAACCAGAGCTGGACACTGTATTCCAAGTGGGGTCTCGCCATATAATGGCATTCTGACATTGGTAGCTCTCAGAGTTCTTTAAGAACTGGTTCCTGCACAGCAGGAGGTTGGATTAGATAACCCTCAGGGGTCCCTTCCAACTCTACAATTCCAGGATTCTATGATTCTGAGGCGGATGCCATTTGGGCCTGGTGGTTTGCCCATTTTGTGTCTTGTCATCACTTTTACATCAGCTCCTCAGACTCCCTTTCTGAGACAGATAGCTCAGGTACAGGGATCTGTCTTCCGTCTCCCGCTGTGAAGAAAAACACAAACACATTTGACTCCCTCGTCATCCAAAGGTCCACCCACTTCCCTAGCTGATCTCCTGCTTCTAATGTATTTAAATAAGTTTTGTCATTCCTCTGTTGTTGTTTTTTTTTTGTAATACGCTCATCAAATTATCTCTCTCTCTCTTTTTCATCCCTTATCATCTGCTAGAATTTCTTGTACCAAAGTTTCTGTTCTTTTTGCTCTCCTCATTTGGACAAGACTTCCATTTTCTGAAAGAAGCCTCCTTGCCTCTCACAGCTTCCTTGCCTTTGCTCATTCCCCATGCTGGCCTTGGAAGTATCTTCCCTGTTCTGTGGTATGTTCTCTAGCTGAGCTTCTGATATTCTATAATCCTGAACAACTGCTAAACATTTTGGAGAGATGTGTCCCCTTTCTACTTGCTTTTTACCCATACCCTTATTTGGGGAACTTTTCTTTTTTGTTAAAGTCAAATGTGACCTTGGCAAATGTCCACTTACATTATTTTTATTTCATTTATTTATTGAATTTGTTAGTTGCTTGATCTTGCTCAGGGGAACCCAAAGCAACTTACAACCAACCGAACAGACAACAACAACACAACCCTCCCAGCATAGATACATTAAAAGCATCCTGCCCAGTTCTAAAAGATTGTTTAATCAGTCCAAGGCCTAGTTATAGAGAGACATTTTCACCTGGTGCCTAAAGATACATAATGAAGTTGTGAGAAACTGATATTTTACTGCGGCAGCGTCTACACTTTGGAACCCCCTGCCTATTGACAGGTAGGTACATTCATTGTACTGTACTCTTTTCTGCACCTGCTTAAAACATTTTTGTATAGACAAGCCTATCCAGACACACAGGTGTTGATGATGTATTTTAATTTTAATATCTTTAAATGTTTTACCATATTTTTCCGTGTCTAACACGCCCCCTAGTTTTTGGGACTCAAAATTAAGAAAATGCACTATGCACTGTGTATAAGACGACCCCTTATTTTAAATTTCAAAAATTTAGGGAAAAATATAGTCTTATACATGGAAAAATACAGTAAGTTGTTTTTAAATGTTTTATTGATAATTTTAATATTTTTTGTAAACCCCTTGGAGGTTTTACTACAACCAAGCAGCATATAAATTTTGTTAAATAAAACATCAAAATTACTTACTAGTTCATTCCTTTCATCTGCTAAAAGTGTATTTCTATCTTCCAGCTTCCGAATCACAGCGCTGAGTTCTGCTATTTTTAGCTGAAATCTCCGCACATCTCGTTCATCCATATGTTGCTCCTTGAAAATAAAAGGCTACATTACAGCACAAAACTGGGCACAACTTCATTTTACAGAAAAGTAAAAAAGCACGTGGAATAGATGGAGGAAGGTAGTGTTTTCTCAAACAGTGGGCAGAGACCACCAGCTGGCCTCAGCCTCCTTTGAGGCTGGCCTCAGGGGCACAGACCCCCACCCTCGCCCATTTCTGCCCCCCGCCCCAGCCATGCTACTGTCTTTTGGCTGGACCTATGGCGACAAAAGCAGCAAGTCATCAGGCCCTGAATAAAAGTGGCAAGAGGGGTTTGCGGGAAGAGACATGGCGGTGAAGGGCCAGAGTGTGCACTCAAATAAATTAGGGTATTTTTTTTTAAAAAAAATAGTACTGTAATTAATAGGAAACAAAAAGGAAGGGGAGAAGATAGGAAAGCTGCTGTAGGAAGAAGCAGTAAAATAACAGATATAATAAAACTGCAAGGCTGTGATCAGGCTGCAATTTGTGCGGCTGCCGGACAGAAGAGCACGTGGGCAGCTCAGGCAGGCAGGCGAGTAAGCAGTTCAGGAGGGCCATGGAGGAACAGCCAGAGGCAGCTTCCAAGCAGCCATCTTACTCCATTTTCCCTGTGCACCCGAGGCCACCATTTTGTCTGCATCCACATTGGCGGGTGAAGGGGAGGGAAGCAACAAAAGAGCAAGATGTTTGCTGGGGAAGTGACCGGGCCTGTTGTCCCTGTTCCTTTGTGGCTCGCCTGGGCCATGGTTTGGCAGAGCTATACAGGGAAGGGGCAGGGTTGACTGAGCAGGCAGACGAGTGAGCAGACAAGACCGGTGAGGGGGCAAGAAGGAGAACAATAGGTCTGGTGCTAGTCTTTGTGTACTCTCTTCTGGGGCTATGACTATACAGAGGCTGGGTTTGCTCTCTGTCCTGAAATCAAAGTTTTGGGGATCACAGCTTGTGTGTCTGAAGTGAGCTAAACCACAAGCCAGGGTTTGAACAATACATTAAGCCACATCACAGCTTACCAAAAGCACAGCAGGATTACAACCAGAGGAGCAAAAAGGTAATCTCCTCTCTTAGAGCCCCCACATCTGCTTGTTTGCACTAAGACATGATTTGGCTTGGTGTTGCAAACAAAGGCAGTGTCTCAGCTTAAGCCTGCAGTCCCCTCACCACCACCACCCGGGCAATACAGAGACAATAAAAATAGACTATGCACAATGTACTTCTGAACTATTCTTTCTAGCAGTAAAGTTATCTGAAGGATGGAAGCAAAGCTTAATGTTCCATTTTCAAAGTATAATTTAATTTATTTGTATTTTGAAGGTGATAACTCATCCCCCCACTCTGAAAGGAGTTGGTTACAATCTATTAGCAGGGAATCACCACGTTGTTAAAATAACTTTAACATTCATACGCATGTAAAAAACAGTTAGCTTTCTTACCTGGTTTCCTACAAGTTCCATCATATCTCCCACAGAGGGAGGAAGCTCTTTCTTTGGGCTGGAATGGAACCGCTCTGCCTCTTTGACTTGAACAAGTTGTTCATCCAGGGCTTCTTTCTGAAGCAGCAACTTTTGTGTATGGCCTGCCTGGACACCAAGATCTTTCTCCAAAGCCAAAATCACTCTCTCTTTGCCTCGTATCTCATCCATCTTGAAGAGTTAGAAAGCAACACGACGTGAATTTCTCCTAATACTTCCCATTAAACCGAATACTTTATGTTAGCCAAATCATGCCAAAGGATAAGTAGTACAGCGGTACCTCGGGATGTGAACAGGATCCGTTCCGGAGCCCCGTTCGCATCCTGAAGCGAACGTGACAAGTGATGGCGCGTCTGCGTGTGCGCAGGTCGTGTTTTGCCGCTTCCGCGCATGTGTGTGACGTCATTTTGAGCATCTGCGCATGCGCGAGTGGCAAAACCTGGAAGTAACAGAGTGCAACTCGAACATGCTCAACCCAAAGCACATTCAACCCGAGGTATGACTGTACTGGATTTACAGCCAGGGCTGCTTCTATGAAAGGAATAAACTTAAGTCCTGTTTTTTGTTTAATGTGTTCTTTTGACTTACTTAGTATTAGCCAGATATGAGAACAATTGACTTCCTTTCAAAAATCTCATGAATGGCAACGTAAAGCAATTGTGAGCAGATAGCTGCTTTGATTGATGCAAAATCAGATTTGCTAAGTGTGCCACTCGTCAGAGGAAATAAAAGAGACTTGAATAAGAAATGCCCTCCTTTCCCTGAGTTACAATACAGGATTAACATCCATTTATTTACAAAATAAAGTAGGGGGAAAGCAAGTGACTGTGACATGACACACAATTAGACTAGTGGCAATTAAAAATAGTGGAATATTCAACTAGACAGATGCACGGTAATATTGGGTGAACCTACCAGCCTACGGATGTCCCTCTCGCATTCACGCTTTATCCTATTAATTTCGTCTTGATGGGACTGGTAGGCTGTGCGCAGGTCAGCTGCCTTCATCTTATCTGCCTGCATGATGTTACTCAAGGCTTCTTCCACCTGTTTTTTCCCTGACTTCAGTTCTAGTATCTCCTGCTGCATCTTTATGCGCTCACCATCAAATGATTTCCGGGCTTCTTCCCTGGCCTCATTGAGCAAGGCAGTTTTCACTTTGTCAGCTGCCCCGTCCCGCAGGACATTCACCGTGGACTGCAATCGCTGGATCTCACTGTCTTTTATTTTCACCATACGAGCCACTTCTTGTTCATGTTGCCGAATGAGTACCTCTCGGAGAGCCTGGAGTTCCTTCATTTTCTCTTCATGGAGTTTAGCCTTGAGTTCAGATATGTAGGCTGTGTGTTTGTGCTGTTCCTGTTCTCGTTCTTGTTTTGCTTCCTGGAGCTTCTCTCTCAGTTTACTCACCTGAAACACCACCAAAAAACAAAAGCAGCACATTAGCATGACTGTGTAGAACTGGAGGAATGTTTGGGAAGCAAATGAAACATGAGGTAGATATCTAAAGTCTTTCTGAACGTAGTACTTCTAAACTTGGGCTACGGACAAAATGTTTAATACTGATTGGAGTCCACAGCAGGCCTTTGTGTGATCCCACGACAAAAACTCTGTATTTCAAAACTCAAAGTCTTGTCACACACAAACACACATACACGGGTATTACAATATTTTTATACACCACTTTTCAGTCAAAATGCCCTGAAAGCAGCATTCAGTAAGATATATAAAATATATTGATAATACTAACAGATCACCTTTCCATTGTTTAAGTTGGCAGGTTTTTTTAATTACACGAAGGCCTAATTTCCACAAGTGGTACTCTTATATAGAAAGGCACCACCCAAGACTTCTGCCTGGCTTGGTGGTCTGTAGCACACTCCTGCAATGGCACCACTATTTTCCTCTTCTTTTAATTTGACCTAGATGTTCAAATTCATGGATTTCTTTGCATGTGTATGCATCCTTTAACTCTCCACCCTTCCTGTTTAGTCTATTTCTGCTAAGTAAGCTCCATCCCTGTGATGTATGGAGGTGAGAGCTGGACCATAAAGAAAGCTGATCGCTGAAGAATTGATGCTTTTGAAGTATGGTGCTGGAGGAGACTCTTGAGAGTCCCATGGACTGCAAGAAGATCAAACCTATCCATTCTGAAGGAAATCAGCCCTGAGTGCTCACTGGAAGGACAGATCCTGAAGCTGAGGCTCCAATACTTTGGCCACCTCATGAGAAGAGAAGACTCCTTGGAAAAGACCCTGATGTTGGGAAAGATGGAGGGCACAAGAAGGGGACAACAGAGGACAAGATGGCTGGACAGTGTTCTCGAAGCTGCTAACATGAATTTGACCAAACTGTGGGAGGCAGTGGAAGACAGGAGTGCCTGGCGTGCTCTGGTCCATGGGGTCACGAAGGGTCGGACACGACTAAACAACTAAACAACAACAAGCTCCATCCCTGTCACTCCAGTAGTGGGCCTTATCCTCGCAGGCAATGTCTATTAGTTCATATTTGCCTTTCTGCATTAAGGTTTCAAGTTCATCCTAATTTTCTTTATTCCAATGTGGCACCAATGCATCCACATACACCTGCAAAGGTGTTCTCTGGCTCCCACAGGGCCCCTTCCCCTCAATGAAATTAGGCTTGAAACACGTGTCTTATTGTAGTCAATAGAAGAGCTTGTGGTCCATGACAGGTTGCAGTATAGGTGCAGTGCCCATGACAGTTTCTCCAGTTCACAAATGTACCCACAGGACGGACAACGCTGGTGACCCTGGCTCTGGCACAGAGACACTTGAAAGCATTTAATGAGTTTTATATCCCAGGTACTCCCTTAGCGGATGAGGTTGTGCACTGAGACTAGGGGAAGCAGCAAAAGTAGGCTGTAGTGCAGTTCGGCTTTCCGTTTTCCCTCTCCTTAGCAGTGGAAACAGTAGTGCTTCTTCCTGCAGCCCCTGTCTGGCCGTTGTACCCAGCAGCCCCCATGGAATAATGCTATGTCTTTATGCAGCATTGTCCTTGGGTGGTTTAGGACAAATGTGGCTACTGCTGCCGCCACCACTTTAAAAAAGGAAGCTGTCAATGAAGAAATGCAAAAGGACTTTTGAAACTGCTAGCAATTTTGGCCAAAGTAAGTTTTAGCATGAACTGAAGGTATATAGGATAATATTAAGACACACAGGATAATTAATATAGGATAATATTAAGACAAACTCAGCCCTCCAGATGTTTTGGGACTACAACTCCCATCCTCCCTGACCACTGGTCCTGTTAGCTAGGGATGAGGGGAGTTGTAGTCCCAAAACATCTGGAGGGCCGAGTTTGCCTATGCCTGACATACAGTATCCACGTACATATAAGCAAAGCACAGTGCCGGAATTACTGACTCTTTTCCTATTATTAATTGTTAATAATAGTTAAGGTGATGAGCGTGGAGGTTGCCTTAGCTCAGCAGATGTTGCAAAGAAATTAGATATTAGGATAGCTAATAGGAAGGCAGTTGAATGATAGCCAGGGCTGGAGGAAGGGTGGGGATTGCAGTGAGGTGTTCAGAAAAGGAGATTACAGAATACAAGAAATACATTTAGGCGTTTCGGAATCCGCTGGGTCATAAAATATACTCAAGTGAGATCCTAAAAACGATATAAAAATTCAGTCCTACTGCTCCACTACTTTCTTCATCATTATTAGCTCTTTAATAAATAGGAGGAGAATTTAAACACAAACATTCAAAGGCCTCCTGATTGAATAAGATTACTGATGGGCCCATACTACCTTCAGCGAAGCAAGGCAATCTCATTACAGTCATCCTTGCATAAGCTTTTCACTTGTAAGCTCATTGCAAATGCAAGAACTTATCCTCACCAGTTTACTGCTACTGCAAAGGCTACTCCCTTCTGCAGAATGGAACAAGCACAGCAATTAAAAGCAAACCAATGAAATCCCAGCTGGAAGTGTTTTCTTTTTGTGAATACTCCTAAACATTCAGTCCCAAAAGGTGTACTGAAGGGGAAACAGTGATTCATTTCAATAACCTCGCTACTTCCAAACGTGGGTCAAACATGAATTTGCCTTTCAGTTACATCCCATCACTTTGCACCAGATCTTCTTCAGAATGACTGGACTGAGGACTCATTGAGGATTTAAGTGCATTGCATGGACCAAGTAGGTATAGTCCTCAATTGTCAATTCATTTATTTACCAGAGTTTCCAGTGTACAAAGAGTCTGTTAACTAGCACATAGTGGAAATAACTAGCAAGGGGTGAAGCTCTTCAGTCCAAGGGCCACAGTACCCCAGCAGAAAGCTGTCAGGGTTCCCATTCCAGTAGTGGACAGGGCCAGATTCATGCAGTTTCCCAGGGAAAGAGGTGCATTTTTCATTCTTATTTTCAGTTTTCTGCATATGCAAAGAGCCTGCTGGATGAAGACAAAGGCCCATTTTGTCTTGGTGTAGAGACATGCCAGGTTGAACAGACCCCGGCTGCTCCTTGAATGGATATACACGGTTCAATTCACAGTTTCACAGATCAAAAAGCCAATTCCATGTTGCTCTTTTAAGTCCTGATGCCACCTTGAATACAGAGGTTTTGCTTTGCTCTCCTGATTTTCCCAGGATTGGGGAAGTCTAAATTCACTCATCAAAAGAAGTAGAATGGGTTCTGGTTGAGTGTAGCTTCACGATGCTCAGAAATCTTGGACTCAATCAGCCTCAAACTCACCATAAGGCCCAGTTTGGACAAGCCCTGTGTTTAGGGGAAGATATGAACAAAGCAGCACATTTTCAAATCTATTTGAAAGTCCCTAAAACTAAGGAAGTAAAACTATTTTAGAAAAATGCCTGTGTAAATCAGAACATACACACCCACAATGAAAGATAGCCTGGGCTGTGTAGTGAAATAGCAACACAGCATGTGAATTAGAAAATCAGAGGCACTTTTACAGATAGCATCATCATGAGAACTGCTGTTGACCATCTCTGTGATCTCTTGCTCACACATTGATCTCATCTGGTTGGAATGATAAAAGCCCTTGTTTATCATTACAGGCACGGGTACAAACCTAAAGCTTGTTACAAGATTCCGCTTCCCCTCTGGTAGGGATGGGAAGAAGGGTTTTGAATTTTCCACTTCTGTTTTAGACTAAGTTGAGGTAAGACTCCAAACTGCAGTTAGCCTTGCCTTAGCTGAAACAAACTAAATATAGTTACTGTATTTTTTGGTGTATAACACCCCCCCATGTATAAGATGGCCCCTATTTTGGGGGACTCCAAATTAAGGAAATGGGAGGAGATTGCCCAGAGTTGTTGAGCTCACCCGCCTGACCACCACTGCCAGCCGCACGTCTCGCCAAAGCCACCAAAGCCATCTGTCGGCAACCGCCAATCGACCACCCAATTACCACTGTAGAGCCAATAGACAGCCGGCCGTGCCACAGCCACCAATCACCCGCACAATCGCCACTGACAATCTCCTGCTTGCGGCCGCCAACAATCACCCGTCCCCCCTCTGCACTATCCGTGTGTAAGACAACCCCCAATTTTTAACATTTATTTATAATAAAATAACATCGTCTTATACACTGAAAAATACGGTATTCTCAACTGCAGTTTAAGGTTCCATTCAGACACAATGCTAAACTCTGGGTAACTAAGCCACAGCCCTCACAGCAAAGGCAGAGGGGCAGCCCATAACCCCAAGTCTTCTACATGCAACAATAAACCTTTGTTTATCATTACATCCCAAATGGGTTATTATGCTTGTCCGTAAGCGTGAACACCATGCAATATTTGCACGGACAAAAGATGTATTGTGTGAACCAGCCTCAAGAAGTTGGCAATTTTCCTGTCCAATTGAGTTAAGTTTCCCACAATTACTCATTATGCATACCAGAGAAACAGAGGGGAACAGCATAACTAAAGAATAGTAACTCTAATCACTTCCCAATTTTGCTGACTAACAAGCAACACTGGAGAAATTTGGCAGCTGGTTACTTGCATAGCCATCTAGCAAGGACAAACAGCAAAAATTCAAGGCAGCTCCAAAACAATGACAGCAAGCAAAAGCTACTGGATTATTAGAAACAGACCACTTCCATGCCCAACATTACACCTTACTTCTGTAAACTGATATCCCTATGCTAATGAACAATCTAGAGACAAAGGTACTTAATATTGGTGGGAGGGCCTGGAAGCAAAGCCTAGCCTGGCGTCTGAAGTCAATGAACATTATTTGCTCATTAATGGTGATGCTTATGCAGGATGGCACCGCAGCAGAAACTCCACCCCAACCTTCTCACCCTCGTTAAAACACCTGTAGAGAGCACACACATTTACAATTGAACGTATAGAGGGCTCTCTGTGTCATCAGAAATCTTGGCAGAGCCTCCTGCACACACTCAATGAACATGCAAAGAACATCTGTTAGGGGGAAACTAAACACTAAAATAGTTACAAAGCCATCACTTATATATAAAATTGGCTAAACACACATCATTAATAAATCTCAGCTTTCTGTATATGTACATACGTGCCTTAACAGCACAGAAAGTTTACTGTTTATTGCTTTTTAGCTTTATGCACCAACATTATCTTCTTTGACTTACTGAAGTGTGAAGAAGCATTAAGTGGCATACATGTGCAATAACAGTTCTTATTTTCTAAGCTTTGTTGACTAGGCAAATATGACAGCAATTCCAGTTCTACAGGGCCTGGAATAACAAACCATGGTTTGATGTGACATGAGTGAGTGCTCTCAACTCTCCATGCACTCACAGATTCCCTTCCCAGCTTCCTAACTCTTGTCAAACCTTAGTTGGGTTGTATCTAGGTTAAACTGCTTAATAGGCATGTACAAGAGAGATCATTTACAAAACAAACCCACTCTTAAGAAAATCAAGCAAGCAAAACAATTACTGTTATAAAGGAAACCATGTTGGGATAAACCAGTTATTTAAACAAACCCTTAGCAACCAACTTGCAAGACCTTGTCTAAAAGAGGGTGATAAAATTCTCTTAAGTGAGTGGCTTATTATTTTGTTACATGCAATACAAATGTGTATACTGCCTAATCAAAATACCTAAGCTGTGGACGCCTTAAGATTTCACAATATAGTGTACATGTTTTGAATTTATATTGGGATAATATACAACTAATATCTTATTGCGTAACACTTCAGAGAATGCTTCTGCCAACAGAAATGTTTTAAGCAGTCATCTAAAACTCATCTTTGTGACAGCTGCAGCAAGTCTTCTTTTTCTGCTGTAAAGGTGAAATACTTATTTCTCAAAAAGCAAGGAGGAAAGGGCAGGATAATTCTAGCAAGGAGCTTTTTCTGAAAGTTTATTGCTAAATAATTAAAGCTGTCACCTTGAAAACAAGAGCTGCAACAAGAGACAAGGATGCCAGCAGCAGACCCCTAAATCTAGACATGTCATGTGTGCAAGCACTTGAAAAGGTTTTTGGTATTCTGAATACAGTATATATCTATTTCTTGCAAGACTCTCCAATTTAGCGAACCTGAGCTGAACAAAAAAATAAGACTCAGCATTTTACACAGATCTTCCTGAGTTTGAGTAAAGCTGATATAACAGGGTCTTAAGAGTTTTTGAAGTGAATAATCCACAGCTTAAACACATAAGCCATTGAAGTGTATGAAGTTTTATGTGCATAAAGGTAAAGGTACCCCAACCGTTAGGTCCAGTCACGGACAACTCTGGGGTTGCGCGCTCATCTCACTCTACAGGCCGAGGTAACAGACATTTGTCCGCAGACAGCTTCCGGGTCATGTGGCCAGCATGACTAAGCTGCTTCAGGTGAACCAGAGCAGTGCACGGAAACGCTGTTTACCTTCCCACCAGAGCGGTACCTATTTATCTACTTGCACTTTGACGTGCTTTCGAACTGCTAGGTTGGCAGGAGCAGGGACCGAACAACGGGAGCTCACCCCGTCACGGGGATTCAATACACCAAATCTCTCACATAAAGTAACAAGGCAGAAAGAGCTGCATCCTGGGATCTTTAAAATTATCATTCAAAAATATTATCTATTTGGGTAACACCAACAAGCAAAGTAGTTTCATCTGGCTGTTGGTGAAACAGTGACACCAACACCTCCGTTCCAGAAAAAATTATACACACCTTTTTATTCTAAAGCACTGAAATCGAGGGAGCGTCTTTCCAGAAAGGAGACGCTATGAAAACACTGTATGCAAGTTTGATGAGTATTTCATTTCTTTAAATCCCTTAAGACCTGATGGTGTGAGAACTGCTCATTGCTCAGCTGGACATACCTCCACATAGCATTAAGCTTACATACCTTGCCTTTTTCCTGCTGATATTCAATCTGAATGTTTGTCAATTTCATCCGCAATTCCTCATTTGCTGCTGCTTGGACAGCTTCAGTCTCCATGTCCTTTTCTGCCTTTGTGCGGCTTTTCTTCGACATGGCTTCAAATACGTATTCTTATATTGGAAATATATCAACTGCCAAGCAGCTCTGAACATCGAATGTTAAGACGTCAAGCAGCAGTCAGTGCCATCCCATGTAGAACCCACTGCTCTCATAGTCACTATCCTCAATATTCTAAAGCACAAAATAAAAAGGGAAATGAAAGTTAACTATTTGATCAAAATAGAAATATATTTTTAAAAAATTAAAAATTGTCCAATAGCACCTTAGAGACCAACTAAGTTTAGTCTTGGTATGAGCTTTTGTGTGCATGCACACTTCTTCAGATACATTTCAGATACTTCAGATATATTTCTACTGCGTCAGACCAACACGGCTACCTACCTGAATCTATTTGATCAAAGAAAGCCTTAAACAAACATAATGCTGTCCAAGATTATTGTGTTTCATTCCCATTTATTGCAGGAGAACATATAACATGAACATAACATCTCTGCAGGATCTGACTAAAGGCATTTTCAATTAAACTAATGAGATTTAAGAAGTTTAATGTGGCTAAATCATACCCCATGTATCAATATGCCAACATTTTTACGTCAACGGGGAAGTAATATGCACCCTGTTTGGTTACAGTAAAAACCTGCAATTTAAAAAAAGGTTCATTGAATTAAAATTAATTAGACAAAATCTACAGGAAAAATCTCAACAGTGTGTGAAAATTCTGCAAATCTGAGATGCTGGCCAGAGCCAAGCTAGCACTTACAGTAAATATGCTTATAGATTAGCAGTGGCTGGAGAGCAAAACATCTGATTTAGAGTCTTTCAGAGTACAGTACTACCTGACTTGTCCTACTTGTACTACCAGATAGCAACTTGTACTACCAGATAGCAATTTGAGGGCTATTTTGTCACCTAATGTTGTCTTCTACAATGTTGTCTTCTACAATGTTGATTACTACATCAAGCAGCATCATGGAAATACTCTTTGCATGTGGGTTTTTTATTGGTGCAGTTAGAAATGCAGCCTAGTGCAATGCAATAAAGGCAAAAGTTACAGAAAAGCTGATCAGTGCTACCCCATCATATTAAGCACCACATAATTGTCATATTTTCCATAGATCTTATGCAGGCCAATAAAGGCACTCAAACCCAAGAAGTTAAGGCAGCTGCAGTCACAAAGCATAAAGCACTTTTCACAGAGCCAAATTACATGTTTCATTACAACCGCCTGGCTTAACCCTTGCCCTGCCGTCATGATCTTGGAAAGGGAAGCCATTCTTGAACCTTTTCATGGGGTTCTTGGGGGAGGCTCGTAAATCATCTGTTTCAATTTATCATAATAAAAATCACTGCAGAAATAATAGTTTTTTTGCTTAACTGTTGACTCATGTTAAGCTTGCAGTCCACTAAGACCCCCTAGATCCTTTTCACAAGCACCGCTATCAAGCCAGGTTCCCCATCTTCTATCTGAGGGAACTGCACCTGTTATTCTGCATGACAGACAGCAGCTTTCAGAAGCACAGGGACCCTGTTGGGACACGAACATGGTTTTGCCTTTCATAGCTCGCTCCATCACTAACACTCTTTAGCTAAAGCTTTCACTGTACCACAGCTCTCATCTTTGTATGAAGTGTGATTAGGAAAAAGGGATGCCTTGATACACACCTCAGCTGCTTCCACTATGGAGGTTAAAACGAGAAAACTACACCCACCTGGATCCTCAGCCTCTTTAGCTGTCGCTGGCAAATGAGTAGACTCCTTACGCTCAAATTCCCCTCATTTACTTCTGGTGTGATAAATCATAAGGCACAGTCATGGCTTTTACTGTATTCATATAGATTTTGAACAGCTATTGTTTTGGCAAGGTGTTATATTTGATCTAGGGCAATTATAGTATTGTCCATATGTGCAGAGGAAAACTTACTGAAATATAGGGCTCCTTTTCCTAGCAGACAGCGCAACAGGCAGTCAAGCACACCTGATTCCTCCTTCCTCAAGTTGTTAGGTGTGGATTGTTGGATGAGGGGTCTATTTCACAGTTCCCATTCATCAACTTTTGGGGTCACTAGCGTCGTGCCCTTATAGCACCTGAAAACTTTCTGAGTCCTGCCTCCCACAAAATATGGAAAAGGTCATTATCCAACATACACACCCACCCAAAAAAAGTACGTAGAGCTGAAAGAGTGATGCTCTCTGCAACTTCCTCTTTCATCTCTATGCATTTTTCAAAATTCAGACCGGCACCTTGGCAGCTGAAGAAAAGGTAGAATGGCTGAGAGACTAGGAGGGAAAGGGGAGCAATCTGAGAGGAGAGAGGAAAGCACAGTGTGGGAGGGGTGGGAGATACAGAAAAGAAAAGGTCCTATTTAAATGGCATTATTTTCCCCTAAAGGGCCTTCTCTCACTCCCCACACCAACCATGAAATTACAGATCACATCTGTCTCCACTGATTGAACCATGTGTTCGCCATCATTGCCATGATACAAACCCCCCCCCAAAAAAAACAACAACATGGATCTGAGGCACAGATCCAGACAGATCATTGTAGTTTCTACAAGTAATCCTCAGAAAAACACCATCAATTTTGTGTCTATGAATGTGTTCTGTGATTTGTTGGTTTTCATATCATCCTAAGTAAAAATCATGATGGTAACTAGACTCATAGAACTATAGAGCTGGAAGGGATCCTGGGAGTCATCTAGTCCAACCCCCGGCAATGCAGGAATCTCAACACAGCCTCCCATCCAATTTTAAACCATACTGGACCCTGCTTAGCTTTGCAAATGTGCTAGCAGTTTTACTGGATCAATATTTTCTGCACTGTTGACAAGCACTAGATCTGTAGATCATTAACACAGATTTATGGAAGGCATGGATACTTGACATCATGTGCAAGGTACTCTGAAATCCTAAAGTTGGGGTTTAAAACAGCTTGCCAGGTGTTGCTAAAGCAGGAACTCCTCCTCCCCAACTCTAGTCTGCCCTGATGCTGCCCTGAGTACTCCATTCTGCTCACCCACCCAAGTCTGAGTGATACAGACCAGATTGGCCTCCTCATCCACAATCAGATCATGGATGAGGGAGGCTGACCTGGCTTTCAGCAACAGCCACAGACCTGAGGGCTGGCTGATAGGGTAACCACAATTCCCCAGGTTGGAGGAGGGGCTGACATGCAACAGTCAACAACTGCCTGTACTGTGTGCCCCTTACCTGGCCTGCGCCATCTCCCACACCATACTTCACCCTACCCCTCTGCTCTCCCCAGCTCCTCTCCTTCTAGGCACATCTCCTCTCCCTCAATAAAAACAAACACCACCAAAAAAACCCCCACACAAATTGAAAACAGTAAAAACAACTGTAGCAGCAAAGCTGCCAGATGAACCAGTACAACATGTGCAACTATCAGGTCAGGAACCAGCATTTTGGGACTTCCGGGGAGTGTCATGGCTGGTTAGTTGCATCTGTCAAGGCGATGTCAACAGACGTAATTAAGTGGTGATTAATTATAGTTCCTGTCAGTCATTTCATCTATGAGGTACAGAGATAACAAAGGGATTAACTTCTGAATGCTCTGGAAGGATTACTCCCTCTGTGGGACTGATAAATCTTTGAGGAACTCAGACAGGTAAAAGACCAGGGGTGGAAGAACTGTAACCTTGCCCTAGCACCACTTAAGAGCCACTAGAGGTTAATCTCTAGGGCAAAGACCAGCAAGACCTCTTTTCTGCAACTACTTTTGAAATTCCTATAGAGACTATATTTACGGAAGTTATCTGTCGGTTAAAATGTGCATGTAAAGCACAACTCAAAGGCTGGCTTAAGAGAATACATCTTTGAGGGGTTAAAAAAATAGTTTTCAGGAAGCTTACCTTGATTTGCATTCCAAAAAAGTTTATAACACCTGTTTCTAACAGCCAAGAGTTTGTCCAGTTCTGAGAAGTTTTCATCTTGTTTAGTTCTACTTTTAATCCTCCGATTGAAGGGTGTTTATTGCAATGCAAAATTATATGGCTGCTGGCTGTACTTGCTGTGGGAGCATCGGAAGGCTAGAAATGTGTCTTATCTGAGCAAGGACTGTGTAAACTTATTTTAAAGCACCCAGGACTGAAAGAAAATGTCAAAAAAATAACCTACTGACTGTTGCAGTTGTACAACAACTTTTAAATGATCAATTAAAGGAATTAAGATGCAGAAACTGATATGGGGAAATGTACTGGACAAAGCAGAGACAGGAGAAGATCTTGGGGGGAAATACCAGTGATGATGTGCAAGATCAGGAGGATGGTTCCATACAGATGGCTGAAGATTTATAGCTCTTGGAAAAAATATTGATGAAGCTTGGCCAGTCCTAGAGGATGGTTCCATACTGATGCTTGAAGGAGTAGAGCAAGGTAAAGTTGAAGCTATGATGTTGGAGAAGAAAGGACTCTGTGTGCAATTTGGAATGAACTCAGAGGAAAAAGCCACTAAGCCTCCTGCAACACTTCTGGAAAAAGAACGGAAAAGCAAGAAACTGAAACTTTTTTTAAAAAAGATAAGGATGTAACACATGGCCAACAGGAAAGGGAATTGGAAGATTTATATATGAATTTGGGTGTGAATTAATGCCTATACAATTAGTAACCAATGATAGATTATTGTTTTATTATATAACCACAGCAAAGAAACTCTTGAGGAATAAAAAAAATAAGGCCTGCTTTTTTTTAATATTGGAGATAAAGCTGGGATGTGAGTCGGGAGGAAGACTACTGCTGACCTTTACTTATAATAATCATTGGAGAAGCTCTTTTGGACTTCTTGGTTAGAAAGGAAAATGAATGAACTTAAGGTGCCCAGACAGAAGACTGGGAAAACTTCAGCTAGCAAAGGAATAGCTGGATATTACTCGGGATTGAACATTCAATTATTTTGAGGAACTCTTGTATATATAACTGACAGATGGATAGTTGGAAGTCACTTTTACTTATTGCCTTTTTCTTTTTTCTTAGCTTTTTCTTTATCTTTTTATTCGGTTATTATTTCCTTTAATATTCTTTCTGTCTTATTTGTTTCTGCCTCTGCTTCGTCCTGGTCTTTTATTGTGTTTTGAAAAGTTTTAATAAAATATTTTTTTAAAAAAGGAACCAGCTTTTTCGCCCTCCTCTCGTCTTCACAGGGGGGCACTGGCGAAGGAAGAGGAGTGCGGGAGGAGCGCAAAGCCTCTGGCAGCGCGATCCCGGTGGGGTGCCATCGCGGCTGCCCCCATCCACGTCCCCGCAGGCGGCGTGCCACGCCCCCAGACGCACACCACGCCCCGGTGGGTGGCGTACCACACCCTCAGGACACGCGCCATGCCCTTGTGGGTGGTGCACCACGCCCCTGGGACACACGCCAGCTTGGAATCAACACTAACAGAACAGTCGTACCTGAACTTTGTGAACGCTTCTCTGATACCGTTGAACAAGCTGTACTGAACTGCCCAAGAGATAGCAATGAAGCAAGGTGGAACTACATCAAAGAGGCAACCTAGAACACAGCTGTGCCCTCTTGGGCAAAATATAGCAGCAGATCCCCAACTGGTTTGAGGCTGGCATTGAGGACATGGAGCCTGTTATCAAACAAAGATGTGCTCCTCCAAGCCCACTTCCCAGCATGTTCACCTCCTGTCTTAGCAAAGTCTACGCTGGCTTGGTCATGTCCACAGAATGGAGGATGGAAGGATTCCCAAGGGCGTGCTCTATGGACAGCTGGCTTTAGGCACCAGGCCTGTTGGCAGAGTGCGTTACAAAGCTGTCTGCAAACGTGACATGAAGGCTGGCAATATCTGCTGCTCTGGCAATGGTAAAGTTGGAGGCAGTGGATGATGAAATGGAAAAGACCTTTGCACAGGTCTCTAGAGCAGGGTTCCCCAAACTTGGGTCTCCAGCTGTTGTTGGACTACAATTCCCAAACATCCTTGACCTCTGGTCCTGCTAACTAGGGATGATGGGAGTTGTAGACTAAAAACAGCTGGAAACCCAAGTTTGGGAAACCCTGGTCTAGAGAAATAAAACATCCAAGTGGCTGAGTTGTGTTGGAGGAGGAGTGGAATGAAGCCATGGATGGAGAAATTAAGAGGCATATTGAGCTGGCAAAGACAGAGTTGAAAGAGAAAGGATTATGTGTATAATTTGTACATAAATCAAATATTGTACAAATGTCATAAATCCAGTTAGTGGCACCCCTGGAATTTCTCATTACCAGCCCTTACTGTGGGAAACCAGGATCCCCAACACATTTTATCCAAGGTGCAACAGAATAGAATAAAGCAAATGTCTAAAAATTGACACCAAATCAATTTATACTTACAAAAAATGGAAATATCCTCACACTTGTTTCTGAATATTTGCTACCACTAGCCCTGGCAAGTTCCTCAAGAAAGGAATTCTGCTGCTATATTCAATTCAGGTACATTTGATTTACAACAGGTATTGAACACATATGTGTTCTAGAAGCATACTGCAGTCCTAAAAAAATAATAGTTCAATAGTGGGGGAAACACCAAAGGTAATATACTAGAACTCAGGTTACAAAAGGTTGCAAGAGAAACAAACTGTCCTTAAGTTACCAAGAAGCTTAACGTACGCTTAGCTAAAAATAGACAGGATACCTAAACCGCAAACAGAAAATGACAAATCCAATACCTGCAGGGCAAATAATACTACTTTCTGTCCCAGCTGATCAACATCACTCCTGTTGCCTGTGTCTGAAGTCAGTGAGTTTCCTTGCTCTCAGGGCCACCGGCCAAAGATCTAGCAACAGATTGGCACCCATCAATCTGTAATGTGGGAAGAGATCCTCCAATGAAGGCATAAAGAGTTCAAGTGGAGGGGCATCCCATCCATGAGCTGAATTAGATAGACTGAAGAAGTGGAAGTGGCAGGCAAGGAGTCCCCAACCACTGCTAAGAAAGAAAGTCTTCTGCCATTTTAAGAATGCCCCTCGTGCCTGAACTCACATATCTGTTTTCTCTCTGAAGGCAGAACAAGCTGAAAATTACATCTTTTATTTACTGACCACTCCTGAATTTTTAAATGAGCAGTTCACAGCATGAAATAAATGGCGACATCCAAGCCCAAATACCAAAGATACTTGGAGGACCTCTGACGGCAAGGAGCTACGTAGGCAAAGCAGAGACGGTTGTATCTTGGGTCGCTGTAGGGCCACGAGAAGGGCCTCCCTCCCGGGTCTCAAGGGCCAAGCTGGAGTCAGGGGGAGAAGCAGGCAGCTATTTTCCCCCTCTATCCATTTTCTCTACACCTAGAAGACTTTATACATTTCTATCATGTTTCCTCTTACTCACCTTTTCTCGAAACTAAAAAGGCCCGAATGTTGTAACCTTTTCTCGTAGGGGGTGTGGCTCCTTCCCCTTGATCATTTTGATTGCGCCCGTTCTGAAGCTTTTCCAGCTCTGCAGGATCCTTTTTCACGTGAGGTGGCCAGAGTAGTGGTCGCACCATAGATTTGTATCACAGCATTATTGGAAGTTTTGTTTTCAATTTCTTTCCTAAATACTGTTAAAGGTAAAGGTAAAGGGACCCCTGACCATTAGGTCCAGTCGTGGCCGACTCTGGGGTTGCGGTGCTCATCTCGCTTTACTGGCCGAGGGAGCCGGTGTACAGCTTCCGGGTCTTGTGGCCAGCATGACTAAGTCACTTCTGGCGAACCAGAGCAGCGCACGGAAACGCCGTTTACCTTCCCGCCGGAGTGGTACCTATTCATCTACTTGCACTGTGACATGCTTTCAAACAGCTAGGTTGGCAGGAGCAGGGACTGAGCAATGGGAGCTCACCCCGTCACGGGGATTCGAACCGCCGACCTTCTGATCGGCAAGCCCTAGGCTCTGTGGTTTAACCCACAGCGCCACCCGCGTCCCTAAATACTGTTAGCATGTGTTAAATAAGTATTTGGAGGGCGGGTCTCATTGCGCATCACTTAATTCTTGCTTATACTGAATTGCATTTGCCATTTCACCTAGTTGGGAGACCTCCTTTGATAGCTCCTTTCAGCTCCCTTGTTTTAATCACCTTTAACAATCTGGTGTCAACAAACATGGCCATCTCATTGCTAAGCCCTAACTACAGATCATTAAACAAGGTAATATGCACAACTCCCAACCTAACCATTTTGGGGACTTCACTTTCTTGATCTGTTCACTGGCAGAACTACATATTTATTCTTGCTCTCAGCTTTTTTTTTCTTTCTAACTCATGACCCTAAGAGGACCTGCCTTCTTATTTCATGACAGCTAAACTCACTCTGAAAACTTTGGTGAGGTACTCTGAAAGCTTTTTGAAACTACATAATACAAACCAGATCAGCTCTGTGAATATCTACCTGCTTGATGACACTCACAAACAACTATAAAAAAGGTTCATGAGATGAAATCCTGGGCCCACAGAACATGAAAGTGGCAGAAGATGGGGGCACCAGCAAATTAGCATCCAGTACTTCGGCTGGCATGTGCATGCCAAGCCCTCGGGAGCCAACATGGTCACCACAGCATTCTTTCTCATCTTAAAAAATCTTTTATAGCTATAGGGCAGCTGTAAAACCATGTGACGGCTGCTCCGTAGCTGTAAAAAGCAATAATAAGATGTTGATATTATTTTTACTTTAAAATTTATATTATCCTATTCTAAAATAAAAGTGTTTATTCCAAAGTAAATGTGCTAAGCATCATGGCAGCCAAACCAAGCTCCATTTTATTCTGGCAGTCTAACCGATCTTAAAATGCAAAACTGCACACTGGGTTGGCAAACTCCCCACCCCACAACATTTAAGGAATGTAGAAATGGTTATAGAACACATTGTAAAGAGGCATTAATTATATGCTCCACAAGTGAAGTAATAGGCTTATAGGTCTCCTATCTAAAGGGGGGCATTATACAAGCATTAATTTCAGGGTCTAAAGTTGCCTAGCTGCATCACTGGCTGCAAACAAAAATTTTCAGTGAACTACTTAGAATCATAGAATTGTAGAGTTGGAAGGGAGCCCAAGGGTCATCTAGTCCAACCCCCTGCAATGCAGGAATCTCAACTTAAGCATCCATGACAGAGGACCATCCAACCTCTGCTTAAAAAACCACCAAGGAAGGAGAGTCAATAATTTCTCTTGAGTCTGTTCCACTGTGGGGCAGCTCTTACTGTCAGAAAGTTCTTCCTGATGTTTAGCTGGAATCTCCTTTCTTGTAGCCATTGGTTTGAGTCCTACCCTCCAGGACAGGAGAGAACAAGCTTGCTCCACCTTCCATATTTGTATGCCTATGTGATGCTACAAGATTTCATATTGCATTGTGAATCTGCACACCTTTGTTTGTTCATTGCATATAAAACTATTTTATATTTGTCATTTAGTTCAACTGGCACCTTACAAATCACTAGTACATTTCCAAGCACAATTCAAAGTGTTGGTGTTGACCTTTAAAGCCCTAAACAACTTTGGTCCAGTATACCTGAAGGAGTGTCTCCACCCCCATTGTTCTACCCGGACACTGAGGTCCAGCTTCAAGGGCCTTCTGGCGGTTCCCTCACGGCAAGAAGTGAAGTTACAGGGAACCAGGTAGAGGGCCTTCTCGGTAGTGGTGCCCGCCCTGTGGAACGCCCTCCCACCAGATGTCAAAGAGAACAACAACTACCAGACTTTCAGAATACATCTGAAGGGAAGCTTTTAATGTTTGATGCATTACTGTATTTTAATATTTTGTTGGAAGCCACCCAGAGTGGCTGGGGAAGCCCAGCCAGATGGGTGAGGTATAAATAATAAATTATTATTATTATTATTATTATTATTATTATTATTAGTGCAAGTTGCTTGATATAAAGAATATAAGTTTGTAAGTGATCAGTGTAAAAAATTCAAAGCTGGGTGGATGTGAGGATGGATAGGTCACAAAAGGTTTGGGCACAATCACTGCATGTCTATGGCCAAATTTAATGCTTTAAACGCAAAGTACACAAAAATGGTAAGGTAACTACTCTGCTCAAAGTAGCTCTCTCACAAGCATAGGGTGACCAGGACTCATTTTCCTGAGCAAATTCTCCATGCACACAACTGTTAACGAATTACACTCACGAGACAAACCCTCATTGATGTGGCTTCACTCCTCCCTGTGTATCAACTCCACTGAAGACACAGTCAGCCAAGAAGAGGGATGTCCACCCTCGCAGGGATCTCAGCCAAGCGGTAACAGGTCCCTCAGCTTACTGATTACAATGTGAATCTTCCTTGGCCCTTGCCATGGCACACCTAGCAGAGGTTTGTTTGCCTAATAAAAAACTGGGCAAGTGCTTCTGAGCAGATGCTGCCCCTGCTCTTGCATTCTCTACAGTTCAGGAAAATTTGAACGGAGGAGGAAGCTCACCAGCGGGGACAGGGGATCCTGTCATTGGCCACAAACTTCAAATTCTCATCTGTCAACTGACCTGCCACTCTTGCAGATGACATCAATCCTGCTCTGAAAAAGGTTCCCAAGCTGCCCTCAACTGCATTCCCCCTCTACTTTACCACTGAAAAAACACCAACAGCAGAAGTGTCCACATTCAAAGCTGTCCCCATGCCAAATTGTCCCAGTCCAAAACTGATTTTTCTATGGCTGACTACAAGGCACAAGCACAGGAACTGGGGACTCAAACAGCAGCAGCAGCAGCAGCAACAGCGATCATTTCCTTTTCTTTTTTAGGGAGATAATTTTTTAAATGACTTTTAAAAGGGATTTCTACAGGGGGAGGGTGCACTGCAGAGCAAGTCACACCATTTAATTCAGCCTTGGATGTTCGAGAGGTTTATTGTATGCTTGCAATTCCACACATGAGTTGTGTGTGAGGAGTGCTGCTTCATCCACTGTTAAGCCTCAGCTCAGTCCTCAGCTTTCAGCATCCGAAAGGGTTAGGGTTAGGTCATGCAGGCAGGTTTAAGCCCCAAACTTCTCATTACACAAAAAGTAATGCATTGTACACAAAAACCAGACATTAACCACAAGCAGAGCTACATGACAGGTACTGATGGGGCCTAAATAAACTTGAGCAAAAAACAAGTTCTATGTTCAATATGAATGCTGCAAGTAGTGGAATATAGTACATATGTCACACAGCGTGTCTGTCAGTAAATCACACAGTTCATACTGTGACCTCAGTACATCCTTGGGTCCCTCACCCCTGGATGATGCAAACTTACTCTCACTTTGGAAATAACTGGAAATATTTTCTAAGCCATGAAAGACCCCCCAAGCACACTATCTTTAGAAAACAATGGAAACAGGGTTTTTTTTACCCATGTCTACAAAATTTCCATGAATTTTACTTCTGTATCCCAAAGAACAACAATACAAATGTAATGTTCCTATGTGCTCAGGATTCAGAAGTATAATTTCCAAGATAAATGGAATGGCTCCTAGACAGGCCGTCTTTCTAAAAGTTGAGCTTAGAATTAATGGCATAATGTAGACTGGAGCTCCCACACCTCTGCTGTAAATTCTGGGAGCAGGGTAGGACCATTGCCCTCATCCTTTTCTTGAGAGCTTTCCAGAGGAATCTGGCTGACCACTGCTGGACTAAATAGACATTCATCTCATTCAGCCTAACTTTGCTGCTGTTATTTATGCATGCGCCAAGTAAAAATACATTTACACTTTGCAAAGTAAAATTCACTTTACAACAGAATATTCAGCTACAGTCGTACCTTGAAAGCCAAACGGAATCCGTTCTGGAAGTCCGTTTGACTTCCAAAACATTTGGAAACCAAAGTGCGGCTTCTGATTGGCTGCAGGAAGCTCCCATCGATCGTTCGGATTCCAAAGAACGTTCGCAAACTGGAACACTCACTTCTGGGTTTGTGGCGTTCAAGAGCCAAAACGTCTGAGTAAAAAGGCGTTCAGGAACCAAGGTACAACTGTAATTCTTATTGTTCAAGTGGTACCTAAGCATTTCCCCCCCCCCCCGCCACAATTTAGGTTGTCACAAAATTTTTGAGAAGCCAACACGAATACAGTAGTGTGCAATTTAGAACGAACAGCAGAACAAGAATGGGGGAGCAGTGCTGTGCAATCAGTTTGGTCAAAAACATAAAAATTAAATAAGAACTAAAACCTAAATCAGGTAACATTCACCATGTGTACCAAGATGCACTTCATACCACAAGGATATTAAGTACGGTAACTCACAATTTCTTTCACTGGACTACTTTGCAGTAAATGGATGTGTAAAGCACAAGGGAAATGAACGTAAAGTTCAAATATACATCTCACCGCTGATGTCATTTTAGACACTGGGTTCATTAAGTGCTATTTTAAAAGCAAGTAGCACTTAAAAGAAAAAAATGGCTGGCAATACAGCATCTCTGACTGGATACTAATAGACCTTAGAAGCCACTAATTTCAATTAAAGCAAGTATCCATGCCTTCCATAAATCTGTGTGGTCACAGAGGCCTAAAATCTGAAGACCGATTGCAGAACTCAGGATACAGACTCCACATTTGTGGACCATTAATATGTTAAAAGACAAAACAAAAAGCAAACTGTAAGGAAGTGCAAAAAGAAAATCAGTACCCTCAGCAAAGTCTGCAAAATTATTTTAAAACCGCCATTTATTTAAAAAATCTGCATGACACTGTATTACATAAGAGTTGCCATCACACAACACAGTTCAGTGGGAGCAAAAAAGGGCCTCTTCTGAAGTTAATAGTACTAATTGAAATTCAAAACTTTGTCAGTTTGTATGGGAGGCGTTCCAATGACTGACCCTGCGATCCTAAAGCTACACTGAACTCAAAACGCACACACTTCCTCATAAAAAGGTCTCTATATGCCTTGCAACATCAAACTAAACTCTTGGTGACAACTTACAGGGTCCGTGAGATCCTTAACTCCTGATGCTTTGATTTTTACTTAAAAGCAGTCACTGGGACCCTCATCAAGTCTTTCCCTCTGCCCAGTCTAAACCCCCCTCCCGCCAACCGCTATGTACCAATATTGTACAGCTTCTCCAGAAAAACAAACAGCTTTTGGGGGGTGGGGACAATTTGGATGAGGTGAAGTGTAAACACTCCACTTTGAAGCACCACTTCTCATATCTCAGTCTGCGACCACTTCAGAGTGAAAATAAAATCTTCACACATATCCTTGGTCCCTCATGAATCATTCTGCAGATCAGAAACAATACTGTTTTCTCAGGAGAAGTTTGGGATCCGAGCACCCGACCCCATCCGGCTCTGGCTCTCTCCAGAGAAGGCTCCGCTCCCGCGCGGGACCAGCAGCGGATTCGGGTCGGCGGCACCCGCGACCACCCGGCCCCGGGCGCCCCTCCCCGAAGCAGCCAGGCCGGGCGCGGGGGCTGCCTCCGAGGGGCGCTGCCGGGCCCCTTGCCCTTCCCTCGGGAGCAAGGCCCCTCCAGCCCCGCCGGTGCGAACCAGGTGGCGGAGGAGGCGAGGCAGCGCCGGGTGGGCCGCCTATGCCCGCACTTGACCCGCGGATTAGCCGGGGGCTCGTTTCCAGGAGCAGCGCAGGCTCGCCAGGCCGCCGCACCCCGGGAAGCGCAGCGGGTCCCCCTCGAAAAGAGGGGCGCAGAGAGGGGAGCCCTCCTTCCCTCCCCCCGTCTGGGGCGGGTGCGCCCTGCGCGAAGCAAGCGACTGCCGGCATCCTCTGGCAGGAAGGATGCGGCAGCGGCAGCAGGGTGGCTCCCTGGCGGGCGGGCGACGCCTTCCTGCCCGCCGGGCGAGGCGCACCTGCGCGCCCGGGGTCCGGGCCGAGCCCTTCGCCACTCGCGGGGCAGGTCGTCTCCGCCGCCCGCCGAGCCCCCAGCCCACGCGGCTGCCCGCGGCTGCCCGCTGCTCCCGGGCGTCTCCTGCCGCTGCCCGGGGCCCCCGCCGCCCCTCCTGGCCGCGTCCACTTGCCTTGGGGGAAGCCGAGGGTCCCGAGGCAGCCTGGCGCCGGCAGAGGGAGCGGGGCGGGCGGCGGGCGCGCCGCCTGCCAGGCTGTGCTGCGCCGCGCTGCGCTGGGCTCGGCTCCGCGCTCCTCCCCGCCGGGCTGCGGCGCAGCTCCGCCTCCCAGCGCCTTGAAGCGCGCCGCGCTCGTCGGGATTGGCGCCGGGCCCCGCCACTCCAGCGCGCCGCCGCCGCCGCCCTCGCCTCGCCTCTCCCCCGCCTGCGGCCGGGGCTCCGGAGGATGCTGAGGAAGAGGCGCTGCGCCCGCCGGCACCTTCGCGCGGACCCAGCGCGATTGAGAAGCGCCGCGGCGGCGCCCAGGGAGTTCCGCGCTCCTCTGGGGCCTCCTGCGGGCGCCGCCAGAATAGGCTGCCGCGCGAGGTGGGCCTGGGACCGGATCCAGCCACGCTTTCCCTCTGCCCTTACGTGCGCGCACGAAGGCTTCCGAATTGGCCCGTCCCGGGAGACGCGCTCGCCACCCCCCCTCTGACGGCGCCCCTTTTCTGCCTCCGCCCCCCATCATTCCTGTACCCGCAAGAGCTCCCGGCGCAATGAAAAGAGCGGGATGAATCCGTTTGAAAGAGCGCAGACGCCTCAGTAGCAACACTCTGAAGGTGGTGCTTCTCACAGTGGCCCCTTCAAACTAGAATTTTTTCCCCGTGGAGCACCACTTTTCGTAGAGATTTTAGCACTCGCCCTCAAGAAGTGCTTGAGGGACGGGACCTCCACCCGGGGGGCAACTACGTGTGACGCTGCTGCAGGGATAATTACACGTTTATCTGGTTTTTTAAAGTAAAAGTAACCTGCGCTTTATATCATTTCCAATTAATTGCAATCTTACAATGACTCGCTTTAACTTTTTATGGCAGCACTCAAACTTTTGTAACCTGCATTTTTATATGCACTGCAAATAATAGTGACATGCTTCATAGTGAATAATGGGCTGGTCCCGTTATTGGGCAAAATCAGGCCTCCAATCCTGCGCCCAGTAGTTGCTCCGCCATGCGCAGAAATGCTCTCCAGATGCTGCAGAACCTGAGAGCCCATAAATCAGTGGCACAAGCATGGGCATAGCCAAGGGAGGGAGGGCAGCTTCCCTCATAAGTAAATCAATAAAAATACGTAACTAACTGAGGTTCTGCCACCACCACCCATAAATCCTCACAAGTAGGATGACAAGGATATTTGTGCCAGCCACAAGATGCAAGACCCCTCTCCTGGTATGGGACTCTGCCACTCACACACTGCATGCCCCTCAGCTGATCAAGCTCTCATACCGCTCTTGCTCATGGCAAGGAAGAAACAGCTGAGATACATTTCAGACATGGTAAATCATTGTATTTAGCTGTTGATATGGCGCTGTGGTCTAAACCACAGAACCTAGGACTTGCTGATCAGAAGGTTGGCAGTTCAAATTCCTGCAACAGAGTGAGCTCCCGTTGCTCAGTCCCTGCTCCTGCCAACCTAGCAGTTCGAAAGGACGTCAAAGTGCAAGTAGATAAATAGGTACCGCTCCGGCGGGAACGTAAACAGCGTTTCTGTGCGCTGCTCTGGTTCGCCAGAAGCAGCTTAGTCATGTTGGCCACATGACCCAGAAGCTGTACGCCGGCTCCCTCAGCCAATAAAGTGAGATGAGCGCCGCAACCCCAGAGTCGGCCACAACTGGACCTAATGGTCAGGGGTCCCGTTACCTTTACATCTTGATGTTAACAACCAAATATCACTCGGGCCTACTGGAAACCCATTGGATCTATCAACCTCTAAGGGTGGACCATCCTCACCTGGGTAGGTCCCTCACCTCTGCAGAGGGTGCTAAACCAGCAGAATCCCTAATCTGTCCCAATTGCCCAATGTCAGGAACACACACACTCTATATCCCCTCACATCTGGACAGAGCAGAGAGAATTTATATACAGCACAGCAACTTGCCCTCCCTGACCCAAATCTGCCCTGATGCTGCAAGGAATACCTAGGTGGGCACAGACGGGTGAGACCAACTCTGCCCTGCTCACCCACCCAGGTTTCAGTGATACAGACCAGATCAGCTTCCTTATCCATTATCAATTCATGGAAAGCTGGTTTCATCTGACCTGAGATAATTTATTGTGTAACCGTACTGGTTGCTATTGCTATATTTTATTGTGGGCAAAATGAATGCACAGCTGGATTGTTGTCAATACAGGGGGGATTTTAAGTTGTACTTTTTATGGGAAGAATGGTGATGAAACCACTTTATTTAGAATGTGAAAAGCTCAACAGAAAACTCTCTCTTGGCTGCTTCAGGGCCTTGTCCCTAGAGCCCGTGAGCATTTTGTAAAACCTGGAATGGAACTGTTTTGATTCTGGTGACCTGGAACACGTAAAACACAGACTAAATTCAGCTGAGTTTTAAGAAAGGGCGTGTATAGGAAAGGGGAAATCACAAAGAAGTAGTGTACACGAGCAGGGAGAAAGTCAAGCTGGCCAAAGCTCATAATGAATTGCAAGAGAGGTTTTAAAATAATAAAAAAAAGGTTTATTCAGCTATGTTCAAAGCAAGAGGAAGAACCAGGAAGCCGTAGGCCCTCTGTGTGGAGAAGATGGAAAAATGTCATTGGGTGAAAGGGAGAACTGCTTAACACCTGCTTTGCCTCCTGTCTTCACCTGAAAGGAAAGCAGTGCCCAACCTGGTGATAACAGAATAAACGATGGAGAGAGGGAGGCTGCAGCCCAAGATAGGAAAAGAACACCTAGCTACTTGAAACATACTGTATTGGCCTGAATATAAGCCGCACCTGAATATAAGCCACACCTTTAAAATTGGGGGGGGGGGACACAAATATAAGCTGCTCTATTCCTTGCTGCTTCTAGCTACATACTGGGGGGCGGAGGGAGCTGCACTGTGTTGCGTCCGGCCTTTCCCCTTCTTTGCTCTCTCCCTTCCTGGCCTTGAAGAAGAGGACAGGGGACAGCGTGTGGGGCGGGCACCCCTTTGCCGCTCTCCTGGATGCATACCGTAAAGTCGTGAATATAAGCCGCACTTTAACCTTTCACGGTCAGAATTGGGGGGGGGGGGGAGTGTGGCTTACATTAAGGCCGATATGGTATTCAAATCTCCAAAAACAATCTGGATCTTTTAACTTGGTGGACAAATCTTACAATCATTTTTGGTCATTTCTTAAGGGTCTCTACTGAAATACATATGGGTAAAGTCTGAAACAGAAATACAGTGGTACCTCGGGTTACATACACTTCAGGTTACATACGCTTCAGGTTACAGACTCTGCTAACCCAGAAATAGTACCTCGGGTTAAGAACTTTGCTTCAGGATGAGAACAGAAATCGTGCTCCGGCAGCGCGGCAGCAGCGGGAGGCCCCATTAGCTAAAGTGGTGCTTCAGGTTAAGAACAGTTTCAGGTTAAGAACAGACCTCCAGAATGAATTAAGTACTTAACCCGAGGTACCACTGTATAAATATTGTGAAATGAATATAAAATCATGTCCAAAGTTCATTTTAGAAAGTAATTGAAATAAATATTCCCTGCTTTCCTAGCAGTCTTAAGCTTGTTTTTCTTTGACTTGCTGTCCTGAGCACATCCAGAGGGCATATTGACTTTGGATCAACTGATAGATGAGAAAGATGAATTTTTAACACATGCTGTTTTGCGAGATAAATATCATCTATCAGATGTAAACCTGCAGCTACACTTGTTAACAACCTTGTTTGCATCAGCAGCATTTACAGCTTCTGAGACACTGGTGATACTAGAACAATTGGTCAAATCCTTTGAAATGAAAAAAACCCGTGATTAGTTTTTATAGATATTTGTTATAAATGAATCAATTTGATATGCAGATTTTAAGAAATGAGTGAATAAAGGATTGGAGGTTCCTATATTGCCTAGACAAAGGGAAAGTGTTTTAGCTCCTGTAGCAAATGTGTCAATGGACCTTAAACTACGATTTATATAACAAAAAATAATGTTTAGAATTTACTGGATTCCACTATGCCAGTACTGTATAGAAAAGGACTGTCTTAAGTCAACATGATTTAAAATACATGATTTTACAACGTTCTGCATTTATTAAGTTTTGGGAAAAATAGTGGATGATATAAATATAATTGTGTGGGTAATTTTTTTTCAGGGAAAAATATTTTTTTGAACTATGTACCTACTATATGGAATTTGACAACTGAACACATAAATAGATTCTTCGTGCCATTACTGTGACCAAGAGACTGATACTGATGCACTGGCTGCATTTAATCAATTGATTGAAGATATGACCACACTTGCAATTTATGAACAGATTGCTTATAGATGTAGACTTTGCATGGACAAGTATAATGATATCTGTAACGCATTTCTACAAAATATAGTAGGCTAAATATATATACCTATATGTATTTGGATAATAATAATACTTATATTTAAGATAAGTATATATATGGAATTGTAATTGTTAAATTTTATAATGATACAATTCACATTTTCCTTCTTATTTTCTTTTTATTTTATTCAATTAAACAATTATTTAAAATAATATTTTTTAAAAAGGAATTATAAAGGATTAGGAATTTCTATGATAATGGCTAACCTAAAACAGAACGAGAGATCAATTTTATTTTTTAATAAACAAGAGCACTCTTGGTTTGAATTTAGGTGGGTTAGCTCCTCCATAGCAAAATATAAACAACAAGTAAAAGAGAATTAACATAATTTGAACACTTGATTGGGGAACATAATTTAATGACAGATCACTCACATTTGTAGAATAGTAACCAAATTAGATAACAGGATTACAAAATGCTGAGGAAAGGATTTGGGTTACGACATTGGCATAGCCAGAATTTTTGTTTTGGGGGGCAGAACCTCAGTTAACTATGCATTTTTTTTATTTAGGGGGGCAGCTGCCCTTCCCTGTCCCGTCCCCCCCACCATTGGCTACGCCCATGCATTACGATATTGAACCCACAGAATGGGAAAGAATATGGAACAAGATGCCTAGGAAATCAATCTCAGCAAAGTTTCAAGGCTCTACCCTTAATATAACCAGTAGGTGGCACTGTGCACCCATGAATTTCCCACATAGTAACCTCAATCTCCGCCCCAAATGCTGGCTCTGTGAAAAAAACATAACTATGTATTTCATGTTACCCAGGGGCAGCTTTTTGGGAGATGGTGTTCTTATAAACGAGACAATAATTGACCCCAACCCCTTTCTTAGCTGAACTAGGGTTGTGGCATTGGCCAAACAAATATGATTTGGATAAATTATTGATTCTATATTTCTTGTTAGCTGCCAGGGTGGTTATGGCAAGAAAATTGAAATATTTAGAGGGATTTAGTAAGGATTTATGGTATAGCCAAATATGGTTGATAGCTATTGCTGAAAAACTAACCCCAAAATTAAAGGTATACTAGCGGGCAAACAATCAACATTTAATTTTCTACTATGCGTTGGGGAAAATTATTATTATTTATTATTGATTACTACAATGCATCCTGTAAAATATTCTACTCTTTGGAATTCTTAGTAACTTTTCAGCTTTAAGTGAGAATATAAGATGACCTCACTGACAATATTATGATATTTATAAATAAAACAAATCATTTTTAAAAATCACCACCCCACAACACCAATAATTATTTTGGTGACTTAAATTTGTATTTGGTGTATGTGTGTTTAATTCTAATTTGCATTCAGTTGAATTGTTCACCCCCCTTTATTTCTTTATTGATATAATGGGTCAGGCCTATGACTTGTAACTACAGGTTGCTGACTTGACTACAGTATTTGACTTTATAGGAACAAAACATTTTCTGGTGCTGAAGAGAAGCAACGAGAAACCATGCTGAGCTCTGCCCGTTAGGTGATTTACTGTATTTGTATACGTTATGGTTACCAGATGTCCCCGGATTTCATTTAACGTCCCCGGATTTATATTTTAAGTGTTGTAGATTTGTAGTGAATGAATGTGGCGTGATTGGTTCAATGGCACAAGACACATCATATGGGGACTTCTGGTGAGGCAAAATGGCAGGCGCCACAGCAGTGAGCAGCTCCTGAAGCCAGCCAGAGCCAACTGCGCTACCAGGCTGGCTCTGAGCTGCTGAGACTGCCACCGCCGCCACCGCCAAGGGGGAACTGGGGACGCCCAGCGTGTCAACTGGGGGAACCACTGACACCTCCCCACACACAACCCAAATCCATCCGGGAGCAAGAGCACCCAGCCTTCTGGCCAACTGCCCACAGAAGATATTACTTCTATTTTTAAAAAGAAAAACCTTTTTTAAATAACATTTGTTTCACTTAAAAAAAAAAAAGTGTCCCTGGATTCTTTGAAAAAAATCTGGTAACCTTATTATACATTTCAGAACTAACTTCTAACAAATTGCTTTATTTGTCCACTAGTAAGCTACAGTCCAAAATCAGAACAAGCAGATAGGATTGTGTTGGCTATGCTGACTGCAGCTGGGCCTGAGACTGAAAAGAACCCAAGGAATTTCTCAAGTACTGATGCATTCTGGTCATTTTCTTCCACAAATTTTACACCTAGAGATAGTTGCTGTATGCCAGAAATGTGTGCTGTGAAAACTGATAATCTCGTAAAAGCGTCAGCCTTCACAACATCTTCCCTCGAAATTTGGCCACACCATTTTATTAACTCATTCTGCATTCTTGTAGATGTGTATTTAGCGTTGCGCATTTAGCCCATTGTTGTAAACTATGAGTTACAGCTCATGGTTTGTTTCAAGTGAGGCAGGCTACAGGTCAGGGTTTTTGCAGGGTGCTGGGCCAAACCACAGGTTAGTGCTGCAGCAAGACTGGTGCTGTGGGTTAAACCACAGAGCCTAGTACTTGCCGATCGGAAGGTCAGCGGTTCGAATCCCCGCGACGGGGTGAGCTCCCGTTGCTCGGTCCCTGCTCCTGCCAACCTAGCAGTTCGAAAGCACATCAAAGTGCAAGTAGATAAATAGGAAGGTAAAGGGCGTTTCCATGAGCTGCTCTGGTTCGCCAGAAGAGGCTTAGTCCTGCTGGCCACATGACCCGGAAGCTGTACGCCGGCTCCCTTGGCCAATAAAGCGAGATGAGCGCCGCAACCCTAGAGTTGTCCGTGACTGGACCTAATGGTCAGGGGTCCCTTTACCTTTAAGACTGAGGAAGGAGTGGAGTGGAGCGGTGGTGGTTTTGGTTCTGTGCACCAACATGATTGCTTCTACTTGCCGAGTTATGGTGTGGCTAAGCATTGCATGGAAACCTGGCTTTTCAGTGACAGTTGTGCAATTCAGAATTGTTCTTTATTATCCACCATTTTGGAAATGATTCTTCTCAGTTTAAAGAGAGAGGTTGAAGCATGAATGAATAGTAATAGCTGCTAATCTTTGAGTTAGAAAGTACTATTCTCATAGCAGATGTTAATGAAAGTTGCACACAGAAGGCAAAGCAATGACAGTTTTGCTTTAAAAAAAAAGCAGCATTAGCATTGGCGGCCTTAGTTTCCATTAGAAACAATTTCAAATGCCCCGCAACAACACAAGATTTTGAGTGGTATTAATTAGCCACCCGGGTTTGAGGTATCACTGAAATGCGCATTTTGGGGGCGCTGCAAAACATGAGGGTTGGGCTCTGCAAAACTTTGGCCCGGTTTGGAGTAAATGGGAGAATGGGAGTGGTGTTACTACGAACCCTGGTTGGACGTCGCAGTTACTCAGTTCGGGAGAGGGGGTGCTGCAGCAGAAAGCAAGGTTTGGGCTGGAAATGCTTGCAAAGCTATTGCGGGGGATCCCCGATGTTGGGGTTCCAAGTTAATACAGCAAGAAAACCTCCCGGGGCAAGAGCCGGCCTTGTGCGCCGCCCTCGCGCCTCCCGGCCTTTCCCGGGGTGCGCAGGCCGAGCGGCGGCCGGCGAGGGGCGGGCAGGAAGCAGCTGGGCAGCGGAGCTCCTCCCGGGCCGGACGGGGAGGGGCTGCGGGGACGCGCGGCCAGCTTCGCGGGGACTCGCCCCGGCGCCCCGTCCGCGCCTCCAGGTGAGGCGGGTGGCCGGAGGGCTCCTCCCCGTCCCCGCTTGGCCCTTCCCGGCGAGGAGCGGAGAGCGCCTCGCGGAAAGACTTCCTCGGGAGTCAGCCCCACCCGCCGCCGGAGGTGCTGCCGGGAGGAGGCGGCTTTCCCCTCGGCGGGGCGGGGCGCGCTTGGCGACGAAGGGGCGGCCCCCTCGCGCTCGGGGCGCTGCTGCTGCTGCTGCTGGTTGGGCGCGCTGCTCTTCGCTCCGGGAGCTGCTGCTCGCCGACCAGAGGAGCGAGGGCGCGGCGGCGGGCGAGGTTGCGCCGAGCGGCTCGGGACGCCGCGCCGGGTGGAGGCCGGGCGACCCGGGGCTGCTCCGAAGAGGCGGCTCTGCCGGGCGAGGTAACTCTTTGGCGTCGAGGAAAAAGGCTCGCCGCGTAATGTATGTCTCTTACTCAGCATATTTTGGAGCGGAGCCTGGCGCTTCTCAAGCCGCGCTTGCTAATTTATGAGAAGCCACGTTAAAATAAATCCCCAGCGCGTCTTTTCGGGCGCCCTCCGCTCTCCATTTTCACTCCCTCGTTGGATTCCCCTCTCCCAAGCGCAGAACCAGAAAGTTGGCATTTCTTCCATCTCACCCTCGCCTTTTGTGGAAACCTCTCTTAGCGGGGTTGCTGTCTGAACAGACAATTGTTCCGATTTCATTTTGAACAGTAACTTTAAAAATGTGCCTTTTCCAAAATCTTTGGCTCCGAGACGGTTAGTTCATTTTGGCACGCAGAGCGAGCTGCTTATTTATTGGCGGCGGTGATGGTGAGGATAAACGGGGAAACCTTCCTTTCCCTCCTTTCAGCTTTCCCCTTGCATTGAGAATTTGCCCTTGTTTTATAGTTCTGGAAACTCTTTGCAGGAGCTCTGCTTGGGCCACAAGCAGAAATGGAAGCTGCTGGCTGGAGCTCTGTCTCTGCGCCGCCTTTCGGCGCTCGGCTCCCGTGCGCAGTGAGCTGGCTCCGTGTCCTGCGAGAAATTCAAGAACTAAACCGGACAGCTGCAGAGGCGGCTTTTGTAGCTTCCGTATCAGCATGGAAAACTTTGAACAGTGTCCGCTGAACTGACCTTGTAAAAACAATTCTGCTTGTAACAACCTAATAATGTTCGATGGATATTCTGAAACTTTCATAGGCTTCATATTTTCAGATTTGTTATTTTATAGGATGTTAATACTTGTAGTCTGCTCTTTGCATTTGAGACTGCCTATCCTAGAGGAAAAACTGGCTGTCAGACGAATAATTATGCCCCTGGGATAACCAGACTCCAGTTTTTGCCCATAGTTATCTCTATGGAATCTTGTAAACAAGACTCCTTCCCTCTAGTTGCCAACATGAGTAGCTAAGTGCTGGCACGATTGGAGCCAGATCTGGGTGACTGAGAAGCAAGAGGCAGGCTTGGGTGGATCCTGAGGTATGTGGAAGTATAAAACAACTTCTTTTTAAATCCCAAAGGGGCACCCCCACCCCAGAAAAATCCACTGACGACTGAGAATACTTCAGGGGCAACAAAATGTGTCATTTCTGTTGGGCAGGGGGCAGAGAAGGAAATTGCCCATTTTGAGCTCCTTATTGTGTCCTAGATAGTACTATTATTGTAGTCTAGCTGGAATCCTGAGCAAGAACACTCCTGATAGGATACTGCAGCATTTTTCTGTAGGTCCCTCTTGTGTTCCTTGATCATCTTAACTGGCAGTAGAGTTTAGTCAAGTATTTTTTAAAGCATCAATCTAATCAATATATAATATTGATTATATAAGCCACTAGAAGCAATACAATCATCAGCTGGTTTGAGACTTGCAGTTAGCTAAATGCAACAAAATGTTTCAGTTTGGAGTGCATCTGTTCTGGGTTCTAGCTCCACACCTGGTGAACATGCTCAGTCCTATTGGCTGCTTTTGTTGCTGTTTTCTCTATGGCCAAGACACATTTATGCCTGGCTCAGTTTCCCCACTGATGTTTATGGACATTTATTTCTTCCTGACATTATTTAAAAACAGCTTCTCATTGTGAACCAGGCAGCTCCCTCTCCAGACAATGAGATTCCCCCCACCCCATGGATATCTAAATACCAAATGATATAGCTATGGTTCTCCATGCTCGCATTTCAACTGCTCCATTTCATTTCCCTCATCACCCAGTTTACAGGCTGCTGCTGCTGCTTCTTTGTTTTCAACCTTCCATGCCACTGATGTGTTATGGGGCTCTTTGGGGGATTCCTCTGTTAGGTTCTCCTTCTTTTTTTATCCCCTGCACAAAATGTTCACTGCCTGTAGTGTATTTGGTCAAGCAGCTGACAGGCATGCGAAGCCTCATAAGGAGGAGAGGGTGACTACTAATTTCCTCTTCTTGCATGCAGATCCTTGTAAACAGATATCGGGTGGGTCAAAAGCTGTGTGTTAGAACTTACTACACCTCCTGATATGAGCAGCAGTCAATGTTATGAGCTTCTTGCTGAGTAAAAACATGTACCTTGAATGAGAGCGAATGCTTAGAAAGATGATCTGGTGTAATATGACCCATATTTATTGAAGGAGGGGGGTCAGTTCAGGACTCTTGTTTGAAGAAGAATTGAAGAAGTAGGGGGAAAACAGTTTCCAGCATGATCCTATGCATGCTTCCTTGGTAAACTGGAATAGGATTGCCGCATTTCTCTATGAAATACATTTTGTAATTAGTTTGCATTTCTCTCAAAAGATAAGCATTAGACCTTGATCAATTCCATATGCATTGCTATTTTATTATTTTCATGGTTAAGAAATTAAAAAACAGCACACAGTGGCTATAAACTTTCTCCAATCTCTGTTATTTCTAATCTGTAGCAGAAATGGATTCCAAACAAGATCCTGCTTCAGGCATCCATTACACTCAGCTTGGAAGATCCCAACTAAATGCAGCTGCTGGTGCTGAAGGCCAAGGTGAGGGAAATCAGAAACCTTGATCGTCTTCTGGAGATTTAGTTCTTGTCTACTTGGTTCCACCTCAGTTTGCCAAACAGGCAGAAAGGGGTTGTTGAGATGAACAGGACGCATGAGGCGTGAAATGGATTGTACTTGCTGTGAAATAGGTTTTGTCACTTTCTCAAGTAGTAGTAAGATCATCCTGGTACTCCCAAGACAGGGGGAAGCCTGGGAGGAGTGTGGCCACAGCATTGCTAAGGTGGTTGGAGTACCGTATTTTTCGCTCTATAGGACGCACCGGACCATAGGAGGGGGAGAACAGGGGAAAAAAATTCTCCCCCTCTCTGCTCAGCGCCCCTTCAGTGAAGCGGTAGGAGAAACGGAGCCCCTTCCATTTCTCCTCCTGCTTCGTTGAAGGGGCGCTGCGCAGAGAGGGAAAACTGTGCAGCACCTCTCCAGCGAAGCGAAGCCTGGAGAGCAAGAGGGATCGGTGTGCACCGACCCCTCCCGCTCTCCAGGCTTCAGGCGGCTATCCGCAAGCCTTCGGAGCGCAGCGCTGCGCTCTGAAGGCTTGCGGATAGCTGCCTGAAACCCCCGGAGCGCAGTGGCAGTTCGCACTGAGCTCCAGGGGCTTCAGGCTTCTTCTTTTTAGCCGTGGGGCTGGGGCAGGGGAAGCCCGAGCTTCCCCCAACCCCAGCCCCCAGAACAGGTCGGGGAGCGGTGGTCCCTTCTCTCTCCTGGGGGAAAGCCTGCAAGAGCCGTGCGAAGCTCATGGGGGCTTTTCCTGCCTGCCTCCCCCCTGCATTCACTCCATAGGATGCACAGACTTTTCCCCTTAGTTTTTAAGAGGGAAAAAGTGCGTCCTATGGTGCGAAAAATACGGTATATTTGTAGTGCAGGGACAACTTTCCTGCTTGGAAGGAGGAAAGGCTGGTGGGGGTTTCCTTGACCAGCCAAAACACCCAAAGTGCCTTGGCCAAGCAGGAGCCAGCTGGACAGACCCTGCACCTCTTCCCTGTGGCTGCCATGTGCACCTCAGCCTCATGGTGGCCAAACCAGCATGGGGAGGGACAGGTTGACACAGGTTTGGGGTGGGCTACAAAGGCCAGTCAAAAATCTTGGACCTCATTAATAGCATTGTTTCTCTTAATTATCCCCTCATAGTCTAATATCGAGGGTTTTTATCATGTTTCTTAGAATAGAAAAGTTGCTCTGAATTTGAGTGTCAAGAGAGACAGTGGTCCACCACCCCCCCGAAGTATTCATGCTCAGATTCCACTCACCCAAATATCTCTCCCTGCCCTACAGAGCAGCCTGGGAGGCATGTGGCAAGACTACTGTGGTTTGCTGGTTCAAGTCCTGCTGAGGGAGACTTTACCCTTGGGGATCAGTATCTGGTCTGGTCGTCCTAATCCAATAGCTGTGGGGAAAGGTGGCAAGCGTAGACCTGATCATCACAGTTGCCAGGAGTCTCATTAAGGCTACTCTATTCTGAGATTGCTAAAATAATAAAGTAATGTTTAGCAAATGCCATTGTTTAGTAAATATTTAATTAGTCTGTTTTTTTTCTGGATGGCAACTGTTGAAAGCGTGGATCTTGGTCTAATCTACTCTTCAATGTCCATCAATGCAGGCATTTGATGTGCTTATAAAGTCTTCAAATTGTTTGAAAGTTTTGCTTACATTGGGTCTTGCTAGAAAGTGGATAACTTAAAATTACTAAAAACGCTTCTGGAGCGGCACAGAAGGGTCCTGTCAGATTCAACCAGTTACCTGATCTGCACCATGAACGACACACTGGATTAATCTTTAGACTGTTTGCTAGGTTTCAACCAGAGATTTGGGAAAGAAAGTTAGTTGGATGTAAGTTGCCTCCTGCCAGATGGTTTATTTGTGAAAGAAGGAAAGAGTGCACCCACACAACACAATGAAGATTAACTAGTTCCTGTATTGTTGTTGTTTACTTATACAGTGGTACCTCTAGTTACGGACTCGGATCTGTTCCGGGGCGCCGTTCACGCCCTGAAAAGTCAGTAACTAGAGTGCCGCTTCTATGCACGCATGCGGAGTGAAACCCGGAAGTATACACTTCCAGGTTTGCCGCGTTCGCAAGCCGAAAAGACGCAAAATGAACCTAACGCAACACGAGGTATGACTGTATATTGATTAGGTGAATACATCGAAACAGGGCCCTGTCCTGGTTTCTGATCCATAATTGACTTCTGACTTCTGCTCAATGATTGAAACTAAGATCTTCACGTCAAATCTTACTATGGACTAACATGAATTTATCTCTACTCATAAACTCTTATCTTTAATACTGTAACGAATTATTGTGTTATATGTATCCTTATGAGTTTGAGTTTGTAGTCTCTGTTTGAGTTTGTAATCCCTGTCAGAATACATACTTTTGAATGGATTAGTTTTAGTTACAATTGACTATTGATTTACAAGTAGGGACCACTCCCACTTTTGAAACTTACATTGGCCAGAGTTCTTGGTGTGCTTTTTTCTTGGATATTAATTAGGGCTGAAGATCTCCTTTCATTCCTAAAAATACTCTGTGTGTTGGATCCAGAGTTTCCCATCTGTAAACAAAATGCCTTCAGTTCATGGAAGGCCCCCAGATCCAGTGGGATTCTCTGCAGGGGGAGCGGAGGAAGTGATTTTTGCCACATTTCCCCTTTCCTGCCTGCCATCTTGCAACCCTTTGGAGCAGATTTTCTTGGGGCTGTGGGGAGATGGATGAATTGCCTCCCCTCATCCTTCCTCCTCTGTGAGCGGAATTGTGATGATTCCAAATCTGGATCAAACTCTATGTAAATGACTTTCATTGTTCTCTGACTAATTGGTGCCACGTAAAAAAAATTTCAAATTATCCTTTGTAACATGTCTTTTTTATTTCATTCTTGTGAAGTGTCAAGTGATTTGGCCCTTTTATTCCTCCACCTACATATCTTAAATGTGCTTCTTATTACTGTCACTGTGGGCGTAGAAATGTCATCCCCTTGGCACTTAGTGTGCCTGATAGCTTTTAGTTGAGGTGTGACTAACTCTCCAGTGATCACAGATGCTTGCGTAGCAATATCTCAGAATTCTCTCAGTGACTCTTGCTTCCGTGTAACACATTTAGAATGGGATTTTAAGGATGCCAAAACACCTATGGATACTTTCCTCCTGACACAAACATAACAAAATCCCATTCTGTAGTGGGATGGCATGTTTGTCATTGCTGTTGAAAACTGAATATAAGATGTTAATAATACTGTGTGGATTTCTCTCTTCACTCAGTATTGCTGACCTGTAGATACATGTACTTTGCTTATTGAATCTTTAGTTAAGTAGCTTTCTTTTTTCGCATTTTCATAGTTACAGCAAAATCAACTGCATTTCTTGTTTAGTAAATAGCTAATCTCTTCATCATTTTTAGGGGGGAGAACACATTTATTGCATGTGCTGACTCCTACTTTGCAAAAGATTATTTATGTATTTGTTTATTTGAGGGCTGCTGAAGGACATTGCCAAAAGCAGGTGGGATATGGAGAGACAATGACACTTTGGGGGCAGTTTCCTACTTCCTGATTAGAGAGAGCCCTGAAGGAGCTGAGCAACAAAAAACACCTATTTTAACCCCAGTGGGGATAAAATAATAACAATAATAATAATTTATTATTTATACCCTGCCCATATGGCTGGGTTTCCCCAGCCACTCTGGGCGGCTTCCAACAAAATATTAAAATACAGTGGTCTGATAAACATTAAAAGCTTCTCTAAACAGGGCTGTCTTCAGAAGTCTTCTAAAAGTCTGGTAGTTGTTCTTCTCTTTGACGTCTGGTGGGAGGGTGTTCCACAGGGTGGGTGCCACTACCGAGAAGGCCCTCTATCTGGTTCCCTGTAACTTGGCTACTTGCAGTGAGGGAACCGCCAGAAGGCCCTCGCAGCTGGACCTCAGTGTCTGGGCAGAATGATGGAGGTAGTGGAGCAACAACTTGGGGTTTTTTTTTTAGTTTGAGCAAGTGGCTACTCTCCTCCCTCTAAGGCAGGCATGGGCAAACTCGGCCCTCCAGATGTTTTGGGACTACAATTCCCACCATCCCTGACCACTGGTCCTGTTAGCTAGGGACCATGGGAGTTGTAGTCCCAAAACATCTGGAGGGCCGAGTTTGCCCATGGCTGCTCTAAGAGTATCTCTAACTGGAACAGTGCCCTGGATGGCCATGAAATTTTACAATGTCCCCTGAGATCTGTTTGCTGGTGGTAACGGAGCATGACTCTCCTTCCACAGAACTGGCAGGCCCAAAAAGAATTTGAGGTAGTGTTGTTCTGCTTAACTCTTGCAAATGGTATATCTTTCAAGGGTCTTTGGGAGGGGGGCCTGAAGGAAGTAGCAGTGGAACCTTGCACCCTCTTTATTCTGTGGTGGTCAGGCATCTTGACCATGCAAGAAGTAAGCGAGTGTCCCAGAATCTCAGATCCGTGGTGTGTCTACTGTGGGCTTTAGCAGGTGCCCATCATACTAACCTGGTGACATTCGTTTGGGTACAAGTTGCAGTGTAAGCACAGATAACTCTAATCAGGATTTATCAAAGCTGTTTGATCAGTGTAGTTTAAGAATGGAACAGGACTTGATACGTAGGATGTGGCCTGGTCCCTCCATGTGTAGCAGGATATTTATTCAGCCACAGAACTCGCTTCGAGGAGTATAAATAGACTCTGGAGAAGCTAAGAGTCTGCCCTTGTTAGATGAAATATCTACCAGTGATTCGAAAGCAGAAGTTTCTATGTTAATTGCAAAGGGCCCGAATAGCCAGTGTGATGAAGGCATGTCTGCCACTAATAATGAAAGCTTTGCACCTACCGTATTTTTCGCTCCATAGGACGCACTTTTTCCCCTCCAAAAATGAAGGGGAAATGTGTGTGCGTCCTATGGAGCGAATGCAGGCTTCGCTGAAGCCTGGAGAGCGAGAGGCAGCGGGGCGCCCCGACCCCTCTCGCTCTCCAGGCTTCAGGAGCTATCCGCAAGCCTTGCAAGCCCGGTGGGAGTTCCCGCGGGCTCACAAGGCTTGCAGGCAGCAGCCTGCAGCCCCGGCGAGTGTCCGCAAGCCTTGCGCGCCCGGCAGGAGGTCCCGCCGAGCGCGCGAGGCTTGGGGCAGCAGCCTGTCGCCCAAAGCAAGGGGAGCCCTCCGGGGGGCTCCCGTGCTCGGCGAGTGTCTGCAAGCCTTGCGCGCCCGGCGGGAGGTCCCGCCGAGCGCGCAAGGCTTGGGGCTGCAGCTTGTCGCCCAAGCACGGGAGCCCTCCGGAGGGCTCCCGTGCTTCGGGCGAGTGTCTGCAAGCCTCGCGCGCGAGCTTGGGGCGGTAGCCTGCAGCCCGAAGCACGCGAGGCTTGGGGCGGCAGCCGCGGGGGGGGGTTTTATTCATTTCCCCCCCCCCAAAAAAACGAGGTGCGTCCTATGGACCGGTGCGTCCTATAGAACGAAAAATACGGTACTTCCCTGCTGTAATGCCTGCTGGAACCCAGGGATTTCCCTCCACTTTGTTGGTTGCTGCTGTTGGAGGCTGAGGAAATGCCCTCTTTCCAGCTGTTTCACCCCTTACTATTTTTTCAAAAGCAGATTGATTTGCTTGGGAATTATAAACCACTGAGCCTTGGGCTTGCCGATCGGAAGGTCGGTGGTTCGAATCCCTGGGATGGGGTGAGCTCCCGTTGTTCGGTCCCGGCTCCTGCCAACCTAGCAGTTTGAAAGCACGTCAAAGTGCAAGTAGATAAATAGGTGGGAAGGTAAATGGCGTTTCCGTGCGCTGCTCTGGTTCGCCAGAAGCGGCTTAGTCATGCTTGGCCACGTGACCCGGAAAAACTGTCTGCGGACAAACGTCGGCTCCCTCGGCCAGTAAAGCGAGATGAGCGCCGCAACCCCAGAGTCGTTCACAACTGGACTTAACTGTCAGGGGTCCTTTACCTTTTTAATTAGATAATCTGTTTGAAAATAACTTCTGCATAAAAATGTGATAGTACTGCTTAGTTTTCCTGAAATTGTCAGAGCTGCTGCTAATAAGGGGACTAGCCATAGAACCAAGTGAGAAAAAGATGAGGACGTCTGATGGACTTGCTTCAGATTGAAGAGTTTCTTCATCGTCCACTAAATTGCAGGAAGGTGTATTTCAAAGAGTTAAGAAGAAATACTGCAGCCGGTTTCTTCCCTTCCAAGAATTAAGAAGGTGACCTTTGTAAAGTATGTGCTTGTTTTGAAGACTGGCCATGCATTTGCATGAGTCAGAGCTTTTTGAAAGGCCCAGTTCCATGCTGAACATAAACTTATCATCCAAACAAAGATGAATTGCCTTCCAGAGGAGATGGAGGGAGAGAGAAAATGAAAATATACAAGCAGCTATGGTGGTCCTGAGACAGTTTTTCAGCGTGTTGCACTGTTCTTACGAAAACAAACCATGGCGCTTTCTGGCCTAGAGAGGAAGTAGAAATGGTGACTCACTTGCTGCTGTTCCAGTGTAGCAGAGCTAGTACTATACAGTGGTACCTCAGGTTAAGAACTTTGCTTCAGAATGAGAACAGAAATCGCGTGGTGGCAGCGCGGCAGCATTGGAAGGCCCCATTAGCTAAAGTGGTGCTTCAGGTTAAGAACAGTTTCAGGTTAAGAACGGACCTCCAGAACGAATCAAGTTCTTAACCAGAGGTACCACTGTATCCACAGATCCACACCATCCCTTTAAAGCACTTAGACCACTTTAACAGTCATGGCTTCTCCCATAGGATCCTGGGGAGATTCTTGATGGTGCTGTCCGCACACAGCTAAAATTCCCAGCACCGTTGACAAACTACAGCTTCCAGGATTCTGCATAAATCTTAAAGTGGCACAAGAGTATTTTAAATATGTGGCAAGATATAGGACATCAATATACAATTTGAGGATTGGGAAAAGTTGTGGAAGGTGGATTTGAAATTCACAGATCGTTCTCTCTTGAAAGAAAACTATATGAAAATTATCTATAGATGGTATATCACACCAGTATAAATGGAAAAAATGTATAAAACTGGGTCAAATACATGTTGGAAATGGAAAGAAAAAGAAGGCACTTTGTACCATATGTGTTGGGAATGTAGAGAAGTTAAAAATTTTTGGGAGATGATACATAACAAATTGAAAAAAAATGTTTAAAATGACATTTGTAAAGAAACCAGAAGCGTTTTTGTTACGGATTTTAAGACGAAACCTGCCAAGAAAAACAAATAATCTATTTATGTATGCAACAATAGTGGCAAGAGTCTTGTTAGCACAAGGTGGAAGAATGAGGAAACCGCAACGAAGAACAATGGCAAGAAAAACCGATGAGTTATGTGGAGTTGGCAAAGTTGACATATAAATTACGTGAGAAGGACTTCAAGGAAGAATGGGATCTTTTTACAAACTATCTAAAAAAACAACAAAATGATTTGGACTCCTTGACAGGTTTTGAATAAACATCCACAATTTTATTACTAGAATATATGACAGATAAGGCAAAGATATGTACAATTTTTAACATGCAGAGAATATGTTCAAACAAATCAGAGTGGGGAGCTGAGGGAAGTCTTTAGCGGATGGGAAAGGGAGGGGGGAATAAAAGGGGGGGAAGTACCTTTTTTTTTTTTGCTCTATAAGACTCACTTTTCCCTCCTAAAAAGTAAGGGGAAATGTGTGTGCGTCTTATGGAGCGAATGCAGGCTGTGCAGCTATCCCAGAAGCCAGAACAGCAAGAGGGATTGCTGCTTTCACTGCGCAGCGATCCCTCTTGCTGTTCTGGCTTCTGAGATTCAGAATATTTTTTTTCTTGTTTTCCTCCTCCAAAAACTAGGTGCGTCTTGTGGTCTGGTGCGTTTTATAGAGCAAAAATACAGTAATTGGTTATTTTGACTGATAATTTGTTTTGTTAATAAAAATATATATTTTTAAAAAAGAGTATTTTAAATATGTGGTGTGCCTGTGACCAAGATCCGGTTTGGGTTAACTAATTTATTACTAATGCCAGGCGCAGGATTATTGTTTGTAAAGACTCGTTCTTGCAGCTGGAGATTTGACTTGCATTCCTGAAAAACTGAATTTCAAGCGTCAGTGAGTACATGATCTGCTCAAGCTGTGCAGGTGGCCCAGTGGTGGTAGATGGGGCCAGTCTCAATGCTCCTTTAGTAAACGCAAGTCTTTTTTTGCCTGCCTTCTGTAGAGACTGTGATGGAGGAACCAGAGGAGCTCTTTGAAGAACTTCTGGAAAGAGCAAAAGCTGGGGAACCTAAAGCACAGACAGAGGTAATTTTTCATGGTTGTCACTTTCCTGTATTTTCGTTGTTGTTGTTTAGTCGTTTAGTCGTGTCCGACTCTTCGTGACCCCATGGACCAGAGCACGCCAGGCACTCCTGTCTTCCACTGCCTCCCGCAGTTTGGTCAAACTCATGCTGGTAGCTTCGAGAACACTGCCCAACCATCTCGTCCTCTGTCGTCCCCTTCTCCTTGTGCCCTCCATCTTTCCCAACATCAGAGTCTTTTCCAGGGAGTCTTCTCTTCTCATGAGGTGGCCAAAGTATTGGAGCCTCAGCTTCAGGATCTGTCCTTCCAGTGAGCACTCAGGGTTGATTTCCTGAAGAATGGATAGGTTTGATCTTCTTGCAATCCATGGGACTCTCAAGAGTCTCCTCCAGCACCATAATTCAAAAGCATCAATTCTTCGGCGATCAGCCTTCTTTATGGTCCAGCTCTCACTTCCATACATCACTACGGGGAAAACCATAGCTTTTACTATACGGACCTTTGTTGGCAAGGTGATGTCTCTACTTTTTAAGATGCTGTCTAGGTTTGTCATTGCTTTTCTCCCAAGAAGCAGGCGTCTTTTAATTTTGTGACTGCTGTCACCATCTGCAGTGATCATGGAGCCCGAGAAAGTAAAATCTCTCACTGCCTCCATTTCTTCCCCTTCTATTTCCCAGGAGGTGATGGGACCAGTGGCCATGATCTTAGTTTTTTTGATGTTGAGCTTCAGACCATATTTTGCGCTCTCCTCTTTCACCCTCAATAAAAGGTTCTTTAATTCTTCCTCACTTTCTGCCATCAAGGTTGTGTCATTTGCATATCTGAGGTTGTTGATATTTCTTCCAGCAATCTTAATTCTGGCTAGGGATTCATCCAGTCCAGCCTTTCGCATGATGAATTCTGCATATAAGTTAAATAGGCAGGGAGACAATATACTGCCTTGTCGTACTCCTTTCCCAATTTTGAACCAATCAGTTGTTCCATATCCAGTTCTAACTTTCCTGTATAGCTCTCTTTAAATAGTGCTGGATGCCCTTATTCTAATTATAGTTTAAAGTATTATGCTGTAGTTGTAACTTCATAGGATTATAAATGGCGTTGCGCTGAATTTTCAGAGATTCCATTTTTACTACAGAAGCTTGCAATTTGGAAAGATGTGAAGCACAGGAGGGAAAGCATCCATTCCAGCTGTGGGGTAACACTAGTCTTTCCCCCCACTGCCCAAGTGAGGGCTGACCAGGACTTCATCCTGTCTTTGACTTGGAGCAACGTATTTGGTCACTCTTACCCAGCTGTGTTACATAAAACACTGGAATAGATGTCAGCCGGGTTCGTTTTGAAAGGAATCCTTGGTTCGCTGGTATAATAATAATAATAATAATAATTTATTATTTGTACCCCGCCCATACTTTTCTTTCAAAATGAAGTATGCTATGGAATATGGCTGTTCGTAAGGAGAACCCTGATTTGGACGCAGAAGAGAATTGTAGGATCATAGAGTTGTAGTGGTGGAAGAAACCCTATTTAAATTAAAACAAAAAATAAAAATCTTTTTTCTCTGTTTGTATAGGTGGGGAAGCATTACCTGAAGCTTGCAGAAGACCAGGATGAGGAGCTGAACAGTTGCAGTGGGGTGGAGTGGTTGATCCTTGCTGCCAAGCAGGGACGAAGGGAAGCTGTTAAACTGCTGAGGAGATGTTTAGCGGAAAGAAGAGGTATACTTCCCTCCTGGTCCTTGACAATTAACACCCCCATTGTGAATTTCAAGAGACTTCTGTTGAGCTACCTCAATGTTAGAAAAATCTCAAGATTTATTTTTATTCTATTTATTTTTATAATATTTATCCTGTGTGCTATGATCCTCCTTGCTAGGTGGAATCTACACACAGATTTTAAAAATGCTGTGAAAATGCTTTTTTAAAAAAAGTTTTGTAAAATATATTGAATTTGCCATAGCTCGCCATTGCCATCTAATGTCACATTTGTATATTGCACTTTACAACACACTTAAAACGTTTTATTTGCAGCTGTATAGCTGAGTCCCTAGTCCCTGTTTAGCGGTCTAGCAGCTTTGTTTTGAACTTGTTGGAGCATGTGGGTTTTCATCAAAGGCAAAACCCAGCAAGAATGCACTGCAGCCATCTGAGCCTGCAAATTACTAGACAGAGTTTGAGTAACTGAGGTTATGCAGTCTTTGTTCAGGAAAGCCCACAGTTAGTATATTAGCCTTGGCTAACAAAGAGCAATCCATAACACTGAAGCCACTTGGTCCTTTAGCAACAGTTATAGATCCATGAGGTTTCCCAAGCTGCACACCCCGTGGTTATGGTGGGAGTGAAGCCATTTGCACAAGTCATTGAACAACATATTCCTGAATAGACGAACCACCCTCCATCAGCACCCTCATGGAATGAGTTTCCAGTTTTTGGCCTTCCTCTAGTCCAGGGGAAAATGTGTGTGGCTGGTGGCTTGGTTGGCTACATTTTTGTTCTTTGTGCACAGCCACTAACAAGGGGAAGACGAGATTCTTCTATTCCAAGAATCTGCAGTTTTGTATACACTTTTAAAGGCCAGATGAGCAGTATGCAGAGGAATACTTAGTATTTACCAACAGAAAGAAAATAATTAGTTTTTTTTTTAATGGCATAAGGTTGGAGAAGGGTTTTTGGTCTTGGCTACAATGAGAACCAGAAAGTGCATGTGATTTTTGCAACTCCATTTGCCTAGCTCTCATGATCAGACTTGGCATCAGCCCCATGTCATGATCAGGCAAAATTCACTTCTCTACTCATCAACAAAACTCTTTTGGGTATGTAATTCATTAAGAAGAGTCTTTGTTCCAAAGGGTATGTAGAGATGCCTTCTGTAAAATACAGTGTGAATTAAGGAGTTGCCTACTTACTTTAGTTATATAAGATGTGAATTTAGAGTCTATGCGAGTAACCTAACTCTGGTTTGAAATGTGAGTTAGTTTTTGCAAGCACTTTGATATCTTTTGAAGTGACAAATTATTAAAAGGTGTCAGCTCTTCCCTCAGCCTAGAAGGTGGGATAATCGTACCCAATTCATTTTCTTTCTTTACTTGAGGCATCACTTCAGAGAATGAACAAGAAGTGAAGAAATTATCATCAGAGACTGATTTAGAAAGAGCCGTGAGAAAGGCTGCGTTAGTCATGTACTGGAAACTAAACCCAAAGAAGAAAAAGCAGTTGGCTGTTTCAGAACTATTAGAAAATGTTGGCCAAGTTGACAGTGAAGGTTTGTATCCAATATAGTATAAAAGATGTACTGAACATGAATAATTCTTCCAAAATTAGAATGGTGTAATTAAACCTTTGCTGTAGGGAAAATTGCTTAAGAGAAAAAAACATTGCAGTGATAGTCATAGGTATTATTTCATTAAAACATGCAAGTAAAAGAGCACATGAACTCCACTGCGCTTTCTGAGAATGTAAAGTGTCTGGAAACAGTAGTACCTTATCTATTATGGCCATAAGAAACAGTCTTTAAACTGAGTCAGACCATGATCCATCTAGCCTAGTATTTTCGCCCCTGTCTGGCGGACTCCTCCAGATTCTCAAGAAGAGACAGGTCCTTGCCAGTCCTATTTCCCAAGAACTGGAGATGCCCAGGAATCATAAGAATTAGTTGATTGATCTGTTAGGTAAATTACATATTCTTTTTCATTAACTGGGATTTTTTTAAAAAAACAACACTATTTTTAACCCAAACCCTTATAAAACTGCAGGTAGCACACTTAGGCACAGTATTTTATTTCTGATGTGTTACTGTAATATAAAGTTGCCCTCAAAGTTTAAGTGACAGTCTTCAGTTTTTCACACTATCTTGGCTCTCTTTGATTTCTCAAAAATTGCTCCTTCCTATGGCAAAAAGGTTTCCATTTAAACAAGAGGCATTTGGGATAATTAATCAACTTTACATTCTAATCCATTGAAAGCTGTTTATTGAATCATCCTTTACATTGCTTTTTTAAAACATGGGGGCCACAGCTATTTTGAAAGAGCAGATTCCTATGCTACACAATTGACTGATGCAGTATGTATATCATTTGGGTGAGTTTCTCTTTCTTTGAATTTTCCCACTGATGCTGTGTGAAATACCTTGAACAAACAGGTGGTGAGGAACAGACTGGTGGCCCAGTTCCAAAAGCTGTACAGAAGCAAAGAAGGATGCTGGAACGGCTGGTGAGCAGCGAATGTAAGGAAGCATTTATTCTGTTAAAATTGGATCTTATACACGGTTTGGGCTAATTTTTTTATCAGTTACCTTGTGAGAAAGATGTTGGAGATCATGTCCTCAGAATGTTTTCAGTTGGGCTCAGGATGCGGTTTTCTAACGGTTGCCCTCCAGTACCCTGCTGCGCTGCTCCAAATTGTTGTCCTTCACGTTTGAGTCTTTTCCAAAGTGGGGAAGCAAAAACTTCCCATAAAGAGCCAGCAGTGTTCAGCGGGTAGGGGGGTGGGACTTTGTTGGGGGAATTGGTGCACGGTCGCTGAGTGACCTTTGACCATTCACACTCTCATCATCATCATCATCATTATAAACTTTATTGCACTGGCATGGCATCATTCACAAAGGGAAGAAAAAGAAAAGCAACAATAACCATAAAAACACCAGGCACTGCAAATACAATAAACCACGATCACGTCTCCTAGAAGTTATTTGTTGCATACGATAGAATAGCATCATAACGTTACCTCTCAGGGTTCTTATGGGGGAAACCTCAGATACTTTGCTTCTTGAAGGAAGGGCAGAAGTCAGAGGGGCCTTGTGCCCATGCATTGAGGCAGAGGATGGGCAAATAGCTTCTTTTGTGTATCTGAATTCACCTGCCACTTAACCCCTCAGGGGGTTGTGTGCTGCTAAAGCAGGGAATGTCATGCTCATTGAGCAGTGCCCTTTTCCAGCCATTTAAGGGTTATGATAATCATCGGGGCCCACCAATAGGATCCTTAAGCCTCTGGGAAACGGCCACCTCCCCCCCCACACCTTAAAGGGGGAGATGAACCTTTTCTCTTAGCCTTCTTTATTCCAAGTGTCAAGACAGCTGTTGCTCAATATTTTCCACCATAACTGTTAAGTTTGAAGTTACAATTCTTTTTTCTTTTTTCATAAAGTTATTAGTCCTAAACTTGGTTTTATACATTCTCCCAATTTGCCTGACAAGAAAGGCATAATTACTAGTCTGAAACTTCCTTGGATTATCACTTGGATCCTAAATGTAAACAACAACAACAACAACAACAACAAACAGACAAGAACTAAAAAGACTAAGATCCTGTTTATTTCTCAGGATGTTTAAAGGGCTAGTTCATTCAGAGTTCCTGAAATCCACTTTTTAAAAATAAAGGCATAGCAGTATTTTAATTATCTGTTTGGAACTTGGGAGTCACGGGCTCATCTTCATTTAGTTTAGTCATTGGCCATGATGACTGAAACTGATGGAAGCTGGAGTCCAAGATCTGGAGGATCACAGCTTCCCCATCTTTGGTTGATGAGATCAGCATCATAGGCCCATAGTTCAGGATTTGCATTTACTGCTGTATGTGACTGGCTGCCTTTGCAGAGTTTCATTTTGCTCTTCATCCTTCGATTGCCATGATAATTCTGAATATTTTCTAGAATTTTATTTCCTCCACAGGCCCCTGCGGCAGTCATACAGTTGAATAGGCTTAAAGTTGCATGGTTAAGGACATAGTTAAGGACATTATAATCTTGAACTCATGACTTCAATGGGAGAGTCAAAAGGAAGTGAGTTTTGCCACGTTTAAAATGTTGATATCGGAACCAACTTTAAATCTAGTCTTGTTGGTTTATATGTGTTGTCACTGGTTAATAATCCACCGTTAACCATTTTCTCTCAAGAAAAATCCCCCCCCCCAAATGTTTTAGTAATGCGTTTTGTGTTTACAACTTTCAGCTAAGAATTATATTGCCTTGGATGACTTTGTTGAAATTACCAAAAAGTATGCAAAAGGCATCATCCCAACCAACCTTCTGATGCAGGATGACGATGACGATGAACTGGCAGGAAAGAGTCCAGAAGACCTTCCTCTTCGACTCAAGGTGAAATTTTGTTTAAGAATAAGTGAGGAGGGCCAAGGTTCTAAAGTGTGAAAATTGAATGTAGCCTCATTTTTTCCTTTCTTTCCAATTGTTGTGTGTGTGTGTGTGCGTGCGCGCGCATGCGCGCGCACATCCTTCCCCAATCACAACTCTCATTGCAGGATACTTGTTGAAAAAGCTTTAGCAGGTCCATTTCTACACTTTTCATTCTCCTTTTGAAGAGGTTGCTTTTCTACTGGCAGCCAAAATTCTATGTCTCATCTGTTTCCCACTACTGTATAGACTTACAGTGGTACCTTGGGTTAAGTACTTAATTTGTTCCGGAGGTCCGTACTTAACCTGAAACTGTTCTTAACATGAAGCACCACTTTAGCTAATGGGGCCTGCTGCTGCTGCTGCTGCTGCTGCGCCGCTGGAGCACAATTTCTGTTCTCATCCTGAAGCAAAGTTCTTAACCTGAAGCAATATTTCTGGATTAGCGGAGTCTATAACCTGAAGCGTATGTAACCCGAGGTACCACAGTAATTGATAAACTCATATAATCTGCCTCTGGTTTCTTTACACTCTCTTTTTCTCTATATAGACTCTCTACCACCTGGTCCTTGTCAGGCATTTGGGGGTTGGGTTTTTAAAAATTCCTTTAATTTGCAAACCTCTGCATATGTGGGGAGCCCCCCTTCCCCAGTGTGTAGAACACAGGTTGTCTCTGCAAAAATATATATTTTTAAAAGGACTCATTTCACTTCCATCTCGTATGTACTTGGATCACCTGAGTTCACCATTTCAATGGGATGAAATGGTGACAGGTTTTGCAATGTCTGTGGGCACTAGTTGAGAGCCCAACACAATGGCTATCACAATCAGCTTGTTCGTTAAAAAGAAGAAGCAGCTTCTGAAGCAGCTGATCAGGTTTGGCTTGATTGTCCATTCTGTCCAGAGGACGTGGGATGATACGTGATGCTACTAAAGAGTTGTTGCGTGAACTGCATTTTCTTTCTTTCCAGGTGATAAAGTTTCCACTTCATGCCATTATGGAAATCAAAGAGCACCTTATAGATCTTGCATCTAAAGCAGGAATGCATTGGCTGTCCACTATTATCCCAACACACCACATCAATGCTCTCATATTCTTCTTCATCATCAGTAACCTGACCATTGACTTCTTTGCATTTTTTATCCCACTAGTAATCTTCTATCTGTCCTTCATTTCCATGGTGATTTGCACCCTGAAAGTCTTCCAAGATAGCAAAGCTTGGGAAAACTTCCGCACCCTCACTGACTTGCTCCTTCGCTTTGAACCCAACCTAGATGTCGAGGAAGCGGAAGTGAATTTTGGCTGGAACCACTTAGAGCCCTACCTGTACTTCCTGCTCTCGGTGTTCTTTGTCATTTTCTCCTTTCCTGTAGCTAGTAAGGACTGGATACCCTGCTCAGAGTTGGCCACTATCTCTGTTTTCTTCATGGTGACAAGTTACATGAGTTTGGGCACAAGTGCCGAGCCCTACACACGAAGAGCGTTACTCACGGAGGTCGCAGCAGGTTCCCTCTCCTTACTGCCGGTTATACCTGTTCATTTGGGCCATTTGAAGCTATTGGGGAAAACCTTTTACAGCATTCCTGTTGGCCACTTCTTTGTCCTGAACGTGAGCGTTCCTTGCCTTTTGTTTTTGTATTTGTTTTATCTCTTCTTCAGAATGGCACAGATGAGGAATTTCAAAGGCACCTATTGCTACCTGGTTCCTTATTTAGTGTGTTTCATGTGGTGTGAACTGTCAGTGGTGATTTTGAAAGAATCCTCTGGCATTGGGCTAATTCGTGCCTCCGTTGGCTACTTCCTTTTCCTCTTTGCTCTTCCTGTTCTCATGGTAGGCGTTGCACTGATGTGCCTCGTCCACTTCATAAAATGGTTCATAACATTAGAGCTCATGAAGATTGTGGTAACTCTTCTGTTGTGTGCTGTTCCGTTGCTTTTCCGATGGTGGACAAAGGCCAGCATCTCTGTGGTTGAAATTGTGAAATCCCTAACAAAGAGTTCTATAGTTAAGCTTATTTTGGTGTGGATTACTGCCATAGTGTTGTTCTGTTGGTTTTATGTGTACCGCTCAGAGGGGATGAAGGTGTATAACTCTACCTTGACGTGGAATCAGTATGGGTTTTTGTGTGGCCCCCGGGCTTGGAAGGAAACTAACATGGCACGCACCCAAATCTTATGTAGTCATCTGGAGGGCCATAGAGTGACTTGGACGGGAAGGTTCAAATACGTGAGAGTTACTGACATCGACAATAGTGCAGAATCGGCAGTAAACATGCTTCCTTTTTTTATTGGTGACTGGCTGAGATGCTTGTACGGTGAAACATATCCAGCATGTGATCCCCAAAATGTAACCCTGGAAGAGGAGGAACTCTGTCGTCTAAAGTATCTGACGAAACACGACTGCCACATGAAAAGGTTTGACCGCTATAAATTTGAGATAACGGTAGGCATGCCTTTCAATGGGAGCAAGGTTATGGAAGAGGACGATGTAACCAAAGATATTGTGCTGAAGGCAAGCAACGAGTTTAAGAAAGTGTTATTGAACTTGAGGCAAGGAAGTGTCATTGAGTTCAGTACCATCCTGGAAGGCCGTCTTGGCAGCAAATGGCCTGTATTTGAGCTGAAAGCCATTTCTTGCTTGAATTGCATGTCTAAACTTTCTCCTGCAGGAAGGCATGTGAAACTAGAGCATGACTGGCGAAGCACTGTCCAGAAAGCTCTCAGATTTGCCTTTGATTTTTTCTTCTCCCCATTTTTGTCAGTTGCATGCTGAATTTTAATTGTCATATCTACACAACCAAAGATTTGGCTTAAAAACAAGTTATAAAAATGTTTCAAAGGAATGAAATTAGTTTTGAGTACAATGCACAATGCCATCTTAGTAATTTCTGTGCTGGACATGTCTGTATGTGAAAAACATTATTTGCCTATTAAAAGCATGAACAGTGTTTCCTACAAGAGCTGATTTTTAACATCAGTCAGAGATATTAAAAGCACTTTATTTAGATAATTCACTCTTCCACTCTCCTATACTTAAAGCTGACTTCATGGGTGACAACTGTCTAGTGCCAGTTATGTAGTGATTCATACAAAAATATTAACTGTTCTATTAGATAGAAATCGTGTATTCAGTGTTGGAGAATGACAGACTTTTAAATCAGTCATCAGTTTTGCTGAAAGTATTATTGAACAGAAAAGAAGAGTACTCGAGTGATCATAGTGGAAAGTCTGAATGGCTAATGTGTCGGGATCTGCACTGAAGGTGGAAATGGACATCTGGCTAATGGTCTGTATATATGAATACAAACACTAAATTAAACAAGGATTCAAAATCTGCATTATAAAGATTTGTACTCTTATTTGAATACGCTTTTGTCTCACACACCTACCTACCATTCTAGATTTTACACCACTTTTACTTAATAAGCGCAGTATCCCAGACTATGTTCAATAATGGACTACTATAGAGGTCTGCACCCTCCCTCCTTATCGCCTTCAAGTATGAACTAATGGGAACTTCCCTCCTGCTCTGTGCGAACTTCTTGAATATGCCAAAAGGAAATCCACAATTAGAGGGCAACTCCACAGATTGGGATAGCAGTGTGGCCACGCCCAGCATTTTAAATTGTGCTTCAAGAAATATGGCACCTGTCCTTTACTCAAAACCATTTCTGCTGCCACTTTCCAAGTAAAGGATTGGTGGGTGGGGGGGGTGTTCTTTCGGCCGGTGGGGACAGATGAGAGGAAGCTGGTGGAGAGCATAATTATTAAATTTGGAAGTGTCTTGCGTGTGTGAGTACAACTTCTTTGTTCCTTACATACTTCTGAATAGAATAGGGTTGATCTTGTCGTTAAATGTACATTTCAAGTGCTTTGATAACAATAATTGAATCAAAGGTGCAATTATTTGATTTAAAGGAGTAAAGGAGCAACTGCTGGAATAGAATTAAGCACAGCTCAGCTTTTTAAAGAAAGTGTTTATTGAAAAAGCCAGTATCAACATATTTATATATATGTTCCAACAACAGTCAGCTAATTTGTGCAACACAAGAATACAGCCATGAAGCTTTCCAACTAACTGGATTTACCAACTGTATCATTATTTACCTTCTTAAATTCAAAACCAAAGCAAAAAGATGTTCTTCATGGATTTGGAATGAGTGACATTCATTTCTTACATTCACAAAATTAGATTATAATGGTGATATCGGAGACCCAGGTAGATCACTACTGTCTTGAGTTTAGTTCCTCCTTTTTAACAGAAAACCTTGTATTAATGTGGCCTGAAAACCCATTTTATGTAGTTAGAAAGATTTTATATAATCCCTGCATAAACCAGTTCGGTAGTTGATGAATAAGATAATAGAATTGAAACTGGGGAAAAGAGTGTGAAGAACAATTGCATCATTGGTTACTGCCAGACAGTGCCCCCGCCACCCCCCCAAAATACAATTTTTAGACATAAAATTCCAGTGTGCAGTTATCATTTTTTAAATTACTCTGATTAATGAATAAAGCCAAAAGGCTTTTTTTGTTAAAAAAAGAAAAATGGTTATTTGGCTTTAACAAGAATTCTATACAGTATTCATATTCCTAAAAGTTTTTACAAGAAGACTGGATTGTTCAAATTTCAATTAGAATACAGTGTACGTAAATACTGCCAGTGTCTCGTAGAGTATGCAGTAGCTTTATAAACAAACATTCATTCCCAGGTAAAATTACTGTATACATTTCATACTGTATGTGGATTATTGGAATTGATGCTTCTGTACACAATGTCCAGCATCAAGAAAATGGCAGGTGTCCTTCATTTCATGTAGTGTTAACAAAGCTTCTGATTAAAATCATGGTGTCACAGAATCCGTTTGGATTCACTTTCTCCCCTTCTCTTTCCCCGCCCCCCTCCAAATCAAAGTGCAAAGGCATGCAAGTTTCTTTATGACGCCCTCCTCTCATTTATCGAAAGGTCTATGCAGAATAGTGCAAAATTAATTAACAGCAGAGGGATCTTGAGAAAGGCAGCCTGGCCAGTTAGGTGATTGTGCTTTCCTCCATTTCAGTCAGGCCAAGAAATAACTTGGAGATGTGGTTGACTTGAGACAACTCACTCTTGCAGGTTTCATTGAGCATGCTGCAGGTTTTTAAATCTCCACATTTGGTGTCCAAGGGGCTAGCATTGCCGACTCAGTGAGTTCTGGTAGGAAGAGCCGAGTTCTGACGGAAGAGTGATTTAAATGGCTGCGTTGTGACATTAATTGGGATAGTCATTTATTTGTTTTGTGTATCCTAGGTGAGCTAGTGCCTGTCGTCCTGGCCCTTTTACTTTCTGAACTTTCAGAGTGAAACTTTCAGATGTAACAATGGCAGATATTTTGAAAAGTCATTAGATAGCTGTTATCATCATGTTCTACCCACCTTACTCAAATTGAGCGGAAAATAGATCTCCTTAAAGAATAATTGCCAGTCCCTCCATAAACCTACTCTGGTATTGCATAGTGGGGGAGAGCTGCGGATTGAAAGAGTCATACAGCAGTTTTGCTTGACAGGCTGCAGGTGGTCCTCTGCTTTGTGTGTGTCCTTAATGGTCCCACCCCCTTAGCTGATACCTTATGATAGTGCCAACCATGCGGTCCTTAGTCTAAAAGCCTTCTTATCTACCTTTGATCTCCACCACATCTCTTTCTGCTTGCATATGTGCTGTTAGCTGCCCTGGCCCAATCAGTGGCTTCTTGCAAGGTTTCCTTATGCCCCAGATTCTGGCTTAAGGCATCTTTGGGGCCATTTCTGTGCTTCAGTAACCCCTTGCTCTTGGAACTAAAACTGTGTTAGTGGGCTAACGCAAAAAATATAAAAACTGGGATTAAACCCCTCCCCCACAAGGGGGATATCCTTAAAAAGAATCACGGAGGACCTTGAACTACGTAGGTGTCTGATTCTTGTGGGCAGTCTTTTAGAAACAATATAAAATAATTGGTGATGAGTGGGACACAGGGCCCTTCTTAACAGAATTTATTTTGAAACATATCTGCAGCAATTGCAATAAATTAAAACATTTGAGTGGTTGTCTCAAGGGGTGGTAGGGGTAGTTAAAAGGGCAAATCCATCTCCATCACACCTGCAGACACTTAATGGGGAGTAAGACTCATTGAATTCAGCGATGTTTGCTTCCAAGTAAAAGGGTTAGCATCACATCTCAAACAGCGACCACACCTGTCACCTCTTGGACGGCTGTTTACAAAGAGGAATCCTAGTGCATTTCAGAGTTCATTTTGTCCTGAAATATGTACAGATTGTTTGTAGCTGCGATAGCAATGATGTTCTCTGTTGGGTGCCATGCCGTGTGCAAGATCTTCTTGGTAAAGTCCAAGCTGTCAACGCTGATGTCGTCTTTCCTCCTCTTGCCTCCGACACACACCCGCCGAGGTTTGAGAATTGCTCGGGGTTTGCTACTCTCTCGGGAGGCCTCCAAGGTAACATCGCGCTTAGTGTTCCGGTCAAACATTCGGAAGAAATTGTTATATGCTCCTGTCATAATGACACTGCAGAGGAAGGAAAACAGGGGAAACGTCACAAACGAAGGGCACAACCTAGTGGGGAAAGCCTCTGCGCAGGAGCCATTGAAATCAGTGTTGGAATTATTTTTAAGATCATTTGAAGATGGCTTTCATTATTTTACCCATGTTTGTTGCCCTAAGCTCCTTTGAGAGGCAGGGCGGGGGATATAAAATCAATAACTACCGTATTTTTTGCCCTATAGGACGCACTTTTTCCCCTCCAAAAATGAAGGGGAAATGTGTGTGCGTCCTATGGGGCGAATGCAGGCTTTCGCTGAAGCCTGGAGAGCGAGAGGGGTCGGTGCGCACTGACCCCTCTCGCTCTCCAGGCTTCAGGAAGCTCTCTGCAAGCCTTGGGAACTCCGCGGGAGTTCCCGTCAGGCTCCCAAGGCTTGCGGATAGCAGCTTGCACCCCAAAGCCTGGGACGCGCTGCACAGCGCGCCCCGGGCTTCGTGCACATATTGGGCAGCCCCACAAGCTCGGGGGACAGCAGGGAGGTGCAGCGCCGCCATCCCGCTATTCCCCGACCTGGTTTGGATTCCCCGACCTGGTTTTGGGGGGGAAATAAAGGGAAAAAAATTTGCCTTTATTCCCCCCCAAAAAAACTAGGTGCGCCCTATGGGCCGGTGCGCCCTATGGGGCAAAAAATACAGTATTTGAATAGATAATATGTGGCGTTTTCTTGCTTCGCAGCACCACTCTGCTTCCCCCCACCCTCCACTGAAGGGAGCAGCAATATATTTCAGACTTTCCAAACATCTCTTAGAGCAAGAAATATTCCTCTTCATAATCTAGTACATCAGAGAAGCCTTTCCCCTAGGCATCAGCTATAATGGTGTTCTTGACTGGCTCCTCTCATCTTATCAAAGTAGCACTGTATGGTAAACAAGACAGTTGGGTGGCTATATTACCTGTCAGATCCATTCCACGCACATTCAAACTTGTCAAAGATGCAATCATTTTCATAAAGGGAACACAGCTTGCTTCTAAGGTAGTCATGAACCTGTTTTGTGAGCAAAAAGCAGCTTTTATTTCAAGGTTAGACCTTCAATTTTTCCATTTGCCCTCAAAGAACACCACTGCCAACAGCTCTTGGTGGAATCAGCTTTTTAAATGTTGCCTGTACACAAGCATTGATAATAAAATTAAGAGAACAGAACATCTTTCTTGAAGTAACTTTATTGATGGATTATGTTAAGAGATCCAAACATGTCTCTCAACCTGCTTTGGTGCCGCTATTAGGACTTACATATGCTTTCATTCAGCTTTGGTCTTCCAGGCTGGCTGCAGCCCTGAACTGGAGCATTAGTCTTAGGGCCTTAACTGCATAAGAACGTTTGTTGCAAGTCCCATTTGTAAATAAATAGTGAACGTGAAGAAGACTCTCCCTTACCTACAGTGATCCTCTGACCCCTAAAAAAATTATTATTTTGAGCACAACAGAGCCAAAGTCAATCCCACTGAGCTAGATGGGACAAAATTATATATGTGATTAAGCACTTGGGGGCCTGATCCTATTCTTGTCTGCTCAGAAGAAGGGCCCATTGAGTTCAATGGGGCCTGCTCCCAGGCAATCTTAGTTTTAGAGACTGTGAGCTTATTTCTGTTTTGAAGCAATGGCCCCAGCAGCAAACCTGACATTGCTGATTATTTTGTTTAAGTTCCTAGCTGTGCTATTGCTAATTCCAAACGAGTTTTTCTCTTCAGCATTTAAAATGAATTTCTTTTAAAAGCAACGAGGGCACATTTTGGATAATTTTTAAAGACTCTTCATAGATTTACAGACCTAAATTAATATTTTAATCTTTGAACCAACTTTTCATTATTTGTGGAAATATTGCACATAACTTAAACCAGTACTACATAAAAGAAGCCAGATCCCATATCTTTTCTGAACTATATTTAATTTATTTGGGATATGGCACTAGTTTCCCTGAAAGAGACTTCTGTAATAAGCTGAATTACACAGCTCAATGTCCTTGCCATCCCTGCTTCAGAGGTGAAATTAGAAGAGGCCTGAGCTCAGTTTCAATGTAATGGCACAACCCTATACTCCTGTTAGGTGGGGTTTACACCTAGGAAAGTGGCTACAGGATTTCAGCCCAAATTCCTAGGGAAAGGGGCAATGTGAAGTGCAGTTTCCACTGCAGTTTGCTGGTGCTTATCTCAATAGCCATGTTCTCCCACACAAAACACTCACAATAGCAGCTCTCTCGGCTTGTCTGCACTTCCACTTGTCGCATGCCTAGAAAGCAGTTTTCCATTTGCCCTGCTGCTTTCCCTGAGAAAACCTGCTCTTTACTGCTGAATCAGAACAAACATTAATCTGCAGGAAACCCAACGGACGTTTGCTCCACTTCAGCAGTAAAGAGCAGGTTTCCTCCAAGGGGAAGTGGTAGGACAAGCAAAAGTGTGGATGAGCCCAAAGCCCCTATTGCTTGCATGGTTCTCAAAGCGTTTCTATATATTTCAAGACCTACTGGCACGTTTCCAGGCTTGGCTTAACAGACGAGAGGAGACTGAAGTAAGTTAGCATCCCTGCGAGCTGAAGGACATCACAGGTGCAGTTTAAACAACAACAGCAACAAAGAGACATTAGGTTTAGGATTAAAAAGATAGTATTGGATATATGTTGGAGTTTAATGACAGGCACATTCACAACTCCTACCCATGTTCCAGAGGATTCACTTGCCTCTTGCATGGGAGTGATGGGAAAATTGCAAAATCTGTCAGTTAGCTTTCCTTCTCAGTGGCTCTGAATCATTATAAATTCTTTATGTAACCCCCTTCTGTTTATTTAACGGTTTATATAGCAGTTGTAGCTACTTACTTTTAAGTAATGTCAGAAAAAGCGCTGACTTTTGGCCCTGGAAGAGTTTACTGCTACCACATCCCTTCCTTTAAAAACATTCTCGTACATGTCAAAGGTAATCCAGTCTCCTCTGTATCACAGAGTTTGAGAAGATTTTATCTTAGACTGCCATTTATTAGACCATCATGGTCTAATAAAAACAACAAACACTTACCTGGTATATCTCTACTGGCACTGTTTCCATGTTAAGATCCCAAACCTTGACAGTGAGGTAATCTCTTGCTAGCATATATCGCCCACTGTGGCTAAATTTGACATCAGACACAGAAGAAATAATTTCGGAGAAAAATGAGCGGCTACTAGGGTCTTCAGGCTCTTCAAAAACTGATGAGGTGAAACAAAGAGAAAAATATGCCTATTAAGAAGTACACGTCACTTATTTTGCCATGGCATTTTCAAATTGATCAGAATATTACGTTGTAATTTCTTATCTGATTTTTAAAATTTGTTATCCATCTTGAACTTCTAAAAAGAAAAGGCACAATAAAGGTCTTTTTAAAATGTATTTTTAATAGCTGGCTCAAATAACAAACACAGCTCTGCTAACTCAAACTAAAACAAGACATATATCTATAGGATTGTCCTGTTAATGTAAAACTGACTTAATGTTTAAAATGCTAACATTTCACACAGTGCCTCCAAGGTGCCTAATCACTGCCTAGGTTCTGTTTTTTTATTACTTATTTGTTTAATTGCAAAGTAACTCAGGCCAGTTTACAAAATGATAAATCATTAAAACCAGGGGTGGGGAGAGAACCCTACTTTAAAACATACAAAAGTTAAAATATCAAAACAGATTAAAATTACCCAAACTTTCTAAGCATCTACTTAGTCTTGTCTAGACAAGAATGTTTTTAGCAGGCACTGAAAAAGAGTTCATTGAAGGCTCCTGCTTGGTATCAATAGGCAGGAAGTTCCGCAGTGTAGGTGCTGCCATTAAACGAGTACCGTATTTTTCGCTCTATAGGACGCACTTTTTCCCTCCTAAAAAGCAAGGGAAAATGTGTGTGCGTCCTATGGAGCGAATGCAAGGGGGAGGCAGGCGGGAAAAGCCCCCAAGAGCCGCACACAAGCTTCGTGCGCTCTTGCGGGCTTTTCCCCAAGAGGGAGAAGGGACTGACTGGCTGCATCAGTCCCTTCTCCCACCTCCCAGAAAAGCCAGGAGAAGCCGCGCAGCCCCTTTAAAGAGCTGGCTGCTTCTGCGGGCTCTCCAGGAGGTGGGGGAAGCTGCAGCGGATTCCCTTCTCCCCAGCTCCCTTGGAAGCAGCAAAGTGGGAGGGGAGCAGCTTACACTCGTGTAAGCAGCTCCTCTCCCACTTTCCTGCTTCAAAGCAACCACGGAGGAGGGAAGGAAGGGGATCCATGCAGCGGATTCCCTCCTCCCCAGCTCCCTTTGAAGCAGCAAAGTGGAAGGGGAGCAGCTTACACTCCTGTAAGCAGCTCCTCTCCCACTTTCCTGCTTCAAAGCAACTACGGAGGAGGGAAGGAAGGGGACCATGGATCCTCTGCTTGCGGCTGCAGAGGATTCCCTCCTCCTGGGCTCCCTTTGAAGCAGCAAAGTGGGAGGGGAGCAGCTTACACTCGTGTAAGCAGCTCCTCTCCCACTTTCCTGCTTCAAAGTGGATGGAATCCACTGCAGTTGCGAGCAGAGGATCCATGGCTCCGCTTCCTTCCCTGGAAGCAGGGTGCGGGGGTGCAGGGGAGAAAGAGGGCAGGAAATAGATGCCAGGCAGGAAGACACAACCACACTTTGACCACTGGAATGTCCACCCCAGCCTCCCCAGATTTCCACTGAGACGGCCAGGCTAATCTCGATGGCCATAAGTCAGGCTCAGCATTATTAACTGGACTTAGATAAGCCATGGTTCCCCTTCCTACCCTCCTCTGAGGCTCGATTTAAAACAGCAAAGTGGACAGGAGCCGCCTGCTTTGCTGCTTTAAATAGTTTAGTGCAACATTTGATTCAGAATATTTTTTTGTGTGTTTTCCTCCTCTAAAAACTAGGTGCGCCCTATGGTCAGGTGCGCCCTATGGTGCGAAAAATACGGTACTTACAAAGGCAGAAAGTGTATTATGAGGCACCTGTAGAAGTGCCATTTTCTCCAGTCAAATTGGTCAAGTGGGTACATGTGAGGGAAAGCAATCTTTTAGGTAAACTGACCCAAGTTGTTAAGGGCTTTATATACTAATAGTAAAACCTTGAACTTGGCCCAGTAGCAAATGGGCAGATCTTTGAGCATGGATGTTACATGCTGGAGAAGCCTCACTCCTGTCAGCAATCGTGCTGCAGCATTCTGCACTCACTGCAGCCTCCAGATCAAGCGCAAGGGAAGCCCCACGTTGAACGCATTGCAGGAACCCCAGTCTTGAAGTAACCAGCGCATGGACTACTGTGGCAAGGCTTTCCTGGTCCAGGAATGGCCGTAGCTGTCAAACCAGCTGCTGCTGGTCCAAGGCACTTCCAGCCACTGAGGCTCCCTGAGCCTCCAGGGGTGGAGCTGGACTGTCAGGAGTGCGTGCAGGAGCCAGGCCCTGTGACTGGTAGGGCTTCGCAGGTCTGGGGATTTCCTAAGTTTGTTCTCAAGAGGCAAGGTGCGGCCGCACAGGTGAGGCTGATTGGTAACTCACAGCACCTGGTGGCAAGAGCTGGAAAGGGATATAAGGTCAGCATTTCCCTTTGGCTCTTTGCCACAGTAACATGCTTCCTGCCTTGCCACATTTGGCTTCTTGACTCCTTGCTTCCTGATCCTCGGACCCTTGGCTTCTGGACTCCCGGCTCTCTGACCCTTGGCTTCCTGACTCTTGGCTTCCAGACTCTTGTTCCTGCTCCCACCCTGCCGTCTTGCCCCCGGTCCCGACGTCCTCCGCCAGGACTTCGACTGCCCGTAAACCGGACCATGACATGGACCCAGAAGCACTCCCAACTGCAAAGCTGGTCCTTCAGTGGGAGTGCAATTCCATCCAGGGTAGGGAATGGGCCAGTTTCTCGGAGATGGGAGCTACTCACCCACCGTGCCTCCATCATGCCAGGATTCAAGCTCAGTTTGTGTTCCTCGTCCATTTCACCCCTGTGCCCATCGGGGAGAGGGGGGTCAGATCTGACATGACACAAGGGCTTTCAGGCAGCCCACACACTCCAAGGCGAGCCTCTAGTTTCCTGGGTTGCTTGAACTAAGCATGATTCAACTCCCACTCATCATGCTGAGAAAAGTCTCACCTATAGCCAATGCAGGATTTACCATATTTTTCGCTCTATAAGACACACTTTTTCCCTCCTAAAAAGTAAGGGGAAATGTGTGCGTCTTATAGAGCGAATGCAGGCTTAGCAGCTATCCCAGAAGCCAGAACAGCAAGCAGGATCACTGCACAGCAATCCCTCTTGCTGTTCTGGCTTCTGGGATTCAGAATATTTTTATTGTTTTCTTCCTCCAAAAACTAGGTGCGTCTTATGGTCTGGTGCGTCTTATAGGGTGAAAAATACAGTAAACCTGTCCTCTTGCCCCAGTGATGTTGGCTGTTGGGCAGGTGGCTGTGGCGGGGGGGGGGGGGCGAATGGCCATGGCGCTTATTAGTGAGCCATCTCTACTTCTACTGAGCGCATAAACAATAACCTCCACATTCAAGTCTGCCATATGCAGACGTCAACTTTTTTTAATGAAAATCTCACTCGGTAACTTACGTTTAAAATGCTTGTCACAGAGCGCTGATGCCCTCATGTCACAAAGTCTCAAAGACCCTTTGCTACTGCTGTAAACAAAGAGATTGCAGTGGTGAGGATGGAATTCAGATGCAGTAATAACTTCTGTCAAATCCTCCATGTTGGCTGGCTTTATATCTACAATGTCTGAGTGGAAATATTTAGTAAGGAACATGTTCAGAGACAAACTTATACTCCACCATCTTTTCATGTATGCTACATTACTGATTTCCCATTGAAAACGCTACTGAATTACAGCCAGGAAGCTAAAAATACCTTTTATTAGCTAATCATATCTGCTATGTACATTTTATTAGTCAAAACCGCTTGTTCTGCTAAGCTGTTGAGGATGCAGTTGATGCAGTTATGGGATTGACAGTGAAATCTGAGAGTTTGAAAAAAATCTCCATTAAAACCCGTTAAAAAGAGGAGGAAAAACTGGGCCTTTTATGCATCAAGTATTGCCTTGGCAACCAGGGTGAAATGCACCCCCCCAATGTTCAGATAAATATGATTTTGTCTGTGAAGTAGTGATCCAAGTTCTGTTTGGGGATTTTGAAGTCCACAATCAGCCTCTTTGAACGAACTCCTGGGCTGATTCAGACTCCGCTCACAATCAGCAGGAACCTCCTACCACTGCCGTAGGCGCCAGCACTCATCCCATTATTTGCTAATATATATCTGCCATTATCTGTGTGTGACAATGAGAAGAACTATCATTGCACTTTGTCATAACCTTTTGCTACTGCTTTGAGCTTCAACATCCTTGAGAAATGTAGTTTTTCAAACATTATGGGTCCTTAATAAGGCCACATCAGCAACCTATTTTGTATTTTTGTAGGGATTTAATTCATTGACCAATTTAGTTATATCTTTCTAACCTTAATCCAGTTTATAGCACCTGCCAGGAGAAAGCTACATTAACTCTTCTGCTGGCCTAGACTTCTAGAGAGAATTGCTGATTTGTCACTTTGGCCATAACCATCAGACACTATCTACTAGATATTTTAGAAAATAATTTGTCTGCTTGGTTGTATTCTCTGCCTTTGGATGCCTCTTGAGATATTGCCACCAAATTTGTCTCGGGGGTTCCCAGAGTGGAGGCAATGATCTTTGCTGATGATTCGACACCAGGACCATTTTGAATCAAGATGGCAGACCAAAATGTGAGTTTGGTGGGACTTTACCTGTTTTCTACCACAGCATAGGTTTGGCCTTCTCTCTAGATCATCATCAAACTTGGAACAAGGGTTCCCAAGGTAACGTGGCAGACTTTGTCACCATTTGGACACTGGATGTCATTTTTAATCAAGATGGTAGACCTAAACGTCATTTTGGCATGACTGCCCATTTTTTTATACAAGGTCAGCTGCTTCTTGAGATATTATCCACTGCTAGCTGAATTCTGGGGGAAATGGAATGGTGTTTTGTGAGATGGGGAGGGTGTCACCATAAGCAGTGCCATGAGGTGTACTGAGACTGTGGCCTTGGTGGCAGGCTCCTAGGGTGGCACTGCCACTGTCTCATGACTTTGGGCACCTGCCACTTACCATGGCAGGCCGTTTACCACCTCCTGCTCCTCCATTGTGGTGGCTGTGCTCTGCCACAATGGCCAAGTCCTGCTGTGCTGTCCTGGAGGTGGCCAGGGGGAAGCCCTGGCATGCTGGAGGCAGCCGGGGGTCATGATGGCCTTGGTTGGGCAGCAGAGGAGGCAGCAGGCACCCATTTGTGGCAAGCAGCGGGTGCCTGGTGGTGGCAGGGGGCAAAAATCAAGAGGGGGGACAGGGGGAAGCACTGGTGATTTTGCCTCAAGTGTCAAAATCTCTTGAGCTGGCCCTGACAAGAGGGTTAGTAGTGAAAAAGACTTGTATCTCGTTGTACTTTCCAGCAGAGAGTGGATATTCAGGTGGGGTCAGGGGTGCCAATGGGGGCGGGGAGCTAAGGGCCCCCCAAATTTTCAAGGATGGGGCCGGGCCCCCTCAAAATTTCACGGCAGCTGTGCGCACACACCGTGTGATGCTCTCGTGTGTGAGTGACGTCAGGATGCCCTGCAGCATGTGCGCACAGTGGATGCACATAGCAGGGCCCTGCCCCCTTCAGTCACGGGGGCGCGGGGGTGTGCTTGAGTGGGCTGGTAATGCAGAAGTCTCCAGGTGTCGTTGTTATTGGTTTGTTTGCTTAGTATGTTAGTTACAAATCAGCCAGAGACTGAGATGTCTGAAATGCATTGAAACAAAAAACTGTAGTAGCTGGCTAGTGCGCGTAACCATGAGAAAGGATACTGAAGCTTCGATCTGTAATTCCTAAATGCCAGAGATTAATCCGAAGATCATCTGCTGACATGTATGTCTCACAGTCACTGTTGACAGAAATTGAATTGACATGATAGGTGTGGCCGTTAGCAAAAATTCTTCTGGGGCTGACTTCTACCATCAAGTCCGTGGGTTTCAGTACAGGCACCTACATAAAAAGTAATGAATAAATGTGTTTTAAACAACATTTCAAACTTCATAGATTTGTGAATTGTGAGTTGAACTTGGTATATTTTAAAACATTTGTCACTATTTGAGAACTTCTCAAAACATACATACAACATACAAGACAATATTACACAATACATAAAGCTTTAAAAAAAAATTCCAAGTATGAACACACATTTGAATCATAATGCCAATTGTATTTAGCTTGCTCAAATGAACAAGTCACCTTGACAAATTCAAGGATTCTCACTTGGATTTTTTTTCACTGCAGTTGTAAACAACTTGATGGGATATAAAGGTAAAAGTAAAGGGACCCCTGACCATTAGGTCCAGTTGTGACCGACTCTTGGGTTGTGGCGCTCATCTCGCTTTACTGGACGAGGGAGCCGGCGTACAGCTTCCGGGTCATGTGGCCAGGATGACTACCAGAGCAGCACACGGAAACACCATTTACCTTCCTGCCGGAGCGGTACCTATTTATCTACTTGCACTTTGACGTGCTTTCAAACTGCTAGGTGGGCAGGAGCAGGGACCGAGCAATGGGAGCTCACCCCGTTGCGGGGATTCAAACCGCTGACCTTCTGATCGGCAAGTCCTAGGCTCTGTGGTTTAACCCACAGCGCCACCCGCATATAGATAATCACATATTCCTCAGATAATGAGTAAATTACTACGTTGTATATTGGCTACCCACTACATTGCAACACAAGACAACAATTTCTTCAGTAATGCAATAAATACTGTACTATGTCTGTTTCTTACAGGAATATGATGACACCTGCTAGTCAAATCTGTGGAAAGCATCTGTTGAAATATTAATTCTGTAAAAACTTTTCTCAGTTGTTGGTAGGTAATGTTAGAGAAATATCTCTGAATTTGATGGCCCTTTTTTAATGGCTTTTATTAAGGTCATTAATCACTTCCTTATCCTGGGATAAACTGAATTTTCTAATTCTCTGAATGCATGTTCATTTTGCCCTGGCAGATCTTCGCCTATCCCCCCACAATCTCACTTGTTCATCCCAACTCTTCTTTGGGGGTCTTGAGTTGCCCATTTCATTCAGTCTGCACCAATACTGGATCAACCTGCTATAACTCCTGATTCAGTAGAGGACACAGCGGTCTCTGCTCCCAAAGCTGCTGGTGTATTCAGGATTAAAGGAAGTAGTTTTCTCAAGAACCCATTCTGAAGTATTTCAAGTGAAGTGACACTGCCCTCACTCCAGATCTTGGACCAAAACATCTTTGAGCAACTGCTTTTCCTACAGCTGCGTGGGGGGCAAAGCTCAACAACTTTGGGCCATCTCCCCTCAATTTCTTAAAATTGAGTCCCCCAAAATAGGGGGCGTCTTATAGACGAAAAAGTATAGTAACTCATGTACATAAAGTTTGGAACTGTGCTTGTTTTAAGGGAGGGGTAATTAATCAGAAATGCATCCTTGCTAGACTCCCTGGCAAATATTCTTATCTTCCATAAGATGCCCATTTAAACCCACTAATATATGGGTAACATTATTCTGATGGAGTTTTTGAATTCACCAAAGCTATTTTCCGTCAAAATTGGTAATAACAAGCTTCTCCCAAAGGCTCCTGTTTTCTGAGTTGAAAGCTGTGGTCAGGTCTATAAAGGCCGGAAATAATTTTTAATATTATTGGCTTGCTCAGAAGGTATCTGGAGAACGTTTAGAAGGTACATCCAGCAGGTTATTGGTCTGTTGTTACCTTTTTTAAAAGACTGGAACAACAACACTAGATGACTAGCCTGGAATTAAAATGCCTGTTGAGTTAATGTAACCCTGTTCCATAGGAAGGTCAAGAATAGGGGAATAGACATTTGAGGGTTCTCCAAAACCCTTACTACAATGCAGAAACCATTCATGTGGGGAAATCGAGGGCTCCTTTATGGTTCTCCCTTCACCCTCTCCTACAGCCGTAAGTCTCCAAAATTTGGCTTCATTACTTAGGGTCTGCCACAAACTTTTCCACTCTTTCATGTAAAATGCCAGCTTCCTTTGAATGTTCCAATCTTGCTTCCCTAATCTGTCTGGATTTTATCTTTCCCCCCATTCCTGTGCTTCTTATCATAGCATATGGCTGATGGGTAAGTGTCTTTATTTACTCTCCAAACATTGGTTATGTGTGGCCTTAAAATAGACTATCTCCTGTTGATTTTTTTATAACCCTTCATCTTCCAGGCATTGGAGCCTAAGATGGCGTCTAAGATGTAAGTTTTACTAATAGAACAGACCAAATTGCCTGGTTCATCTCTGTGTCTGCACAGGTACCTCAGGTAGGCTTTAGACACAGGAAATGGTAACATCCAGGGGCTACTGGGAACCATGAGAAATTTGACACCCTTAGCTCCCCTGGCTGCTGTTGTACATTCAAATGCCTATTCCCATGTTGTTGTGTGGCATTTCAAGTGTTTTCCATTGTTTGAAGCTACGCAGCACATAAAATATTAGAACATCACGAGTTGTTCTTTCAGTGAAGAAAACAACTCTCCATCTACCCACCTGAAGTGATGTCACCGTAGAAAGATCTTTAAGCTTCCCCTCTTCATCCTTTAAATTGTACCCCTCAGGTTTCTTATCTCGTTCAGTGATCTTCCACAGTTTAATAGTTTTATCTTTTAAAAAAAAGACATCAGCACTGTTATGAGAAGTAACTGTCACATTTTCCCTCATTTTAAAATATAATAAATAATTTAATAATAATAATAATAATAATAATAATAATAATAATAATAATAATAAATTTATACCCCGCCCATCTGGCTGGGTTTCCCCAGCCACTCTGGGCGGCTTCCAACAAAATATTAAAATACAGCAGTTTGATAAACATTAAAAGCTTCCCTAAACCACTGTATAAGAAGTATTTGTTCTACAAATGTTCTACAATGTTCTACAACATGCATATTGTATGTATTAGTTTAGACACATGGACTGCTGCTCTCCATACAGCAGAAGGCACCTCTCAATGGAATTGGGGAAGGGGTATGATTCATTCTTCCCCTATGCTTTCCCCAGATCTGCTCCAGATGGTTCCCCATGTCTTCCATCTTTTAATATTACACACACTGTTAATGTAGTCAATTGTGCTGTTTGCCAAACTTTTTATTTATTCATTCTTTTCTTAATTTGTTTTTATCACTTCCCAAATTGTTTGGTATAACCAATGTAGCCACTATTAGGAAACAGGAAGAGATTATACAATTTATTTCTGCACAATCATTTTGTGACTGGCTCCACTGCCATATTATGACTGGTTCTGCCCATGTGCCACTGTTTTAATAGTGGGCCTCAGTAATTTTCAATGAGCCCCAGGGTTCTAAATTTTGAAAATCTTGAGCTAGGGCAGGAGTTAGCAAACTTTTTCAGCAGGGGGCCGGTCCACTGTCCCCAAGATCTTGGGGGGGGGGGGAGCGGACTATATTTTTTTTGGGGGGGGGAATGAATTCCTATGCCCCACAAATAACCCAGAGATGCATTTTAAATAAAAACACACATTCCGCTCATGTAAAAACACCAGGCAGGCCCCACAAGTAACCCAGAGATGCATTTTAAATAAAAGGACACATTCTACACATGTAAAAACACGCTGATTCCCGGACCGTCCGTAGGCTGGATTGAGAAGGCGATTGGGCCGCATCCAGCCCCTGAGCCTTAGTTTGCCTACCCATGAGATAGGGCAACTGTTCCTGCACCTCTTATCAGCAGCAAACATTTCTGAGCACTTCTTCCTGTCCTAAGATTCTCACTTTATATAAAACACATCCCAAGTTAATCTACACACTTTTGATCCATTTCCTTGCCTCACCCTTAGCCTGACGACTCTTTAGACCTTGTTGCTATACAGTGGAACCTTGGTTTTCAAATGTAATCCATTCCGGAAGTCCATTCGACTTCCGAAACATTTGAAAACCAAGGATCAAAGGGCTGTCAGCAAGTTTAATGGGGAAAATTGAGAAACACACCTTGGAAGCTATTCAACTTCTAAGGCGCTTTTGAAAATGGAAGCATTCACTTCCAGGTTTTTGGCATTCAGCTGCCGAGACATTTGAAAACCAAGGTTTGACTGTATGTGCAAAGGTCTAACTGATGACATCTGTTATTGTGGCAAGCGGCTTCCATGTTCCCAGCTCAAACTCACATGTGTTTCAGTGAGTGCTTGAATGAGCTCTTCTTTAATTTGGGGAGGGACGCTGCCTGCTGAGTCCATGAAAAGAGGGGAGGTAACTCCCCACCATCCCTAGCCATTCACCATACTGGCTGGAGGTGATGGGACCTGGAGTCCAAGAGCAGCTGGAGGGCCATAGATTCCTCATCCTGGGCTTAAATAACCCATGATTTTTATGTTATGTTATGTAGGTAAATGTGCATCAAAATGGAACATTATAGGGGGCCTAACAGTATGGGGAAAAGATGGCTTTACAGGTGCATGAGGGCTGCCCACCCAGTGGCGGAGGAACCCTCTCCGGCACCCGGGGCGGGGTGAACCGCCTGGTGACGCATGCATGACGTCTGTACGGACTGCGCATGTGCAGCGACCGTACGGGCTGCCACGCATGCGCACTCCTGCCATACAGGCTGCTGCTTGCACGGCAACCATATGGGCTGCCCACGCGTGGACGCCGTGCCAGCGGCAGCCCATACTGATGACGCGCGAGAGCGGCAGCCCATATGGACACCCATACTGACTGCTCATCCTCAGCCGCTCTACAGCTGGGGGGGATGCAGGGGCCATCTTGTCACTCCCCCCCCAGAGTAGCACCCGGGGTGATACGCCCCCCCACTTCGTTCGCCCCTGTGCCCATCTTTACTCCCATAAAGTGAAGATACATCATAACCTGCTGCCACTTCCAAGGTTCTTTTTTACACTAAAAATGTATATTTAAAATTAGATGTAATTCATCAAATTTTCAGCTGAAGCCCATCTGCCAGAGACAAGGAAAAACTGTGAACCCTGTATTGTTCATGCTGTCTTACCATTTGTGGACAGAAGAGAGTGGGCTGCATTCTGTTGCGGCAACCACTTTATCTTGTTTATTTTTTCCTCTATTTCCAAACTCTTCAGATAGTCAAACTCTGGTTCATGACTCTGGAAGGTGCTGTAAACATTGTATTCACCTTGGCTATAAGGCTCATTTTTACTCTGTGAAGAACATAGGACAAACAAAAAATGAACTGTTGACCTCAGAGCTTATCTGATCTTTCAAGTTGACTTGAGCCAAATAAACCATATGTCCAACGGCAACCAAGAAGGAAGGGAGCCTATATACTTACCATTACAGCAACAGGTCGGGCCATGGCTTTCGCTGGGCATCTGCTTTCAGAACGCAGGATTTCCATTTAGTTCTGATAGCCACTGCTAGATCTGCCCTCCATGACGTTATCTAATAATTTCTTTTTAATCTAAACTAGTGACCACCTCCCCTTGTGGTGGTGCATTCTGCAAGGTAATTTGTTATGTGGAAAAGTGCAGGTGGGCATTCAGCTATGCCGTACTCAAAGCAAACCCACTGAAATCAATGAGCATGACTCAGTTATGTGTATTCTGAGTAAAACTTAGTTGAATATCACCCACTCTCTTGTCTGTTCTCAACCTATTGCAAATCAATTTATTTGCACAAAGCTTCTACAAGAGAAGGAGAAAATTCCTCTTTCCACCATTCTGAATGTTGCCTTGCAGCATCACCTAGCTGCACCAGGGAGAATTACTGCTACTGGAAAAGCCAATATTATCTCACTTTGAGAGGACAAACCAAATTTTAAAAATACAAGGCGCACCAATCCCTTCCAAGCCTTAGCTTCACTGTTTCTAAACCTAGGGCTTAACTTAGTTTTTCTTTCCAACAATCACAATCTTTTCTGAAAGTTTCGATTTGAACCACAAATAAGAACCTTTACATGTAACCATTACATTATCAAGCATGCATTCAAACACGACAAAAATAGCCAGTGTGCAATTAAAATAAGCCCAGAACAGTCACATCTATTGTCCTGCAAACAACAGGGGAATAGCAGCTTGTGCATCATGATGTTTTTAAAAAATGTTCACAGGGTGCTTGCAGTCAGCAGCTTAATTTGCAAACAGGTGCTTGGCAAAGAGGGTTTTTGTAGATACCAGATTTTCGTAGACGTGTGTGTGTGCGCACGCACAGATGAGCTGGCATTTTGCTGCCAGTGACATCGTGAAGATGCTGCAAAAAAGAACTTGCAAAAGCAAGGTGCACCAATGCCACAATAAACACTCTGGGCAGGCGTCCAGAGCTAGAGTAGCTTTGGAGAATACTGTATCAGCATTTTGTGTGGGTGCACAGGGCTTGTGGATCAGGACATGGAAGCTAATAGTATGGTCAAACAGAGGGTGGGGTTATTTGCTGTTGAATACTGTAGTAAGAAACATTCCTTCAACAATCAGAACACCTTTTTAAAAATTCATACCTCTGGCTCCCTTTGGAATATAACAACTCGACCTCCTTTATCCCCTGTTGCCAGCAACTCTCCTGTGTGGTTGAACTCAACAGTTGAAATAATGTCAGCTGTGAAAGAAAAAGTAGAAAAATCAAATTACAGAAAAAACCGCCCATCCAAAATACCAAATATTTCACAATGAGTTACTTGGGGTTTTTCCTTTCTTTTCCTGAGCCCCACCTTCATTCCACCACAAGAGAACTTTAGCATTTTAAGTCACAGAATTACAGACCTGGTGGGTACCTCAAATGCCATCTAGTCCAACCCCCTGCCAATGCAGGAAATCCCCAACAGCACGCCTGATTGGTGGCTATTTGACCTTTATGTAAAAACCTCTAGTGAAGAAAAGCCCAGCACCTTTCAATCATTTGTTCCATTTTGAACAGCTCACACTGTCATGCAGCTCTTCATGGAGTTCTGTCAGGAAGTAATGCTTTTTGTCATTTAATCCATTGGTTCAAGTGATATCCTCTGGAGCAACAGATAACATATTTGCTTCATCCTCGTATGTATCTGTAGTATGTCAAGTATTTGAAGATGGCTATTCTATTAGGGATAGGATGGCGCTGTGGCTTAAACCACACGGGTGGCGCTGTGGGTTAAACCACAGAGCCTAGGACTTGCTGATCAGAAGGTCGGTGGTTCGAATCCCCGCAACGGGGTGAGCTCCCGTTGCTCAGTCCCTGCTCCTGCCAACCTAGCAGTTCGAAAGGACGTCAAAGTGCAAGTAGATAAATAGGTACCGCTCCGGCGAAAAGGTAAACGTTTCCGTGCGCTGCTCTGGTTCGCCAGAAGCGGCTTAGTCATGCTGGCCACATGACCCGGAAGCTGTACGCCAGCTCCCTTGGCCAGTAAAGCGAGATGAGAGCCGCAACCCCAGAGTCAGTCACGACTGGACCTAATGATCAGGGGTCCCTTTACCTTTAACTATCCTATTACCTCTTAATTGTTGGCATCTATCTTGAGAGACAATGGAGTACGCCTCTGGGGGTCAAACCTCTGCATTAGCAGGCACCAAAGAGACCTCCTTCATTCTAAATACAGTATATTCAGTTCTTTCAGCCTCTCTTTATAGGACCTTGCCATATTTGGACACATTCCAGTTTGCATCATATCCTTCTTAAACTACGGTGCCCAGAAGGAGGCACAATATTCTAGGTGAGGTCTGACCAAAGCAGAATAGAGTGGTACTTACTATGATCTCTAATTCTGTTAATGGAGCCTAGAATTGCTTGAACCTTTTAAGCCACCAGATCACACAGCTGATTCATGTTTAGCTTGTTGTTTTCTAAAACACTGACATCCTTTTGACTTGTGCTGCTGAGAAGCCAGATGTCACCCATCTAGAAACCAGTTCATTAAATACAGGCCGCTAAATGGTAACAGGAACTAAACCACCAAAATACTCCTCCATATCAAGTTCCCTGACTATTCAGAGCACTAAAAAGGTCAAATATTTTCACTCACTTGCTATGAATACTCTAGCTATAGCGGAATAGTTTTTAATCTATTTGTAACTGATGGAGAATACGTTATATGCTATACAACACAAGAACAGTGCAAATTATTCTGAATTTAATTATCTGAATAGTATTCCACATTCACTTAATTGCACAGCCACTTTCATTATTCTTTATCGCTTCTGACACCCATTGACACAACCCCCAATGATCCTTGAGAGTAACTGGATCAAGAGGAGGTGAAGTTCTGATGAAGCGCATTAAGAGACGATGGTTATAAAACAGCTTGGACCCAGATGCTGACACAACATCACCAAAAGCTAATTAGCACATCTAAATTCATACGATCATGACTTCAATATTAAAGAAATATGTACACATAAAATGAGCAGCAGTGGAATTATGGCAAAAACATCAAACACAGCTACTTTGCATTTATTAAAATACTTTTTATTAATTTTTCCAACTCTGAACAACAAAACTTAAAACTACATGTGTCCTGCACAAAGAAATAAACATAATCATTCTCAAGCACAGCAAAAAATTTACACTGTAAACCATTAAAGAGATCATATTGAAGAAGGGTATCTTCTTCAAAGAGGACACTGAGAGCGAGGACAATGGATCAAATGATCACTAAAGTTGACATAACTAATAAACTGAAACCAAGTGTCCTGAAACCTACATCTTTGGATTTCACTCCATGCCTTCCTACATTGCTTAGTCAGTTTTTCATCAAATGCTAGTGGCCATATTCAGGCGCAACACCTGTGGGTAGAAAGATTGCGCACATCCTTCCAGTTGAGCACTATTTCCATGAGCACCACTACCATTAATTTGAATAGATGATCCTTGTATGTCAGCATAGTATGAGTTCCAGCTTGGAAAGAAGTGTTAAGGCAAGATCTTTCTCTGCTTGTATAGCAATAGCATAAATGTCATCGTAGGCTATTTATTTTCTGGATTACTGGACAATAAAGGGGCTGCTTTTATGGATTAGTGAAATATTTTATTACTATTGTTCAACACTTTACAGGCCAATGGTATCAGTAAAATAAATAATAAACATTCTCAAAATATATGTTCCCGATGCTACAAACAGTCACTTTTGCTAATCTGGACTGTGCTAGGCCTGCCAAACTACCAGCTACAACAGACTTCAGGAAGCAGGAGAGCAAGCCATGATGGACGTCCATGGATGAGAGGTTCAGTGCTCGACCACCTTTGTGTGGGCCTGTGGAAACGACTGTTGACTCTCAGTAACAGTCACATGAGACCCTGGCAACTTGGATGGCAATAAGATTAATGACAACATCATACCATCACTGTAACCTTTTGAAAAGATGCTAAAGAACAGGAAGAGAAGAACGATAGTGTCACACTGGATATGAAATTATAAAGACTGTTAAAGTTTCAAATGAATGCACCAGAATGTATCCCAGTTACACTGATGGTAGTCATCCACAGTCTACTTCTTAAATGGACTAGCCTATATAAGTAATGAAACTTATGTGAAATATAGGAGATTTCACCCTCCTGGTCCAGGTTCTGATCAATATAAAAGGTGTTCAAGTCATAATTTTCTCCATCTCTCCAGCTCTGCTTCGAATGCTTTCAGCCACCTGATGGCCACAGGACCCTGGCTCACAGTACTTGGAGTGGTAGCTACTGGGGCTGAATTTATGACAGTGCTATTGCAGCAATTCTTTCCAGGCCTATGCCAGCAGGTGCCCCAGATTCTGAGCTTTTCTCTTTTTAAAAAACGTATCTCGAGCCCTTCTAGAAAGAAAGTTATGAAGCATAATGCACAGGCCAGCTTCTAAGCAATTTCTGGGAGATACCTCAGACTGAGGGACGCGGGTGGCGCTGTGGGTTAAACCACAGAGCCTAGGACTTGCCGATCCAAAGGTTGGCGGTTCGAATCCCCATGACAGGGTGAGCTCCTGTTGCTCGGTCCCTGTTCCTGCCAACCTAGCAGTTTGAAAGCATGTCAAAGTGCAAGTAGATAAATAGGTACCGCTCCGGCGGGAAGGTAAACGGCATTTCCATGCACTGCTCTGGTTCGCCAGAAGCGGCTTAGTCCTGCTGGCCACATGACCCAGAAGCTGGACACCGGCTCCCTCGGCTAATAAAGCGAGATGAGCGCCGCAATCCCAGAGTCGGTCACGACTGGACCTAATGGTCAGGGGTCCCTTTACCTTTACCTTTTTACCTCAGACTGACTCCTCCTGCCTTTCAGTGTTTTTAGCCATTATGTGAAGTTAGAGCTGTGATTTGTTTGTTTGTTTCATAAAATTTATACATCGCTTGCTTGTTAAAAAACCACAAAGTATTCTTGTACTTTATTTTGAAAAATAAACTACAGTGGTACCTCGCAAGACGAATGCCTCGCAAGACAAAAAACTCGCTAGACGAAAGGGTTTTTTGTTTTTTGAGCTGCTTCGCAAGACGATTTTCCCTATGGGCTTGCTTCGCAAGACGGAAACGTCTTGCAAGTTTGTTTCCTTTTCTTAACACCGTTAATACAGTTGCGACTTGACTTCGAGGAGCAACTCATAGAACGTGGTGTGGTAGCCTTTTTTGAGGTTTTTAAAGACTTTGGTGATTTTTGAAGCTTTTCCAAAACTTTCCCGACACCGTGCTTCGCAAGACGGAAAAAATCGCAAGACAACAAAACTCGCGGAACGAATTAATTTCGTCTTGCGAGGCACCACTGTACTACATTCTGCAAGACAGGTGTCCCGTTTTACTTGTACTATAGCCACATGGATTCTTTTTCAGTTAACATCATTCTGATTCCCAAAGTAATGGGCTGATGTTTTTATTCCCGTAACAAAAAGTGATATGCCGCACACAAGTATTTTGTGTTTCTCAAGTGAAAATGAATCAGGAGGCTGGTTGGTCTGAACAGGCATACTGCCATAGCAACCAATCAGGGGCCCAGCTACTACATGCCTGAATCACAGCTTTATTGCACCAAAGCCAGCACAGTGACTGATGCCAATGAGATTATACAAAAAAGTCAGTATTAGAATTGGAGGATAATGGCTTAGCTATTGGTTTTGTGTCCTGTGGTTTTTCTTTATAGCCTGAAAAGTATGCCAGGTAAACCTGTGGTTATGTCGATGGATTCCACAGAAGCATGTATGTAATTTCTTCTTTAATTTCTGCTAATTTAAATGTATCCCTGTTGTGTTTCATGACTCCCCTGATTTTGTATGTGAGCTGGAACTGGTCTGTGACCGAAATAATAAATTCATTCATTCAATTTCTTTTTTAATATCTAGCTTGAATATCATAGAACCAGGGTCCGCAACGCAGCACCTAGATGCCCCAGGACCCGCTGCTCCCTCAGCGAGGTGGCCAAGCTTGCAAATTATTGGCATTTGGTTAGTTAAGGGGAAAATAGGTCTAAAAATAGAGAATCCTTGGATGCCAAAATCCAGATTTGGGGCTTTTGCTTTGTTGAAATCTGTCTCTTCAGTGAAATAATACATCTTCCTTCTCTTGATAGAAAAATTGGGAATTCTGACTTCTGTATGGTTGGACTGTAGCTTAAGAACATGAGAAGATCCTGCTGGATCAGGCCAGTGACCCATCTAGTCCAACACCTTCTTCTCACAGTGGCCAGGCAGGTGCCTATGAGAAGCCCATGAACAGGACCTCAGCACACTCTCTCCTGTTTCCAGCAGCTGGTATTCAGAAGCACGGCTGCCTCCAACACAGCCCTTGTGGCTAACAGCCCTTGATAGTCTTGTCTCCCATTAATTTGTTGCTTTTAAAGCCATCTAAGTTGGTGGCCTTCACTGCCTCTTGTGGGAGCAAATTCTATAATTTAACTATGTGCTGTGTTAAAAGGTACTTTCTTTTTTCTGTCTTGAATCTTCCAACATTCAGTTTCACTGGATGTCTCTCCGCTTCCTCCCCACCATGCATGATTTTATACACTTCTATCGTTTTGTCTCTTACTCTTTTGTCTAAACTAAAAAGCCCAAAATGTTGTAACCATCCCTCATAAGGAAGCTGCTCCATCCCTTTGATCAGTTGGGTTGCTCTGTTTTGAAACTTGTCCAGCTCTGCAACACCCTTTTTGAGACGAGTCACTAGAACTGAACAAGACTTTAATTTGTCCAAAGCAAGAGAACAAAAAGGAACTGAGGTACTGCCCACCATGTCTCACTGAGGATCACAAGTCTCCAAGACAAAATCCAACCTTCTATGTATGTCTGCCCAATCATAACTTTTCAGGTTTTATAGCCTGACAAGACATTATAGCATCACTTCAATTAGCTCGGGGTTATTATTTCTCTCGGAGCAGCTGAAACAAAGTGCACCCAACGAGTCACCTCTCTTTCACGCTCACAAAAGCACACTTGCCTTTTGAAAACTAGTGTGCAAATCATGAGATGAGAACACAGATTTATCAGAGCTATTCAACCACCCAAATAAACTAATAATACCCATACTTCCTGCATTACAGATGTTCATCACTACAGAATCTATATCAACAGTGTGATGGCTTCTTTACACAACATGATTAATTTCCAAGACTCCTGGGTAGATCTCTAATGCAAGAGATATCAAAGCAGCAAATGCTAAATGCTGGTATTAGCCAAACTCTTTTTTGTGTGCTTTGTTTTTGCATCAGTCGTGTCTGCTAAGATTTATTGAGCCCTTACGGAAGTATACAGGATCTGCAAGCGATCATTATGCACTTGGTATATTGCCACTTTGCAACCACTATCATTGCTCGGTATAATATATTACATTAATGCTGAGTTACTTGCCCTAATCTGAAGACTGCACACACACAATAAGGAAGGGAAACATGGTGCATAACACAATACATGAAAGCAGCCAAAACCTAGAAGACGACTTTCAGTCTGTGCAACACTCAGTGGACACAGGGAGCCTAACGGAAACGTCAAAGGAACTTACTACAGGCTGTACCATCAGAATTCAGGCTGGGTATCTTCCTTGCCCACGAAAACAAGGGATTCCAAGCTGTTTAGCCACATCTCCTTGTTGGACTGCCTTAGCTCCCTCACAGGCCAGCCTTGGAATGGTGACCTCCACCCACGAAAGACAGCACACCTACGGCTATCTTTTATGAAAGGGGCAAGTGCTGTAGTGCCGTTGTGGACTAAAACTCTCATCAGTCCTGACTATTGGCTAGCTAGGGTGGATGGGAGCTGCAGTCCCAAACACCCTGGTAGGCACCATGTATGCTGCCCATGCTTAAGTAACAAAAACCTACCCTGGACAAAGTGATTTGTGTAAAGCAAAAGGAGTTTCCAAGATGCCCCCCAGATATTTGGACTACAGCTCCCATCTGCAAGAGACTCTCACCTTGTAATACCAAAGACCTTAAACACCAATGCACTCAAGGAAAGATTAACATGACTAAACATAATTGTGTACAGTGCATATAGGCAACTTATTAAATGTTAATTAATCACCTTCCACATATATGTCTCAAGGTGACATGCAATATGATAAAATCAGTTAAAAACCAGCACAGAAAATAACAGCAAATGAATTTAAAAAAAGAATAAAATGAGACACTCATGCCAGTGTCTATTCATCCAGTTGGGAAAGCTCATTGGGAACAAAAATGAATTCAGATGTTTTCCAAAAATGCAGAGAGTGGGCCCCTGTTGTATCTCGGGAGGGATGATGTTTCACAGAATGGGCAGCCACATCAAAAGCCCTGCTCCGAGTTACTGTGGAGGATTCTGATCTCTTTGGAACTATTAGGAGAAAAATCTCCCAAGGGCTGCTGTGATCTGCTGGGTATATAATAGGTAAGGCAGTCCCTCATGTAACCTGGTCCTGAGCTGAATGGGACTTTATGGGATAGTAAAGGTAAAGGGACCCCTGACCATTAGGTCCAGTCATGGCCGACTCTGGGGTTGCGGCGCTCATCTCGCTTTACTGGCCGAGGGAGCCAGCGTACAGCTTCCGGGTCATGTGGCCAGTATGACTAAGCCACTTCTGGTGAATCAGAGCAGTGCATGGAAACGCCGTTTACCTTCCCGCCAGAGTAGTACCTATTTATCTACTTGCACTTTGAAGTGTTTTCGAACTGCTAGGTTGGCAGGAGCTGGGACAGAGCAACAGGCGCTCACCCTGTCGCAGGGATTCGAACCGCCGACCTTCAGATTGGCAAGTCCTAGGCTCAGTGGTTTAACCCACAGCGCCACCCGTGTCCCTTTATGGGATAGTACCAATAGCTTAAACCTGACCTGACCCAGTAGCATATTGGTAGTCAGTGTAAGTCCCCAGATAAGATGCTATATGCTGGGAGTAGTTTCAGCAGCATAGCTAGCTGCGCGGGTGCCTGTGGCGGAGCACCCACCCTGCAGCTGGGGGTGGAGCAAGCCACCCATGGGGCGGGGCAAGCTGCCCATGGGGGTGGGCAAGCCAAGACAGGGCTGTGTGGAGTCTCTCCACAACCTCCCCCTCAGCTGTAGGGTGGCTGAGGCGGTGGGCAGATGCAAGCCCCGTGCTGCTCGAAAAAGCGGTGTGGAGCTTGCAGGCAGTCCACCCACCACCTCCCCCTCAGGAGAGACGCGTGGTTCAGGCACGCTGCAGTGCCCCCTGCCTCACCTAGCTATGCCTCTGGATTAGGCAGTTCATGGAGGAGAGGGCTGTCGAAGGCTACTAGCCATAAAGGCTGTGCTCTGCCTGCAAAGTTGGAGGCAGCAATGCTTCTGGAAATTACTTGAGGGGAAAGTGCTCCTGCAGTGGTGTAGGAGGGGGGCAGTGGGGGCGGGAGTTATTTTCCCCCAAAACACATATTTTTGCCATTTTGTCACCCCCTCAGTGATGACACCAGGGGCAGCCCGCACCCACCGCACCCCCCTTCCTACACCACTTAGTAGTTTGTTCCCCCTTCCAGGTAACCTAGGCACCATGTTCTGCACTCGCTACACCCGCTAGACGAACCTCCAGGGTAGCTCCACATAGAGCACATTGCAGTGATCCAGCCTTGAGGATTTATGCAAACCCGTAGGTTCTTCCTCAGAAGAGATGCTTAGTTAGCACTATTGAGCATATATGCACAATAATGGAATTTGCCCAACATCATTTACTGGCAGCTATAATGCAATAATAATAATAATAATAATAAATTTATTATTTATACCCCGCCCATCTGGCTGGGCTTCCTCAGCCACTCTGGGCGGCTTCCAAAAAAATATTAAAATCCTCTAATACATCAAACATTAAAAGCTTCCCTAAACAGGGCTGCCTTCAGATGTCTGGTAGTTGTTGTTCTCTTTGACATCTGGTGTCAAGATAGTGAGGAGACAAAAGCCCAGGCTAGCTGCAAGCAAGCTGCACTCAGAGAGTGAGTGCAACTCTTGTGCAGCCCATACAATAAGTGTCAATTAATATTGTTCTTCCCCCACCATTTGTAGCCCAGCAGCAAAAGGCTTTGACTATACTGTCACCATAAGCCAAGCCCATTACGTCGCTCACACAGTATAGGTGGTGTTCTCATCCAGGGCCAGCCCAAGACATTTTGGCATCTGAGGCGAATCACAAAATGGCGCCCTCCCCCTGCCAGGGAAGAAGGGAGGAGTGAAGCTCTACATTGGGAGCAAGCAGGGAATAAAGATCTTCTACTTTTTTAAGTTGTAATCATTCAACTTGTTTTTATTATTGCTTGTAAGCCACTCTGAGCCCGGCCTTGACTGGGGAGGGCGGGGTATAAATAAAAATTATTATTATTATTATTATTATTATTACTTGTGATGCATTCCTCGGAGGCCGGATCTACTGCCTCTGTGGATCCTGCCGCCCAAGGTGGTCACCTCACCTTGCCTCACGGGAGGGCCAGCCCTCCTCTCATCCAAGTGGATGAGTGTCCACAGAATACTAACACATTGGGCAGCTTCATGAGTCACTGGCATGCAGGCCACTGACTGGACAGACATAGAGACTGACCTTCCCACTCACCTCCAGAGGTGCTCTCTTCAGAAGAGGGTTCAGACACATTGGCATGGCAGTGTGGGGAAGGTTGCATGGCTGCCGCCGCCCATGCTATGCCAGTCCTGTGGAGAAATAGAGGACTTCAATTTCCAGTGCTGCCAGTTCAGCACCTGTCAGGTTACATGTGCAGAAAAAGAAAACAAACAAAATTCTCTAGCCCCATCTTCATTAGAAACAACGATGAAGAGCCTTAACTTCATATGCACTGCTCTTTTTTTGAACAATATTTAGGCAAAATATTTGCAAACACCATTATTTTAATGAATTGAGTTTGTAACATGTGTTTGCAAAGGATGTGTTGGGGAAAACTGTTTGCAATAAGGAAAATGGCATTTTGTGCCTTTCCCCTCTCCTAAAATATTTCTTATGGGATGAACTCTTTCAGTAAAATCTTTTGATGAGGATATGTATATCCTCATATATATATATATATATATATATATATATATATATATATGGTTTTCTAAGAACAAAGAACAAATATGACCAGCTTAATCCTCACATTTCTACATGAACCTCAGCTGTGACTTGCCTTTTCAGAAAGCAGATTTGACCCATTAATGTGCCATGTTTGGTAGCGTGACTTACTTGTTTTTGATACTGACTCTCCTGTAATGAAGAGATGCAGGGCATACTCTAAGGCAGGCATGGCCAAACCTGGCCCTCCAGATGTTTTGGGACTACAACTCCCATCATCCCTAGCTAACAGGACCAGTGGTCAGGGATGATGGGAATTGTAGTTCCAAAACATCTGGAGGGCCAGATTTGGCCATGCTTGCTCTAAGGAGATAAAACCCAAGTTTTCTGGTCCCATGTTCTACTCGAGGCCTTTAAATGTGTGGTTGTTACATCAAAAGAGTTCTGGTGGATCAGACAGGGGCACCACCTTGTCTGGCCTCCTTTTTCCAAGAGAGCTGCCTACACAAAAGGGCGGGGAAACAAATGCCCTGCCCTGTTCTCTGTTTCTAGCATGTGCTGTTCAGCCTTTTAACACCACTGCAAATGACACGCCTCTTTAATAATCTCCCTTTCAAGTCTTCTAACCTAGAGGCTATCAGCACATCCTGTGGCTGTGGAAGTGGATCTTATAAGTCAATTATACATTACATAAAATTCACCGCCACAGGATGTGGTGGCCCCTGGCTTTAAAAGAGGATGAGACAACTCATGAGCTTGCCTTGATTATTTAATATTTTATAGACCGCATTCCTATGGTCCTTGGAAGAGTGTCCCAGGGGTCATTGAATGCTCAAGACCTGCCTCTCTGAGAGGGTGATCTGACTGTGTAGGGTCTCTCCCCACTGCCTCAGAAACCTCAGTGGCCCTTGCCTCACTAACACCAGAGCTCTGACATCAATAGAAACAAAAGCTGAGCGTCTCAGGAAGCGTATTAGGGGGAAGGTTTGAAATCTGAAGGATCCAAAACCTCCCCACTCAACCCAGCACACTCTCAAAACTGGGGCAAATATACACAAGCCCAGGATATGGCATATATATTTTGGGAACCATGGGAGAGAGACATTCCTAAAGAAAACAACAACAGGGCAGTTCCACGCTAAACATTTAAAGCACATGTAATACACATTGATAGTACATTACTCCCCCCCCCCCACAATATAATCCTGGGGACTGTAGTTTGTTAAGGATACTGAATTGTAGCTCTGTGGGGGAGAACTACAATTCCCAGGATTCTTTGGCAGAAGTTGTGTGCTTTAAGTGTGTGGTATGATCTGCCCCCAGAAAGAAATAAAATAAGGGGAAATGCCATTCCTCCTTTTCTTCCACCTTGCGCCTGGCAAGGGTTTGCATCGTCTGATGCTGGGGCTCTCGCAACCCCCTGGTAGGCTTGCTCTGCCAACTAATTGATGTATTCCAAGCCCTCTCCCACAATTTTGTCAGTTCCGGCCTCAACAAAATAAATGGTTGAAGTGTTGCTTCTGAAAGTCTTCAAAGATCATGCAAAAGTGCACTTAGGTCTATGGGAAATCTTCCAATTATAATTTCCCTGTAACAGTCTAAGTACAAATTAATCTAAAATGCCTTGTGTATTGCACTAGAAATTATTCCATCAGAAGTCCAAAGTGATTTTCTCCATGATCCCAATGAGAATGTTCAGCTCTTGTAATCAACATCCTCTGTTTTATTTCAACATTTAATTCGTATGCTATGTTTAAGCCTGCAAATCAGGGGTGGGGAACCTTAGTCAGGGGGCTGAATTCAACCCTCCAGGCCTTTCTAGGCCACAACCCCCCTGCCCAAGCCACACCCTTCGCCAGTCCTGCTCCACACCCTCCTTAGATTTCCCCCCCATTTGGACTGTGTCTTTGAATGCCTCTTCCTTGCCTGCACAAAGATGGGGAACAGTGGGTGGGTGTGACCCTCTGACTTTTGCATGGGTGAAATGTTGTCTGCTGTACATCCATTGATTCCCTGGCTTTTGCCCCTGCCTACCTCTTACCACCCCCACCCCCTGAGCATGCAGCCCTCAGATTGAAAAATGTTTCCCACCTGTGCTGTAAAAAAAATATGATACAAGACAGCTAGAAGCTGTCCTCAAGCAACAAAGTCTGATAATTCCTATTGTTACACACGTTTTTGTTTATCTCTTGCATGTTTGTATGTATCTCTCAAGGATTTCTAGAAATAATACAGTACTGATAGTTTCTGGCAATATGCTGGCAACTGAATCACAAGGTGTGATGCTATGTCATTTAGAAGCTCAAATAACAGAGACAACTTTCAAATCACCTCAAGCATAATATTCTTCAGTGAGGGCAGTTTGTATACTGAGGTACGAACCAGTTAGGGTGGCATAGACACATGTGTGTATTGAGCCTTAGGTATCAATTATGCACTCACTGGTCTTCCACAGAGTCTTAATCCTGTGCAGATGACTACAGTGTGGCAGTCTTCAATATGTGGAAAAGGAAGCATGATTATTCACCACCCATTGTTCAGAGCTCCTTCACAGAGCCTGTGCACACTTTTACTCAGATTACACAGACACAGCCTACAGCTAGTGTGCATAAAGGCTGTCTGCAGAAGACCTGGTCAATGTATTAAGTTTGGGAGTAGGTCCAGGAGTTGCAACCGTGTGATGGCCTGGGAATATTATTCAGAGGCTGAACCTGAGGAGTCCCCGCCTCCAGGGCCGGCTGAGCCGGGGCAGGGGCTTGAATCTGAAGGGCCCGCACCTGTGCCGGATCCTCAGGAGCAGACACCAGCTGAATCCGCTCTGGCTCCGGTGGTGATCGAGGACCCAGTGCCTGCAGGTGCTCCTCTCCCAGCCCTGTCAGGAGAAGGTGAGGTTGCCTCTGGGTCCAGTAACCCTCCAGCCTCTCCTGAGCTGCAGAGGCTCAGGGCAGAGAGGCGGAGGGAACTAAGTTCTCTCAGGAGGAGTGCTCGCCTTAAGGCCAGGAGAGGCGAGTCACCTGTGGGCCTGGACCGCCCTAGACCTCAGAGGAGATAAAGGCCAGTCAGCCCAGTCCCAGGTTGTGGGAGCAACATCGCTGGTAACCTGTTCCTGCCGGCACCCTGACCCGCTCTCCTGCCAGAGTTCCTGACCATGCCCGACTCCTCGCTTTGGACCTCGCCTCACCCCTGACGGACAGCCTCCTTGCCCTCGACCTAGGACTGGACTTAGACTACGCCGCATGGTACCCCCCCCCGGGACCAGCACAAACCGTGTAGTAGAAAAACAAAATATATGTTTTCAGATTATTTGCAACAAGTGGTAATGCCATCTGGAGTGCCTATTTCCGTCTCTGGCTGGTTTGCTGGCTCCATTGCCCCTTAGACAACGATTACTTGGTCACTGTGCTCCATACTCTGGTGACATCCAGATTGGAGTATTGTAATGCACTGTATGTGGGGCTGCCCTTGAACACAATGCAGAAACTTCCTGTGGTGAAAAATGTAGCAGGCAGGCTGAAGGGGGAGATGACTTCAACCTGTCACTTTTGCTTCAGACCAAGAATGGAATCTGAAAGTAGTGTTTTCCTATACTAATAGTATAGGGACTTTTACCATCTTGTAACCAAGCTACATTTTACTGCCTGCAGAACTTTGCTTACTGCTGTATGGAAAAGTACGTGAATATGATCTTTGGGGAGTTTGTAAGTAAACCATTTTATAACTTACCAAATGTGTGGTCTTCTTCTATGCTAGGGGAAGAAGGAAATTTGGAAGGAGATTTTAATGTGGAATACTTTGGAATTAACTGAAAGGGGCACCTTTTAAGGATTTAAAGCCTGTATTTCCACACTTCTATTTACCGGTACTGCATGTTTTGCCAAAGAGCACAGGAGCTGACTAATGAGTTCTTGGTCATGTGACTGTGTGTTATTGTCTTGGGAGATATTTAGTAGGGCCAGTTCTGGAGTTGCTTCTATTACCCGTTTTGTTATTTTGCAGATCTATTGTAAAACTGATATCCTGAAGGATTGAATTTTGGAGCATTCCCACCATATGTGGAGTTATGTGCCCTTGGCGGTGCAGCCTCCCCAGCACCTAGGTGAAGTTCCTGGATGTATCATCGCTAGCTTACATGGTGTTAGGTATCACCTGTAGATGTCTTTATATTGTTAACCATGCCATGTTCTTCAGATGAAGGGCAGTATAGAAATTTAATTAATTAATTGCACTTTCATCCAGTATTTTCTGTTTCACTGCAACTGGTATATTTTGTACAAGTCTTTCTTCCAGTTCGTTGCTGATGAGGAAATAAACATATTTTTAACATATATTGTACAATACACATATATCCCTCAACTACTTATTTACAAATTAGTTGCCTTCCTTTCAAAGTTAATGACGTTCCAGATGGATAGCTCTGTTAGTCTTTCGCAGCAAAAAATCTTATGGAATTTTAAACACAAATGAAATGCAGTGGCTAATGGCCTTTCAAAAACCATCTACAGTTGCATGTCTACTCAGAAGTAAGCCCCAATGAATTAAATTGGGTTTACTACCAGACAGGGATAGAAGGATCTGTCAATTTCTGTTCTCAATTCCTGTTGCCCATTTTTCAAATCTTAAATTCAGTTTTCCTTATTTCTGCAGCCATTTATTAATTTTTTAAAATCCTAATGAAATGCCTTCAG